CATCCATTCAAACTGCCTAAAACTGAGGCTCCAAATGAAGTAATCCTCTTGGCCCCGGCCAAGATAAAAAAGCCCAAAAAGGGGAAAGGTAGAATCTGCCCTAGCACGATGCTACCATCCATCCAAAATGGCCAAAAACGCGCTCCGCTATGCTTCTGGGCACCAAGAGGAGAACTCCCAGAAACGGGGAATATTCAATACTACACTGCCCGTACCACGAAACAAAATGTGTACCCCGAGGCCCTGTTCCCCGCCTCTTCGCAAATATTCCAAGCCCAAATCCGTAAAAATCTCCGTCACGTTCAAATTATCCTTCACGCAGAGCCGGTACAGCTTGAGCCCGAGCCGGGTTGCCAAGCCCTCTACCTCGGCAGGCGTCATCACGGCCTGCTCAATCAGGTCGACCTGGGCGTTTTTTTTTGGATGATTGAAGATCTGTCTGACATCATGAATGACCGCTTCACAAGAACCAGTACATCATCCGCCTTAACGACCACCTCATCAAAGCAGGTCACATAGAAGAAACACCTTGTTCTGCGCAAGAACGACCACGATGTTGCCACATTCCTCCCGCACCTTATGGAACCAGGACTCTACGGCATCGAAATCTCGATGGAAAAAAGCCGACGCACCACAACGATCTCTAACCCTGACCTCTAAGCATCTGAAACACAGCGTCAAGATGAAACAGCTTTGAGTTTCGCTTGTGTGTAGTGCCGTGAAGTTGTGCAAAGCCGTTCAGACCATGCAGACGCTCAGACGCACATCGCTTTTTTTCATCGATCCATAAAAAGCTGTCGCGATCGGTTGTGGAGAAGGCTATTATGCAGCAACCTGCTCCGCGGTAATACCCTGTAGTTTTGCCATGGAAGATGAATAAATGCCTGACATTTTTTACCGCCCAACATCAACACTGCAATGTTTTATCCGCATCTCGTCTTGGTGCCCTAGATTATTTGCAGGTACGGGCAGGGGAATCGAAAGCCGTTGGCGTTGCCATGTCTTTTCTCCACATTTGTTCAACAACAGTCACTCTCCTCAAAAATCAGCGGAAGAAAAATTAACCCTCTATTGCAGTACCTCTTGTAATCGCGTCGTACTCCTCCTGGCCGGCGGTATCCCACAAGAGAAACGTTATTTCCTCATTTGCGACCACCAGCCGCTTCTCCAGGAAGTCTACCGCGAGCGTCTTTTTGTAGTTGTCCGTGAAAACGCCCTTGGCGAACTTGGTAATCATACTGGTTTTTCCCACCGGCTTGTCCAGGAAAAAACTGTGTGGGACGCGAAAAAGTCCTTAGGTGAAACCGAAAATCGACTTGGTGGTTCCACAGCATGACAAGGAAGTGTAGGGCTAGGTCTACTTCATGCTTCGCATTGCAGACATTGACATATCACACACTACCACAGTATTTTTTTTTTGATTGGATATTGCCCGTTGCCCACCACGATCACCTTCAACGCGGTGTCCACGTCCTGCTCAATCATCTTCTGGCGTTAGTATTGGCTTCGTCTTCCTTCAGCAACAGTTTTCCGAGCAGCCGGTACAGCAAGCAGAACTAGAATTTGCAGCACAACTCTGGTCCTCTCTTCTCCTGCTCCGTATTGGTCTTGCAGCTCGCAACGACAGCAACTGTTGCTGTTCTCGTGATTCCGGCTGCCTCTTTTACGCTTGTCGACGCGGCTTCGGTTTACCACGGTCATGAAAAACTGTGCCCGCAACGTCAAAGTGTGGTCCTACTAAGAACATTTCATTCCGTGGACAGGAGCAGGACCGCTCCTCCGTAGCCTGCTGAGGGATTCCTCTTCTTAGGTGCTTTTTCTAGCCCTCCATCAACATTGTAGCTATTTTTGGCGAAAAGGAGCAGGGTCCTGAAGCTGGATCTGTGCTGCAGTGGCGTGAAGTGCGTTGGAGAGTACAGCTGTGGTCGTGCACCTACCGTATTGTAAGTAGGTGAGCTGAAGGGCGTACTCTTCAATGTTGTTCGTGTTGTCTGGAAATGTCAGAAATCAGGACGAGAGAGCATCATTTTCATATCGCGTCGTTGCAGGCGTGCAACATGTTGTTCATTGCTATCTTGTCTTTTTATTTTTGTGGTCTTCTTTTTTTTTTTTGAAAGGGAGCGCTCTCATTCTAGACTCTATCTTCGTCGACTCGCTCTCCGCTCCCACTCCAAACTTCTAAAGTTTCGTTTTTACTTAAAGTTCCTCTTCTCTGATCATCTTCAAGGCTTCCTTGGTGCACAGAGTCGCAATCTACCGAGGATCGCTCTGTCTCCCAAGTATGGAACTCATTGCGTCTGACAGAAAGAACTACTGCTGGACTGCTCGACTTAGGTGCGGCGTCTTGCTGCTTACCTTATGTGCCAAATGAAAGACAGTGGCAACCACGCACAAAAACTAAAAACAGATTCAGATTTGCTTGATTGGCAGAAAATAAATGTGAGAAGGTAGTCGATCTGTATACAGGGAGCACGCACGCTCAGAGTCGCTGAGACTACAGAGCCTAAAAAGGGTGAAACAGTCATCGAATGCGAAACGTTTGAATTTTTCAGGTGGTTGTATTCTCAGCTGCAGTTGTCAGTGGCCGACATATAGGGGACAAGCGTCGACTCGTGGTGTTGGCTCTGAACCGCAAAGGTTTTCCACACTATAGAAATTTTCCTTTCCTTCCCGCGGTGCCGGTGCGTAGCCGCGGGAATTTGAAAAATCTACTAGTTGTAAAAGTTTTGGTGGGTCTCCCCTCCCGAAGAACCTCGGCGAAGAAGCTTCCGGCGCTGTGCCTGGGCCGCAAAATGACCCCGACTACTGCCAGAGCTGACCCTGGTGCTCGCTGTGCTCCTTACTTTTTCTTCGCTCTCCCCCTGCGCACCATCAGCGCCAGCATCAGGATGAAATAAATGGTCTCGGTGTTCGTTACAAAAGCGCGCCGTGTAAACATAGCTGCAAAGCGGATTCGTGTTCAGCCCAACCATGCCCGCTCCCCAGAGAGCTGCTGCTGCCAGGGCTACAAAGGCGGCCCCAACTTTAGATCTGCGCGACAACTGAGAGGGGAAACACAACGAATTTGTTTCCGCTGCTGTTTGTTCTGGATCAGTTGTCTCTCCATGAAACTCTGGAAAAGAGTAACTGTCCCCGCGCAGAAGTGACGCGGTGCTGGCACAGGCAGAGCTTGTTGGGGTTCTTCCTGATGAGAAGCATGAGATGAACCGGAACCACCAGCAACTGCCAAAGAATTTTCGTCTCCTGCATCTTCACCGTCAGAGCTCGGAAGTAAATGCCTCTGCATCAGTTTTTCTCCTGTGGTCAGTGGCCGATACTCCCGCTGCGAGCCAGTCCCTTGTCGTGCGGAAGAAAGAAAACCTCGGGAAGTCCGTCCACCCTGCTTCGACGAAGCCGCAGCACTCTGCCCGCAGAGCCAGGGATTCCGGGGCGTCCGGTGCGGTCGAGGGGACGACGTGCAGCAATGAATAGAAGTACTTGTAATTCTTGTTTCTGGCGCGCCCCCTAGTAGCGACCCGCTTTCTTCGTCTTCGTCGGAACCAAAGAGCAAACGCGTTGACGATTCTTCTGTTGGAGAGACAACTGGATTCATATTCACGACCGCAACTGCCCTGGAAATGGGTGGAGGAAGAAACTGCTCCGCTTCGTCCTCATGACTGTTACGACCTTCGTCATCTACCGTGAACGTGCCTTCCTGCGCATCATGCGCTTCTGCTTCCTCGTAGATCTTCATAGAATTGGTGGATGCAGAAACATCTTCACGATCGTCCTGTCCATCAGAATCTTGCACCTCTTTCCGTTCGTGGTTATGCAAGCTCGCGGAAATAAAACGTGACCCCGCCGCCGAACCATGAGCATGACAACCGTTTTTACTAGACGCACTCGCGGAAAACGAGCGGCTCATTTCCTTGTGGAACCGCCAGTGTGTTGAGAAGGAGCACGTTGGGGTCGAACAGGACCGTGCGTGCTGATGCGTGTTCCTGCTCTTTCGACTCGTAGTAGCAGCACGTGCCTCGCTTGGAAGATGAGACAGATGCTTTTTGTTTTCCGTCTCCGCACCCGAGCGGTGCTTCGCAGGTCCCATGATTGCCTTCCTCTGGTCACTCCTGACGCTCCTTCGTTCGTGAATCCCCGCACCCACCTCTTTTGCTTCTGCCTCTGCACCAAGATTATCATCTTCTACCGATGACGTGCTCGTTGAGGTTGACGAGGACGTGGCCTCGTTCACTTCCTCCGCTGACATCAAACTCGTGGGCCGAGTCGTAATTTTCGGCGCTTCATCACGATCGGAAGGAGGTGCATGCTCTCCGCTTTGTAGTGTTTTTTTACCACCATCGAACGTGGTACGACAACTGCCAGCGCGGTTCTGAATCTGGTGGTCTTGCTGCAGTTCTCGACGATTTCGTCCAGAGTCATTACGATTTCGCTCAGCACTGGCAATCTTCTCGGAATCATGAACTTGTTCCCCAACGACTTCGAATTTTTTGTGTAGCTTCTTCCTATCCTGTGCTGATCCTGATCCTCCCGCAGCTTCCTCGCATGGTAACACGGTTTTGTTTTGCGTCTTCCTTCCGTCGTCCGACCGGACGACAATCCCAAGCACATGCTCTCGCTCGCTCTCCGTTAGAAATGCCGGGTAAGGTGGCGGGGGATAGACGTCATAATTTTTCGAGGAGCAAAAAGACAGCGAAAAATTATAGGCCTGTGTGTCTCTGCTCTTGTCGTGTTCTGGCAAGGCTGGAGTAAAACGCGGCTCGCTTTCTTCTTCCCCCGGAAGGCGGACTCGGCTTACGTTGTAGCGTCCCTGAGCGTCACCGATTATGTCCAGGTCAGGTTCATTTGCCGGTGATACAAGGTCGGCTTCTCCCACAACACCAGCAGTAGAATTAGAATACGTTGTTGCTTTCCTCGCCAAAACGTAGTGCCATAATCCACATTCAGGCCGGAAGATTAGCAAACCAGCTACAAACGGTGCACAGAAGCGAGTATGATACATCAAGAGACGACGATCGAATGTAAGTTTCATCTTCATCATCCTGACTTGAGTAGTAACGATTGATTACCGATTATCTGCTGACTACAGATCAAAGTGCGGGAGAGAATGCGTCAGTAAATCCAAGTATTTTATTTGTACGACGCGGAAATGTAGTTGCAGCGCTAGTCAGACGAGACAGAGGTCACGAGTCGCCCTTGTCGGAACGGACAATCAAATCTAAGCTTTACCGTGCGCGAGCTAATAATTCTCCACCCACTTTGCCAAGCACCCAAAACGATGACTGTAGCTGAGTACCTGTTACGGCAAAACATCAATTACTTCGAAATAGAACAAAGAAAACTAACATCGGCATTCTTCGTATGTTGAATCGCCATTAAGACGCCGCTTCACAGACCCGCAACTGCGAGCGTTTTCTATTTTCTATCAATCCAAAGAAGACAGCATAATTGAGTTTCGATTGAGAACTTCAATTCACACTTGAATCCACTCTGGCATCTACAAAAATTCAATCGAAATACCAGCTCAACATCTTCGTTGTAGTGCCAGTTGTTACAACTAGAGGTGAAAATCATATGCATGCTTCAAGCTTTGACAGAAATCCACACATCACCCATTTTTGCCTTCAACAGCAGCCGGTCTCATCTTCATCACCCTTTACTTCGGTTTGCCTTTTCCCTTGCTGGCTGCTCGCAAGAAACCCAAGCTGCAGCTCTGTATCGTTCTTCGGGGGCGGTCCGTTCTTCACTGGAAGCTGAGGCCCGTTCGTCCTCGGGTCGTACGTCACGTTCGAAATTGGACTCCACGTGAAGGGCTCCGGCGTGCTAGGGTTGGTGGCGGTGGGGGGGACGGGGAGGGGTAAGATCTTCTCGATCTTATTGTTAGGCGCGCTTTCGACGTTCTTCGGGTTCTCATCGAGAGACGCAACGCTGTTCGAGGGTTCGGTCAATGGCTGCCCCGTCGTCGGACGACTGGTCAAGGCTTTAATCAATTGCTTTTGTTCTTCCCCCGCCGGTGCTCCCGTCGAGGTCGTTTTGTTCGCTGTCTGCTCCACAGGCAGCACGCTGGTCGATTTTTCGTCTGCCGCAGTTACTGGCGGTGCCTCGGAGGCAGTAGTTGATGCTGGCGCCGACGTAGTATTTGGTTCTGGATTTGGTTCCTGTGTGGATGACAACGAAGTTGTTGGTGGAGCCTCTGTCGTAGATGATGACGAAGTTGTCGGCGGAGCCTCTGTCGTAGATGATGACGAAGTTGTTGCTGGGGCCTCTGTCGTAGATGATGACGAAGTTGTCGGTGGAGCGTCTGTCGTAGATGATGGCGAAGTTGTTGGTGGAGCGTCTGTCGTAGATGATGACGAAGTTGTTGGTGGGGCCTCTGTCGTAGATGATGACGAAGTTGTTGGTGGGATCTGCGTTGTCGATAAAGTCGCTGGCAGGGCCTGCGTCGTAGGTGTAGATGTTGCTGGGGCCTGCGTTGCAGATAGGGTTGCTGGTGGAGCCTGCGTTGTAGATGAAGTCGCTGGCAGGGCCCGCGTCGTTGTAGATGCAGCTGTTGCTGGAGCCTGCGCTGTAGATGAAGTCGTTGATGACGGGGCCTGCGTAGTAGTTCTAGATGCAGCTGTAGAAGTAGAGGTCGTCGTCGAAGTAGTTGTGAGCTTTTCACACTTGTCGCCGTTCAAGGAGAACCCGTCGTGGCACGGCCCTGCACATTTCGCCTCACCCTGATCCGGACAGTCCTTCCCCGTCGCGCCGACACCATTTGCACAGATGCAAGTCTTGCTCTCACACACCGTGCCTCGCAAGTAGTACCCCTCATCACATGGCGCCACACACTTATCCGCAAAGGGCGTCGGACAGTCCGTCCCCTTCGCCGGGGTTCCATCCGTGCAGCGGCACCTGTTCAAACGGCAAACCCATGGGTTTTCGGCATCCGGGTGGTAACCAGGATCGCAGGACCTGCACCTATAATCGCTATGATTGGGACACGAAAAGCCAGTCGCCCCCTCACCGTTCGCGCAGCGGCATTCCTTGAGTTCGCAACCGTCGTCGTCGGTTTGGTAGTAGCCAAACCGCGAGCAACTAGTGCACTTGACTGTAGATCCGTCTGCGTCACATTCCTCCCCCGTAGCGTGCGTACCGTGATCGCAGCGACATTTGTTGATCTCACATACAGTTTGTTCTCCGTCCGTGGTGGTATTCGTGTGGTACCCTGTGTGGCACTCCCCGGCAACGCAACCAATCGTGACGTGATGCTCGTGGCACGCCGCTGCATCGATAAGCGGCGTGCCATGTGGGCACCTGCACGTGTTGGCGACACAAGTGGTGCCATTCAAGTGGTATCCAGCAGTAGGGCACGACACACACTGCTCGGCACCGTCAGTTGTACATGCGGCCCCGGTCGCGCCATCCCCATGCTCGCAAGTGCACTTTTTCAGCCTGCAAGTTTTGCTTTTGTTCGCAGAATCTAAAACATATCCGTCTTGATCGCGGCACGACGTGCAACTAACCGCCCCGTTTGTTGGGCAGTCGTGCCCTGTTGCGAAATCTCCGCCCGGACAGGCACAGGTTTTGATTTCGCACTTGCTTCCGTTCAAAAAGTAGCCGCCTTCGCACGGCTCCACACACTGTGCCTCACCGTGCTTCGGACAGTCTGTTCCTGTCGCGCCATCCCCATGCTCGCAAGTGCACTTTTTCAGCCCGCAAGTTTTGTTCGCTGAATTCAAGACATATCCGTCTTGATCGCGGCATGAAGTGCAACTAACCGTCCCATTTGTTGGGCAGTCGCGCCCCGTTGCGAAATCTCCACCCGGACAGACGCACGCTTTTAGGTCGCACTTGGCTCCGTTCAAGAAGTAGCCCTCTTCGCATGGCTCTACACACTGCGCCTCGCCGTGCTTCAGACAGTTTATTCCCATCGCGCCATCCCCATGCGCGCAAGTGCATTCTTTCAGCCCGCAAGTTTTGTTCGCTGCATGTAACACATATCCGTCTTGATCGCGGCACGAAGTGCAACTAACCGCCCCGTTTGTTGGGCAGTCGCGCCCTGTTGCGAAATCTCCACCCGGACAGACACACGCTTTTAGATCGCACTTGGCTCCGTTCAACCAGTAGCCGTTGTCGCATGGCCCTACACACTGTGCCTGACCATGAATCAGGCAGCCAGCACCGGTCGCGGCGGCACCATTTGCACAGGTGCACACCTTAGTTTCACACGTTCCTGTTATTGCATTCAGGTAGTACCCCGCATCAGGCTCACAGGCTACACACTTCGGCGCGTTGTGCTCGGGGCACTCAATTCCAGTCGCTCCCTCTCCGTTCGAGCAGGTGCATACTTTGATGTCACAGGTTGCTGCGCCTGCGTCACTATTGAGGTAATAACCATCGCCGGCTGCGCATGATGCGCATTTCTGCGTTTCGTGGACGAGACAATCAATGCCGGTCGCCCCATCGCCATTCACACAGGTACACTTGTTTTCTATGCACCGATCGTCCGACTCGGTGTGGTATCCCGGGTCGCACATCCCCGCGGCGCACCCCGGTGTGATTTCGTGGCTCTCGCACTTCGAAGGGTCCGTCAAGGGCTCGCCGAAGTCGCACTTGCACGTGTTGGCGGTACACTCCCGCCCGTCGGCGTCCGTGTTGTGATACCCCGACCTGCAGCTAGCGACCTTGCATCCGACCGTGGATCCGTCTGCGGCGCATCCAATGCCTCCCGTCGGCGTTCCGTTGTCGCACCTGCAGAGGTTGAGCGCACACATGTCGTTCTCGTCCAAGTGGTAGCCGTTGTTGCACGGTGCCACGCACTTCATCACATAGCTCTCCGGGCAGTCCTGTTCCCGCGCACCAGACCCGTGCGCACAGCCGCAGACCTTGGGCACGCAGTTTTCGGTCCAGTCCGGCGCGTTCGAAAAGCCGTCTTTGCAGGCCCCCGCCACACACCCGACCGTGTCGTCGGTCGGCGCGCACCCGAGGCCACGTTTCTCCTGACCGTGCTCGCAAACGCACGTGTTTTCCTGACACACACCCCCCTCCGGACGGGAGCCCGGGGCGCAGGTGATCGAGGCCTTGGACGTCGTGGTAGTTGTCGTCGTTGCGACCGGGGGAGCCGGTGATGCCTCGTCCTCAAAATTCATTCCCGGAACCAGGTTACTGTCCCTGCAGGCGTGTTCCACGGCGATTATCAAGCCTTGAAAGTAGTAGACCCGAAGGAAGAACCCTAGAAAGTAAGAAGATGGGGATGATGCGCGCTCGCGGTCGCGCTCAACAAGTCGAAGTCTGCACTGCGCCGCATGAGTAAAACCGGTCGTTTCTCCTTCATAAAGCTAAATGAAAACGAAAAGAAAGCGCCAGTGCAAAGAAATGCAAATCTGCATTTTTAGGACGGCCACTACATACATACTCATAATACACAGAAACAAGCGCATCTTCTAAATTCTGGGGACAACTTCAGGGTACTTCTTGTTCACACTGTGATAGCGTTGACCTGTTCCTCCGACCAATTTGACGACCCGCCCATATACTTCATGTAGAAATTACGCCAGAAGGACGACATACCTCCCAACAATTTGCTCCCGTGCCTGAAACAGAGGTCCTCGAGCGAATTCAGCAGCTCATCAATCTTCGGCTCCTTGACATAGCGCAACAACGAGATGTCCTCCTCCCCAGGTGCAAGCTCGGCCGAAGCAAACACCTCTGTCACATTGCTCCACCGCACGTGGCAGGTGCCGTCGCAAATGCGGCCGTCTGCGGGAAAAAAATCGTCCCAGCACTCGTCGGGAAAGTAAAACGCACGGCCGTTCTTCGGGTCCTTCATGTGGTCGCACGGATTGGAAGTGTGCACGGTTTGGCCGCTGGAGGTTTCGACGATGCGGCAAATGGCACTCGCGTACCTTTCTAGCCGGTCCCGCTTCGCCACGCAGTCCGCGAAGTCGTCGCAGCCGAAGGTCCGCGTGGTCGTGGTGGTGGTGGTGGTGGGGCTGAACACCTGGTGTACATCGAGCTTCCTGCACGCAATCACGGACACGCACGTCAGCCCGACGTTCCTCCAGTTCTTCTCGCCGTGCCGGCCAAGCCAGTGGTGGCCGGTCATGATCCGGTACGTTTTACCCTTCTGGAACACGGTCGCATTTTCGGGGGAGAAATTCCTTTCTCGAATAAAGTGCAAGTCCGACCCGAAGGGACCCTCGTCCTCGGAGTCGTGAGAGTGGTCCTCGTCCCCCTCGTCTGGTACCATGATCATGGAACGCACACGCTGGAGTTCATTCTGCTCCACCGCCGCCATCGCGTGGCCGAATTCCGTCGCTTCCCCGGGCACGGTCGCGAGTTGGCTGGCCGCGCGGTATTTTGTAGGGTCCGTATCCGCCGTTGCAGTAGTTCCCGCGTGTCGAACACTGTAGTCCTGCATTGCTTGTTTCGAGGCGGCGAAAGGCGCGACAGCGTTGTCGTCTTCGTCCAGCAGGAAAACACCAGACGGGATGGTGGTGCTGTTTTTAATGTTGGCGAACTCGTTACTACTAGAAGTAGTGATGGCTGATCCGCCCGCCCACATGTCTGGCGTGTCGCAGTGGTAGTAGTCGTCGTCCTCGTCCTGCATCTCCTCGTTTTTGCGGCAGATGAACTCGAACCCCCCGCTGCGGTAGCGTAGCGTGATTTGCGACACGTCGCCGAGCGACTCGGGAATCGTGAACTTCCCGGTCACGGTTTCGTACGGCGGGCCGTAGCCGCCAAAGCAAACCGGCGCGGAGTAGGCGTCGATGAAATCTTCGGGGATTCGCTTCTTGGTCTTGAAGCCGTAGAGGTAGGGGTCCCGCTCCGGGTTGATGTCGTAGTACCAGTCGGGCCTTTTGTCCTCGTTCGTTTTCTCCGACTCCCCATGGATGATCACACCGGCCTCCAACCGGGGTTCTCCGTTGTTGCTGAAGTACCGAAATTTGTCCGCCCCGTACTTGCAGGGGTCGGGCAGGTCGAACGTGGGCATCCAGCGCAGGTCGGAGTCACGGGGAACGCCGTGGAAAAGCGCGTCGTCGTGACGCAGCCAGGGCTTTGCTTTTGGGGGGCTGTAGTTTCGATAAGCTGCGGGCACCGGCGGAAGTTCTGCGGGATTTTCGGGACTTGGTAGCCCGTTGGTGGAGGCAGCGCGACGAGTTAACTTCTCCTCCAGGTTTTCGTTTTCACCAATAGTGTGGTGGCTTTTCTGTAGGAAATTCGTGCTGTCTGCGGAGTAACGATTAAAATTTTTCGCCCGGTCAAGGTCATATGCTCGGCCTGCTCGTCCTTTTTGTTCAATAAAACTGCGTCGTGAGGATTCCGACCTTTCCAGATGAAAATTCAAAAATTCGTTCTTTTCCTTGATAACTACTTCTCGCGCTGCTGACAGCTTTGGCGGAACCCGTTGATGACCATGATCTGTCGCACGACTCTTGTTCGGCGTTTTAGCTTCGGCACGAGGACGCGCGTTAAGAACTGTGTCAGTCGCGAATTTCTCCGTATACGATCTGGCAGGTACTTTCCCTGCTTTCCGAGCGGCGTTCGCGAGGAAAGCGAAAGGCTGATGCGTCGAATCTTTTGTTTTGAGATACTGTCGTTCCAATCTTTTGCGTTGGCGAGGTCCACGGTCCCTGCTCCCATCTCCAAGCCTGCTCAAAACGACAGGGGAAAACCCTTGCACCACCACAAAAATCAAATACATTACCATAGCCGAGATACGGGAAGCTGCGGAAGGAGACGAAGAGTTTCCTACAATGGAAACCATCGCTTTTTTTTGCGCAAAACAGGAAAGGCGAGGAACAAAAATTCAGCGTCTTTTACGGCAATATACAGGGTGTAATTGAGATTATCTTTATGGAAGCACAACTGCTAAAGATAAAGAGAGTTCTCGCCGTTCCAACACTTTTTTTACCAAGCAGAAAGGTGTTTGAGCCTGGAACTCCTTACCAGGGAGGTGGAAGAACCTGTTCGCTAGTTTCCCAATATTCAACTTCAAACACGGAAAATCACACGAAAAACCAAGATTCGAAACTACGAAAAGGTAAGCCGGTCACGAAACCAACAAATCACAGTATGCATTTCCAAGATTACGTCTGACATTGCACGAAAAAAAATGAACTTCTGCACGCAAAGATGACGACGAAGACGTTGAACGAAAGGCCTACCCAAATGCGCTGGACGAGTTTGAGTCGAAAGTTTGTAAAGATCTGACGATGTTTCGAAGCAGATGCGTCTGGGACTTTTTTGTTCACTAAACCATGAAGCACGAAAAAAGCGTCAGCACAGTGCGATTTTAGCCTTACGGCACGAGCAGAGCGATCCGATGATAATGCGCGGGGTATGAATCTTGCCTTTAAACGACGAAGAACGCGGTTCCTAGTGGAAGAGCACCAAAGACAAAGTGCTGAGCCCTGAGCGAACGATCATGCAGCGCAGTTTTGTGAATTCTCGTAAGTAACGAAACTCATGTGCATATGATCCGCGTGGGGGGTGGCGTTTGCGTCAAGAATTAGAACTCCATGTTCGTGTACTTCCATGGCGCCGCAGGCAAAACAGCTGTTTCTGACTGTACCGCAGTAAGTAATTTAAATCTGTGGATGTCGCGCTCGCGTAGTTGCTTATTAAAGAGTACTACTATTCTGGCCATCTAAACATCAATTCCCTACCCGCTAGCAAGCAAAATGGCACTAGCGGCGCCGCTAGGACAAGGGCCAGCGTCCACTTGTTGGAAGTTTGAGAGACTTTGGATTTTGTGCCATTTGCACTGCTCTTTTTCCCACGCGACGAAGTGCCCCCTCCGTCGGTTGACAAGTAAACGTAAAAGCAGTACTGCAGGATTCCGATGTAAAGGATATCGATCAGAACTGCCGTCACAAACCAGCTCACCAGAAGGTACAGGGAGAAAGCGCATACTAGAAAAAGCAAAGGCCGGAGCACGTAGAGTACAAATTGCGCAAACAAAACGTCCTCGGCACGTCGGTTCTTTTTCCGTCTGTTCTGCGGGGCAGAAGGTGCAGGCGGCTTTTTCGTCGTCGTGCCACCTCCATTGATAATTGCCTGCAGCGGTTTTGCTGGCAAGTAATGCTCAGTCAAGCGGGATAGTAGGCTCAGGTTGTTCGTCGTTTCTATTACGAATTCGTCATGTAACGTGGTGGAAGCTGATGTTGCAGGTCGCGGGAATTGGCTCCCGTCTGGTGGGCCTGACGAAGGATCTTCCACTGGTGTGGGCATCGTCGCTGTTTTTGTAGCCAGGGTCGTGCTTGCTGCGCCCCTGTTCCTTGTGGTCACATCCTTTACAAAAAAGTCGACCACTGACTCTGGGCAGTGGTTGTTGATTCCGTAACAGAGAAAGACCGACAGCACGCCGTGGAGGGCCATGCGAGAGAGAAAAATTTTGTTCTTCCGATGAATCTTGTCCCGGTCGCCTGGTGCGGACGACCGTTTCCTACTTGTCGGAGCAGGACCCCTCGATGACGTTGCTGTGCCTTCATCATCTGCACCAAAGAGGTACAGGTTGGTCGCCAAGTTGTCCAGTGCTCCTGGCCGGTTTGCGAGCATTTGGCTGATTCTGGCACAAAGGTGTGCTGGACCAGACTGCTGATTGCTCTGATTCGTCGAGGCGGGAGACAGGCCGCTATTGATGTTCCCACCTGTAGTTGTACAACTCTCGCTCAAAATTCTGGTCAGCTTCGCCACCGTGGTCCGCTGAATCCTCTCCTGTCGCGCGGCGCGGGCGAGCTCGCACTGGACATTCGCAACGGCAGCAACAGCTGTGTTTGCCGATGTCGTCGCTTGCAGTGTTTTAGCGGAGTCGCTTGCTTGGCCCTCTTGTTCGTCGTGCGAAACGTTCATACTGTTCGCGTCCCCAGTAAGCACCTGCCGTCTTGCCTCGCGCGCGCTCGCGAAATTCACTTGGACCGGCTTCACGCGTAACCCCAACACTCGCTTCAGCAGCAATCGCACGAACAAGTCCCGCCACAGAAGCAGTTTCACGTCGGCGTGACAAGTCGGGTCGGTATCCGTGAACAGCTGGATCAAACCGCAGAGCAACCGGTCGAGCTGCAAAAAGACAGCAGCACTCTTCGCGAAACTGGCGGTAGCAGCAAGAAGCGTCGCGACGGCCATTGGAGAAGCCTGCAGCAGCGGCAAAGCTCTCCTACTTAGAGCTTTTTCCGCAGCAGGTTGCGCCGTTGCAGTTTCTCTTGACGCAACTGCGAGACTAGTTCTTTTCCGAACAATTTTTCTTCGAAGCTTCTCGCGCTGCCGCAGAGCAGCGTCGTCGACAAGGTCGCGTTGCCGCCTCACTTCGTTCACTATGCTCCTCCCGAAACTCGTGTCAACTCGCAGCATCTCCTTGCACAGCGAGCAAAAGGGCAGCGTGAGCCGCGCCATTGCGAAAGCGCAGGCAAAACAGAAAGGCCCGTGAAGGCACGAGGGTGTTGGCCTATTTGTATGTGCGTCTGCAGCTTTTGTGTCGGATATATCGGAATCTGCCTCACCACCACCTACGAAAGATCCTCGTCTTGGTTCCTGCACTACCGGGTCACCAAAATACATGTTCCGCGCCACGTACCCGTGGTTGCTCCAAGCGCGCCGACGATCTGTTATATCGAGGTTTCCAGCAGATGACGGCACAACACCTGCTGAAACCTGGTCAGTCTCATCACCAGAACGAGGCGCGCTTATCTCAGAAGACAAATCAAATGAGCGCACTCTCCGGACCTTGAGCACCTCAGAAAGTAGACTTTCATCGTCCTCGTCGTCGCCCACGCTAAAGAAAAAATCTTCGTCGTCGCTGTCTGTCGCCAGGAGAATCCGTTGTCGCCTTACTTGCTCCGCGATTTGCTTCTTCCTCGCCGCCCTTGGTGATAGATCAACATCATCTGCGTCGCCTACAACTTTATCACTTTTCCCCCCCTTGCTCCCTGAACAACTTCCGCTTCCTTCAACATCTGGCTCCAGTTCTACGCCAAATCTGTAGCAGCACCGGCTGCAGGTAAAATTGACCTCCTCCTTTTTCGTAGGCCTCAGCTCCTGCATGCCCACTGCTAAAAGCCGTGTGGCGCGCGCTCTCTCGTCTTCGAGGATTTTCCTTCTGCTGTACTTGCTGGTGGGCGGTTGCGCGGTCCCTGCCGACGAAGAAGCCGAGGACGCGGAGGAGGCGCCAGTCGTCCTGGACGTCGCTAGTGTCGTGGTATTGTCAACGGCGTCGGAGGCGGCGGTGGTTGCCGCTATTGATGCGGTGGCACTCTCCACCAGAGGCTCAACATTTTCAAGTCGCGGTTCTTCTGTCTCCACGATATTGTCGTCCTCTTCCTCCTCCTCCTCGTCGCTGGAAAGAACTGGCGGAGTTTCACACTCCGAAAAGAGCTCAAACTCATCCGGCACAAAGAACATCTTCTCCTCGCAGTTTTACGCGTTAGTTGCGTTGCTCGATTACGATTCAACCTCACGCTGCGGTCGTTATATTTCCGCACTGGATGTAGAGCGAGGAACCCGGGGGCGGTAAGAGGTGAAGTTCTATATGCACCTCCTGCTTAATGGTTTGTCGTACTTTACTCAGGCTAAGTAGTCATCTCCCCCGGGCGCTTCCGGCAATTGCGGATCCATTCGTCGACGAGTTTTTGCAACACACCCTCACATCCAGGCGTTACCAGCAAATAATCTTTCCGTGAGCCGTCGACGATGTACTCACTGCTGAGGTTGCGCTTCAGGTAGATCAGGGTGGGGAGGTCGGTCTGAACCATGATGGCTTCCACTTCGTCGATGCCCGGACCGATGGGCGCGCTTTGGTGTGGGTTCTGCCGCTTCAACGAAGTCTGCGGGTTCAGGAGCGCGCCAGGAGGATCTTGGTGGTGGAACCCAGACATTTATTCCGCTTTCAAAATTCGACGACGAGGGGCAGACAATTTCAAAATTTTCGCCAGTAGAGGTGCGCGGCTAGATTGTGGGTATGTATTATGCAGCACGTCCACGTACGAAAAGACTATTTGTGTATAATAAATTCGAAAGTGAAAAAATCAGTAAATCAGATCCGGCTTGTGTAGAACCAGTAGAGCCAAATTGCGTGAGTGTCCACGTAGATCTGCAGAAAGTAGAAAAAACGGCACCGTCGCTGGTAGAAGAAATTTAAAGTGAAATAGACCGTCAAAAATCAATCGAAGAAAAAAGCGCCCAGAGCGCGCTCTTGCATAGAATGGTGGATCGATGGCGCATCTGGTCGTGATCCATCCTTAATCACAAAAACGCGACCTGCTCATGTCATTTTTCGACAAGTAAAAAGCAGACGCTTCATCTTCGGGTTAACATTCTCGTAGGATGTCGGGCTACTCCTGCGTTCGCCTTTATCAAACCGGTGTCTTTATGTGTCGGTCCATGTAAGTAGTCCACCTCTTTCATATGCGTTCGCATTCTTATGCTCTTTAGATATGTTTCACAGCTCTTCCTCCTGCCCCTGCCCGGAGGACGTTTTCTTCACTCGTCCGTCTTTTCTCGCCGTCGCCACTGACCCTGTCACACGACCACCCGCAGTTTGTTGACCGGTGGTAGCTATCAAGCCCTTGTTCCCTGTGTAATGCTCCGTATCCTGTGCAAAAGTATCGTACTCGTACTAATTGCAGATATGCATGACAAATGAAATCCAATTTTCTACCTGAAATAGCATGACAAATTGCATTTTTGTTCTTGGAAAAATTTGTAATGCAATTTATACTAATACGATAGTTTTGCAATGCATACTCCGGGTCCTGCAGCAACACGTAGGCAACTGCGGTCCACCCAGTGAACGGGATCGCCCCAGTGCCCTCGCCGGTGATCGGATCGTAGTTTTCGTGGAAATTTCCGGACTTTTCAAAGTTCCTCTCGATATTTTTCAGGAAATTTGTTCGCAGCGTAGCCCCGGCGTCCGGCGATTTCCCGTCGGAATTGAAAAGGTCAAAATGACTGCGTGTGGAGGTGCTGGGCCTCGTCGTGTTTGCTTGTTCCTCTCCAGGTTCTTTCGAGGAAAAGGAGCTGCTTTTGAGGATCGTGAGCAGATTCAGGTTGGCCCAAATTTTCCCGCGCCAGTAATTCTCCCCCTTGCCCGCCAGCGCGTCAGACTTGGCCAACGATCGGATTCCGTACTTGGTCACGAGCTCGGCCTTTACTTTCTTCCCGACCGCCCCACTAGTCTTTTCGATCATCTGACGACTGAAAGGCGAGGAGAGGGCACTACTTTGATGTTCCTCGTTTATTCCGGAACTATCATCAGCTTCCCCGCCGAAAACAACCTCGGGGAACATAAACGGCAGTAGATTCACGTAGCCGAAGTGCGGACTGTGAATTTTCTTGAGATTGTCCTTGTACTCTTTCCTCTTTTCCAAAGGCTTCTCGTACTTCACGCACTGCGGACAGTTGCAGTAGTCGGGACTGGCGCCGCACCAGCCGGACGGGCTGCAACACTCGCCCACCGGGCACTCCACCCCCGCTCGGGGGTTGCACTGCCCATTTCCATTCAGCCACGGCGGGGTCGTGATCGGCCGATTCTTCTTGTCGTGCGGCTGCTTCCCGACGAAATCGGCGAATAGGTGCGATTTTTCATCGAAGTGGTTGTTTTTCAAAGCAGAGCGAAGGTACTGCAGCATCAGGTCGTAGTCCAAGGGTCCTCCCGGTGCTATTACTACATCGTCAGCAGTTCTACTGGCGCTGGGACTTCTGGCAACGCCGCTGACTCTATTATTTCGTGGGCAGAAAGACTGCCAACTATTTCTTCCATCAGGAGCTGCATCCTCCGCCACTTGGATTTGCACATGGCCTGTGACAGCATCAGCAGTCGCGCTCAGCAAACCGCAGATCTCGCGCATGCTGTAGACGAGCACCATGAACCAGAGGTGGTTGTCCAGGTGGCACTCGTCGTTTTTGTTCACAAACATGCCCCGGGGGTAGTCGTCCAAGCCGGAAGACAAAACGTGTTTCTCATCCTTCCGGTCCTTCCAGCGGTAGCAGGTGAATTCGTCAATTTTGAAGGTCTTCTCCATAACGCGGGTGTCTTTTACGAGAGAAAACGGGTTGGTCGTGAGCAAGTACTGCAGAACGTTCGTCAGAGACGCCTCTCCGTCGTTCGGCAGCTGCTGGTTTCGGGGGATTTTTGAAACGTTCTCCTGCGTCAAGTGCCACTGCTCGAGCCACTTCGCAATGTGCGGGGTGATTCTGCGGAGGAACAGGATGAACTGTTTCTGGGTGAAAGGCAATTCTGATTTTGCTTCGTCTTTCTTTTTCTGCTCCGGCTCTGGGGGATGCCCATTCAAAGTTTCGCCCTTCAAGATTGTCTTCTCCCGCTTGAATTTTTGCAGCAGTCTCAAGACGCCCAACAGCAACGTCGGCGGGTTCATCACGCCGTATTCTTGCCCCAGAAACTGCTCCGGCACGAAGGATTCGCTTTCCTTCCCGAGCGGGATTTCCCGCGGGATCCAGCCGCTCTTCGGGTCCTGCAGGGAAAACCAACTGAAAACAATCTCGTAAAACAGCTCCACGTCCCACTCGAGGAACACGAGTAAGTGGAACCCCTCGTCCCACAGGAACCCCCGCGGGAACATCGCGCGTGCCGGAGTGCCGGTCTTAAGATGAAAAATGTCCTTCGTTCGGTACTTCTTCCCCTCGGCGTCTTTGAGGAGAAGATTGCCGGCGAACTGTCCAATGCCGCCCAGCAAACTGGCGACTGCGGACTCCAGGGTGTGTTGATTCTTGCTTCTACTAGTAGACGTTTCTGCGGCAGCTCTTTTCCCAAAGGTATTCGCGACTTTGGTGGAAAATTTTTCCTCCTCGGCCGCAAGCAATTTTTCAGTGGATAGCTGTTGTACTCCCCCAGACGAAACGGAAGTAGCGTCCGACGTCGATGTTCCTGTTTCTGACTGTATTTCAAAGCTCTGACGTGGATAATTTTTCTCGCCACCGGCACCGCTCGATGTTGTGTTCGCGGAAAAATTCAGAGGGATCCGCAGCGCAATCCAGGAGGCAGAGAGTCCGTCTTCGAGTTGGTCTTTTGCGTCAGGCTGCTTTCCGCCGTTCCTCTTCTGCTCTGCCTTTTTTCTCTTCTTGCAATCTTTCCAGACGTTCGGAAAGTCGAAATACAAACTCTTCGTTGCCTTCGTATCATCTCCGGACTGTATGGCGCAAACTTCCTTTTGCTTGTTCGCTTCTGCCGATGTGACGGAAAAGACACTCTGCGGAACTTTCGTACTATCGTTGCCTCCCGTACCTTCGGCAGAGAGGGCAAACACCTCATCATCTGCACGCTCCGTGGCCGGAAGGGGTGCTGCACTTTCAGTTTTCTTGTCATCAGCATCACGATCATCTCCTTTCTTCACATGAAACGCCACAGTTTCATTCGTGGTTTGCCCATCCCCGGTGGTGCTGTACCAATAAAAAAACACATCGGATAAGGCTCCCGCTGCTGAGTTTTTGCTCTTCTTGGAAGTACTAGACTTTTTCCCCGCCGCAACTCCACCATCTGCACTTATATCCCAAACGTCTACTACCACTCGGAAGCTTGGCTGGCCCTGATTTCTGTTCGAAACACCCGAGACAAACCGAATCTTGAATTCCAGCTGCAGAGCCGTGTCGAAAATCACCTGCTCTCCGTAGTTGGCCCCGTTGTGCTTGGTCCAGCGAAATTGAACCTCCGAATAAGGAGCCGAGACTGTGTGGTGGCGGTACAGCATGTTTTTCTCCTTTTCCGACTTCTTGCCGCGCCAGGCGAGGCCAAAGTGCAAAATGGATGCGGTGGTGGGGAGCATGGACGTTGTGCCAGAGGACCCAGCAGATGCAGACGTAGACTCTTCTCCTCTATAAAAATTTTCTACCGCAGCATCAGGTTCATTCGCTGTTGACGCGGATCCACCACCAGTTCCCGATTGTGACAACGCCAGTGAAAAGTAAGTTCCTGGCCGCGTTGTTTGCCACGAAGCCTGAGAGGCACGGTACTCGGCGGAAAATGGAAATTCCACTGTTTTCCTCGTCGCAGCCCCAGAAGAAAGTGACGGAAACACTGGCTCCGTCGCGGTTCGCTGAATTGCTGGCCTCGTGGTCGCTGTGTGCTGGCCGAAAACATTGCTCCCGGTTTCCGGTGAAAAGAGCCCGAAACCACCAAACAATGCGGTGCCATGAAGTAGCAAAGAGAAGCTCATCGTGCACGCAAGCACGATGGTAAAAATTCGGCTCGCATTGACTGCGGGGCTGCTAGGCCTGCCAAAATGCAGCCAAGCGAGAATGGACTCCAGCATTGTCGTCGTCGTCACAAAAATCTACTGCAAGCACGGTATTATAGTTCATACATCTTCAATGAGAAACGGGATCACGTCGAATTTTCCATGTTCTTGCACATCAGAGTTAATACGGAAGTACTTTCGACTACGACTGCATGCAACATACTAATACTAAACTGGAGACAAACATATGCTTCTGCGCTCCGCTGCTGCATTGCGAATTGGAACAAAGAGGTTTTTATTCACCAACGAGCAGTCGGCCGCTACGTACTGTGCAAAAGCAAAGCAAGTCCCCATTTCATTTTCGTAGATCTAGAGAGCTCTCAGTTTGAATAACGACAGAAAGCAGGATAAAACACATCCAATGACAATTTGGGTTCGAATCTCAACAAGAGCGATTGCGATAGGGAAACGCCCGAAATAGCGTGTAGCAAATTTGCGCAACCGCGGACCACGAGGGCGAAAGGCCGTCGCAGCGAGCCTTGCTAGTCCGTCACCGAAGTTTGCGGCACGCAACAAGCCCGCCGCCGGTACTAAGGCGTAGACTGACAACGAAAAGGAGAGGCAACGAACCAACCGCGCACCCCCGGCCCTCGCCCCAGCCAAGAAAAAAGCGGTCGGCGCGGGGCTGCCTGGGGCCGATTTGTGGCGGGCCGGCGTTGCTTTGGCTGGCCGAGCCCATTCATTGGGGCGCCGGGCCGCCAAGGTAAGAAGGCGGGCCGGCGCGCGGGGCGGGCAGGAAGACCGGCCGGCCTGGGTCCCTCCACCCAGAGTAAAGGGGGCCCTGCCTGGAAACCGCGCGCGGGCCCACCTGGGAAACAGGGCGCCGGGCGAGTCTCGCCGGCCGCGCGCGCCACCGGCCCCACCCTTTCGGCAACAAGGCTCCCGGGGCCTTGGCGCCGCGATTGCGGGGAGAACGAAGGCAGGAGGGCGCACCCGCAGAAACAAATGGCGGCGCTGATGCGAGAGACGGGCCCCTCCGGTCCTCATATCTCTGCCGCTTCCGCCGGCGCGCCTCGGTCGTGTTCGAGCGGCAACGCGATGGCCACCTCCGGCCCCGCTTCATCCTCGCGCGCCCTTCTGTCCGAGGGGCCGCCGAGGTAGGGCCGCCTGCGGCCTTCCAAGGGGGCCAGGACCTGTAGGAGCGGTAGGGCGCCGCCGGCCCCGGGGCGGTGCGCCGCGCGGGGCCGGCCCGGCCCGGCCCATCGCAGAAGGGCGCGCGCGCCGCGCGCAACCAATGTTCCAGCCCTACGGCGCCAGCAGGGGGGCCGGGCCCGCGGGCCCGCCCACACTTGCCAGCAGCAGCGGAGCGGGGGGATTCGGGCGGGCCCGCCTGGAGCTCTCGGGCTGGGCCCTGCCCGATTTCTTGTTTCCTGCCCTCCCCATCCCCGCTAGAGTCGCAAATGCCCCGCGCGCCCTGCCCCCTCGCTTTCCTGGAAGCTCCCGCGGTCTTGTTTGATCTGCATCGGCAACCAGATCACGCGCCGCATATCAGGCGGGCACTCCGCTCCCGGCGTCCGCGCCGGGCCGCTCTATCGCGTCGGCTAAATAGATCACCAAGAGGGGGGGCAGGCGTGGGCCCGGCCCCGGCCTCGCCAACACCACGGCGCCGCGCGCGTCCAGGATCTGGCCCGGCTCAAAATCTGGCAGGCGAACTCGAGGCGCGCCCCCCTTGGCTACAGGCTCTGCATCGGGGCGGGGTGCGAAGCGTTTTCGAACCACCATCGACGTCCGCCATCCACTACCCTGCTGCGCTCCTTCGTGCAGACCCGACTACCTCCAGACAAGTCTGGAAGGCAAACTGAGCCTGGGGGAACGGGAAGCAAGAGCAACGCATAACAATAAGCGAATAAGTTTAAGTACTATTCTCATTGCGCATGAAGGCTGTGGAGAACACAATTCGCCAGAAAATCGTTCGGAAGTGCCCTTCTAAAACTGCTTGTTCACCAGTTTTTTTACAGCAATGGCACAGACATTGAAGACTCGGTCGATGGTACTCACTTAGCTAATCGGTGGCAACGGTAGACGCTGCTCGTCTGCACTGTCGTTTCATTGCTATGTGTCGCATCACGGCAGAAAATTGTTGATCACGAGGTGGACCTCAACCACATCGTCGGTCATCATCTTCACCAAGGCGACGGCGGTCGTTTGATAAATGAAATATGCGGGTGCGAAAAAGTCTGGTCATTAAATTATTCATGAAGTGGAGATGATCTAGATGATGCTACTCCTCCTAGCCAAAAAAACAACGTATGTTACTGGCGCTCAATGTGTCGCGGTAGATGTAGATGTCAATAAAAATGATAGAGGTAGGGCGACGGGCCCAGCGCACGTGTGGAAAGTAAAAAACGGAACATGTGGGAAAAAACAGAAATTTTTCTACCATCTTGCTCAATGTCAATGAACAATAGCGCTAACTTGGCGCAGCTTCCTCGTCGATCTATCACCCCAGGAACAACACCAGGCAGATGAAGAAGAACAGCAGTTCTAGACTCCGCGGGTTCTGGTCGTAATAAAACGCTTGCTTGACCCTTCCCAGAAGCTCGTCAAACGCTTTTGTTCCCTGCAACGATGGTGCAAGAATCAGGCCCCGTTGCGGTTTTGTCTTGTCGTCTTGCTCGCGAAGCGCGTCTGATTCATCGGCGTCATCGAAGACTGAAGACGATTCTTTATCCGGAGGTTTTTCTTTTCCGCCGAGGCCACCGTCGCTATCAAGTACTGGTCCCGTGAAAATAGAGGGCGTACGGACATCGTCGCCTATGTCCCACAGGCCATCTTCGCTTCGCGCAAGATAGGAGCCGTTCGCTCCCGCCCGACTGCTTCGCCTTGCGACGCAAACATTCTGCTCGAGCCACAAACGTGTCTGATCGATAAAATCAGCACGCCCGAGCTTCGTCAGTACGGACTGCGGCAGACCTGCATCTTCGCCACTTTTCAGGTCGTTCTTTTTCTCTTCGTTCTTTGCGTTCTCTTCTGGGCCGTTCTGGAGGAGTCCGTCGCTCTTGTTCCCAAATGCCGCGGGGTCGCTCTCATTTCTATCTGCATTCTCCACCAGTACGGCGATTTTTTCCAGTTCCTTTAGCATCGCCTTGTTATTGTAGAACCCCTCTTGTTGAACACGAAACCCGGGGTAGTCGCAGCACCGCGTGTTTCCGTACAAATGGCTGGGATCTTTTGCCAAGCTGTCTTCGATCGCCACACAGGTGTTGCGGCAGACCGAGTCGGCGAAGAGGAACGACAAAGTCGCGATCAGTCCGAATCCCGGCGTGGTTGACGTGTTTTGCGTGATCTGGAACGTGGTCGTGACTGTTGATGAACGCGGTGCGGCGCGCAGTCGTGGGGTAGGACGAGGAGGGGATGAAGACGTATCTGCCTCAGGGTGTTTGTTCATCTCTCGGGCGAGCACAGGCAACATCATGCTCGGTCGTCGATCGGAGGATCTCTCGTCTTGACGCGGTGAGGAAGAGGATGATCTCGGCCGATCTTTTTCCCGGTTAATATTTCTGTCGCCGTACCCGATGGAAAAATGATTTGGAAGTGGCACCTGCTCTGGTGCTCGTGACGACGAAGAAGGAGAAGAATCCACGGCGGCTGCAGCTTGTCCTCCGTCTAGTATTTCTTCACGTCTTGTTCGGTGCCCGTCCTCATCCGGTGGCTCAGCCGCGCGTGCGGCAAGCAGACTGGTGTTTTGCTCCTCCTGCTCGGAGTGTGCTAAATGGTTATGGTCGGTCTGCTCAACAACAAAGCGATCTCGATGCACCGAAGCCGAGCTTCCGCGCAAGGACGGTCGTCTTGACATGACGTTGCTGGTATTCGTGAAGAGACCGGCATCCTTTGATCCAGAAGTTCCGACATGGTCATTATGATTGGTTTGCTGTGGCGTCATCGTGGTCACGCTATCCGCGACAGAGAGTTGCTCTGGGCGGTTGTGGGCGCTACTAGAACGTTCCCGCTCTTCATCTACTGCACACAGAAGTCTACGTCTCCTGTTCACCAAAATCGTCAGCCTCCTCTGCAACGCCTTGACCTGCTCTTGCAAGTGCAGGTATTTCAGCGCAAACAGCACCTGTCCCGAGTAGAGCAGCAACGCGATCACGTGCCGCAGCAAATGCAGCCAAACGTCGTGCCCCCCGTGAAAACTAAACGCCGGTATGAGCTCGAAAAAGAAGTGCCTGAAGAAAAGCAAGACGAAACTCGTGACCAGCAGCACCATGCGGAAGGGAAGAGTGTGGTTCGAGATAGGCTGGAGATCATCATGATCATGTTGTAGTCGTGCCGTCACTGGAACGGGATGACAAGAAGATGGGCGGTTGAATATCTCAGCCTCGTGTTCTTGGTACACTGTGCGATGAGGAAGATCGAGATAATCATCTTGACGCGACGAGTTTATGATCTTCGCCGAGGCGGGGGTCGTCGGCTGCTCGAGGGTCTGGTTTTCTCGCCTAATCATGTGCGAGCCTGAAGGTGACCTGCTTGCGGCTGTGGGAACACTTTCCATTTGTCGTGTCAGTGTTGCAGGGAGAGAAAGGTTGTTGACGGCTCCTGTCGGAGCAGCTGCCTGGTGATGTCGAAGATCGCCGCTCAGCGCTGCATCTTGTTCTCCCAAACATGACGCTTCCCGGCGCACTGGAGTTTTATTTGCGGAACGTGGTGATGTCCGCACTGCGGGCTGACCGGCTCCTATTTGTTGCTCATCCGTTGCGGATGAAGAGAACAACCTCGGCCTTGGCGTTCCATCCTCTGCAGCAAAGTGCTGGTGACCCTGATCCACTTCCACCCGCTCCTCTTCTTTTCGCACTATGCTGATTCTGCTCTTCCCGTACTTTTTAACACAACTTGCTCCATGTCCGCTACGATGGCACGCGGTGGTTCCACATGCCACGCTGCAGAAAAAGAACGTGGCGAGGCCGCCACGCAAGAAGAAGGACACACACAGGTCGTACATCTGCGAGAAACCGACGCTGGGGCGAATTTGGTGGCTTTCGGTCACTAACAGCTCAAAGTCCAGGTTAAAAAAGCCGCGGGGGAGGGGAAAGGTGCCCGCGGGGCTGTAGAGACCGACCATGGTAAGGTAGAGGGTTGTCAGAGTGAAGAAACTCACTGCAACTAAAAGTTTGGGGTTTCGTCTTTCCTCGTCCTCGATGGTGATCAGAACTTTGTCTTCCTTACGAGCAATCGTGCCTGTCTCAGGTGGACGTGCATGTTGAGTGTGGCTGCCGTCATCTCGCGGTTGAAAATGGCCGCACTGTTCTTCCTGCTCCTCCTTGTCGCGGTGGTATTCGTGAGGTTTGGATGACGAAAAAGTATCAAGCCCGGAACTTGCACTTCTCCTCAGCTTTTCGTCCCGCGCAATCTGTAGCTCTACTCCCGGTGCGGCCCCTCGCAAATAGGTCAAGAACGCGGCGCTGTGGAGGAAAGCCAGAAAGCCGGCGAACAGGAAGCCGCAACACCAGAGAATCACTACGACTGCTTTCGTGCAAAAACACCAAAACACCTCCTGCTGCTGCTGGAGGAGGACCTGGGATGAGATCCGACGGGTCAAAGTCGGCTGTTCCTGTAGTTGCGCAGCCCCGTTACTAGTTGCTGCCGTTCTCGTCAAATCGGCGAAGAAGCCGTAGTAGGGTCTTGTCAGGTCCGGATGCGAAAAGGAGACCCAGGAGACCAATACCCCGCGGAAAAAACACAGGTCGCAGATCGCCGAGAGGATCAAAATAGTGATCACCGCTCGGGACATCAAGCTGTCGCGCTTCAGGTAGACGAATTCTGCGGCAGCTCCTCCTCCTGTTGCACCTTGGTTCGCTCCGTCCGGCTGGAAACCGTCAGTCACAGAAGCTGTAGCACCCCCGCGCTGCAGAACTTTGCGCAGGAACACGTATTGCAGCCACAGGAAGTAGCTGGAAAAAAGAAACAGCAGGCAGAACAGAAAAATTACCTCGGCGCCGAATGTTGACCCAGGCACGACGGCAGGAGGGGGTGGAGAATATGCAGCTGTAGTCGCCGTCGTTTTTGCTGCCGCAAAAGCGATGACGCAGTACCCGATCTGGGTCGCAAGGGAGCACGAGGCTCCGATGGTGTACAAGACAGGCAACGGGGTCAATGCACACGCTGCAGGACACGATATTGCTGTTTTACTAGCGCCAAATGTTCGCGCTGCTGCTTGTCCGTCGATGTCGGAGTTAGATGAGCTAGGGGACATCAGCCGAACTGAACCCTGACTGTCGACACCAGAACCCACAGGATGTTCATCTTCGGCGGTCACGGCAGGAGCCGCGTTGTTAGGCGTTTTTAAATGGTATCTAGTTGATGCTGTCATCATGTTGGCTTGCTCCGCCAGTTCGCGTTTCCTTTTATTCGATTCTGCAGGGCGAACCACCACCATTGCACTTCTGCAGAGCCAGAATACCGAGTAGACCCCGCAAACCTGCTTCGCAAGGTAAAACAATAGAAATTCCAGCGTGAGTGGGATAAACGTGACCTCGCCGGAGAGGTCGCGCACCGTAAGTACGTTGTTCGTTTCCCCCCAAAGCAGGGTCCAAATCACGAGGACGAGCGGGAAACACAGAAGCAAAAACAGGCTCCAAAGCCACTTGCAAAAATCCGAGCAGGACTTGCGCTTCCCGCTTGATATTGCAGCGGTGGTAGGACCACGAGGTGGGGCAAGAAGGTGGTGCTCTTGCTGCCTATTGCTGTTGCTCTGTCGCGCCGCCCCAACGGTGTTGTAGGTGCCCTGTGTGCTGCGAGCTGCCGCATCTTCCGGTGCGACCGCTGCGCCCGAAGCCAGCGGAGCTGGTCCGGAGCGCTGCGCGTGTCCCTCTCCCTGCTGCGCACTAGCATTACGGCGGTTGAAAAAGCAAGGAAAGAGTGTTCGCAACACGCCCGCGGTTGTCCACGTGGTTTTCCTGTCGAAAGGATCCACAAGAGGACGCACCACGCTTCGTGTTCTGCGTGCACAACTACTGCAATATGCCAGGACGGTCGCGAAAAAACGGGTGGTCGCGGGCTGCCGCTGCCGCTCGGCTTGTTCATCAGCCGCCATGCCAAATAACTTTTCCGTCCCTGCTTTCATCTTGGCGTGACACAAGTCGGGTGTTGATCGCCGGTTTGATCAAACATCTTCATCATGGTCATCGATGTTTCCATGATCACACCTGATTTGATGCGCCAGCTATGCCGAATTCGTGTGATTGTTATTGGTGGTACTTACAAGCGGTCGACTAGAAGATATTCACACGTACTACCTTTTTAGTAAATCTAATACGTCAACTCGACTAGGACATCAGGCTGCTAAACACAAATAGAAATAATTCCGGATACGGATTTGAAACAATAAATCATGAGCCTAGTACTGATATATCTAGCGGAAGTCCGGAAAAAAGGCTCGCGTGCGCAAGCTCCTAGCAACCCACACCAGCGGTCGCAACTGGAGGAATAGGAAACAAAACCCTAGCGATATCCATGATCAAGACAACAACAATAACAATATATCCAGTTTTTATTGCAGCTTTCTTGAGCGCCTTGCTTCGACAGGATCCCAGCAAAATTTTTCATCCCTGTGTGTGCGGCTTCGGCCTATTGGAAAAATATCTTTTCTTCGCGATCCGGCTACTGTGAGATCTACTTGAGAGGTCAGGTTCTTCTTGCGCCGTGAACGCAGGTACAGATGCAGAGACGGATCGCTATCTTTCGCATCATCACGGAAAGATACATGGCAGAAACTTGAAGTCTCATAGCGGAAGGCAACAGACTGACCGCGTGGATTTCGCAACCAACAACAACAGATAACTTTTGGCTGGTTCCAGAGAGACGCTACAGGGGCAGAGGCAAGGATTACAGGCTCTGGCTTTTTGGTGGCCCGGACCAATTATACGCGGTGATGAGCAGCCTAAACCCATACAAGCAGGTGGCTTGCCAAGTGATTCTTTTCCTTCAAGTTCAAGATTTCCATTTCGCACGCACTGTTCGTTTTGCCTCGAGTTCTGAAACATTTGTCAAGGTGTGTAAATTGTCAAGAAACAAGTCTGTGCTTGCTGGGCGCGTCAAAAACTTTGTCAGCATTTCTTCGAAACCTTTAAGCGCGTTTGTTAAGACCCACTTCGCTTTGTGAAATTGCGAGGTAAATCTGTAGGGTCCACCAGAAGTTTAGTACCCGGCTGTTGTAATGTAACTCCAGTAGGAGCTAGTACTAGAGCGACGTTCGATTTTACAAGTGAGAGGGCAATTCTCGCCGTCCTCTTTTTGGTTACGACGAAGTACGGTACCTAGCAATAACAAAAACGTCAAGAACTTTTTGTTTTTCACAACTTTGGAGTCGGTGACTGGAGGTTAACACACAGACACACGACCATTCCAGAACTGTATACTCGACAAGAATGAAACAGAAAACCGACAGGGTTCTGTGACTGTGGATCGTGCAACGCATGAGAACACCAGGAAGATCACCAGCGACAGACTGCTACGCAGTCTCAGGAAAAAAGGTTCATCGTACTAGCAGAAAAGGCAACAAGCACAAGGCTTGAGCCAAACACAGGCAGCATTAGTTCATGTAGTCTCATCCGGATGAATAGGTATTGTATTAGCTAGACCCAGTTAACGAGTACGACCCTAGGTAGACGAGTTAACTATCTCCTTAGCTTTCTTACGAGCACAAGCAACCACACGTCACGAACCGAAATTCCCTTGTGGAGTTAACAGTTCCCCCGGGTTGTGGAATTGCTTGTGCTCCGCCTTTGAGACTACCATTGTTTTTCTAATCTCAGTTATCTATATTTCAGTATTGTGTCGTTTATCCTTCCTTGTTTTTCTCCTCCGCTCGTCTCCGTATCGTTCTGTTCACTCGTCCAGTATGACGAAGGGCTCGCTCTCCATGTCAACTGCACCCGCCGCGTATTGTGCGCACGCGGGGTAGTCCTGCATGTTCTTCAGCTCACGGCGATCCTTTGCGGTGGCGTAGTAGACGAAGAAGCGCTGTAACTCAAGCAGCGTCAACTCTTCTTCGCACAGCTGCATCCTGATGTAGTTGCGCCCGCCGCTCGGACACAAGAGCTGCATGTGGTGGACCACTTTGGCACACTGCTTGGCGAAACCGGCGTAGCTGTGCGACGGATCCAACGTGGCGTCCGCGATCAGTGCCCACAGCTCCGGCTGATCCATCCGCAACAGCCCACAGTATCCCAGCATCGTGCCGCTCAGCTCTTCGTACGCCGCGCTCTTTTGGTAGCGTCCCATCGGCAAGAAGATCTTCATTTGATACTGGTACTCCAATTCAAACGTCGGGATGCAGAGCAGGCGGGGCAGGTACCGGAACGCGAGACTGTTGCACACCGAGAACCAGGTCCGGGGAATCACCAAAGGAACGGGACCGGAAACACGTTTCCCGTCGATGCAGCTCAACACCAGATACAGCTTCTTTCGCCGGCGCTCCATAAGCTTCTTGCAGTCCGACGCGTGGGTGTGGGGAAAGAGACCACACTTCGGGTACTCCTTCTTCTCGGTAAAAGGATTCCGTCCTGCCATCGTGCTTTCTGTTCGTACTTCCAAATCCAAGTTCGTTCGCGTACTGTCTTCTTGGCTTTACACGGCGGTGCTACTACACCTCACTTTACAAAAACCAAAAAAGAAATCAGAAAATAGGAAAATTACTGTGGCTGTCTAGGTTTAACTTTTTCTAACGCGTCTGTCGGTAGAGCTTTTGGTTGTGACTTACAAAATTTTAGTTCGTTCTTACGGTGGGTCGTACTTCTCTCTGAAACATCATCCGCTGTGAAAATGGATTGATGAGTAAAATGATGTCAAAACAGGCCAGAAAGCTTTCGATGATTGAATTCAAAAACACAAAAATTTCAAGACTCATTACTCTCTTTTGTTGTGTCGTTTTCCTGTAAATCTACCGGATCTGGGTCGTTTATTTCGTGCGAACTTTTTGTTTGATTTGTAGTGGTGAATCGTACAAGATTGCTGATGAAGATCTCTTTTTCTTTTAGACTTTTCTTTGTTGAGGTTATTCATTTTACACTGTCATTCTCTGAAACTTAAACTAAAATCATACATAGAAAACAAGAAAACGGATCAATTGCTGCTGTTTCCCGCGGCTGCGGCAGTGGCGTCACCTTCGGTTCCGTCCCACTGCGCGTCTTCTTTGTCGAGCTTCCTCAGCACGCCTACCGCGTCTCCTCGGCGGTCGCCCGGTCCCGACGGCCACAGCCAATGACCGTTCATAAGCTGTCGCAGTCGGCCTCGTTTTTCATTGACCGACGTCCACCATTTGGTTAAAACGTCGGTCAAATTGCTGGGATCCGAAATGTGCAGCAGGTTCCTCCGCGTCTTCCTGTGGAGTTGTCTTGCACGGGCTATTGCGCGGAAAACACAATTGTCCGGCTCCATCGTCGTGGACCTTGACAGCAACCTTGCTATGACGGAACTGTTGTCAATAAAATCGTGTTGTTCAAAACCTTCTGCAGCAGCGATGATTTCCTCGGTTAAAATCCCGTACGGAGTCGGCATTTCCATCTCGGCCAACCGCAACTTGACGCTCTCTGCCTGCTGCGTTCCGCGGTCGTAGCCGAGAGCTTCCGCACCGTAACTGCCGTCTACCACCGTGTCGTGTACGTGGCAATCCCAGTGCAGAATGGAGGAGCGAAGTGGTCGTGTTTTCTGGATCGAGTCCGCCAACTCCTTCTTGTCGGTCACCACGAGCAGAAAAGCTGTCATCGGCCGTAACTGCAGTTCGCGCGCTTCTGCGAGACGGGGATCATCCGCGGCCATGAACTCCGCCATGCCGCGGTCGAGCTTCTCTTTTTCTTCTCCCTTCTGCTTTTTAACCGGCTTGCTTTGAAAACTTCCGTCTGTTATCAACAAAAAGCACGGCTCGGAAAAGTCAAGCCACAACCGCAGAAACGTCTGGTCCTGCTCTCTCACCCGCTTCATATCTTGCACCAAGGTGTTTACTCTGCACGCATTTGCGACAGTGCGCTGCTCATCGGCACCAGAGGCGAGGGCGCGTTGGGTGTAGATGAACTCACAAAGTCGTTCCGCGACGTACCCCGTACTTCCTCTGACGCCGCGAAGCCGGGTTACTTCTGTTGGTGTTAGTTTTGCTGCTGGATCTGGTCTTCCACCGTTTATTGTGGCGTCCGTCTCGAATTCGCTTAATTCATCGATTTTTCGGTGCATCGAGAGGTCGAGAGCTTGGTGTCCGTCCACGGTGACAATCCTGATGCTTTTGCCGGTAAAGTTCGTCCATTCCGACGTTATTTCCTCGAAGCAACTGTCTTCAAGTGAAGAAAACGCTTTCTTCATTCTGGACTTGATCACTTCGAGGAGGCCCGGGACCGAACCGTCTGCCAGCACCAAGAAATCGCCCACGTGTGAGCCAAAAACTGCAACTACGCGGCCTTCTATCCGCAATCTGTAGATGCAGGGTGCCATCGCGGATGGTGGCATGCCCTGGGCCACGAATTCTTCTCGCGACTTGCGATAAAAATAATAGGCTGCGTCGAGCAAGCCATATTGTGGCACCCGGATCCGCAAACGCGAATCCGGGTTCAGGTCCAGGTTGTGCTTCTTGTTCAGGATCGCCAATGCGCCGTCCAAAGCTTCGGCGAAGCGCCCTTGCACGCGCGGAAAACGCATCTCCGGCATCTCCTCGTCCGTGTACGTCCTGCTCTCCTGGAAGGCCCGTGGTACATCAAATACCATTCCTACGGTGCGCTTCCACTTTCCAGCGATGACGGACATGAGGCGCAAGTCCAACTCTGAAAGAGTCGGACTTGCATTCTCGGCCGCCTCGTCCGGCCTCTCTTGTAAGTGTCCCCCCGGAGCCCACCGGCATTTCAATTGCCAGTAGAACTCCGAGAGAAACTTCGCATCGAGAATAAATCGCGATGTGAGCAAGAGTTTTTGCTTGCCAGACAGGTTTTCCCCGCTGTTCAGCGCCTTCACCACGTTCGGAAGCTCCTTGTCTTTCTTTGCCACCATCTGACCTTCTATTTCCTTGGTCAGCGCCATCTTGGTTTCCACCACTCGTAGCAACTCGCTCAGCACCGAGTAGGGCGTCATGTCGGCCATCTTCCTCGCGCTGCGGAGCCGTTTCCGCTGTGCCGCTGTCATGCCGGCATGGTGACTACTGATCACACTGTGTTCCGCGCGACCGTCTTCCGCGCCAAACGAATCAGCAAATTCGAAGCGGATGGCACCAGCGGTTTGTTCACGCATTTCTTGCGAGAAAAAGTAGCCGCCCTCGGCGGTGTAGCCTTCGTTGAGGTAGTACTTTACGCACGTACGGTTCTTCGAGGCGGCGTTGTTCGGGTTTAGTCGTTCCGCGTGGTGCTTTTCCCACACCAAGGTCATACCCTCGATCAGATCGCAGGGCGCCGCCCATCCTTCCGGCACCGGCTCGTCGTTCAGCATGTTCTTGACTGTGATCCATTCGCTGGCTTCCACGTTAATGCACTTGGCATTGTAACCCTTCACTTTCCGTACTACTTCTCGCAGTGCCATGCTGGGTTTGTTGACTGGCAGACCGAGCACTTTCGCCTTCCGTGCGTCCCACTTTATGTGTTTCAAAATGTCGAGTCCGCCAAACTTCTTCTCGCCCTCCTGCTGTGCTTCCAGTTTCAGGTTGTAGGATTGCACTTCCATTATGTCCATCACTGCGTTGAAGTCCTCGAGCGACAGATCGACCACGTTGATCTCCGGTGCGCCTGCCAGCTCGTCAAGCTCGTCTTCGGGAATGAAGTTCTCCGCTTCTACTTGCTCGTCGCCGCCTTCCTCGGCGCCGTCATCGACGTCTGCGGCGAGACCATCAGCGGGCGCACCTACTTCTTGTTCCTCCTCGGAGTCTGATGCTACTTTTTCGTCCTCTTCTTCACTACCGAGCAAGTCCTCCTCGGGCAGTCCGTCGTCTTCTTTTGCTGCAGGCTTTGGGGACGCGTTTTGTAGATCAAACTTTACAGTTTTCTTCACCTTGTCTTGCACCAGACGCTCCTCCTGCTGAGTCGTTTTCTCATCTTTGTTCTCGTACAGGAATTCTGGACGCGTCTTCTTCATGTCGCTGCGGAGCTTCTTCTCCGGCAGCCACATCCCCGCTGTGCACAGCTTGTCGTCGCTTTCGTCGCCGCAGAAGACATGTGGACACAGATTTACGCAACGGCATACTTCTCCGGGGAAGTTAGCCTCTACGTACCGCATTTCGGCGCAGTCGATGCATGGTATTAACCGGCTCTCATTTATTTTCGCACCGCGAAAGTCGTCTTTTGCGACGAGTCCGAAGTTCTCTTCGCGGTCCACCCGGTCGAAGTATCCCTTGTGCCGGATTTGTGCGAGGATCTGCGGGAGCTTGGGAATGTCCGACATAAACATCTCGACCGTGTCCGGGAGCGCCAATGCAAGCTCGTGGTCGATCACCCTCTGCACTTTCTTCTTTGGGATCTTCTGGATAGCAGAGGTGGCGGAGAGTGGCTTCACTCCCCACACGATGCTTCCTTCCTCGGCCTGCTCGAGATGTCCTGGCACCCACTTCTCTCCCTTATTCTTCCACTCCACGAGGTCGCCGAGTACTGCTTCCGGGCCCCTGCCGTCTTCCGTGAGGCGCCGGAATAGGAGGCTCAATTCCAGGTGTAGCTCGGGGTCGAGAAACGATTCCAGAACTGCGATCCGCGCGGCGATTCGGTTTTCCGCCCGCTGGATCTTACTTATCCGCGCGTCCTCCACGCTCCAGAAGCGGATAGCGGAATCCTCCGGTAGGTCGCCTTTCTGTGCCAACCGCCACTCCTCTCCTTTCTCTAGGTATGACGTCATCATTTTCCGCTCGCGGCGCGCATGCGCGAGGAGCCGGAGCAGCACTGACAGTGGCAGATCCCGCAGTAACGGGTGCCTCATTGCGGCGTGAAGGTTGGTCTTCAGATGCAGATGAGAAACTTCAACATCTGCCATTGCTGTCGCGGAATTCCCGGAAACTATTCTCACCCGAATTCCCGCCGCCAGCAGCAGCGTGGCCAAACCCTCGCTGATATTTTCGGATCCCGGATCCATGATAAGGATCCTTCCGATGTTGTCGAGATTTTCGCTTACAAACTTGCAAACCGCGTCGGCAGTGGGCTGACCGGAACTCAGCTTCTTATCGCTCTGGTCCGCGTCGTTCAGGCCTAACAGTTGGTCGTTTTCATTTTTGGTTTTATTGCCGATGGCCAGTGGTTTCCCGTCTCCGTCCACCGGCGCGGGGTCGTCCGCGTAGTTCGCGCACTCAGCGAGTGTGATCCATTTCGGTCCGATGAAGTCCAGCCAGATGTCGCCGCTGATCTTGCGCAGCAACTGCACTACCGTATTTGGCTGGATGAGCATGTCGCCAGACACAAAGGCTGTGTCTAACATACTCACGGCCGACAGGTCCACGGTGGACCAAGAGCCTATGGCTCGCTCCATCGGCCATGTCGTGTATCTCACGTTCGAGAAACTTTTCCTCATTGCCGCGTCGATCGCGGTCCTCAAATCCCGGAAGGGGATGCTGCGGAACTTCCCCTTCGCGAGCTTCGTCATGAGCTTGGCGTCAAGCTTACCTGCATGACGGTGCGTCATCGCTCTGAGGTACGCGTACACCTCGGCCTGGCGCCTCGTCAGGTTTCGGCGCGGGTCGAAAGGAACGGTCACGCTTTTGCCGTCGTGCGCGTCTTGGGTCGGTGATACCAACCCGTATCCGAACCTTGTTACCCGGCCGTCCGATGTCGGCCGCTCACCATTCGCTGCGAGCAACGAAACCAGACTCATGTGTGCAGCTCGTTTCTCCGATCTCAGTCGTAATTGATCGCCAACCAGTTCGGCAACGGCGACGGCCCCTTGCTTTCCGTTTCCGGTGAAAAGCGCGCAGCCAGCCCGGTACTTCATCAGGAAACGCTTACTCCGTTCGAACAGATCCTGATATTCCGGCATCTCCTTGATACGATCCTGCGCCCTCTTGGACAGGCCGGCTTCGCCTTCTTGGAACACCGACTGAATGCTCTTCGGCACGGGGAACTGCAGCGTCCGCCCGCGTAGCTGCAAAGCGACATGCTTTCCTGAGTCCGCGGAGGCAACGCGCCGCCCGCTCAGAGCTGTAATCGATTCTGTGGCCCGCTTCCACTGCTTGATTTTGCTATTATTCGTGTACCTGGAGATCACAGGTATTCCGAAGCCACTGCGGTCGTGCACGGGCTCGCTTCCGCGCACCTGTTGGTCGAAGAAATACACCGCGACGATATTCCGGTGTGTTTCTCCTCGAAGTGGTAATTCTGCGTTGATTAAATTCGCGTTTTGGTTAGAAAAATTGTTGAGACTTTGTAGTTTGTTTCTGACTTCGTCGAGATCGTGTATTACTCTGGTTCGCGCCCGTATGTCGGCGCCCGTTGGTTTGGGTGCGTGGGTTGCACCGACCAAGATTCTTGCGCATGCGTACATTTTTGCTACATCAATTGCCATTCCGTTGTCGTTCGGCTTTTGATTCGCAGTAGAAGTTCCCGTTGGTAGCTCTCGGCTCCCGACTGGTGCTGCTGACGAAGAAGATGAAGACGAGGCAGGATTGTTCTGTGCCTCCAGCAGCGTGGGAAAGATTCTTGTATGGTCTGGATGTGGGAAAGATATCTGATTCGTGCTAGTTTTTCTGTTCTTCGCGGCCCGCATCACGCTTGCGGTAGTCGCGAATCCGGCTTCGATCTGCTTTCGTACTGCTCGCAGAAAATCAGGAGTAAGTTCTTCAAAAATATCCATCATGCACTGGTTGTCGACCGGTTCCGTTTCCCACGCGCCGCAACGGCCGTGTCCGGTATCCGGGTCGATGCCGATTTTGAACTGGCGCATGAACTCCAATCCGATCAGGTTCGTTGCAGGTTGTGGCCACTCCCGGTCGTCGACCACGATACAGTGCACCAGACCGGCTGGCACCTTGCAACCGTGCGGCAACGCCACAATTACTTCTGCAATACCAAGGACTTTAGTTGCGCCTCCCGCGGTAGACGCCTCCAGCGGGACGTTGGTAAATTCTAATTTGATTCCGTGCTGCAGACAAAAACGGTGGCGCTCCTCCAAAGCCACCACTCCCATAAACAATAATCGGCTAAACCCGCTGTCGATCAGAAATTTTGCGATATCCTTCATGCTGGCGCTCATCACTTTCAGGTCTTTCAAGTCAAGTAGAATGCTCTGTATCACGGCTTTCAGGTGGACAGCCGCCTTGTTGACCGGGACTATTTTCTCCGGCTGGTTCACATATTTTTCTCGTTCAAATTGTTCTGTTTGCGGAAGAGGGTTCGGATTCTTCCTGCAGAGGTAGTACTCCTTCGGCCTGCTAATTTTCTTTTTGTCGATCAAGTTCTTCTTCACGATGCTGCTCACGAAAAGTTCGTTGTTAGTCGGTGGCTTTTCGTTTTGGTTTCCGGCCGCGTAGTCCGACTTGTCTACGGGCCGTCCCGGAAATCCCGGTCGAGGTACAAACCATCCTCGTCGTAGTCGTACTCCTCTTCTTCGACTGTGTCGTCCCCGCCGGCCGGGACCGTACCAGCCGTCGCGGCGGCGCTCGCCGCGTCGCTAACCTGAGCCGGATTCACGCTCAGGCTCGGTTGCTGCGTGGTGGTACTGGTCGTCGGTTCCGCAACGTACTCCCCGAGCCAAAACTCTTCGTCCATATCGCCCATTTCGATCCCCACCGTGTGCTGGACTAGGCCGTCGGTATCCACAAATTGGATACTCGCGAAAAATTTTTTATTTCCACGTCGCTTGCCACCGCCCTTCTTACCCTTCTTGCCCCCCTTTCGGGCGTTCCGCTTGAACTTGCGAAAGAACTGGGCGGCCTTGATGCAGAGCGAGTACACGGGGCAGTTGTCACGGTCGTGGGACGGGCTTTTGCAGGTTGTACAGGTTCGCGCGCTGTTGATTCCCGGTTTATTAAAATTACATTCCGCCTTTTTGTGTCCCACCTTTCCGCAAGACCAACAAACAATGTTGCCCTTTGCGGGTTGTATTTTATCGCCGAATTTGGCGAACGCCGCCGCCATCACCTGCGGCTGGTGGACCTCTTCGCACATGATAACCTCCTCGGCGGTTTCGCGCCCAGCGCTGCAACCGCAGCCGCTCATTCCGAGGTGGTTGATGTGGAAGGAGAAAGCGTTGGCCGCTTTTGATTTCGACTTGTAATTGATAATGGCGGAACTGGTCCGGATGTTCCGGTCGAGACTGACGTAAGCCATGATCTCCTTGAAGTACGGCCACGCACGCGTCAAGCGCATCCGTTTCTTCTTCTTCATCTTGCTGGTGGAGAACATCATGACCTCGCGCAGGAACGCGTCGTCGATGGGAATGCGATCGCGAAATTCCGCGAGCAGCCGCAACTGGTCTACCTCGCTCTTCGGATTGATCGTAATCCCCATCGCAAGCGCCGCGCGCCGGAACTTGGCCAACTCCAGCCACATGTTGGCATTTTTCTTGTTCCAATCGCCTTCTTGCACGGACCAATTCTTCAGACGGTCGTTGATGTCGGATGCCATTTGGCCGTAGAGCTCGGTCAAGGAGGTGAAGTAGTTGAGGACGGTGCACGAGTTCAATTTGTCCCGGTCGATGTAGCCGAGCGCGAGGATGTCAGTTTTCTGATCCTCGGTGTGCGCTTCCATCCAGTGCTTCCGCACGAGGACGGTCTCTGCGCTCAGCGCCACCGCCCGGTCGGTGTCAATGCATCCCTTTAGGTGCATTTCTAACTCCATTTTCCAGCTCGCGAGCTTCATCGAGGAGCTGAATTTTGGTGGACCAGCGGCAACATACTGTCGGAAGTCGATTTTCGTCTTCTGTGCCGATGTCAAGGTCTTGCCCTCCGCGATGTGCGTCGACTCGAGCGGAACGTCGAAATTACCGATGGTACCGACGAGAATGCCATCCGCATTCATCACGAGCCCGATCTTCCCTTCTTCGGGGGTCGTGTTGGCCGACGGCCGGGCGGCATCCAGGTTCAGCCGCTTGACCTCCACGCGCTCCTCCTTCAGGATGCCCTTGCCCTTTGCCTTGTTCCCATAACCGTCACGACCATCATCACCGTCGTCTCCACCGTGACCGCCGCCTTGACTGTTGTCGTTGTTGCCCCCGTTGCCGTTTCCACCGCCGGCACCACTACTACCGCCGCCTACCATGTTGGGCTGCTGAGTGTAGTGTTTCTCGTAATCTTTGGAAGACCAGTTCTTCCGCTTCTTGATGTCATCGTCGTCGTCAACCGCGGATCCATTGTCAGAAGAAGTTTCGGATTCCGAAGACGAGGATGACGAACTACCGCCATCGTCCCCACCGTCGCCTCCGGCGGCCGCCTTCTTCAACGCGCGCTTTCGCTTCTTCTTTTCGGCGCCGCTCGTCCTCTTACTCTTCTTTGTCGTCGTCGAAAAGGCGTCTTCTTCGGCCTCGGCCTGACCAGCTTCGGCCGCAGCGAATGCTGCCGCCGAGTATCCGGCCGCGATGGTAGCACGCTCCACTTCCTTCGGGTGCAAACCTGGCAAGAACTCGCTTGCCGCATAGTCCGGGTCTTCTTCGATGTAGTACTTCTTCTCGTTGCGGATTTTGCTACCGAGAGAACTGGCGACGGACGCAGCGCGACTCCGCGTCGTCACGTCTTCCGCAACTTCGCCGCTCAGAATGTTGCATTCACGGGCTGTTGCCCCCGTCGATCCGATGTTGAAATGTTGCACCGTCGACTGCTGTTGCAAAGACGCAGTTGCAGCTGCAGCTCGTGCCTTCTCCTTTTCCAATGCCGCAAGTGCTTGATCGGTGGCATTCGTCGCATTCTGCAGGAGGTGCACGTATCGGCCTTCCATTTCCTGCATCTGCTGTTGCATGTAGGTCTGCATCTGCGCCATATTCGCCTGGGCTTGCCCTTGCAACCCTGCCACGCTTGCGGACAGGTTGTCGGCTTGGTTCTGCAGTCCCTGCATGTTGTTGACGATTTGGTTTGTATTGTTGTTCTGGGTTGTCTTGATCTCGTCGACTACCTGCTTGGCCGCGGTCAGCTCCGTCACCACTTTGTTATCGAGGTTGGCGATGTTGTCCTGCGCGGCCGCCACCTGCGCGGTCGTGTTGCTTGCCAGCCCGTCGAGCTCGGTTTTCGCAGCGCGCAGTTCCTTTTCATGGTCGTTACGCAGTTCCGACACTGCGTTTTGCGCGTCCATGGACGTGGCCGCCGCGCCAACCGCTGCTGTTGCTGCTCCGACGGCGGCCTGTTCGGCATCACGGGCATGTCCCATCCAGTTCTGTACGCCCTTGCGCATTCGGCCCTTGAAATCGGTCCATTCCTCGTACCAGCGTGCCCACTGCTCCTCGGACCAATGGCCGTAATTTGCGTTGTTGTATCCGTGCTCGGGTCCGTATGTGTCTGGACCATACGGCCCTTTCTTGCCCCCGTAGTTGTTCATCCATTTTCCTTTGTTTTTATTTCCATATCCGTTGTCGTTGGTACCCACTTGGTAGTTGTTGTAGTTGTAATTTTGCAGCTGGTAGTTTCCGTTCCGGCTGCTGCGCCGCGACGTCATCGATTCGTCGGACGTCGGGTTCCCATCCTGCAGCGCACGCTGTCCAGCGGCCGCTCCCTTGCCTTGCCCTGGACCTCCCATTTTGCGCTTCTACGGCTCGTTACACCAAAAGAGGTAGAAGGCGAAGATGATGAGAAGAAAACCGCCGAACACACAAAGTGCGACGATCTCGATTATTTTCCAGAAGAAGATGCTGACGGCGGTCTGCAGGCAGCCGCACATACGGGCTCCGTTCGTTCACTTCTTACGGGACTTGGTTAGTTGGGGATTAGTTTTGTTTTTCCAGTGCGTCGACTAGTCGAGCGCACCTAGCTGGGGAGACTTGCGCACTACACCTTAGTGCTGCTAAATCCTGGTTTTGATGGGCAAAGTCTTAGATTGTCGAACTCCGTGATTCCGGTCGGTTAGGCCTTTTTCGTTTGCGGGTGATACTGCAGATTGGCGGTTCTGATTTTGCTTCTCGGTTTCGACATAAACAAACGACAGACGAATTTTCGATACTGCGATTTGCGATTTGCGTTACGGCAATTTTGCGATCGAGAAACAAAAGACACCGAGTCGATACTTCGTTCTTTCGGGCGCAGCCGCCGCACTCCTATTTCTGCTTATTCTTCCAAGAAACAAAAAGGTGCACAGATTCGAAAGCTGAATTCCGGCTCCAAGAAATCAGAAAAGAGGAAAATCGAAACGGGCTTCATCAAACTTTCGTCACAAAAAACTTGCTGGTGCCGGTGCTCCTGTCCCCGGCTACTCCGCTTTCTTCCGGCACGGGTTCTGGCTGTACCGCCACCACGCCGAGTTGAAAGATTCGCTTGAAGATTCCGATGGTGTTGGTGGTCGGTCTTTTCTTACACGTAGCTCGTCGATTTGTTCCTGCTGGAGAATCTTCCAACGCCGACTCTCCGTGCAGTTTACGTCGCGATTAAGCGCATGGATCAAATCGAGGTCCTCGTCCAGTTCCTTACCGAATTCTATCACCGACATGAACAGGTCACAGAGCGGGTCGGTAATCTTGAGCCGCATCTTCTCTGGCGCCATGAGCAGTTTCCCGGTCCTGGTCGCCAGCAGCTTGACGCTCACGTCGCTGAGTTTCTTCTTCTCGAAATCGGGTAGTTTCGCCGTGGGAACGGTGTAGGCAATATCCTTCAGGATGGCTTCGTAGCCGAGCTCTTGGTTGATTTGCTCGCGCTGGGCGAGTAAGTTCTCGATCTGCTGGTAGTGTCCGAGATGCCATGGCACGGCATACCCGGTAAGGAAATCTTTCAAAAATTGGGTAGTTGTTTCGGAATACTGATTTTCTGCGCTGGATTCGAAGATAAAATTGCTGCCGGAGCTGTTGCTGCTGCTCCGTCCGAGTTCACTGCTGTTTGCGTTCTGCGAAAGAAATGCTGGAAGAGGTAGTTCTTTTGATTTGTTGTCAAAGGTTGGAGAAGGCTTGTAGCTCGGCGAAATTACATTTTTGCTGTTTAAAAGTTGTTTGTCGCTCGACTCAGCTCTGGGCGTCCGCTGTGGTCCAGAACCGCAGAGTTTCCCGGGAGCGCTCCCGCGTCGGGCTTGGCTCGAACTCGGGTTCATTGTTCGCTCCGGGACACACCGCCGCACGGTGTCCGTGTGCACCGCAAATCCAGCAGCGCAGGCCGCTACGTTGGCCGCTCGTCTGGTTTCCGATGAAGTCAACGGGATCGGGCCCCAATGGGCCCGGAAATAAAAAAATCATGAATCCCAAAAGAAAAACGAAAAAAAAATTTTTGCACTGCCGCCCTATTGTGCCAAACCACTCCGCCGGGGCTCGCTCGATAGGAAATCTGTAGGCCCTAAAATAACGCCGGGGCTTTGTCAACAGGCTGCGGACCTGTGGGCTCCGGGGTTTTCGAAGAACTGCGCCACATGAAATCGAGCACGCAACTTTTGTTCGGGCAAACACAACGTCACCGAAAAAAAAGAAAAACACCGAATAAATTTGCGCCAAAAAGTTGCTTTCTTTGCGACATGAGTGCGACACGGGTGCGACACCGGTGCGACACGGGTGCGACATTTTTCGGGTTCTTCCTGAAATCCCTAAGAAAAAAAAAACCACGGCCGAAAGCCGATTTTTTTTAATTATTTCAGATTTTTTGTCGCAACAAAGGCGATTTTTTGTCGCAGAATTAATTGGCCACTCGCCCGACCAAAACTTTCCCACCCAGCATCCCTCTCCCATCCCGAAGCACACACCGGCAACATGGGCTCCCTCTGCCGGCCCCACTCCAATCCCTTGCGCCCACGCCTGCTTTTCCCGCCCAACCCACAAACCCAAGACACACAACCAGAAAAAGAAAACGCACCAGCGAGCGGCTGCAAGAACTGCAAAAACCCTGCGAAAACTTAAAAGCGCGAAAATTTTCCGGCTTTTGTGATTTTTTTGCTTTTCTGACTACTGGGGGCCGATCCCGTTGAATGAAGGGGTCTCCGTTCAGGCCGGCGTGGTTCCACACTCCGTCCTGCGTGTACTGCGTACCCGAGTACGCACTCGTTCCGTTGATTGTTCGCCGGCGTATAGCCGGTTACCTGCCAGAACAGGACCAGGCTGTTCAGACTCAACACCGGATTGAACGATGAATTCGCCACGCGTGCCTGCTGTTCCTGGTTCCAGTAGAACAAGAAGTCCTTCTCCGCGCTCACGGTTGTCCCGAACGGCTTCGGGTGTCCGAGAAACAACGGACCCGGGAAGAGGCGACTCAGGCTGAAGACACCAGCCGGAGGCTGCCCGTTGTCGTACGGAAACTGTGCTTCAAGTGCCTCGCGATCGCCGTAGTGCGTGGTCGGGTTTGGTTCCCGACTGTCGTACAGCACCAGTTTTCCTTCCGTGAGAGCCGGACCTTCTTCTCCGAAGCTGTCCTGCAGGTCCAACTCTAATCCTGGCGCTTCCAACAGCGAGGGCACGTACCGTCCGAGATGGAAGGGCACCTTCACGATCTGGTAGACGAAAGTGCCGGGCAGCGGGCTGCAGATGCAGAGCGTTTTTCCGCCCCACAAGTGGTGGCTTACCCGCTGCAGGTCGGATTCCGGTATCCACGTCTTTAACCGGAAATGCACCGCGCGCGCGTTCGGTGGTGGTTTGTCAAAGTGGCCGCTGTAGCGCCACACGAGGCACCGGTCGCCGAGCTGACAGACGAGAACGGGTTTTCCGTCGTTTGCGTCCAAAGCAGCGATCAGCTCGTTGAGATTTGCTTCGTAGGTTCGGAGTCGCTTTGGTGCGATCAGGCTCATTATTGCTAACTTAAATTTTGTCGATATTCCGCTTCCGTTTGGCCAAATCCGATAGACTATTCCGAGATGTTTGTTTTTGTTATTCCTTTTTGTCGAACTGCTGCGTCGTTCTCGATAAACTTTTCCGCTTTGCGATTGTTTATCCATGAAAAATCCGTTAAAGATTTTTCTCTCAAGCGATTGCGATTTGAAGATAAAATTGCACGAATTCCGTTTTGCGAAATAGACGATCTTTCGATGGATTTGTTCACGAAAAGAAACACTTCCGGGCACTTGACGATGCAGTCGAGGAAGTGGTGCTCGTTTACGAAACCGGGGTCCAACTGCCCCGGACGAATCTGGTTGGATGACGCAACTTGTCATGGTGGAAGAGGAAGCCGTGGAACAAATCTCCTCTTCCCGCGGTTCGACGTAACTTGTCGGAATCGAGGTGACAAAACTTGTCATGCTGGTGGCGTCAACTTGCCGGAATGTTGGCGTACACTTGCCGATGGGATGGCGTAACTTGCCGATCACACATTCATCGCTGTGTTTTGAAGCTCTTCACTGGCTGAAAAAGACCTCACTTGTCGTGTTCGCCGCGCCGTGTACTGGCTCCGCGGCGGGTAGTCAAACATGTGGTCGCCGTGGAACGGAAGCATATGTTTTGACACAATACTGACATAGCTAGTTTACCCTTCTTGTAGTCGCTAGTGACTCCCGTCACTGGTGATCAAATGGTTGCATAACCTCTGTCTCCGCTACCACTGAAACAGAAAACCGACAGGGTTCTGTGACTGTGGATCGTGCAACGCATGAGAACACCAGGAAGATCACCAGCGACAGACTGCTACGCAGTCTCAGGAAAAAAGGTTCATCGTACTAGCAGAAAAGGCAACAAGCACAAGGCTTGAGCCAAACACAGGCAGCATTAGTTCATGTAGTCTCATCCGGATGAATAGGTATTGTATTAGCTAGACCCAGTTAACGAGTACGACCCTAGGTAGACGAGTTAACTATCTCCTTAGCTTTCTTACGAGCACAAGCAACCACACGTCACGAACCGAAATTCCCTTGTGGAATTAACAAGAACATACTTTGTCTTTCAGAGAAAGTAGGATCCGATAATAAAACAGCCGTCTTCACGATTCAGGCGTCGTCCTCTGCCGTAGCGCTTCCCAGCAGCTGTTGCAGCATAGAGAGGTCAATCCTATCTGGGAAATGAAGGGCGCTCTCATCGGGCGCATCTTGCTGGCCCTCGTTTGATGCTTTTGCTTCCAAAATCAATCGAGCTGGAAAATTATCCTGGTCGTGGAGCAGCTCGTCCCCGTAACCGTACAATTGGAATTCTCGTGGTAGTGCAGCTGACGAGACTCCAACTAAATCGCGCTGCCGCTGTCCTGCTGCGGAGGAGTTGTTTCCTTGCAGGTAGAAATGGGGATCGCCACCGTCATCCTCCAAGACATCGTACGTCATGTCGTTGTAGAAGCTGTACATTGTCGTGCTCGTCGGCGGCGAGACAGAAGCAGGAGGGCTGCTAGTCGAGGCCGCTCTCGCGGACCTTCGCGCCTCTTTCTTCTCTTTTTTCTTCTGGAGCTTGTCTCGCACAACGCCTTCCTTGGCCGACGGCGACGACGTCGTTCCACTACTACTATTACTTCCGCCGAGGGGAAGACGAGACGAGGGCTCGAAGTACGAGCTGCCTCTACTTTTGGAAGGCTTCAACAAGTTTTGCGCGGCCGCCGCGGCAGAGGAATCATTGGAAGGTGGACTGGTCGTGGCACGACCAGCAGGACCACCACCACCATGATCTTCGCTACTGTTTGCCGCCCCACTAGCACTCCTCCGCGCCTGCTTCCTTTCCTTCCGCTCCTCTTTCCGCAAAACAGATTTCTGTGCCACGTCAAACAGACTGTCTTCGCTCACCATGTCCACGCCGAACGAAACGCGCTTCGACATTCGGGACGAAGCGTTGGAGCTCGGGGACGATTTTTTGCCCGTGTTTCTCATGTCCTCCAGTCTGATCTTGTCGATTGTGGACATAATGATCGGGGGGCGGATGGTACTACTCGCTGCAGTCAAGCCTTTTTCATCTACTTTTCCTGAACTACTAGTCTGTTGAGATGAACTCGAGATGTTGAGCGAGTCTTTATTTTTGCTTCTCGACGAGGCGGAAGGTGATCGAGAGGGTGAATCTTTCTCTTTTGATGCTGTTCTTCCATCTGCAGCAGCAATTACTCCAGAACCCACCCGGTGATCATCCAAGCTGGTGGTCTTCGCTAAGTTTTTATTCAGGAGCGTGTTCAGCTTCAGCTCACTCTTTCGCACCTTCGAGAACGCAGACGTGGACTCCCGCTTGTTGCTTTTCGACGATCGGGAGGATGCTGTTTGGGGTATTGCACCTTCAGCCCCTGCTCGTCCCATCGACGCTGTCTCTACTGCGCTTCCACTAACAGCAGCGACTTCAGAATCCCGCGTTTTGTAGTTCTTTGCAGGACTACTTGTCTCGGGAGATGACGAGGTTGTCGTTTTTGAACTCTTTTTTTTCTTTTTCACCGCAGGAGCAGTTGCCAACAAGTTGTTACTCTTCATCGACGCAGCGACCTCGCTTCTCAATTCGTGCATCCTGGCACGGGCGTCTGCCAAATTGATCAACACGTCTTCGTGCGAGCGATCTTCCTTTTCTCGTTCCTCCTGAACCTGATCCTGCAGAAATGCCTTCATGATCTCGGCCTCATTATCGGACGAACTCGAGGAGGAACCACTTTTATTACTATTCCCGTAATACTCTCTCCCGATGTGTTCTGCCCCGATTGCCGCATATTTGGCCCGGTATTTCTGTTTGTGCTCTTTCTCGTACTGCTCCTGCAGTTTCTGTTTCTCCTCCTTCTCTGCCTCCCGGTCCTTCATATCCTCTTGGAGCTTGTCTGCGTGCTCCAGCCGGCGCGCGTGCAGTTTCACGTGCTTACCGAGGGAATCGGCAACCGCACCCGGGGATGTGGGACTTGTATGCGCGTTCTTTTTCTTGTTTTTGAGGTTTTCGTCTTTTTCTTTCTTCGTTGCAGCATTTTTATGACCAGCCGCGTCGTCCCCAGCATCGAGCGTCGTAGTCATTGCACCAGTTGGGCCGGTTGAGGAAGAAGGAGGGCTTTTGGACGAACTCGTGCTTGTAGCTTTCACGGACACCATTTTCGTGTCGGGACTGTGCTGCAACGTGTAAACAGCCTGCTCGATCTGCGCCAAATCCTCCTCGTGCAAGCTGTCCGGGTCTTGCTGCAAATCGAACACGAGTTTCCGAGTGCTTCCCGGCGTTTCGTCCGCGTCGGAGTAAACAACGTCATTGTGTTGTGGGGTTTCTTTCGTACTCTTCTGGACTTTTGTCTTGCCCTTGTCGGACTTAATATCACCCTCTGCAGCTGCTCTACTTCCCACCACTTCGGCTCCCGAAGTTGTCGTGTCTTCCGACCGCACAGAAGATTCATCCTTGCTCGACTTCTTTGAAGACAGCACGCGTTTTATTTTCGAACCACCACCAACGTTTTTCACAATGCCACCAGCGCCCGTCGCGTTCCACTGCTTGGCCCCCGCAGTCAAAAGCGAATGCGCAGCGAGGACGAGATCGGACTTGTGTTCGTCGTGATCGCCCTCAGAGGACCCGGACGAAAAACGCACGTCGTGTTCCGGCGGTTGAGCAGTTCTTGGAACCTGGCTCCCTTCTGCTTTCACTTTCTTTGCTTTCGTCTTACCCTGCTGCTTGTTGGAGGTTGTACGAAAACCGCTACTTACGTCAACATCCGTCGTCTGTGATGGAGACGTCGGTGATCGCTCCTGTTGCGCCTGCGCCGAAGCTACTGTTGCTGCATGCGCTTTAACCGTTCCACCCGAAACTTCTTTCCGATCGAGCACTGAATTCTTCTCACGCGGTTCTGGTGCTGGTGCACCTTCAGTCCCTACTTGATGTTCATCTGCATGTGGAGACACAACAAGACCTGAAGTAGATGCAGCAGCTTGTTCTTCTGACGCAACCGCGGCAGCCCTCTCGCCTCCTGGCACTGAAGTAGAAACGGGGCCCGTCTTCGATGAAAAGAGACTGCTCGACGTTTTCGTCTTTGTCTTCCCACTCTCCAATCGCCTGATTTTATTCGCAACCGGAGCCGCCTTCGCCGCCGCAATCTCCTTCGCGTGCGGCGTGTTCTCGTGCGCAACACTGGCGGAAGCAGATTTCGCCTTGCTCACGGGTGATTCGAACGCGGTGGAAGAGCCTTGGCCCATGTGGTGCCGGATTTTCCACCGCATAAAGGTTTGCATCAGCATATATCGGCTCGGCCTCCTCGCGAACATCGACGAAGCAGCCTGCGTCTTCGCCGCCGCAATCGACTTTCTGCTGAGCGTAGCGCTGCCGCTGCTGGCTGTCGCGGTGTTTACTGCTGCTTCGGTAATATCCATTACAACGTCCTCGCCGTTTACTTGCTCCTCTGTCTCCGTGGGCTTCTCGTCTTCCTGCTCGCCATCGACGATAATGAAGCTATCATCAACAACGTCCGCCTGCTCGTCCGGCGGTGGCGCACTCGCGAGGAGGCGTTCGACTGTGCTTTTCTTCACGATGCTGTCCAACACCGGATCCGGAGGCGGAGCGGAGGTCTTGTCCACATTTTCGTCTGCGACTTGTGACTTTGTGGATCGGCGTTTCACAACACGAACCATGCGCTTCATCTTTTTTTTCGGCGCCGCATCGGAAGTAGTGGAAGAAGCAGCTTGATTCTGCTGTAGACGCTGTTTTTCCGCGAATGCGACTTCAGCTTGTTGTTGAGCCAGGATATTACCTTCGAGAGGAGCGAATTTCAACTTATTTGTTCTCTCCCCTACAACTTGAAGATAAGCTCCTGTAGCTATGAGGTCTTGGTCATCTTGATTTTTGTTTCCACCATCAGCTGCCGTGTTTTCAGGTCGTGCCTGCTCCACGACAGGATGCTCGACGGGCGATACACTTCTGGAGGCTGTAGGTGTGCTGCCTTGTTTCCCTTTCATTTTCTGAACGATGCCCATACCGCCAGAACTCCTTGACGATCTTCGACGAGAGGTTACGGACGAAGCTTCCACGTTGGCGTTGGTCTTATCAGTCGATGTGCTTCTCTTCCCTGTTTCTTTCGATGTTCGTACCAAGGTCGAGTTGATCATGTCTTTATGTTCTTTGTCAAACATTGCGACCCGGGACAAAATTGAAGGCGATGGAGTACCCGCGTCTTTGGTCAGCGCCTTCTGGTGTCCTTCATCACCAGCTTCATCTACTCCTTCCTCGAAAATCAGCGCCTTACCGGCTGTTGTACCAGCAACCGCTTGCTGCACAACAAGCTCCGATCTCTCCCCCTCCGCGTGGGGGGCGCGCAGGTGCTTCGTATGCGGCTCCTCTTTCATCTCATGAGCAACATCGGCTCTATCCTCCGCTACTTGGTCAAACGCGCCACCCAAACTGCGATGGTGCGCTTGCTCGGGATGGGAGTGCAAGGAGTGACTCCCGAATTTTGACGCTGATGCGGAGATGCCCGCTGATGTGTGCCCCAGAAAGTGGTGTTGTGAAGCGGGAGTTTTGTTCGCTGCTTGTTCTGTTCCCTGTTCAGCAGCTTGTTCCGGTGGCGGTCTTATTTCTTCTTCCGCGGTTAAACCACGACGACCCTTTTCAAGTTCATGCTCCGCCTTCATTTTTTCCTTTTCCAACCGGCTGTGGAATTCCGCGTAGCCGCCAACCTTCGAAATCTTTTGCAGCGTGACCGATTGCCGGACCACGGACTGCTTCCACTCCGGCGGCACCATGCCCACCGCAGCTTGGTCCAGCCTGGACTGCAGAAATTCGTTCGTTTCTTCGTGCTCCTTCAGCTTCGAATGTAGCGCGGTCTTCTCGCTCTCGTGCGCTTTCAGCGCTTTTTCGAATCGAGCCTTCTCCTTCTCCCGGTCTTCCCTTTCTTTCTTCCTTTGCTGGATCAAATTCTTGACCGAATTGTGGATATCGCTCGACGGGCTGGTCGTACTCGCCGCTGGTGAAGCACGACCAGGTGAGGATGCAACTACGACACCGCCGCCTCGTACACCTGGTGGAGACTCGATGTCGAATGTTGCCGGGACCGGAATACCGTCGCTGCTCCCGACGGATTTTTCGTTCGGACTCTTGATGATGTTGGACGCAAGCTTCGGCTTCTTCTTCTGCTGCACCGAAGGCTGCGACAGGTTCGTCGCACGGCCAGAATGCCCTAGTACTTGTACCCCCGTCGTGGTTGCGGTAGCCGTCGTGGTTGCGGTAGTAGTTCCAGTAAACAGCAGTTCCTGCACTTGGCGAATGTCGGTGTCGCGGGAGGACAGTTCCGCGTTCAATCGTTCGATTTCCGCCTCGTACCCAGACACCTTTCCGAACAACCGCGCGTTTTCCTGCTCGAGTTTCGTCTTCTCAAAAACGAGGTTTTCGTTATCCACCTTGCTGTTCTGCAAGACGCTGTGCAGCTGGTTCACCTCGACCCGTAGCCGGTCGCCCTCCATCTTCAGTTTCTGCTGCTGCGCGGACAGGTTTTTCGTCAGCAACTCTTCGTGCTCCTTCTTCAACTTGTCGTACTCCTCTTCTACGAACTGCAACTTCTCCTTGTTCTGCAGAAAATCCTCGACTTTCTTCCGCTGCTTCTTTTTCTCACTCAGCATCTGCTTCACCTTCTGCTGCAGAAACTCGTGGCTCTGCTTCAGGTCCAGAATGGTTTTCGTGTAGTTCGCTTCCATCTCCTTGATCAGCTGCTCCTTCTGCTCCGTCTCTTTCAGCAAATTGTCGAACTTCTTCATCCTGGTCTGCACGGAATCCGCATTCTGTTTCGACGAAATCCGCAGCCGCGGGGGCAGCAGGGCTTTATTCGCAGAGGTTCTTTGATGTGCTTGGTCAGAACCTTCAATTTCCGTCGCCGACGGCGGCTTATTTGCATCTTGTTTTCCATCTGCCTCCACAACATTTGAATCAGCGGCCGACCCTTCGTTTACAAACTTGACTGACCCCGTAGCTGTACTGGCGCGCTTTGATGAAGTTCTTGTGGTTGTCTCGTTTTTCTTCTCCAAATCTCCCAAGTCCAATCCCCCAACATCGGGCTCAATGTCTCCGAAGAAGTTTTCCGTGCTCAGCAGCATGTCTTGCTGCTTCTGCAAATCGTCAAACACCATCTTCATCCGTTTCTCCACCTCTTCCCGCGCGGTCACTTGCTCTTCGAACGCGGCACCGGCGTCCTGCAGTTCCAGTTTCAAGGCGTTCACTTCTTGCCGCAACAACTTGTTCTCGGCCTCGGTGAACTCCCGGTTGTCCAGTTTCTGCTGCTTCAACCGTTCCATTTGCTCCTTGAAGGTCTCTTCCATGGTTTCCATCTGCTTGTTCAGCCGCTCCTGCGCTGTGTACTCCAAATTCTCCTTCTCCCACGTGTGCGAGCGCACCAGAAATTCGTGCCGGTCCACCGCTTTTTCTAACTTTTTCTCTACGGCGGTCAAGCTCTTGCTCTTCGTGTTGTACATGTGCAGAAATTGCTCGCGAAATTCCGACCGCATCATGTGGAGGTAGTCGTCGAGAATTTTTCGCTCCTCGACGGGCAGATACTTGTTCTTCATGAACTCCACATGCTCGTACAGCTCCGACGCCTGCTGCGTCTTCTCGTCCTTCGCTTCTGTGGCTGTTTTTGGAGCCGTGATCGTGACGACCCCACTGGTTCTTGTCTTATTGTCTGCTTTGATGCTCAGCCTTCTCGAAGCAGGCTTCTGTTTTGAAGACGTCGCACCAGCGCCTTCTACTTCACCAGCTTCTTCCTCTTCAACGCCGGCTTCCATCACCAAGGACTCGGCGGCGGCCCGCTCCCCCTCCGCGGAAATCACCCTCGAGAAAGGTGCTCCAGCAGACGCAGATCTTGCCAGCATCAGCCGCCCCTTCCCCGGCACCGGCAGCGGGCTGGACGGCATCGGGCGGGGCACGGGCATCATGTCAGAGCCAATCGCCCGGGGAGAGGGAGCTTTCGCCTTCGCGCCAGAACTCTGAGGTCGGGTTCGCAACCTGGCACCTTTACTGCCTGGTGTGGTTGCTGTCGTCCCAGCAGCAGCGGTAGAAGATGGCACTTTCTTCGCTGAAGAGCCCGCGATACTGGACGAGCTGCGACGACTCCGGCGGATTCCGTCTGCGGACACGAGTGGGCTAGATTTCCGTTTCTTTGAGCTGCCGCTTTTCGTTGTCGCGCTGCTCCTACTTCTGCGGTTGCCCGCCGCGGACGCCGAACCAAGAACACTTCTCGGACTTGCAGTCTTCGTCTTGTTCATCCCTTTTGGTCTTACTTTCCCCGGGCTAGTAGTACTGTGACCGCTGCTTGGACTGGCACTCTGGATTCTCTTTCTCCCTGTGGCCGTACCGTCCGACATCAGTTTGGCCGGTGGCGAGCCACCCGCTGCCTGCGCCTTCTTGTCTCCCCGTTGCCGAGAATTATGGCTCGACAACTTGCTCTGCGGCGAAGCGGAAGCCGACGCTGATGCTGATCGGACCGTATTACCACTAGCAGCGGCACCTCTACCTCTATTCGCATTAGCCCTGGAGGTCCCCGCGTCTTTGCTGGTGATCTTCCTAGCACCGCTGCGGACCTTGAAGTTGTGCAGTGCCTGGGTCCTGTCAATCCCCACATCCTCCAGCGCTTGTCCGAAATCCAGCTCTTGCTCCAGGTCCGCGTACTCGGCCTCGAGCGATTCCTTATCCAGTCTTAAATTTTCGTAGGACTTTTTCAACAGGTTCGCTCGTTTTTCGGTCAGCTTCAGGCTGGACAAATGCAGGTCCCGTTCGGACTGCAAATTCGACACCCTGTCAATCAGCTGCTCGTTCTGCTGCTTCAATTCGTGCGACAACTTCGAAGCGATGACCTCTTTTTCGTAGTCAAGGTGGAGGGACTGGTAGTCTTTTTGTAACTTGACAAACTCGGTTTGCAACTCGGACTTCTCGGTCTGGATCTTGTTGTGCGTCTCCAGCAGCTCTAAATGCTTTTCCTTCAGCTTCTCATGCATCGAGTGCAGCAACGGCGGCGGATGGGTGGTGGAAACGGATGCTAATAATCCCTTGCCTCGAAGTCCGCGGTGATGTTCTTGATGCCCGTGGTGCGGGTGTGGAGGCATAGGAGCCGATGCATTTGGGTTCAAGGCCACACTTTTGTCGTCGACGACATGATGTGGATGCTGGTGCAAAGCAATGTGAGGATGCGGGTGCGCCGAAGCCGGCGCAGCGTGTTGCGGCGCATTGTGATGGGACCACGCATTGTGATGGGACACATTGTGATGGGACACATTGTGATGCGGCGCAGCTGCGTGCTGTGGCCCAGAAGAAGGTGTCCCCTGCTGCTGTCCGGAAGCATTCGTCCGGAAGTGGTGCGTTGTCCCTGAGGCAGCCGCAGCTCTCGTGTGCGGGTGGAAGTTGTGTTTGATAGTCGCGAGTGCTTTATTCTTTCCGAGCGTCGACGATGATCCCAAGGTTGCAGTGTGGGTCGCCGCAGCGGGCGAAGTGGTGGTCGGAGTCGTTGGCATGTCGTTTTGCTTTGCTAGTTGTACTCCATTTTCCTACATCAAAGACACAGCCTCGTGCACGACGAAGCGTTTGTTGTCCAGTTTCAATGAATGCTGATGAATGTAAGTACCAAAAATTACATAACGTAACAAGAGACTGCGACGTAGTAAAAACAAGATAAAGCAGCCGGAGGGGAACGAGAAACGACAACGACCACCAGACTACGAGAAACGCTCTCAAGGCAGACTACAACGATTGCTCAAACTCAATTCCGATGGATGCGCTCATCTAAACCAACGTATCAATGACCATGAGCGTTATTTCTTGTACAACGAGATTATATCACGAAGCCAGCGAATATGGTCACTCCTTTTCGAGCGTACGAGTAAACGAAGTTTTCGCGACGAGGAAGACAAGCCAAAACATCCGCAAACAAATTCCGCATGCATTGAATGGCCATCGCCATGGCATTGATTTTCATTGATTTGCGCACCTATCCATGCAAGGTTGCCGTGAGCAATGAAGATCATCTTCTGCTTTATTGAGATGCTTTCTCTTAGTCCTACGGACCGCTCTACTGCTTTCGTTCCTTTTCGTGAGAACAAGATTTGACTCCATCATGTCTTCACGCCTCCTTCGCCGCATTGCACCTATTTTCGAACGTACACGGCTCCCCCGGCGGATCCGCCTTCGGCGCTGTCGGGTCGCGATCCAAAGTCAACGGTTTGCTGACGCCGAACGCCTTCTCGTCCGGATCGTCAAATAGGGCGTCGGCCGGGTCTTGCGGTGGCGGTGGTTCTACTTCCGAAGCACCCTCGTCCCCATTTCCAGCATTCGGGAACAGATCGTTCCCGTTCTTATAGAAGTGCACAACTCCCCCTCTCCCTCATTTGTATTGCTGCATGAACAGCAATACAAGCGCCAGCAAGAATACAGGTTTCGCATGACAAATTTGGACAGCATTGTAGTGCTATTTGGGCTACCAGAACTTGTCAAGCAAACAGTGCCAAGAGCCAAGGCGTAAATTAGGTATTTTGCATGACAAATGAGGGGGAGGGGGAGTTGTGCACTCTCATAGTTCTCGCCCGCGATGTAGATCCCACCAGACGCGTAGTATCCTAAGTAAGAACGTACCCACGCCATAGCTGTCATGCAGATCTGCATGCTCAAAATGTTTGCCATGTGGATCCCCATGAGAAGCGTTTTCTAGTCGTGTTTTGGAATTTGTAATGCTCTAATCAGCATAATAGGCTAGAGCTGTGATGCTGCTGAGCTAGCTCAAACAGCACTGCACTACGAGTTCAAGTTTGTCATGCAAAACAGGCAAAACTTGTAGATTTGTCTAGCAATTTTTGCATCTTGACTATGGTGTGGGGACGTTTTTACTCAGAATACGTAGCCGGCAAAATTCGCCGCCTTCTCGCTGTTGCTCATGCCCGTAGTTCCCGCTTTGCTCAACGCAAATTTCGGCTTCGGGTAGGGTCTGAACAAATTCTTTTCGTGAAATGGGTTTTCCACCTGCCCGTACTCATCCACGGGGCCGTTCGGGAGCCAGAACCACCCCCGATTGCGCCCGTGGGTGAGGGAGTCCTGCGAGCGGAACCGGTGCGAGCTGTAGCCGTCGGTGCCATTCGTCGCTCCGGAACTTTCACTGTCGTCCCCCGTGCCAGAACTCCCGTCGCCGCGCGGGGCGCTCGCATCGGGCAGGCCGTCGAAGGCGGAGGGGGAGCCGGGAGGGTTACTGTTATTTTCATCTCCATTTTTGCCATGCAGGTTCTCGAGTTCTTGGCTCTCCTCGTTTCTGTAGTCGTCGTTCATGCCATTGTCCTCCGCCGGCGTCGGGTCGTGCTCCGGAAACTTGTGCGTGTAGGTGTGCCCGAAGGTTTTGGCCCCCTTGCGCTCGTCAACCACGAGGCCGCGCGGGTCCGGTTGCAGGTAGTCCAACGGCGGCTTCTCGTCTGGCGTCTGCTCTTCGCGCTTGGGCTCCGGTTCCGGGGTTTTCACGTAGTCCTCGCCGCGCTCGCCAAATTTTCTTGGCGTCGAAAGAAACGGATTGGGGTCGGTCGGGCTGAAACCAGTGAGGATTTTCACATACGGTCTGGTTCTTGAAAGGCCCGTGCGGCGGAGGACAAGCTTTTGAGTTGTGCTGCTGCCGGCAAAAAAGCTCGAAAATGTCTCGAGGACGTTGTGTAGTAGCTCATTTATCGTCCCTGTTTTTGCGACCTCACTCGTGCGACTTGCAGCCGCTGAAAAACCTCCGCTGCTGCCCAAAGATGCACCTTCGTCTAGCAGCAGTGCCTGCTTTGCAAGCATCTTTCAACGACGTAGTCAATAATTTGCTCGCTGTGTATATTTTCCAAACGCGCACTAATCTTGCTGCCAGTTCCAGTTGTCTGCACTTGGCTTGGTACCCCACTACACGCATCCTCATGATCCGACCGCATCGAGATCCGAATCCGAAACGTGTATTCATCAAGTAATTATTTGCCACAACGATTCTTCCGACTTTTTACGAGGACGGTCTTCTCAGCGAGTGAAGCTTCAGCGACAGCTGGTACCATCGTGCGAAGATAAGCGAAACATCGATTCGAAACTGTCCATGTCTCGCATATGACATTGCACTAGCCGCTGGAATCATTATGCCGATTCAACGATTTCAGAGTCGAGATCTCGACGAGCAGCCTCCTGTAGTGGTAAACGATGTTCCACCGCTAGCACCTGTAGCGTGTTGACGTACTAGTGCTTCTGCTTCTTCCTCACTATTCCACACGCGATTCTGTGTCCACAGGACAGGCACTGTAGTTTCCACGACGATCTCCTCCGCCCCGTCTTCGATTTGATTACACGTCGAAACCAATTTTCCAAACGAGAGCTCGTCGTTCCGCAAGTTCCACTTCAGGCCTCTCGTCGTCACTCTTGGGAGCGAAGAAGGTGGTGACGAGCCGGGTCCTCCGGGCGTAGCTTCGGTCGAAGATGTTGACGCTGCCAGGGGAATCAAACCCACCTTCAACGAAGGCTTTCCTGGTACAGGAGCGCTTGTTTCGGTCCCGGTGTGCTTATGATCATCTTCGCGGCGAACTCGTGGCAACGGTATTACCGTCCGCCCGCGTGGCAAGCAGCACATCAGGGAATCGCCGTCGGAAGTGCAGACGAGTGGGAGAAACAACTGCGAGCTGTGATATTCTCCGCCTCTGTAATAATCTTCTGGTGCATGTTGATCACGGTTGTTTTCACAGCTGTATTTGTACAGTGTGTTGCACAGGGCGAAAAAGTGGTCTGTTCTGCCCTTCACACCCGCAAATTTTCCAACGATCTCCACACCCGCGGTAAACACCCTCGGGTCAATCAAGGAGAGGGCTTTTTCTAAATCTGTCGTGTTCTGGTCCGGCATGTGCAGCATGGGAGTGCCGTCAGAAATTTCGTAAACCGCTTCCACCATGTTGTTGAAATTAAACTCAATGTTGTTTTGCGGAAGCTTCTTCAGCCGTAACTTCTCGACGACTGGCTTTAATCGATTGTAGCGAATTTCCTTGGCAGACACAGGGTCCAGCACATGAAGATCGTGGTGGGCTTCGCGCCGGCTGAGGTGGTCGTGGGGCAAAGTGTTCTTTTCCATGGAACACGAACGAAAAAACGCAGCTGGCATAAACCTTTGGAAAAACGTCGGCGCAAGATAGGGCTCGACTTCTCCTGCTTCGTTGACCTGGTGCTTCGTGGGGCGTGTGATGAACGCAATATCCTCGTCTGTTAACGTTGATGAGGGTATTTCAGATTTGCTTCGATTTTCTGCAGCTGCAGTGCTGACAGCACAAATACCGTCTTGTTCACGACCCACTGTTGCCGTCAAAATTTCGTCCGCCCATTCGTGAAAACTTCTGCACACGAGTGCTGGAACATCGGCCTCTTGAGCGGCATCTGCTTTCCGCTCCGACTGCAGCTTTCTGGTTGACAGTGCCACATCCCCAGCCGCCACGCTCGGGATCTCCAGGAAACTAGAGTCCATGTCTCCCACGACTAGGTCCGGTAGAAGGCCAAACTGCGTTTTCAACTTGCGGTAGGCTCCGTCGGTGGCGACCCGCAAGCTGGCATCCTTCCAGCAACGATGGTTTGGCGCCAGCAGTTTCGGATACTGGGTATTCAGAAAAATCCGTGCGAGCTTCTCGCTACTTTCGTTTTCCGACGTCCCACTTGGTCTTGGATGATCGATTCCTTGCACGCGGCGCAGCAACAAAGTCAGCCGCTCATTTGCTGAGATCGATGTGGGAGCTTGTTTTGATGCAGAAGAGCCCTCTCCGCGGCCGCTGGCACCGTCGGATTCCTCCGCGCGTACAGTATTGGAGACACCCCTGCTACCTGTCCGCAGCATGGCTGGTGTGTGGCTCGCCTTTTGGCACGCGCGTGCTCTAGCACTTCTACTGCCACGGTGATACGACAAGACAGAAGTGGTCCTCGCGCATTTTGATGCTCTGAGAAAGGCCAAAGCCATCGTCAACTTGAACGGCTGCTACGTACACGTGTGATACTGTGGTTGCTCACATGATGTTCGTATGGTTGACTTCTTCCAAAACATATGAAATCGGAAAAGGCTCGCAGCACCTATGACTACGGGTAAAATTCGTTGAAAAGAGTAATAAAGCAAGGGGCGTCATAGTTTGTCCCGTGTGGAACTGTAGAGGTCTGCGGCAATGAGGCATATAAAGGAACCACTAAACACAAACTTACCATCTCGATGCCGGCAATTGTGAAGACCGCGTGGTGTCTGTTCATCGCGATCACCAAAAATCACACATCTTTTAGGTCGCGTTTCACTACTTTCATCTTTACATTTACTGCATTCATTCCCGTCCATATATGACCGGCGAATACGAATACGATCGCTTCATCGCATGGTTACTGCCGTCTCACCACTGGTGGCCAAAAATACAGAAGGGCCAGCAGGAGTACCATTCTCCTGGCTGTCACAAGTGCGACTGTAGTCTGTTTTTTGAAAACTAAAAGTGACGAAGACATCGCCACGCAGAAAGAAGGTCTGCCCGGGCAAAATCTGGAAAAATTCTTCGCTCTCGGGTGGCTGTTCTTCAACCTCCTGGTCGTTGTTCTTCACCGTGTTTCCAAAACCGCCGGCGACTTCTACTTCAACAATTGTGGTCCCGTGCGCTGCTGTAGGCCCCGGTCGTAATGATCCACCACTACTCGAGGGCTGGATGGCAAACATGATGCTGGCAGTCGGAAGGTAGATCCTTCCCGAAGAGACTTTCGTCTCTGACTGCAATCGGGACGGCAGAGCGACAATCTCCAACACCTGTTTCAAAAGGCACGAGCATGTACATGTTACTTCTACTTTATCAAATTACGTAAAAGAGGCGCTCGGAGGTCAAAAACTTGGTGAATTACTAAATCATGAATCCAGTTGTACATTGTCACAGTAGCCACGACTCAACAGGCTATACCTGAAAGTCGAAAACGGGTGGCGGCGCGCGGTAGAGGTGGACGTGGACACCGTCTTCTTCTAGATCCTGATCTGGTATACTTTTCGGACCGGTTTTTGTTTTCAAATCTTTTTCCCCTCCACGACCACCTACTCCGCCAAGAAGCTCGCTGCTTCGTACACACTCCCCGGTTTCCACCAGATCGTCGCTGTAGTCGCATATCTTCAACAACAAGTCCACGTCTTTAAACTTCGGCGTCAATCCCGCACGAATGACGTTGTCCGAAAGCGCCATGCACTCCACGCAGTTGCCGTTCAAGTACGCGTGCGGCACGTTCGCCTTACAGAAGAGGAAGGTTTTTGATTTTCCAAGTTTCACCGCTGCGGTTTGAACTTCAAGACGACGTTCATCAGGTTCATCTGCAGCTTGTGACGAAATTAGTGCGCCGTCTGTTGTAGCAGGAGCTGTGTCAACATGGTTGTCCACGATGACGTAATTGAGAAAAAACACGGAAAAAATCCCGACGTCATTGGGGTACTGGTGGTTTAAGCGCAGAACCAATTTCTTCAGCTTATCGTCCAGAAAATGGTCCTCGTTCTCCGCGTTTGCCACTTCTATCCTCTTGACCAAACTGTCCAGCAAAGCCGCGATCTTCTTCCCGTCCTGCCGCATCAAAGCGGCATACAGTTCCGAAATCTTGCTCGACGCAGTTGATGCCGTTTGAACACCACTGCAGGCTTCTTGCAACTCGGGTAGCAGCTCCAGAAACGCTCGAATCTCCTTCTCCGGGCGAAAGCCCATCAAGGCCTCAAAGGGTCCGGGGCCGAGCGGTATCGCAATCTCGGGTTTGTGGTTTGCGTCCTTGTAAATGTCCGGGTGCTCGCGAAACAGCCTCTGCGCAGTGGGTTTGTCCGGGTGGAGTTGGATCGACAGGGCGGTCGACACGGAAAGTACCTTGAAAAGAAAGGACAAGTCATGAGGAGGGATTGAATCAGCTGCCGCTGATGTAGTTGCAGTTGCCATCGACGTCTTTGTGCCGTTGCCAACGTGGTTCTCTCTCATCGTCGCCGCCGTTCCTCCATTAGCGTGAAGATGTTCATCACGGCCATTGTTCTCTGCTACAACACCGTTGCCCGCATGATGGTTCAATTGCGCCACAGTTGTAGGTCCAAGAACGGTTCCAGCTGCTGCGTTTCCATTCTTTCCATTGATCGACGCACTGCTGCTGCCTCTCCTCGCCGCGGCGGTCGTTGTAGTTCCTCGCAGCCAGTAATCGGGATCTTCTTCGATCACCGAGGCTAGGGAGGAAACCTCCCCGCGCGAGGACGAGGAGGCCGTCGTTCCGGACCTGAGGGAGGTGGACGACGATGATATTGTTGTGGTCGTGGACCTCGTTGTTCTCCGGACCGTGCTTCGGGTCTTTTCCCGCAGGACCTGCGCCATCCCGTTCACGTGCTATCGCAAGAAAAAAGTGTTACAGTTACACACTGTCGTGTTGCAAGACCGGCAACACAGACCACCTTTCTCATGCAGGAAATGCTTGGGAGCCTCGTTTCCTTCCTGTTTTCCCTTATGATCTTCGCATTACAAGTTTTCTGTGCCGCACAGAGAAAATTTGTGATGCAGAAACTCCAACAAGTGTGTAACTGTAACACTTTTTTCTGGTGATACGTGCGTGCCCATCCAGAGTTCGGCGTACGGCTTCTCGTCCTCCACCGCATGTTCCTCCAGGAACCCGGCCACACTCGACCGCGTACCCTTCACGCCCCAAGCGTAGTTTTGCACGGCTGGCTGGAGGAGGAGGCAGAGCGGTAGGTCTTTCTGCTCTTCCTGCCGCGCTGCGGGGTGGTGGCCATTCTGGAGGTTGTGCTCGTCTATGATGTCCCCTGGTGCGGCGGCCCCCGTGACAATGGAGGTCATTTTCAGGAAAATGCAGGACCGCTATTGCCCAACGCCCAAAATCAATCGACGAGGAAACAGACAAGAACTACAAGCAGCATGGTGATGTTTGCACAAAGCGTCTAACAAAATGCTTTCTCTCACGACGCGGAGACTAAGCTACGAAGTGATCTCCTTTTTGTGATCTCCTTTTGAACTTGAACCTCACAGCGCGGTGGATCATCTTTTCTTCCGGACACCGCACATGAAAAGCAACGTGAAAAGCAAAAGCTTGCTTGATCGTCGCAACAAAACGCCGGCAGGATCAGGAAACACAGAGCGAGAAGTATAATAACTTAATTGGCGCATCGAAGATCAGATGGTGCAGCGCTACAAGGGGAAATAAACGAGGAATACGAGCTGCGCAGTCTACTTTTTTTGCGTAAAAAGTGTAGTACTTCAACTTCTCCGAGGCCTTGCGGGATTTATAGCCCGCAAAACTCAATGTTCGTCTTGGTCTCACCATTTGCGCTGGCAGATCATCTTCGTCGCAGCGAATTCTTCTGCGTCGCATCATGTGGTCCTGTCCAGGTCGAGTTTAGTATTTACGTGCGTAATTACCTTACTTTCAGCTACCTTGTTTTGCTCCCTTTCCGCACCTCCTTTGACATCTCGCCGCCCTTGAAGGAGCTCGTCTGCTGACCATGGACTTGTTCGCTCGACGATTCATCTTTTTCAGATTCTGCCTCTTCCTCTTCACCCGCCTGATCCCCATAGTCCTCATCGCCCAGAAATCTGCGGTCGACCGCACCCCAGACCTTCGGCAGTCTCCAGCAGAGCAGACAACGCAGCAGGAACGGCAAGAAGCAGCCCACGTAAATCGCCATGACGAAGAACTTCCGCTCCAGGAAAACGCCCTGCGAGTAGTTCCCGATGGCGTTTCCCAAGGACCACACGGTCAGCATGTCCGCCAGCGTCTTCCCGTATTTTTCCTTGCCCTCCTTGCTCGTGCAGTAGGTGCTGAAGTACACCGTGAACGTGTTGTTATAGGCGACGGTGCAGGCCCACGTGACGGCCAGCAGAACGGTAAAAACAACCATGGCGATAGAAGCGAAATTTGTATCGCCGCGCAAAAAGGATGACAAATCGACTGCAGACGTAGGGACAGCTGCCCCAAGCGCTACCCCAGACGATGATGTTACGCTTGTTGCAGATGAGTCGTTGTCGTAGGTAAACAACACGTAGGCCGCAACCAGCAAGATTCCTAGCAAAAAGTTCGTGACTGCCTGATAGAAAACGGCGTCGAGTAGTTTCTTCTCCACCGGAATCAGCTGCGGTCCTTGCCACAGTGGCCTACTGCCGTGTGTTGTTGAACCTGCCGCTGCATTCGAAAACTGGTTGAAGTAAATCAGGAAGAAATTGCTCGCGAACGGGCCCGCCATGCCGGCGAAGTTGATAAAAGTGCTGAGCTGCAGCCAGAGCTCCTTGGAAATGTGCTTGAAAAAGATAGGAAGCAGCACGGTTTGCGCCGGGTAGATGAAAAGGTTGGTCACCAGTGTGTTCACCATTAGCAGTGCGCGGGCACGCTCAAACACGGTCTCCGACTTCAGGATCGACGCGAAGGGCATCAGTTTTCGCGGGGAGACCACAAACGAGAGGAAAGAGCGAGGAAAGAACTTTCGAAAAAACCCGACTGGACGATGACGCCGACTTTTGCTCTCATCGCCACTTGTTTGGAGGTCGCCAGTAGCTGCAGAAGTGGATGATGCTTCGCTTTGGTCACTGCTAGTGGGGGCTCCCCGTGATAGTACATCGTCCTCCTGCTGCTCCTCACTGGCTGACGGAGCATTGGACGAGGTCGGGTCCAAATTATCTCCGTGTCCGTTCTCATGATCGTCTCCCATTGTATTTTTGCCATGGGGTTTTCGTCTCCTCATGGTGGAAGATGCGGACGCTTGGGCTTGCGGGTCAGCCCTAGAGTTCGCACCTACTTCTACCTCATCGGTGATTTTCTCCCAAGTTGTCTCGTCCGTGTCCGTTGTTTCTTCTGGATGTCCAACGCCGTTGGGTGAATAGGATGAAGCAACCCCATTTTTCCTTTTCGCTAAACTAGTAGCCGATCCCCGTCCACGCGCTCGCACTTTGAACAAAACCACCAACTTGGCCAGAATTCCGACGAAATGCACGAAGACGAAAACTAGGTAGATCGAGTCTGCGGTACTGTAGCTGCCGCTGTTCTCGTCGTGATTTTTGGTGCAGCTCGTCCGCTTCGAAGTTTGAAGATCATGTTCTCCATCGGCCGCGGTTCTTGAAGATGATGTTGCTGTTTTTTCATCTGCTCTTGAAGATGAAATTGCCCCACTGTAGTAGTTCGTCGCGGTGAGAACGGGCAGCAAAAACGCCAGCAGCGTGCTGCTCAGAGAGCGGACGATTTTCTGGCTGGTTGCGTCCAGGGACTGCAAGAGAATTTGGTCTTTCTCCGCTTCCAGGGCAAAACTCGTCGCGGGAACCGCCGCCGTCAACAGCTGCCCGAGCGCGAGCCAGCTGGTAATTACTGCTTGCAACAGAAATGTGGCCGGGGGAAGGTTTTCCTGGAGAAATGTCGTCGCTCTTTCGATCGCAGCTGACGAGAAAAACGCGGAGAGCAGCGCGTTGAAATCATACTGCGTGGAAAAAATTCCGAAAAATTGACTGGGAGCAGTGTCGCGACCAAAAGAACGATATTCCGTCGCTTGCCCTGTTCCATTTCCAGCACTACTTCCGGCCGTAGCGGTGACAAACAAAGCGACGTTCAGCAACAGCAAACCCACGTCAAGGAGGATGAAGAAGACGAGTTGCAGCCCTTGGCAGTAGTCCACCACATTGCCTGCCACCTGCAGCACCACAATGCGGCTCAAACTGTTTACGGTCTGGCTGTTCGCAAAAAGCTTGATTTTCTCCCCCTGCAGCAGAGAAAGCTGGCAAAATCGTGTGAGTAGCGAGCCACCCAAGCGAAAGGAAAACGCGCCCAGGGTGTAGAAGCCAAGCAGAGAATAGTTGGAGGTGCGGCCGCTCCTGGTGCCTGCAGCAGCCTCTTGTCCTGGCGGGGCCTGCACAAAGTTGTCCATGTTATCTTTTCTTCTCCATGACTTACTGATGCTCCTTCTACCCGAATAACCACGATTTCGTGGTGAGCCTAAGCGCAAGAACGCGACTTAACAAACTCTTCATCAAGTCACTTAATTTGAGATTGGAACGCCTGTCTACTTGTTTGACGAAGTATATTGATGATGTCCGCAACACTACCTTCGTCTTCCTGAAAGACTTGCCATGGAAGTTCGAGTTCCATGTACTCATTCAACCCTGCATTTCATCATATTGTCAGGTGGATATGGATTACCGACAAGGACAACACCATCGAGGTGGGACAAGAAGCGGGATCTCGTCTAGAAAAAAGATCTTTGTCTTTCGGCACTGCTTTTTCCGACAACTTGACCGACTGCAGTCCAGCTCTATTCGGAAAATAATGTGCGCTACGTTTCTCAGCTTCGATCATGATGGTAGATAGTGCTTGAGCTGGATGGTGCTTCATAGGCCTTGCATGACACTATATTTGGTGTGTTTCTCGCTCCTTCTGATGCTTGAGGTTGACGAGCGGCCTGAACATGAACGTGAACCTGATCTTGTTCTTTATGAAAAACAAAAAGAAACACGATCGCAAAACAAAAAGAATGAACGGAAAGCCTTTGGCGAAGCATCGTTCAGGGGCGGGCCTGGTGGTCCCCTGTCTCGTACTCTTGCAACAAACATGCAGCTGTGGTGTTGTTTGCGCTTCCGCAAAAAAAACGTTCCTACCTGAACGTACGAACGTCTGGAAGGGGAATTCACGTTGTTGGCCATCTGGCTTATTTGCAAACGCACGACTCTGCGGACACAGGGGTAAAAATGGGATTGGGAATAAAAGTACGATATACAACCGAGTAGCACTTTTCCTTTTCTAGTTAGATCACTACAGTACAAAAAAACAAGCTCAAACACGATGACATGCTATATACTAGGGTGGGATCGACGGTAAAGCCAGGAAATGGGATTTTTGCGTACGCGCTTCTCAAATAAGCTGAGCGGGAAAAGCCTCCCATGCAATACAACTTTTAGTTGGGCAATCCTAGAATGAAAAACATGAAAGTAAAAATACCTGCTGTAGCGAGGAAATCAAGAAATGGAAAAACGATCGTGGGGAACGAAAAAAAACCTCGTAACTTTATATACTTTTTATTTTCGTAGTTCTCTTGGTTCTGTACAACAAACTCGCTCTCTTGGAATACGAAATCTAATTTCTCGCAGAATCAGACCCGTTTCCGCCTTTCATCGCACTTCAATCGTTTCGGTCTCGACCGGACAGTCGGGCAGGTTCGCGTTTCTGAAAAAATCCAGCACCGTGTTCATGTTGCTGGCTGGGTTTGGGAAGATCTTCGCCTCCCGCTCGGTACTGCCCACCTCGGTTTGCATGCGGATGTGCCGCTGCAGAACGTAGTCGGGATAGCCGGGCGCGTTCGCGTCGGCAGTGGCGCCTCGCTTGAAGCCCGACGTGACCGCGTCCGCGCCTTGCTCCCGGTCCACGGGCCAGGGGAGACTTTTGCTGTACCCGTTGAGGCTGTAGAACAGTTGGAAGGGTTTCGGCTGGTAGAGGCCATCGTCGTTGCCCCCCTCCCACTCCGCCACGGGGTCGTAGTACACCGCGCGACACTCCTGCGCCCCCGCAGCCAGGTTCCGCACCTTCCCGAACGCCAGCAGCTGCTTGTAGGGGCGGCCGTCGAGCTGCGCGTAGAACTGCGCCGTCGGTGAGGGCGCCGGGTAGCCCGGGGGATCGGTCGCGAGCTTGGAAGTCACGCAAAAGGCGATCCGCCGCAGCGTGCGGTCGTGCTGGGTCGGGACCAGGTCCACAACGTCTTCCCACTGCGCGGCCCCGAAGGGTAAACCCCAGCCAAATTCGAACACGGGCTGCGTGCCGCGCGCCTGCAGAATCATGTAGCCCACCTCGTGCTTGGAGTCGCCGTCCGCATCCACGCCGGCCTTTCCCCATGGCAGGTCGCCGCCGTTTGCGACAACGGACATGATCGTGTGCGCTCCGGGATTCACTTGCCCGTACATGAAATACATCAAACCCGTGAACGCGTGCACGGAGGGGGCGATCGAAAAAATAATGCACTTGAAATCGTTGGCCCAGGGCATGGCGACAGATCCTGTTTAGGATAAGTTTTTGTGTGTTGACTTTCTTATGGTTTCACGACTGCTGGGATATGTATGATACTTGTTCAGGGAACGTCAAGCAGCAAAAGCAACGAATTAGCATAGATAAATTAGTAGTCTTCAAAAAATCATGGATCGGCTTCGGCACTAGAAAAAAACGTTGAGACGAGAAAAATAGCTCTCCGCTGTACCTGCGCCCGCCGCGAACACGCAGACGTTGTCCCCGCCCGCCGGGGGTCGCGGCTGCTCAATCGTGTCGCGATCCCTGCCCTCGCCGGCCTTGACGAGCGAGCAGACGAGTTTGACTTTTCCGCCCCCGCCGGTCTTGCCGCGAAACGCAGTTTCCGCCCGCGTTTCCTTCAGGTGGATGTTCATCTCCCCCGACCCCTCGGACGTGAGCGTGCGCGCGTTGCCGTCCCCGGTGCAGGAGCTGTCAAGGTCCACCTGGTCGCCGTCCTTCAGGGGGAGCAGGTTCCCGTCGTTCTTCAGCAACACCATGGACTCCGCAATCGTCCGCGACGTCCACCGGTAGTGCGTGTTCTTCGTGTTGTCGTCGTAGTCCTGCCACACCGCGGGGTAGTTGCTGTCCGTGTAGCGCGGCCCCTTCCGGAAAATCCCCAGTTCGCGCGCCCACCCGACCCAGCCCGCGAGGTACCGATCCTTCAGCGCGCGGTCGGCCGCCTGCAGCTGGTTGTCCATCACCTGGTGCCCATTGTCCTCCTCCGCGATGGGCTCCGAGTTCACCATCTGCTCCTGCGCCGTGCGCTTCTCGTAGTTCAGCGGCTGCTTCCAGCTGCCCCAGTTCGCCCAGGAGTGGCCGGAGTCGGACGCGGAGGGCTTTTTGGTGTACGTTTCAAACATCTCCGCCGCGGGGTAGTCGGTCACGATCCAGGTGCGCTTGCTCTCCTCGTAGAGCCACTTGTTCCGCTTGTTGTAGCACATGGACACCGGCTCGCCGCCCTCCGGGTCCACCAGCCAGTGGTAGCCGCACATGGTCGCGGACGCGCCGATGTTGCTGCCCGCCACGAAGGGCTTCAGGTAGATGTCCATCTCCGCCTCCCACGGGATGGTCAGCTTTCCGTTGCGGTTCATGCGGTCCGCCTCCATGTCGTTGGAGATGTAGTGCTTCCAGACGGGCGACACCGTCTGGCGGTTGTAGCCCAGGGTCCAGGCCTCGACTGCGAAGACGCCGAACACGGGGTCCTCGCCGGGGATGTACTCCCCGGACCGGCCGCACCCCGGGTTGCGCCACACCTGCGCGCCCGGCCCGAGCACCGCGTTGTACTTTCCCCCGGTGAACAAGCCGCCCAGCATGTTGGCGTGGAAGTACATCAGCTCCAGGTCCCAGCTCATGCTCATGTGCGCCGCCGCGGGCCCGTTCAGCGACGCGGCGCCGAACGCGCGCAGCCCCTGGCCGTTGTCGTTGCCGCTCATCCCGGGCATCAAGCAGTCGTCGCCGCCGCAGTTGGGCGGGATGGGCGAGAACGCGGTCTGCCCCGCCAGTCCGCCCCGCTTCGCGATCGCCAGGTCCACGTCCCCGATGGGCAGTGCCTGGATGAGCGCCAGCGACTCGGCGTCCTCCTGCTGGCGTGTGGCAAGGAGCTGGGCCAGCTTTGCGTCCACGTCCGCCTTCCGCGCGGCTGCGGCCGCCGCATCCAGCGCGCCCGGCCCACTCGGCAAACTTTGCTGTCCCGGCGCACCGAGAGTTATTAACCCGGCCGCGCCGGGTTGTCCATTGATCCCCCCGGAACTTCCGAGCATGTTACTTCCTGGCATGGTAGCCGCTCCCGGACTGCTGTCCCCGCCGCCTCCGCACGAACTATCGCCATTCGGTGTCGCGGCCGCGGTGGTCGGGGCCCCAAGCATTGGCACGGCCGCCTGGGTGTTGCTGGTACCTACTCCTGCAGCCGAAAGGCCGGGCATTTGGGTGTTGCCGGCGTTGTTGTTCAGTGCGTTGCCAGCGAGCGGTCGCCCTGGTTGTCCCGCTCGTCCGAAAACGCCCGCGACTCCAGGGACCACGCCCGCCGACGCCGCGGTGGCGGGCTGCGACCAAACGGGTGTTCCCCCAGCTCCGGTTCCAACCGGAACGAAGGGGACGGTCATCGTGATACCTGCCGCCGGCTGCGCGACAGCACCTGCCGACACTACCCCGGGACTACTCAGAACATTTAGGTTGTTGTTGGGTCCTGTCGTTGCTCCACCTGCCCAGGCGGGATTGAACCCTGTTCCGGCCACCTGCGGCTGCTCAAGCCGCTCTCGTTTTCGCTCCAACAACGATCCGGACGCTGGTGCAGGAGCATGACTCGTTTGCTGGGAGGACTTTTTCAGCTGGACAGCCTTCTTGTTCCTCGCCCCCTTCTTGTTCGCCGGGTGTGCTTTCACTGGTTCCTTCGTGATCTTCAGGGCATGCACGTCGTGCGAGTGGTCGAGTAGAGTAGACACAAACGACGTGCAGCTTCCGAGGGCAGCAAGCCGCCGTGGCTGGCGGACCGAACTTTTTCTCGTCCACGACCCGCTAACGGTATTCATGTTCATTCTCCTTTCTGCGGTATACAGATGACTAGCACGTGAAAATCAAAATTGGATATATAACCACGAGCGCCAGCGCCTTACTGACACTATCAGTTGTTCCTGTAAAGTAAGATCAGGAGAAGACATAATCGTAACAAATGCTGCGATATAATGCTACCTTCTTCCATTCGAAAAGGAAATTTTCCTTGGTCCTGCTTTGTCTTTACTACCTTCTGAGGACTGTGTTTGCGTTGCTCGATCGGGATCGCGCGACAAATTGATGGAGAAAAGGCAAAGACAACATGAATCCATCGTGTCGTGCTCTACGACTTTTATTTTGGACAATATTGCAGAATTTGGTGCGTATACATGGACGTTCTTTCGGTCCGCACGTCTGCGCGATCTGGACGAGTAAGAACGAAACCCCAGAAGCAGCATCTGGAATTGCAAACAGCTGAAGAAACCAGGAGGACGGGACGAAGTAAATCTAAGTGAAACGAGGTGAAACTGCAGCGCAAACGAAAGCGATAGTGATTGTGTTTGCCATTGCTGCGGTACGGGAACGGGTACGACGGGCCATGCATTCTGTTACGACTACGAAGTGCACAATCATGAAAGAAAGTTGCGAAAACAGGAACCACACAACGGAGTAGAACATCAATACCCATTCCTTCGAAATTACTATTTCAAAATTGAGATGAAAGTAGAAGAACTCATGTTGTGTGTGTGGGTGTACATATTTACTAGATCATGCCATTCTCATTGCCAGCAACGTTATAACAGAAAAAGCACGCCGGTACGAACTTCTTTTTACGGTAACCAATACAGGTGGAACGATGACTTTCTTACTACTGAATGCGGAGTGAAACTTAACGCTTAAATTTCAAAAACCTCATGTCATGCATATGATTCTACTAGCATCGCTTTGCCTAGTCCTGGAGAAGGCAGTTTACTAAAAAACGAACCCCCTTCTGAGAAAAAAGAAGCAGATGAAGCAAGATCGATTCACTTTCACGGCTTCTGGTCCTATACTTGATCTCTATCCCAAAAAGAAAACTCATCGGCTTTCTCGTGTATCGCCTTCCAGTTTGACGTCCGGCAGACCGATGACATCCTGCCACGCGCTGACCACGCTCGCCTCCGTGCGCCCACTGCCGTGAAAAATTTTTCCCGTCGCCTCCTCCTCCAGGCCCTGCTCCAGCTGGTTGGCCAGGTGCCGCTCCCACACGTAGAAGGGGTACTCGTTTCGCTGGAACCCGGTGGCCAGCGCCGCCCCGCCCTGCTCCTTGTCGGCGGGCCAGGCAGTCGCGCTAGAGTAGCCGGACAGGGAGTAGAAGAGCTGGTAGTCGTTCATGGGGAAGTACAGGCCGTCGTCGTTGCCCCCTTCCCACTCCGCCACCGGGTCGTAGTAGACCGCCTGGCAGCGCGTTTCGCCGACGGGTAGGTGGCGGAATTTGGAAAAGGTCAGCAGCGCTTTCCAACTGCGCCCCCGGATCTGGTACCAGAACATCGCCGTAGGACTGGGCAGCGGGTAAAAGTCCGCTTGCTCCTGCGCGCTGGCGAAGCAGAACGCGATGCGGCGCAGGTTCCGCTCGTGCTGCACGGGGACCAGCGTCACCAGCGTCTCCCACCCGTGGCCGCCCACGCCGAACGGCAGCCCGAACCCGAACTCGAAAGCCGGCACGCGGCCCGTCGCCTGGATCAGCGTGTACCCGTGCTCCCGCCCGGACGCCCCGTCGGCGAGCGCCGGTTGGTTCTGCGCGAACGGCAGGTCCGCGTCGTGCCCCACGATGGACTGGATCAAGTGCGCGCCCGCGTTCACGTAGCCGAACAGCAGGTAAAACAGCCCGTTGAAGCCGTGGACGCTGGGCGCGATCGCGTACAGCAGGCAGGGCACCTCGTGCGCCCAGGCAATGGCGGCGCCCCCGAACGAGGAGACGAACACGCACGTTTTGCCGTCCACGTTTGCCGGCTTGGGGGTGTCGATCGTCGGCTCATCCGCCCCCTCCCCCGCCGGGCGGATCACGCACACCAGCTTGACCCGCGCGAAACCGGGGCGGGTTTCCACGAAGTCGCCGAACGCCGTTTCCGCCCGCGTCTCCTTCAAATGCTTGTGCATTTCCCCCGAACCCGTGCTGGTCAGTTTCCTCGCATTCTCCTCCCCGGTGCAGGAGCCGTCCAGCTCGATTTTCTCACCCGCGTTGGGGTCCAACGGGAGCATGTTGCGGTCGTTCTTCAGCAACACAATCGACTCGGCGATCGTGCGGGAGACGTACTTGTAGTGGTTCTTCCGGTCCTGCTCGCTCATTTCGTTCATCCAGTAGGTTGGGTTCTCCGCGGTGGTGAAACTCCGGGACGGCGTGTCCTTGCCGAACCCGAGGTCCTTGCCGAACCCCACAAACCCAGCCAAGTACCGGTTCTTCTTGGAGCGCGGCGCCAAAACGAGCTCGCGGGCCATCACCTGGTGGCCGTTGTCCTCCTCCGCGATCCCCTCCGATTGCGCAAACTGCTCGGACGCCGTGCGGTGCTCGTACTCCAGCGGCTGCGCGTACGTGCCCCAATTGGCCCAGGAGTGGCCGGACGCGGAGGCGGACTCCTCCGGCGGGTTCCAGTTCGCGTCCTTCACGTACTCCACCACCATCTGCGACGCCGGGTAGTCCGTCATGATGAAGGTCCGCGGGGAGTTCTCGTACAGCCACTTGTTCCGCTTGTCGTAGCACATCGACACCGGTTCACTGTCATCAAACGCTTTTTCCGGGTCCACCAGCCAGTGGTAGCCGCACATGCTGGCGGCCGCGCCGATGTTGCTGCCCGCGACGAAGGGCTTCAGGTGCAGGTCCATCTGCACGGCCCAGGGCACCTGCAGCTTGCCCTTCTTCAGCATCCGGTCCTGCTCCATGTCGTTGGAGATGTAGTGCTTCCAGATCGGCGCCACCTGCCGCGAGTTGTAGCCCAGCGTCCAGGCCTCGACCAGCAGCGTGCCCAGGATGGGGTCCTCGCCGGGGACGTACTCCCAGTTGCGCCCGCACCGGGGGTTCCGCCAGATCTGCGCGCCGGGGCCGAGGACGGAGTTGTGGTAGGACTTTTCGAAGAACGTCCCCAGCATCTGGCTGTGGAAGTACACCAGCCCCACGTCCCAACTCATGCCCACGTGGGCCGCCCCCGGGCCGTTCAGCGCCTCGTCCTTGACCATGGCGTTCTGGCCGCTGTCCCAGTGCTGCATCCGCGTGCCCTGCCCGTTGTCGCTGGCCATCACACCGGGGAAGACGCACCCGCCGGCGGGCGCGTCGCAGTCCGGCGGGATGCGCGACACCGCGTGTTGCCCCTGGAGGGGTTTCCGCAGCAAGATCGCTTTGTCCACAACAGTGTCGTCCAGCGCCGCAACTTCGCGCCACGACGCCTCGTCGGCGGCCCGGCGGTGCCGCAGGTAGGCTCCCATATTCGCGGAGAAAGTCTTGGCGAGGTGCTTGGATTCCTCCACCGTCACCGCCGTGCCGTCGCGGCCGGGCCGGGAGATCGGTTCGCCGTCGCCGCTGGTGCTGCTGTGTCGTTCTGCTTTTTCTTCTTGTGTGAAAGTAGAGCTAGAAGACGGTGACTTTATCTTTCTGCTCGTCGTGCTGGTTCCTCGTCTCTGCTCTAGTTCTACATGCCGTGGTCCTTGCCCTGCTTTAGCAGAGAATTGCGGAACGACCGTCTCGGCCGCGACATTTTTGGAGAAGATGGGAACGAAGACGGACGAAAGCACCCGACTACGACTTGCCGTCATGATATTAAGCAGCGTTCTCAGCGACTGCGGAAGCGAGTAGAAAAAGCTTCGTTCTCCTCGATCGAAGCGAGAACTCATGGCTCCTCTCTTTCTCCGCGGTGGCGGTGAGAACGTGGCGTGGTCAATAGCAGAAGAGAAATCCGAAAAACGAAAACATACACCTTTAAGGTTGATATCCTAAACCCTGAAACCTAACCTAAACCCTTTCCGGATCGAACTTGTGCAGCAGGAGAAGGCGTAGATCGTAGGTGAGACGGTCGCGACGACAGCCATCCCGTGCCGGCGGCGGTGGGGGCCTACCTAAACCTAGACCGGAAAAAAAAACCGGAAAAAAAACTGCTTGGTGCCAGTTGGGCCCGGGGAACAAGAGGCAGAGCAAAAAAGGAGGATTTGTAAAGCGATCGTCAAAAAGATAAATGGCGGAGCAAACTGAAGGCCAGGGCGTGCACGCCCCTTTCTTCTTAAGCTTCAGCAGTGCTGAGAACGTTCCGACCCTAAACCTCGAAGTGCCGAAGCACCAAGAGATCTACGTACGTATGCGCAAGAAAGCTCGCCTGGCTATCTAAAACAGTCGACAAAAAAGGCGAGGAAATCTCTCGGGGAAGCCGAGAAGTCTCATGTCGACTAAGGAAAATCAAATTGGAGTATTGGCTTTAGCTGATAGAAACAAAGTATAGTGGGTAGCTGAAGGAGGGGGAAGCAAGCAAAAGCGGAAAAGCCACTGTCACACTAAAGACAGAATACCAGGTAGGAAATTGAAACCTTCATTGATTTGATTATTTCTAGTTTATTCACAGCGGTAGATAGACGAGCATGGCAACTCTACAGCGCTAGCTTGTAAGTGACAAAGTCAGGGATAACGATAACGAAAATGAGGACGAGCTGCAACATTTTGCACGACGACCTAGACAAGAACGAAAGAGGGTGGCAATCGGACGAAAGTGGTGCACGATTTGGACTCCATGTACTTATGTGATGCGGCTCGGAATCCTGCAAGAACACAAAATTATACAAAACGTTAACATTCATCAGAAGCACAACGATGTTCTTCCGACGAGAGCTCTATTCCATTTGATTCATGAATGTCTTAGGCGCAATAGTGTAAGCGTCGAAATTGGGAGGGGAACTTTTTGACTGCAAGAAGGCGAAGCCACGACTGGGATCTCTCTTACAGCATAAATCATATCAGCAAAACAAAGATGTGGAAAGCATGTTGTAGTTGATCATCGCAATAACATTCGATGACATCCGCCTCTTCCTTGGTGCATTTTTAACCGTAAAATTCTTCGAATGCGTTCAGCCGAAGCCGAACATGCTGTACTTACATTTTCTTCGCGGTCGCAAATTCTTGTGGTTACATTTTGGGAAAGCACGATATTGTAGTTCAAAACTACCATTCCAATATACTTCTCATGTGTCAAAATCTCATTCCTAGTCCTAGTACATTATTTTCAATAATGAATAGTTCTCCATCCTTGTCTACCAGATCGCGGAAAAGTCCGATAGTGCTCTACGATGAATGTCAATTTTCGAAGTTGAACTTGTTGATAATGGTAGGTATAAACAATAGTCGCGTTAGGAATTGGAAGTATGTGCATGTCATTGCCTCAGAGGGTTCTGTCAAATTACTTGATGTAGGTACTACTTGTAAGTACTCTTGAGGCGGGTTCATTTACCTTGCTGGTTCTGTAGTTCTATCAAAAAACCAGATGCACATATTGTATTTCGAGTCGCTCAGAATTTTCGTCGCCTGCCCCATCACAACTCCTTCTTCGCTCCCTCAGGTTCGACGCTGCTTTTGCTGAGTTCAACCTTGGCGGGTTCCTCCTTTTTTGCCGAGGCGGTGGACAAGCGCGCAGCCGTCGGCTTGGCGGCGGTTCCGTCCGGCTTTTTGTCGTCGGGGAAGATAAGAGCCTCGCAGGTCTCGAGGTAAACCGAGTTCTGGTTCCCCTCGACCGTTACAAATCCCGTGTAGTCCTTGCCGCTCTTGTGGCCCACCGTGACCGCCTTGACGCGGATGAGTCCGCTGGTTGCCTCTTTTCGCGGGAACGCGATGGCCCGCACTTGGTCGCCCACGGTCAGTCGCACCACCGGGCGGAACGCCTTCATCTCGAAGATGTCGGTCAGTACGGTTTGCTTGATTACCACGTAACCCGGAGTGTGGAGCACGAAAAAGGTACCGCCGCGCGCACCTGTTTATCAAGAGATGAAAGTCGATTTGCACGCCACCAGACCCGGCCTTGACCGACAGAATACAGCGTTGTTACAAGTAAAATGTACATAGACTGAAAAATAAAACTGAAGGTGGAGGGCGGGGCCGAAATGAACAAGCGAATAAGTAAGACATCAAGCTAATCTAATCTATCGTACCGTGCAGCGTGACCCAGCCGCGCTTGAGTGTCTGGTCTTCGTCGGTTGGGCTCGGGACGGTTTCGGCCTCGAACCGCACCATGTCTTCGGACTTCTTGACGTCGCCAATGAGTCGCACAATGTCGCCCGCCTGCAGGCGGCACACCTTCTGGAACTTGCCCGCAAGACTCTGGCCCTCGGTCATGATCGTCGGCTTGGTGCAGCGGTAGTGCATCTTCGCGAACAGGTTGGAGAATTCGTCGCAGCTCATGGGCCTCTTGTCGTTGCCGACCAGCACGCTGTAGATCTTTTTGATGATGGCCGGCGGGATCGGGTCCGACATGGCTTCCTGCATGAAATTGCACACAATCTCGCAACTGATCCACTGTTTGTCCTTCTCTAACTTCTCGTTCTCCGGGTTCAGCTGCTTCAGTTTCTGCTCAAACAGCTCGACCGGGTCGTTTTCCCGGAAGAAGGTAGCGATCTCCGTGCGGGAACGGAGAAGGATGTCGGACTCCAGGTTTTCCTTCAGATACGTCCTGTCCACCTGCACGCCGTGCTTGGACTTGAACATGCGCTGCTTCAGACTCGAGTAGCTCGGAAGGCAGGACTGCACGACCTGCGCTTTCTCCGTGTTGGTCAGCAGTTTGAACTGCTCCTTGTTCTGCAGAAACTTTGCGGGGTCGTTCTCCTTTGACCAGAGTTCGATGTCGTTCAAGAAATGGTCCAGCTCGTTCACCTTCTCCTCGAAGTGAATCCCCAGCTCGCACAGCTGCTTCGCACTGTGAACCGGCTTCTGATTAATCGCCTTCTTGTTCGGGGAACTGTCGTCTGCGTCTGGTGATGTGGATGATTTTTTTTCTTTAACATTCATCTAGATGTCGGACATCGAATTTGCTCGCGATATTTCCACGTCCTGCGCGTATTAAGCATTGACTTGAAGAAAACATCACCAAATAATCTTTCCTAAATTTTCAAATAGAAACGAACTTCGACCGCATCGTGCCGTGATCGAAAATTCTGAACAACACGTCTGATGAAATCATGATCTATACATAGCAGCACAAATTTAGTACCCGCAGCAGCCTCCCCTTCCTTTTCCTTGTCGTCTTTGCTGGTTGGCACCTCTGGTTCTTCCCCGGTGATGTCGGTGTAGAGCTTCTTTTTTATGCTTTCCAACGACGTGACCTTGGCATCCTTCTCCGCGACCTCCTTTTTCACGACCGACGCGATCTGCTTGAACTCCCGGAGTTCCAGCCCCTTCTTGTAGGCCACAAATTTCTTGTTCAGCTGCTCCTTGTTCTCCAACTTGCTGCTCTGCGTGTTGCGCATGAACTCTACCAAGCTGTCCACGTGCTTCTGCACCAGGAACAGCCGGTACTTCAGCCGCAGCATCGGGTCCATGTCCGCCTCGTTCGGCCGGTTCGGCTCCTTCATCTCCACGTCTTGGTTCTCACCGTCCTTCATCTCCACGTCGCCGTCCTTGTCCGCGGGTGCGGCAGCTGCACTCTTGTTGTCCTCTTCCGCGTAGCTGTGGTACTTGAGCAGGTCGGGCGTCTTCAGCTCCCGCAGGTACTTCATGATTTGGTCCGACGCCTTCACGCTCTGCAGGTCGCCGAAGTAGAGTTGCATCTCCTGCCGGATCATGCCCACCTCGCTGTTCACCTTCCGCAGGTGGTTGTCGCACTTCTCGATCAGCGTCTTGAAGTCCTTGTCGAACTCGGGGTGCATCACGGTGTCGTTGTCGGATTTTGTGTTGCTGTCGTCGCTTTCCGCGTTCGCCCCGAGAATCTTCTCCACGTTCACGTCCTCCAGCTTGCACTGGCTGTTCATCTGCTTCAGCTTCTGCAGCACCTGCTCGCACTCCTGCTTCACCGACTGCACCGCAATCACCTTCGACTCGCACGCCTTCGGCAGCTCCGTGGCCAAGACCTGTGACAGATTGCGATTGTACAAGCTGGAAACTACGATGAAGAAATTTATATCGTAGTATAACGTGTTGCGCTGCCTGCTACAATCACGAGAACGAATATTCTTCGTCAACCTCGTCGCAACAAGGACACGGGGGGCTTTGCGGTCCTCCAAATCAAAGAAAAAGGAAAAAAAACTTCTAGAAAATTATACCCCGAGTTCTTTCTGCAGCATTTCGTCGGTCCACTCCTTGCCGGTAATGCGGGTTTTTGCCTCGCCTTCCTGCAAGATGTACATTTTGCCCGTCTCCTCATCCTTCAACAGGTTCAAGGCACCGGCCTGGCCGCCGCTCTGCTTGGCCTGCAGCACTGCCAGCGACTGCACGAACATGGTGCCGTGGCTGCCCTTCATGGTCACCCAACCCTCCTGACCGTCAATCATCGCACGGACCTTCATTCGCAGCAGCTCCGCCTCCTTGTGCCACTCCGGAGTCGACACAGCGAGCATCTGATGGAGTGATTTTTTGAGGTAAGTGGACGACGGTTTTCATACCGCTAGAACTCGGCACTTCTTTCTGCTTCGTCTTCATCTTATGCTGCTCATCACGCATGTCCGTCTACATTTTTCGGCGTCCAGGTCCATTCGCATGCATGTAAATAAACCATAGTACGTCTGCGTGCACAAGAAATCAACAGATGCATTCACGCAGTATTAGACAACGTAAGCATGATACCTTTTCATCCTTCTTCACCCTTCGGATAACTTTGAAGCCCTTAAGCTCGTAGGTGTTGGTAATCACGGTCTCCTGCTTTATCAAATGTAAAAATGTCTGGGTCTGGAAACTTGTGATGCTGGGTGCCGTCTCATGATGAGGCCACAAATGCGGGCTCAGCATGACAGGTTTCTGAGATTCTAGGTGTTGCCTATTCTGCATGACAAACTGCGTTTCTGCATCACAGAAAAATGGAGCTCTTGGGTAACGTGCATGACAGACTTAAGAGTTATGCTAGACAAGCATGACAAACATGCATTCTTCCAGACCCAGACATTTTTGCACTTGATATGCTTGATCTCGTACCCATTCGAGTACTTTTCCAGGTTGTCGAAACTGTTCTTTGGTTCCCGAATGTTCACCCATCCCTGCAAGCCGTCGCGCACACGAGTCACCTCCACCCGCATCACCTCGTAGGGAGCCTGAGATTGAGTTTTTTGGCACGAATATGAACGACCTGCGCGTTCCTGACTTAGTATGAACTTCACGCATTCGCAGCTCAGAAAACTACATCCATCAAAAACCATGCGGATTGATCCTTGTTCCTTGTCCTGCGTATATATCATAGCACGACGCGTTCTACGCTGCAACAAGCGTTGTACTACCTGTCCCAGGGGCTGGAAGATGACCGTTTCCGGTCCGTTGATGACGCGGACGACGTCGTCCGCTTCCAGTTTGCCGACCGCGTCTTCCGGGTCGTCCTTCTTCGGCACGACGCTCTCCTTGGACGCGGTCACGTCGCAGGGGTTGATGCACATGTAGTGCGCCGCCATGATGAAGAGCGCGAACTCCTGGATGGACAGCTTTTCCTGCACGGCCGCGTCCTCGGTGGCCTGGTAGTCCATGATGGTCGCCTGCGCCTGCGCCCGCTGCTCCTCGGACCAGGTCGCGTCCGGCTTGTTCTGCAGAGCCTTCTCGTGGCGCTGCAGCGAGGTCACTGCCTTGCGCCACGCGGACGGCAGGTACTTCTTCAGCAGCATAATGTTCTCGTTGCCGCCACCTGAACGTAAAAAGATGTTAGTTTATGATGCGGCTTGTACAGGGTAGTCAATATATAAGCACAGAATCAAAAACGCTTTCTAAAAGAGCGTCCGCTCTTCAGCACTCTTCTTCAGAGGAAATCAATAGAAACAAAACAATAACAAAGAGTAAATCGTACCAGCCAGCAGATCGTCAACGAAGAACCGGATTGCCTGCTCGTACGTGATCGTATCCGCTCCCTCACTGATGGCCTTGAAGAGGTCCTCCTTGGACTTGCCGTCTTCCGCCAACCGAGCGTGGATGGCGTTGGACAGGAAGACCGCGAATTTTTCGTCCTCCTCCTGCGACTTCTCGCGGACCTCCTTCTCCTTCAGGTTCAGCGACGACAGATTCTTTCGCACCCGGTTCAGGGCCTTGGTCAGCGTGCCCTTCAACCCACCGGACATGTTGGTGTCCGGGTGGTCCAAATCCGCCTGCAGGATGTCATACAGTCCCAGCACTTCGGACTGCGTGTTCGCGATCGACTTCAAAGTCACGTCCGCAGCAGAAATCGACGCGGATTTCTGTTTTTGTAGTGGTTTGGAAAGGTTAAAAAATCGCACAGTAGGTCATTTGACTAGGCCACACCCTCCAAATTCTTACTTTATCTTCTACCGTGCTCGTACAAAAATAGCAAAAGAAAAAGTGCTCAAGATTCTTTCAAGTACCTTGACGAGGTAATCGGCGAACATGCCGATTTCGTTGGCCCGCAAGCTCTTTTTCTGCGCTTCCCGACGCACCCGCTCCTGCTCCTCTGCTTTGCGCTTTCGCTCCTCCTCGTCCTTCTTGCGCTGGATCTCCTTCTTGGCCTTGGCAATCGGAGCCGCAATCGTGCGCTTCACCTCGTTCAGGTCCTTAATCAACTGGTCCGCGGCCTTCTGGCGCTCTTCGATGAGCGGTTTCAGTTCCTTGGCTTTCTCCTCACCGAGCACACGGAAGGTCGCGTTCAAGTCGCCTGGGTACAGAGTGGGGAGATGTCACAGGATCAAATTCTTGCTAGCGACGCGCGCAATATCAAGCCGTACTAATCAGGTCTGAAACACGAAAATTGACTATATCGAATCGCAATTTTAAATCTACTGCTTGAAAAAGCTTCGCAGTGAAAAAGCAGAAATAAAAGAGAGTCAAATGTTTATCAAGTATACCAATGTAGTCCTTGAAGCCAGCCATGGCCTTTCGTGCGGCCGCCTCCGTGATCACGACTTTCTCGTCGATGGCCACAATGTCGTCCGGGGACGAGTGCTCGCCCAGCTCGCACGTGAGCAGAACGGTCTCGTCTTTGGTCTGCTCCACATGCGCCTCCAGGTCCGCAACCAATTCCTTCAGCCGCGGCTCCATCTCGGTTTTCAAGGCCTCAAACTTCTTCTCCAGGGCGTCCGCGCACTCCTCTGTGAAAAAAATGATGAGACAATATATTGCGCTTTGATGATGCAGAGTTTGATCATCTTGTTGTATGTTTCTCTTCCTTGGCTTTTGAGTGTTTGCCACAATGATTCAAATAAGTGACGAGGCTAGAAATATAAGTACATGAAAGCAGTAGCAGCAGTACACAGAGAACGCATGAACAACTCTTTTGCAGACAATAAAAACCAATACTTTCTCGCGCCGCGAGCTGTTCCTCGGCCTTGGACACGCGATCCTTGATCGGATCGAGCTTCACTTCCTGGTCGCCGGTAAACGCCTGTTTTTGCTGGGCCTCAATAAACTTCTTGGTTGAGGCTAAAGCGTTGTTGGCCACCTGCACCGCGCGTTGGGCGTCCGCGCTGTTTTTATCCGCCTCCAGCGCCTTTTCCACCGCCTTCTCGATGTTACCCACCTGCTGCTCCAGGTTCTGCAGGGTCTTCTGCTGACGCAAGGCGACAGTCGGGTGTACCGCGGAGGGGACCACGGGGGGAGATCTGAAAAGGGGGTTGTTTCGCAGGATGTCAGAGTGATATGAGTCTTCATCATCATCTCTTCGTCAAAGCTCCTGAGAAGCCTAAAACTTGTAGTGCATATCATAAAATCTCCACGCCCGTCGTGGTGAATAAAACGCAAGCAACTACAAGGACTATCAGGGCTGTCCGCTTGATTTGCGTTTACTGGCACTTCATGTTCATTGTAGGTTACAATTTCCATAACATAATTCTTTCCCCAAGTAGAACGAAGCGATTGAATTGCTTATACCCTTCGGTTTTCTGCACTTTCGCCTGCGGTGCGTCGGTGGCTTCCATACCCGGGCGCTTGGCCCCGGCGGGCGAGAGGAGGAGCTTGACCGCGGGATCCGGGGTGGCCTCGTGCCAGGGCACACGCCAGCCGCTCGCCGGCGGTTTCTGGTCCTTGGACGGGTTGAAGGCCCACACCTGCTCACCACCCACGACCGGGGCGACCCACCAACCAGACATGGCCTCGCCATCACGATCGTCCCAGAAGTAAATGCCTGTGTGTATTTTTTGGTAAAGATAATATAAACCCCGTCATCCTGCCTACAAATTGTCGTGCGATCTCCTGGTTCCGTTCGCATTCCAGACCACACGTAACGAGTGGCGCTGAATAAATAAGCTCCACACGTGAAGAAGAAGAAGAAGATTCTCAAATTCGCTCTGGGCTGAATAAACTTCCATCCAGTAAACAATGCTGTACAGCTCGCGTCGCAGCCCTCGATGCCGGTGGTTTCTCTTCTCCACTGCAACTTTCCATGGTTGTTGCCGGGCAGCTGGTCGTAGCTTCCGTTCAACGGAGACAGGTGCGAGGCAAACCCGCTCGCATTGATAGTGTAGGACGTTGTCATTTTGCTTTTCTAGAGAAGTGGAGTTGTTCTTGAAAACTTCTTTTCTAAATCGAAATAGATATTATGTAAACCGCCGGCGTGCTCTACTTGTTTACTTGTTCTGCACCGAACGGCTTTACAAGTTGCGATGAAATACTTTGCTAATGCTACTATTTTTGCAACCAACGGAGCAAGCTACAATCAAATGTTTCGTGGAAATCTATTTTTATTACGTTGGAACAGAATAGCCATTCAATTACCGCTGTAAGAAAGTACGGAGTAATTTTGTATCCGATCGAAAAAGGTTTTTTTTTGCGAAAACGCACTCTTTTGCTTTATTGCGTTCGTCTTCGTTGTGCTCAAAATACAGCTCGACGTTATCCGCAGAAATATAAACACAGTCTCAGATGAAGAAATGCGAACTACAGCTTTGAAATGATGATGGGTGGGACCACTGTGGCGCTGCAGAGGATCGCAAAAAAAGATTTTCAAAGCACGTTTTCCATGACCGCATTCTTCGTGAAAAGGGCGGGACAAAAATGCACACGGATCTGCTGAAATTTTATTGGACCACTGGATTTTTCATGATTTTGTGATCGTACCAAATCAAAGCGGACTCTGAGGCATGCAAATCTTCATTGGTTCTCGCTTACCAGTGAAACTCTGTGTATCTTTCGCACACATGATCGATAAGATCCATCGCAAACATTTTTATAGATCTGATGATCTCTTCCTGGAAAAATTCGTCTCAGTACACTAGTCCAGTACCTACACAAGCATTCCTTCAGAACCTCCCTAGCAATACGTGCCTCGCTACGCTAATCCGTATTAGAAGCAGGCTACTTCCGCGAACTGAATGCGATATACCTGCTAGAACACTATATCGTCTTCGTATGCGTCTCTCTGTGCACGATAGCTTTGTTTAGATTTCTTTCACTTCTGCGCTCTGGTTGTGGTTTCGTTTGATCATTGCATTTTCGGTGTACCATAGCTGTATTCATCTTCGTCTGTATTCAGTTGACGCACATGGACGTCTCGCTACTCTCTCATACCTATTCAAACCAGTGAAAAAAAGCAGCGCGTAGTCCATAGTGCGCTTGAGTCTACTACGTGCGGTGCACTCATCAATTGTCGTTTACTGTGTTCTTGACTCGAAACGGGCATCAAAAGCTCACTTTTCAGAGTTCAAAGTAGATTTGCTGAAATTCTATCGTATCTACACACGGAGGCTCCTCTCCGGTCACGACGCGAATACGAACTGCGAAACGTGTAATAAGTAATTTTTCCTACAGTTACATTTTTATTTGTGCTTTCGTTCATGTTTTTACGATTGTCGTCGAGATTGAGAAGCAGTAGACCAATCAAAATGAGCACCTGATGGACATAAAGCAGAGACACCACAAAACGTTAGCCAGCTCGTGGTATCGTGAAAATAAGTTCATTAGACTGCATGTTGTTACTAGTTCAGATTTTCCTAGTTCGCTTGTATCTCTCGTGGATCCGCAATTAATCGATTCCTTGCACTCATAGTGTAAAACTAAAAATGCTTGAAATAATGATCATTTCAATCTGCTAGCATCGCCTGCTTCGAAGCCGTTTGCCGTCTTTTTCATCCGCAGAGCTGCTTGTTGGCTCCGGTTATGATTCTCCTCGCGTCCTATCAGCAGCGACAGCGACATTGATCAGCGAAACTCTTAGATAGTAATAGCAACTTTTCGTCCTTCCCCAACACTACAGCTCCACACTTTCCGCGTTCACAGCTGGTGGTCCTCCGACTGCGTTGTCACCACCAGCAGTTCCGCCCGGAGCTAATCCGGAATCCCCTGCCGGCACGTGATGGAAGTGCTGATGTACTTGCTTTAACCGTTTCTGCACGACCGCGGGGTCGCTCGCCCGGGACGCCCACTTTTCCATCTGCTGGTCGCGTTCCGTGCCAAAGAGTCGCATCTGGGTCTGGAGCTTGTCGCCGCCCCCGGCCATCTTCTTGCGCAGGATTAAATTCTGCTTCGCAGTCATCGAGGCAAAATTGTCTTGGCAACCCTGGGAGAGATTTGTTAGGGATTTTCATTCTTTATTTTTGCGAAATCAAACTCATCAATATATATTTTCTATCTTTCTTTCTGTGCCCAGGCACGGCATCAAAAGTCCGAGGCCCTAAAAGATCCGTCGTCAATAATATTTTTGGTTATGCTCCTGTGGCGGTTCATTATGCATTAGAGCAGCTTCATCTAACTCCCTCTGTTTTATTGCAACACCGTAAACCAAGTTCATGTTTGCACCACAAGGCCATGATCTAGCTACTTCTCTTTATCTTCTATACCTGGTAAAACCCCACCATTTCCATTTTCATCGCCAACCTGACGCGCTGCTCTTCGACGTCCCCTTGTTCGGCTGAACTGGTTGAGTAGCTCCTAGGCCGACTTCTTCCGAGCAGTTGTGCTTGTGCATCTCCCCCCATCATGTTACCCGCCGTACCCCGTGGTCCCACACGTTGATCGCTACTCCCCGCATTGTTGTTCATCATCGCTCCTGCGGTTGATGTAGTAGAAGAAGTAACTCCACCTCCTGCACCTCCTCCAGCACAGCTGTAGAGCCCACTCAGGGGCACGCTCTCCTTCAGCCGGGGCCGCCGGGTCGCGGCGTTCTTCCTGCGCGCGATGTAGGCCGGTACCGCGTTTGCGCGAAAAGGTGGCACGGGCTCGCGGAGAAACAGCGCGCGCTCCCGCTCGTCCGGCGACAAAGAGCGGGCGCCCCCACCACCACCAGGCTGCACGGAGGTACCCTGTTGCAGTGAGGAAGTCATTGTTGTCGCAGGACCATGGTGGAGTTGCGACTGGGGAGCGGAACCGGAGGTGGATGATACATTATGCTGTCCCGTAGTTGCATTTGTTGAGGTATTACAATGAAAAATGCCCCCAGCCCCGAACTTGAAAGCATTTGTATTGCAAATCTTTCCAAATGAAACATTCGCCCTCTTGCGTGTATCAGCATCACAGATTTCCGATCGTGAATAGCAAAAATTTGTATTGCAAAAGATCCCAGCAAGAGCGGTGCTTGTCATGCAAGCGATGCGAAACACGACTAGATTCTGCATCAGAAAGATTCGTACTCCTTTCATGCATGACAAAAAGCTTTCATTTGGAAACTTCGCATCACAAATTCTTGCAATTTCAGGGGTGGGGGGCATTTTTCACTTTGATATGAGGCGGCCATGGCGGACGCAATGGTTTGCCGCTGCAACTGCTGGGAGGAAGAAGACGATGCGATGATAGAGTTGTGCGTTTGCTGCAGCGGCTGCGTCTGTCCCAGGTTGTTGTAGTTCTGGTTCAACATTTGATTGTGAGGTGGTCCAGCTCCAGTTTTGTTCGAAGATGAAACCGTCATTGCTCCTGCGTGCTTGGCGGCGACGACTTTTTGCGAAACCGGACTGGCCCCGACCTCCTTCAGGTTCTCCTCCGGCACGCTGGGCAGCGCCTGCCAGGTGGCCGCCAAACTGGACCGCCGGCTGTTGGGGGTCGACCCGGATGCTTTGGTCGCTGGCGCGCCCGTGGCTGTCCGCGACTTGCTGTGTGCGGAGCTGCCCGAGAGCGCCCCGCTCAGGTCGATGGTCTGCGAAAGGGCAGCCACCCCCGTTTTGCGCGACGCAATCACCGGGAGCTGGGGTGGCGGGGGAGGTGGCTGCATCGTAGCTTCGGGTTCGCGGCGCGTCGCGGCCGAGGGACTGCTCACGGAACCCGATATACCCGGGGCCGCAGCACCGGCGCCATCTTTCGCTGCACTGCCGCTCGTTGGCGTCATCGAAGCAGATTGGTTATTCGCGTGCACATTATTTGCCGTACTAGAAGTGCTTTTTTGTGGGCTTGCGTGTGAAACCGTGGCGGCCAAGCTAAACGAAGTCCCGGCCAGGACGTCGCTGCTGGCTTTTGGGGTTGCGGCTTCTTGTTCTATTTTCGGAGTCAGAGAGGACATCGTGCGGTCGCTTACAGCAGCTCCCGGAGATCCCCGCACCGTAGAGCTCGCCGACCGCCGAATGTTTTCCATCGTGGACAGCATTTTTGCGTGCTGACTCTCGCTGATGCCGTTCCTGTCTGACTCGTCCGCTTGTGGTTCTATATCGGTAAAATTCGACAAAAATCCAGACATCTTCTTGCTCTCAGCACTAGCTTTCTCCCTCTTCGCAACCCACCCGCCGCCGTAATCCTCGCTTCCTTCCTCCGTAGCGACCCGCGCGCCCGAAGAAGACTTGGGGGTCGCAGCAAAGAGCTCGAAATCATCCGGCGTCATCGTGTAGTTTTTGCTGTTCAGATGACTCGCTGCTCCAGCAGGAGCAGCACGCGCGTTATTGAAGAACGCAGATTCCTTCACGGCCACGCTCTCCTGCACGCTCTGGTCCTTCGGCGCCGGCGGGGGCGGGGGCGTTGGGTCCCGTCGCGTCGCGTGGAAGTCCTTGGCGTTCGCCACCGCCCACTCCTCCTTCGGCCCGTCGTCTTCCCAGAAGGACTTCTTTGGCGTCTGCTCGGCGTTTGCCACATATTTGGGAATCAGGGGCAGCGGCGGCACGGACGCCGCCCGCTTCGATTTCGTCGAAGTTTTTGAACCCGCCGCACGTGTTGTACTACTAGCAGCACCGTTTTGAGCGGACGAACCTCCTTGTTGCAGCGCCGACGTGGCAATGTCTTGGTTCACCGCAGCACTGCTTGTCGTGTCCATCTCCGCTCCACCGGCAGCTCCCGCACCACTACTACCCCCGGTCGCGGTGCCCTTCGGCACGTATTCGAACCCGTTCTCGGTTACGACGATTTTGGTGTTGGCGGGAATGGCAGCGCTGCTGGTCGCCGCCGTCTGGCTCATCAGATGTTCCAACGTCATCGAGCTGTTCAAACTCTTCGTCGCCGGTTGCGGGTTGCTGTATGTGCGGTACAAACTCCGCTTCGAGGAGGACGCCGAACCACTGAAGCGGTCGGTCGCCGGGGTCAGCAGCGGGTTTGCACTCAGCCGCGCGAACACGTCCGGAATTTTGCCGTTCCCTGCCGCAGTCGAGGAGCCCCCGACGTCCTGCCGCCCGGTCGTTGTGGTCGCGCCGTCGTACGTTTGTGAAAACGAGGAGTTTGTGGCTGCTGTGCTCGCCATGGTAGAAACCGTGTTGGATTGGTCCTGCAACCGCTTCTTGTGCTCGCGGACGATGGACGAAATATTGGCCGCGGTAGAGCAGTTGGACCCCGCCATGGCGCTCATGTTGTACAAGGACTTCGCCCGGAGCTGCTCCTCCCGCCTTCTCGCCTCCTCCTCCCACTTGCGATCTTTCCTATCAGAGTGCAGAAAGCGTCACTCCCCTCGCCTCATTCTTTTGTTTTAGTTTTTTGCAACAAAATTACAAGTATCCCGATTGCTGTTTTCTTTTTTTGCAGTCGTGACTTGAGTGACAAGTTGAGGACCGTGCCGAAAGAGCTGAATATTCCGTCCGATCATTTTATTTTGTATCTTTCATGCAATAGGTAGCTCATTGATGTCATTTCTTCACTGTCGCAATTTCATTTTGTCTGAGAGGCGAGAGGGGACTTGGTTGTACCATGTGATACGTGCGCCGCTCCAGCGTAATGCTGGAGTCCGATGTGACGGACGCGTTGTGCGAGGCATTGCCTCCCCGACGGGTGGACGTGTAATTAGATCCGGTAGTCGCTCCTGCTGCACCGCCGGCTGTTGCTCCAGCACCGCCACGGCCTGGTCTTGTCGGCGACATTGAAAAATTTCCTTGCGAACTAGAGGAACTGCCAGTGGGAGCGCCAGCACTACCGTGGATGTTCCCCGCTGCCATGCTGGAGAGCTGGTAGTTCAGCTTGCGCTTTTCCTCCTGCTCCTTCAGGAACGTTTCCACACTGAACTCGGCCTGCGCAAACACGTTCGACGTGTTCTGGGCAATCTCGGTGGCATTCGACTGTGTGATGATGTTCTGGGTGGTGGCAAACATCTGCGCATTCTTCTCCACCTCGGAGGAGCTCTTTACCCGAAACTTGTTGCTCTGCGAAATCAAGTTTGCGCCAGCCAACCGGTGCATATGCTTGCGGCTCTCCTGGAGTTGTAGCGGTTTGGTGTTTCTTTTCCGCCCTTACCCTTAGGGGAGCCAAAACAATTTTCGGTGTCAGATTTTTATTAAAACTTTTTTCTAATCACGCACTCTTGCGTAGTAAGTACAGCTAAAGATTTATTCAGCTGACATGAAGCGTGTGCTGTGCCATGATGCCTTGTGGGCATCGAACAAGTTCTCCGCGAGTCAAATCATGTATTTATACCTCATCCGCTTCCGAGGTCGAAGCTCCTTTTCCCGGACTCCTCTGCGGATTGTTATACGGCACGCCGAGTAAGGGCTTGCTCTGCATCGCTGTCGGACTATCACGTCGGAAATACGTAGATAAGTACCCAGCAACACACCCTTCAGGTGGATTTTTCGCACTCAAACGGATGCATGTGAATGTCGAAGTCACAGTCAGTGTTTCTCTTTGCAAATACTTATATAGCTGAAGCCGTAAAAAATTTGACTGAAGCTCCTGTAAGTGCTATATGCAAATGAGCTGGTGTGGTGGGTACTTGTTACACTTTTTCCCGACTGATATGGCACAGAGGCATGGTCTTTTTCGAGCCGCTTCGACAGTTGGTCCAGCAGCGCGTCCGAAGGCTGGAAGGCTTTAAACATCTTGCCAAGAATGGTTCTTGTTTACTTCGGAGTGATGTAGATCTAGATCATTTTTATCGATACATATTTTATCATTGCGGCATATGGTCAGTACGCTGTGCCTGCTTATGGATTTTTCCAGAATGAGGCTGGTGGTTTAACACTTTCAATTTGATGCAGAAAGGAAGTCTCCACCGCCTGCTTCAATTTCTCCGGCGAAAAAACAATAGCCGCACAGGATGATAACTAAGTGATCAAATCAAATCAAATTGTTTTCACGCCACTTAGTGCAGCGCCACTTAGTGCAGCGATGCAATGATCTGAAAAGTAGCAGTGCTTGTCCTTCTTTGACAATGGCGCTCAGACTCCGTGTAACCTCTCACTCGTCAGTTGCAACTCTCCGTCTCAATGTGCATGTCCGATATCCTCACAAACAAAAGCACGAACGAATAGTATGTCGTGCGTCTCATACTCACGACCACGAAACAAATGCAACGCGTCTCGCAATCACGAAGCTAAGGACTAAAGTACTTTCCAAAAATGCTGTAACGGGCTGAAAAATTCCCAACAAGTGTTGTGTACGCAGACCGAACATACATAGTCGACGAGGAGGATTGCCGTGATTGTAAAATCGCGTAGAGAACAAGCTCGCGAACAAATTCTATACAAATGCACGGCACATGTTTTTTGCCGTCGTTCCGCGCACCGTTTGACAGTGGGTCGATGGGTGATGCTGCAAGAAAAAAATGACCACGAGACCCGGTCTTGCGGAAAACCAGCAGTCACCGCATGACTTGGTTTCGTCGCACTCTCAAAATAGATTCCTTGAGGATCCAGGTAAAACGTGACCAAGGAATCTTCGTTGTGAAATTCTTAATCTTATTCGTTCCTGTATCCTCATCATTGTACTTCCCCGTGCTACGTCGCATAGACACGGTATTCCCCAGCCGCTTCGCAATTCAGTTGTTGTCGGATCCAAACCGGCGGTGGCTCAAGGGGAATCTGGAAGGGCGGAAAGCTCTCGCCCTGCGTGTAAAGCTCCAATAACTGCTGCCGTTTCACCGGGTCGTCTGCTACATCACCAGCACTCGGAGCTGATGCAGGAGCTGTAGCGATCGGAGCTTGCTGAGGCCCGGGCGTGGGGCCGGCGGTTCCAAACAGCGACGCGGAGGTGGAGGCGGAACTGAGATTTGCGCCGCCGGCGCTTGTCGTGTCTACGTTGCTGCCCGTACCAAAAAGTTCTTGTCACACGGAAAAGAAGTGCAGCTTTACCTTTGCCTCGCACAGCAGAATAACGTATGCTCGTTGTTAGCAACGGTTTTCGTTTTTCACACATCCTTCTTTTTCCCAGGTCTTCCATGCGGTTGACCGTAGGTCGATACAAACTAAGCATGCAGAATAAACTACTTAAATAAGCGGGACGACAAACAGAGCGCGCTTTCTGTCGCATCCGGAAGGAACAGGAAGATGAACGATGCAAAGTATTCTCGTGAGAACTATACCAGCATGCTGAATCTGTTGCAAATAACCCGCGTGGTGGAGATTCCTGCTGAAAGGAGGGCTGCACAACTACAACAGTTTGCTTGTCGTAGACTGGTGCCCCCGCCTGCTCCTGTCGGCACCGTTGGCGCGAGCCCGGTGAGACCGCCGTCAGTTGTCCCGGGGGGCGCACCGCCCGCAATGTCGTCGTCTTCGTCATCCAGGCCCAATAAATCGGCAGTCGCTTTTGCCGCGTTGGCCTTTTCCTTTTTGTTTCCAAACGGGTTGCTGGTGGCCGCGGTCGCCACTGCCGCCTGTCCGAAGCTGCTACCAGCCGCGGTGGGTAGAATATGAAAAGGAAAAATCCCCCTTCCCCATATCAAAAAGAAAATCTGTGATGCTGGATTTGCGTACACAAATCAGATTTGTATTGCAGGAAAGCACTGCGGCCAGATCCCCAGGCTAGGGAGGGGCGTATGGATCTAGTTGGTCAGCATTGCAAACGGCTGACCTTTAGGCCCAACAGCATGAAAAATCGCTTCCATAATGGGGCGGAAGCTTCTGCCCTTGTCTTCTTGCAAGACAAATCAAATGTGATTTGTGACCTCAAATCAGCAACACAAATTTTCGGAAAGATACCTTTTCGATATGGGGAGGGGGGATTTTTCCTCTCAATATAGAACTGCGGCAGTGCGGAAAGCGTTGGTGCCTGTCGGTATCAAAGGAAAGAAGAAGGTAAGAAATTTGGAAGATGAGTCTTTCCCTGTTTACAGACGAGGTAAGGGGGCGATGTGCACATGATACGGATTTGCCGCTTTGCCTCGATTGTTTTTTTACTTCAGCAGAATCAAGTACAAAACGTTCTTGGCTTCTCCTATCTTGCCCGATACTTTGTGATGTCGTCCTCCTCGTGATCGAGGCAGCCAAAAGCAAGAGCGACGAGACAATAGGGAGAGAAGATAACTTGTACGAAGTAACATGAGTGTCATCTTTTTCCTGCACAGGACGAGCACATGACCTTTATTTGTGCGGTGTTCTACTTTCACACCGAATCAAAAATTGACTGCAGTTTCTTGAGAGCCACGCGCCACGTTCTGTAGTGCCACAAGGGACTCGTCCAAAGTGACTTCCTCCTCCTTTCAGTTCTTGTGCATACAGCCGCCAAAGCCGCCCATCCCGCCGCCGCCGCCACTGATCTGGAAGCCCTGTCCCGCAGAGCCTCCGCTTCCGGCCGCCACTATCAAAAGTAAAAGTGTCTGGGTCTGGAAACTTGTGATGCTGGGTGGCGTCTCATGATGAGGCTACAGATGCTGCCTAAGCATGACAGGTTTCTGAGCTCCTAGGTGTTGCCTATTCTGCATGACAAACTGCGCTTCTGCATCACAGAAAAGCGGAGCTCTTGGGTAACGTGCATGACAGATTTAGGAGTCATGCCAGACAAGCATGACAAACATGAATTCTTCCAGACCCAGACATTTTTACATTTGATAGCCACGCCAAACACCCCACTGGAAGAAGAGGACGACCCGCCGAAAAGCGGCTTGCTCGCGGGCTGCCCGAAGCTAGGCACCGGTGCGCTGCTGCTGGTTCCGAAGGTCTGGGCCTGGCCGGTATTGATCACGCCGCTTGCGGGCGCGGATGGTGCTCCGAACAACCCACCCCCGGACGCACGGCCTGCGGTTCCGAATGGATTGCTCGAGGTACTGCTGCTGCTCGCAGCAGGCTGCCCAAAACTCGTTCCTCCCGGAGCTTGCTGTGGCTGCAGAAATCCGCCACCCTGTGGTGCTGCGCCAAAAGTCTGCATCTGCTGCTGCCCGAAAGGGTTGCTGGGTGCTGTGGGCTGCTGCTGCGACAGTTGAAGCCCCCCGCCAGGTGCCTGTTGCAGCTGCTGCTGCTGCTGCATTGCCGCCTGCGGGCCGAATGGGTTGCCGCTGCCGGCTGCGGTGGAATGGCCAAAGCCGCCTTGCACTGGTTGTGCCGCCCCGAATGGATGCTGGTTGCCTTGCGATGCACTTGGTGCCCCGCCTCCTCCAAAGGGGTGCTGAAGTTGAGAATTTGCGGTCGCGCCACCAGTGGCGCCGCCGAGCACGAGTCCTGGACCTGGTTGTGCCTGTGCCTGCACCGGCGCTGTTGCCCCGAACGGGTGTGCAGCGGACGAGGACGAGGTCGATGTTGCGGGCAGCAGTTTCACACCCTGCATTAGCTTCACCACTCATTTATGCAATGGAAAAAGTGTTGCCGTACTTCTGGTACTGTTTTGCGAAGGATAATGATCCATTGCCTGGTGTTGCTAGGACTATCACAAACACTGCCATTGACGAGATAGAGTACTTTCACATTTACAGCACGCAATACGCACGGCTGGAGACACTATTGATATTCCTACATGTGGTTCTGCGTTAAGAAAGAACCGCTTCCGGTTACTTGATTTTGAATTAGACCCACGTGCTGGCCGTTGTGCTACAACCTTTTCGGCACGACATCAAAAAGGAGAGACAGATTTTTTTCAAACAGTAGTCGCGCGAGTAGCCAAAGCTGCTACTTCTTTTCCCTTGCATACAAGCTGTCGTCCAGCCGCTTCCCCTGCAGCGTGCAGCCCAGGGACTTGGCGACTAGGTCTGGCCCGAACACCTGCACGTACCGTTCGATCTGTTGCTGGTGCAATTGCACCCACAGGCCTTGCTTCTGGTCCGCGGTGGGGAGCTGCATCTGCTGAAACCGAAGCTCCTCGAAACTCAAGTCGTTCTGGACTAGATGCGGCCCGGTCTTCTCCTTCCCAAACCCCGTCGCGGGCCAGTATTCTACAGAAAAGCATACCCACACCAGAAAAAAAAAAGTATTTGCCATGCCATTTTTTGCATCCAGAAAAATTCCTTCCTTGCTGTCTGTAGTTCAGCTTGGCAAATTTTTTCGGGCGCCTCAGCCTGACCTTTCCCTTTGGCGCGCTAGCCGGCATTACATTCTCCATGCCAGACAGAAGCGGCCCTCTGTTGCAGATCATAATCTATTTGCAACAGAAAACCAGCAACACACATCTATTTTGACCACACATCAATTTTTGGTTCTGGTACGGATGTACTTTTCTCTAGGATAGCCAGGACAGTCCGTGCATGCCCTCCTTCAGGATCTGGTCTCATGGAAGCACAAAAAAATGTGTGAGCAATCAGCGGCTTCATCTCGTCGAGTGGAGACAGATTCCAATGCCGTATCGACAGCAGAACGTATGCAATTTGAATCATTAACATGCTTAGCTCGCACGCATACCTTGGTTTCTCGAATAACGACGACAAGTGCGCAAACAAGAGTTAGACAGCGACAGTCTGCCCACAGTTTACATTTTTACACTTGTCGCACTCTCAAAGAAGTCGCTCCTGACGCACATAACTTTGTCTTTCGCTTTGATACCTCTTGCTCGGCTTTTAGCCCCGCGCGGTTCACGAAGGCCCCCGAGGAGCTGCTGCTTGCCGTCGCCATGATGTGTTTGCTGCCCTGTTCTTACTCGCTACTCCTAGTACTCATTTACCCCCAGTAAAAGACTTACACAGAGATTCACTTTGCCTTTGCGATTCTTAGCCAACAAAATCTACTCACAAGAGGAAAACAAAGTAAAGGAGAAACGAAAATCTTGCACAGCTACCTCTAGTACGTAGTAACTTCTCTGTCGCATGAGCTTTAGATCGATAAGTGGTGTTGTGGCAAGACTGACCGTCCTGAGAGTTTATATGTTGAAAACTTTAGTCAAATTGTAAGAAAGTATTATACTCTTTTATTGCTTTGCAAAGTCCCAGAGCAAAACGAACTGCGCTACTCATTTTCAGCTTCCTGACGTGACCAACGATCTTTGCACTTACTACCAGCAAAAAGGAAAAAAACTCAGCGGATCACCGTCGTTCATTCATTCTCATCGCCGAGACTGTAAGCATATTGCCACGTAAAATCAAAATGAGAAGTATGTGGAGATAGGTTTACTGGGCAGGAGAAAGTGAGATAGCTTTCTAACATAGCACTCATCCTCCGCCGAATTGGTGTTTTATTCCTTGCTGCTTGGATCAATCTTGTTCCGGTCTGTGATCTACTTTTGGTCCGCCTTTCCCTTTTTGGAACAACACGAAGAGAGTCACCTCGTCACGCTCACGTCCCTTTCGAAAGGGCGCCTTACTTAAATAACAGTATTTATCAGATTAGGTCGTGCATTTTGAAAAAAACGATACTAGGTATCCTATTAATTTTTTTTTTCTGTTTCGCGAAACAACGAAAAAAGCTTGTGGAGAGTGAAAGTTTTAGTAGTGTAGTACTTTGGCAAGGGGTAAGACTGCCTGGCAGCACCAGAGTCGGGCACAAGTAGTCGCACTTGGCACAAGGATTAGGTGCTACGCTACTCGCCACGCACGCCCATACCATACCATGGAGATCGCGAAACTTGCCTCACCAGGCACGGCGCAGCCATCGACGCCAAGGCACCGACACCAGCACCTCACCATTAGATGACAATACAACATCGATAAATGACCAAAGTCACGTAAGTTAGTACGATCGTAGCATGATTGATTCCTTCTTCATCTCGTTGATTTTGATACCTTAGACACTCGCTTTTCCAAAAAGAATGACATATAAAAGTTGCAAAATATAAAGTACATAAACCGCCTTGAGCGAGGCAGCGCTCCGCCGGTTCCTTTATTTTTTCTATTTTGCAGCTTACAGCACTATCGCTGCTTTTCTGCCTGAACTTTTCAAAATTTCTATGCACATAAATGTTTGTTCTATAAGCGTGTCTCTCGCGTGTTGTGACTTTTTCAGAGTCTCTTGAAGGCGTTTTGCAGTGGGTGCCTGCACTTTTCTTTCAAATTCAATAAAAAACGTAGTGTGGGAGCCTCTTGAATTACAACAGCAATAACTCTCCCTCACACTGTTGAATAAAAAACGTGAAGAAGGCTGGCCTTTTGTTTTTCTTGGAAATGAAAACTGTTGAGTAACCGAAAGCTTCGCGGGAATGTCATCAAAACTTCGGCTTCAAAGTACGAGCACTATCATATTTTTTTACAAAAAGCTGGAGCTTCAACTGCCATCTGGCGTAGTCAAAAAATGGATTCGCCCCTAGGAGTGGCCGTCACGGCTATAATAGTGCCCGTCGAGGTGACCCAGTGCCCGTCATGTTCGTCATGCCGAGCAGGCGGTCCAATAAAAAAGTTTATACACAACAGCCACATAGAGAATAAATGGAATTTTGTCTCAGTAACTCATCACCGTAGCTACCTCCACCTCGGGCCCAGCGGACAAGCTTAATTTCACGGGACGATCGGGAACTACATGTCCTTGCGAAAAATAAATGACAAGTTGTAAAAATTTATCGCTTTTTCTTACGTTCTACGTACCAATTTTTTTTGATGTATCGCTATCACTTGGGGTCGCTTTTAGTAACCATAACCTCCTCCGTAGTCATACCCGTATTGGTCATTCGTGCCGACAACGCCACCGTAGGGGTCTTGGTAGGTCTATCAAACGCAACTAGATCTGGGTCTGGCTAAGTCCAGAAATTTGACTTGCAGATCTTACTAGATGCCTTACGAGGTGGTCTGGAATGCAGGGCACTACATCACGGGTTTGGGTTTCGTAAGAGCTTTATTGCAATGCATCAAAATACTATTCCAATTCAAAAAAACAGTCGCAGCATGGCCAGAGCAGGCACATTGGGCTACTCGCGCAAACCAAGTTTTTGTGTGATCTATATGACGCATAAGAAGAAGGTTTAACTTCTGTCCAGACCCAGACACATTTGCGATGCATACCGTTGGGTCACCGCCCATGCTCTGCCCGCTCCACCACGCTTGCTATGAGATTGCACCTCTCCCTCTCCTCCTCGGTAGCACATTTGATGGCTGGAAGTCTGGCTTCTCAATGACAAATCCACACAAGGTCTGTACTGCGAGCCTCGGGACCTTGTCATGTTGGGAAACTAAGGGCAGGGCGTCCCTTTTGTAAATCAAAACTACAAACTTTAAACCATCGTCATCGTGAGGTACCGCGCAAGCACGAATACCGGCGGAGTGGTGACGACCGAAAGGGTCAGGAGACCACCTACCTTGTCATGCAAAATTTTTGAGTAGTAGCAAACGCCTAAGGAAACGTGTCCGTGTGACATTGGTGTTTCGCATGAGACAAAGGGATTCGCGGGGTTTGTGCACTCTCACACTTGCTGCGCGGGATCGTGGAAGGCCGCACTGGAAAAGTGGGCGTGGTGTCCCCCATGCACGACGTGGTAAACAAAAAACACGGCGCCAATGAAGACACTCCCGATTATGCCCCACATCGCCAGTTTCGCGGCCCCGATGTTGGCGGTGCTGAAGAGATCAGCTAGCAAGCCAAGCTCGTCACACGCCCCTGTTACCGTATTCAACTCGTAGCCCGCTGCGCAGGTCTCGCATTTGTCGTACAGCCCGGATACTTGGTCGCAGCGGCCAGACACTTTCTCGCAGTTGGGCACCTTCGCACCCTTCACGCCAGTGCACGGCACGCAGTCGCCCTCCCCTCGACTGTCGGGCCCCAGCATGTAGGTCGGATTGCACATTTCGCAGTGCCGCTTCCCCTGCGTGGCTTGGCAGTTGGTCCCCTCAACGTACAGCTCGCACTGGCCCAGCTCCTGGCACGGCTCGCAAATAACTCGCTTGGAGTCGCTTCCCGGAACCTCGATCTCATAGTAGCCACTCGTCGCGCACTTGATGCAAGTGCGGTAAAAGTCCTCTGTGGAGTTATCCACTTGCACGCACGTCTCTGCGGTTTTCGTAGTGTTGTGATCTTCGCAACCGGGCATGTTCGGTATGCATTGCAAGTATGTCTGGGTCTGGAAGAATGCAACTCGTGATGCCGCCTTTGGGTTCTAAAAAAATCTGTATTTTTGCATGATCAGGAAGAGTTCAGTTTTTGGTACTTACGTGGAGACGGAGAGGGCATTTCTCAAGCTGGATAGGCATCAAGAGGCCCTTAGAAAATATGTGATGCTGTACCACACAGCACAGGCATCAAAGATCATGCAAAGTGTGCACGACATCAAACTTTGCACTTTTCCAGAGGTGGACCTAGACATACTTATTTGCATTTGATATTCGGGCAAGTAACGCAATAGTTCGTAGCGTTCGTGGTCTTTCCGGGGACGCATGCATCACACACTCGAGACCCAGGCAGTGGCACCATGGCACAGGACTTCGTTTCGCTGTATACGTTGCGTTCTGTCATCGGGAAAAGCCTGAAAACCATTGTGCGGAGCCAGCCGCCTCGGCGACTTCGAAAAAAGAGACTCATTGTAGCAGTTCCAGCATCAACCAAGTGAAGCACTGTTGTGCTGGCACCTCCACCCACAGTATCTACATAACACAAAAACACACAAGAACAAGCAACACGCGCTATGCATGCAAACCAATTCTAACTTCGTGAAATAAATGCGAAATCGGCGGCCTGGCTGTTTCATGCGATTGATCTTTACTCCCTTTCCAGCGCATAAAATCTCCTGAGTTATCTCCACACTTTACAATTTCGTTGGTCTGGGCATTCATATCCACCACAAAATCAACATCGTACACGAACGAATTCGAATTGCAATGCTGCATGACCGATCTGAAAGTACTACAGACCCAAGTTTTTTCACTGCCTCCTTCTAGTCGACGTCGGCCATCTGTGTGTCGTCCCAGCAGATGCATAGCTTTTCTCCCTCCTCTACCAGGAATCATCTACCACGGAAGGCTGGCAGAAGCAACACTTCGCGAATGCAATTTGATTTTGTCGTGCGTGATCGTGGTGCTGTTGCGACGCATAGCTGTCATACACAGACATATTCCACCTGAAGGACACGGCTGCGTAGTATTTGGTCCCAGGAATGTATACCTTGGACAGCGTTTTCTTCCTCGGTGCGGGACTCTCGTAATACCCTTGTTCTACCAAGATGCGCGCCTTGGGTTTCCAAGGCGCGTCCTCTTCAAATTCGCAGGTCGCCCCTTCTTTCTTTCTCTCCGCGCACCATTCCAAATTGTTTGCTGCGTCTGTTTGGCTTTGCCTGTCATCTACTTCCAGTGGCCTGTGCGGTAGAACGCACTGCTGCGCGGGATCGTGGTTGGTGGGATCGCCAACGTTATAATGGTCCGAATGTACGTTTACGTTACCACACTTCTTGCATTCCACCCCCGGCGCCTCATCCAGTTTCGTGGGGAATTCGTAAACTGCCATGGCGTTGATACTTCCCGCAGACGCCCACCTGGGCTCCCCTTCTGTCGTAATCTTCTCTTCGCCTAGGCTGTACCGCAAATGCCATTCTCAAAGTTTGGTGTAAGGTTGCGCCCCCCTTCTTTGGCCGTGGTAGTTGTATTTGTATTTGTAATTAGTAAAGTAAATTAGCAGCACTTGAAATAAACCGGTGGGAAGTTGGAACTGCCGCCAGGGGGGCATCGAACGCGATAGCAGCACTTTCTTGAAGTGAAGAGGCTACCGAGCCACTTGCATGGGTGCGAAGTGTTCTTGACTTTTCACACGAGCAAGAGCCGCACTCGTTTCCTACGTGGCACAGCTGAAAGCTCCCTCTTCCGCCGAGCGCCGCAGCTCTTGTGCCCATGCCAAGCAACATTTCAGTTGAATTCGTTTTCTAATGTCATCCTTTGTCTGCGCAACGGCTGGCGGTCTGGCCTGCATAGAAAGATAGCAAACCAGACGAAGCCACGGCCTGCCCTCTCTCTGACGTGGCGGCAAGCGCAGCACGTGTTAAAACTTTATTCCAGGCAAGCCAACCGCGGACGAAGGGTAGTATTGCGAGCTTACATGTGGTTACGCAGGGATAATTGAGCGGTCGGACATATCGACTATCCATATCCTCCGATGGTCCAACGTAGCCGCATTTCTGTAACGGATTACTTGTAACCGCGAGGCCCCCTAGGTCGCTGCCACAGTAACAGACACGCCCACTGGCTGTCAAGCCGACCCCTGCATACCGCGTATTTCGGAGATAGCAAATTTTAAAGCAATTGATCACGAACGGCCTACTGGTCTGTGGGGTCGCTATCCAATCGGCCGACACTACGTAGCAAGATCTGTACAACATACCCAACAATCCTCCGACCCAGGGACGGCCGGCTTTTATCAGCAGCGATTGCGCCGCCAGCTCTTCGCCAACCCGTGCTGTTCTCATGTCCGCCGGCCGCTCGTAAACCGCGTTCGATAGCTTTTGCCCAATTTTCGGACTCGTCTGCAAGAGTGGATTAACTGCAGTACCGTCCCTGACCAAGTAGGAAGCGCTCTTGTGTTGCTCGGTACATCCCGCAGACGCGGCACCACTGCCCCAAGAAGGGCCGTGGCTAGCCGCAGTGGCTTTGGGGGGCTTCCACAGAGGGTTATCGTATTTACCTCCGCCGTACCAAATTTTTTCGTAGAACTCATCGCTTTGATCCGTGACGTGTTCATAGATTTTCGTAGCTTGATCTTGTGTAGGTGTACACGGCGCGGGGCCATACTGCGACCATGTATTGCCCTCCTCTGCACTCGGAAACTGTCCTGCCGGCGGTACACAGTCGCCCTTCAACCCGCTGCCCCCGTGGCCGGCTGCCTTCTGCATGTGTTCCGATAGCCCGCTCGCTGTAGCTGCGCGCACTTCCGTTGGTCGTAAGCCGCCCACCGGCCTCCTGCCCCCGTGGCCGAACTTGTGCCCCGCTTCCCTTTGAGTGTGCTCCGATAGGCTCGCAGCCGCAGCAACGTCTATCCCTTGCGCCTTTGCAAAGGCCTCCCATACATAGCAACACCGCAGGTTAATGATGTGCGCCCAACACCCGATGAATGGCGGCTTGCATCCAGCCCACTGCGTCGTCCTCCTCTCCACGCATTCCTTTTCGGAATCATCTTTGACCTCGTTCTGTGCGTCGTTGAGTTCTAGTGATATCGCCCCGCAGTTTATGCCGGAGCACTCGTCGGGGTTTTCGTCTAGTGTCCCAACGTCGTCCCCTTTTAGCTTGTTATCACTATCCCTGTACGCCTTAAAACAGTGATACCCCTGCCTGTCGGGAAACCCTCCGGTTTTCGGATCATTCCTGCAATAAGCTCTATGGTGCAGGGGATTCAGCTTCTTTCTGCACTGGAACACTTTTGTCAGGGGATTGTCAACGAGGCCGATGGTGTTCCTCGCAGTTTCGTCCGCGCAGTAGCACTCCGTTCCCGACTGCACAGCAGAGTGAAGCGCCCTAGCGTACTTAAACTTTTGAGCTGAATATCTCGCGCATAGGTTCGCGCATTCTTCTACCGCTGCCGTGGCGGTCACCGAGCCTGCATATTTTGGCATCGCTCGGTACGCATCTCGCAGCGCAACGATGGAAGCGGAGAAGTCATGCCAGCACCCTCGGTATGTGAGAACGGTCCTTTCATCGTAATCGAGGTCCGGCACAACCAGCCCAGTCCACGGAATCGGCGACTCAAGGAACGCCTCTGCCTGGGACCTCTCTATCTCAGTAAAGGCGTCTGCTCCAGATCCAGTAGTAAGTTTCACAAATTGTTCTGATTCATCAGTAAACCACCAAGACTTCTCTTTTTCTTCGTCCTTATCAGCGCCATCGGCGCCCCACTGATAGCTCTGTGCGTTGCTTCTTAGGTACCCCTTAGGTTCCAACTCGGCGTTATGCACGAAAAACCCGCCGATATCTCCACGAAGGGACTCGAAACTAAGCAGCGTCATCCGCCACATTTCTTCTTCACCAGTGTACGGATAAGTTCCGCAGGGGCACGCACATACGCAGGCCGCTTCATCATAGGGCGGAATCAAATGCTCAGGTCGGTCTGGCTGTTGTAGGCCAACGATCAGCGCTCTCATCACATGCCAAAGCAACGAAGTCGCACGTAGATGAGGCATTCAATCTAGCCACAGAAATCAAAATGCAAGTGGCAAGGACGCCGCATGGTAATAAATGACGCATGCATGATGATGCTGCACCTTTGTGCTTCCAGCATTCCATCCGGTTAGGAATGGAATGGAAGCATTCCATTCGGTCCCTTAGTTGCGTTAAGAGGAGAACGCCTTTTGGACTTTTCCAACCTTTGAATGCGGCACGCCCGAGGGAGCAAACGTACTCCGTCGCTGTGAAATAAGAAGTAGCGCGAAACCTTTTTTCGTGCAAATGAATAAGGCGAAGAGGAAAGGGAAAACACACACACCGACCGACAGCCCGAGGCCGTGTGTGGGGTCGTAAATTGGCGAGGCCTCTCACAAAAAGAGCCTAGTCGCATCGCTGCGTTCGTTGCGCCATGGACTAAAAAAAAAGACAGCCAGTGATGGCTAGCCCAATGCCCCAAGCCCCGCCGTGGCCACCTGCCGATCTGTTGATCAAGCGCGTGCTGGCCGGTGCAGGCGGAAGCGAGTCGAAACCTGCAAGGAACGCTTCCGCGTCTCTTGGTTCCACCGCTCGAAGCGCAAGCGGAGGCGATGCCTGTATCAAATATAAACTTCTCCAGTTGCACCTTCCTCCAAAAAATGAAATAGAAAACGAACCCCGGGCAAAAATAAAACGCGGCTCGGCTATGTTTGTATCTATTCCCTACATTGAAAGCTATTTTTGGAGCTTCCACAACATCACGAACGCCTTCAAACTGTCCTGCGCCCTTTTCACGCCCAACCTACGGACAACGACAAGGTGCACTCGAGTATAAAATAAACTTACGAACTTTTCAAGTTGTGAGTTTTTCACGACAGAAGTTTCCGCAAGAAATACGCGCCTGTGTGAGAATCCGAGCACCTTGCCAAAAATAAACTACCTCCACAGTTCAGGCAGCGGAACGTGCACCTGCGTGCCAGAACTTCTGGCGACCAATCGCACAAAGCTATGTCGGTCAACAATGACACTCAAGGCTCGGTCAACAATGACACTATACAGGCCACCCTTGCTTGAAATAAACCCTGCTGCTCCATTCGAAGCGGAAGCTCTTTTGATCCGCATGTTGTACCTTCTGCAGCGGAAACTGGCGCTTCAAGAGAATATGTACTCATCTTGTAGCTCTTGAGAGGAGGCTGCGTTGAGCCTGAGACCCACAATCTTTCTCAGGAAAGACGGCAGCTTTAGACGAACGTCGAAAGACCTAAAAAGCGGAACTCTACTGGACATATTTGATCGGGCGTCTCTTGCAGAAACACTCGGAGCACTTACTTACATCAAAACACGGGGGTCCACGTCCAGAGAAATTCAATAGAATTAGAAATTTCAATTCGCACCACAAAAGTAAACAACACACGGTTGCCAGATTGTCATCCTCGTTTGCGACTGCGGCGCTTGCTGTAGTTGTACTCTTCATAGCATTACAAAGGAACCGATTGTGCCGGACACTATCTCCAGCGATTTGGTTAACCGGTCACATATGCATTGCTAATGTGCTTGGGTCTGGAAGAGCTTTCGGGTATTGATGAGTGTGCAGCTTCCTAAGCTCCAGAAGATCACTCAAAGCGAGTCCTGCGCTGCGATCCCGATCTTGGACACATTTATATGAGGCGAAATAAAGGGTCGGCGGGGGGGAGGGTCCAGAGGGTCGGAGAGGGTGGGATAGGGCGGCCCACTAGACGACCCTCTATCGCGACCCCCACGGGACCCTCTAGGCTACCTCTCGGGGCACCCTCTCGGACCCTCTACGACCCTCCCACGGAACCTCTCCCGGACCCTAGACCGGAGGGAATACAGATCGCCTGCCTGCGCGCAGTCCCCCGCTCTTAAAGAGAATAGGTTCCAGACCAGAGGTCTGCTGGTGTTCCGATTTCAGACCGGGCCGGCTGTTCAAAGCGAGTGCGCCGCTCTACGTCCTCGCGAGGGCGAGGGGGTTTAACATTACATAAATCCGCCAAAGAACTGCAGGCGAACGCACGTTTCCGAAAAGTCCCCAAACGAAACCGGTTTCGCGCGTTCGCTCCCATGAGTAAAACGTAACCGGGATCGGTCTGTTATGTGCTAACTTTTTGCTGAAGACCAAAATAAAGTAGACATGCAAAACCCCACATCGTCAACCCTCCACTGGACTGGCATCTTCCGTCAAGATTTCCCATCACGATTTCTAGCGACATGAAGCGTCAAAAAAGCGATCACGGGGTCTCTTTCGACGATACCGTGCCTGCCATCGCTTTGCTGGTCGTGACCGGCTCAGCTTTCTGAGAGCTTGATGGCGGGGGCGCCTGCTGCCTTGGACAGGAAAGCGCAGGAGTGCCGAATGAAACATGTCCATGTCGTACATGAGAGATCACACAAGCAAAATCCTGTGACATCGGGCTCAGAACAGACGCCAAACTGTATGGCCTACCGTCGGCGCCTTGCTTTTGCGCGGCCCGAGAGATACGCTAGAAGGCGCCATGGAAGGTAGGTCGAAGCTGTTGGGCTTAGTCCGTATTTTTTTTCTGTGCTGAATGGCTAAAGTAAAATATGTGCCTGAAACATTTGGCTTAGGCGTTACGAAGTTGGAACCTTGGCTCTATCTTCGCACATGCGCATAGTCGGCGTCTGGGCCAGATGGCTTCCGCACCAGCGGGACGGCCGTGTCGCAGCCCTCCTTCTTTTTGTTCGCCCATGTGACGCCCCGCAGCGGCCTATCGGTTTCCAGCAGCGGGACGCTATCCGGGCGGCTACTTCACAATTGCTTGGCCGCCGCCCGCCTCTCTATTTATTTGATGACTTAACAACTTTGCAAGCTTCCAGGAACTGGTATTATCCCGATCTACGTTCTCGCAGACCAAGACACATTCTGTGGCAGGTGATATATCCAGGCAGCACCGCGAAGCGTTCCAAGCTGTGGCATGTATCCGTAGTAGAGTCTCGGCTGCGGCAAGCCTGAGCTTTCGCGGGTATGAATACTTCAAGTAGCATCTGATCCCCCTAGCGGCCTGGAATAATTCCAAAAATTTTCGTCGTTTTTGACTCTTTGATGAAAAAATTGCGGCCATCTGCTCTTGCACTTTTGGAAAATTCCCATACAAGGGTCTTGCACCGGAATTCACCGCTTTTGGCTCTTTTGCGAAAAAACTCAACCATAAAGAGTCTTGCACCGTTTTCGATTCTTGTGTGAAAAGCTTCCGGCAATCTGCTTTTGCACTTTTGGAAAATCAAAATTCGCAGAAAAGAGTCTTGCACTTCTGGAAAATCTCCCGGCTCGTCATCTTGCGCCAAAATTATTCCAGGCCGCTGAGTCGGAAGATCAGTTGCTAATTCAAGCCTTCATATGCGTTGGCTTTGCACCGTATGAACTCGCCCGCTTTGACCAAGTTGCCGGGAATCATTTTGTCATCGTCATCACATTGCTCCTCTCGTTTTGCCCCTCCCTATCCTGAGCAAAAACGTATCCACCCTGTAGTCAAGTACAGCACTCTAAAGCACAAATCTAGAACTATTGGGAGTCGCGCATGACGCATTTTGTATCTGTCGTGCGATGCTTGTGTGCAAGGGCAGCCGCAGCAGAAAGCCGTCCGCTTATCCTGTTCGCAGCAAATTCCAAAACACGACTAGAGCTACCCAGAGACAAGCCTCTCGTGAGGATGTCCATATTTGTACAAATGTTTAACCATCATCATCTTGTAATGGACACATGCACCCAGCGACACGTGCTAAGGACAAGGAGTAGAAGCAGAAGGAAGTGCAAATCTGCGTGACAACTTCGGAATGCTTTTGTACTAGCAAAAGACCGCACCAAACCAGGGAGAAACTTCAGATTTTGACAAAGGAAAAGAGAAGGACAACGAAACGACGAAGCAAAGAGGGATGGTCTTTACTCAGGATACTCCCCCACCTTTCCATGTCGTCGTTTCCATGTGGCTTGCGGTACGTGCTCGTCCTGCTGTTTCATTTTTTCCGTCCCGATGCGCATAAGAAAGCAACCTGCTAGAAGTATGGCCTTCTCGGGTATGACGGCCCTCGAACAACCGCTGAGGCAAACGAATTATCGTAAAAAATTAAGTAGAAAATGTATCTAACTATGTATCGTCAAAAAAAAAAGTGAAACGAGCTTGTCTTTGCTGCGTTTTTGCTCACGCCCGTAAGTACCCAATAAATTGTGGCAACCAGCCAACAAGACAATCTTAGAGATCATGGCACTGAAATCATGAATAGAAAAAGGCAACGATACAGGAACTCCCATGCGAGAATTTGTCTCCTTTAAGAAACGTTTCATTTGTGTGCAGGCATCACAAATCAGAAAAAAACGCCTGCGAGCTTTATCACACCGACGAAAGCCATATTAACTGGTGTTAGTTGATTGCAAGAGGCCGTCATCATAATCGTCGTGCCCTGCGGTCGTGGTTATCATGGAGAAAGAAATGTCATCTCCCGATGAGAAAACGACTCGGCTCTTCAGGGTTAGATTGTACGTCGCATCTTCTTGGGATTTATGGAGATATCATTGTCGATGTACGACTAGGGATTCTACTTTAAACCACGTACAAGCACACGCGCTCTTCGTCGACTGAGAGGCTTGCAGCTCGGACAAACACAAGCAGAAGCTTCCAGCACTTCACGCCGGCAATCAAAAATAGCGCATGGAAGTTTGTACCTCTTGGCGCATTTTATGCAAACGGAGTTTTTGATAAGCCCCTCTCTTCTTGTTTCATGCGCCGCTAACAGCTGTACGCACAATTCATTGAAATAAATTGGATTTGGAATTCTCACAGAGTAGTAAATTTGGGCTCCCGTGTCATATCGCGACTCATCGGCCGATCTCGCTTTGGTTATTTTCATTCACGTGGGATCGTACATTACGTCACAAAGAAACTGACCCAAATTCTCAAGCAGGAGAAGCATCAGCATGCATATCAATTTATACGTTTACCTTTTCGGCGAAACAAACCCTTTCTGCCCGCCACTCAGGAGATGACCATGACAACTCGCACTTTGGTACAGCCGACTTCTGCGTCTTCATCTGCTGTACTGGCGGCCGAGGACACCACTACTGTCGTGTGCTTTTTCATCCCGCCGCCACGAGCCGCTTGCTTGAAAGAAGGACCCGAAGCTGCTTCACCTGAGGAAGTGGTGCGCCGACGACCCTTTTTCTTGTCGTACACGGTCGTCGAATGGTCCGTTTCCTTTTGCCGAGGCACAACAGCTGCCGCTTCCCCTTGAACCTGTTCCTGCTCATCGTCATACAGGGAAATTTGATGAGCGAGTTAATAAAACTTTACTTATACGAACACGAAGTTGTACAAAAGTGATGTTTCCATTCTTTCTTTTGAACAAACGAGAGTCCGAATTTTCGTTAGCAGTAGCGCCGCTCCTGTGCGAGGCAGCTTACGGGTCTTCACTGATGTAAGATAGTAGTTCTCGCTTCGCTTGCAACAAATATGGCAGCAGAGCAAAAAAGAACGATGCTCATGCTCATTTGTCCAGCAAAGGCGCAGAATGCCTATTTGCTGTTGCTCGCTTCATCAGGAACAAATCAACAAGCTATTCCTCATCAGTTCCCTTTCGTAGCGGTGCAAATTGACGGTGTCAGACGACGACGTCAAGGAAACTTCGTCATTTCCGGGTGCCGCTTGTATGAGCCGAAAAAAATGAAGCTAGTAGCATAGCATTACAATAATTGCGATGCACAACTATCGAAAAAAGAACGCAACATTCTATACATAAGTGGTCAACCCAATCGAAATCTTTTACAACTTTTTGCATCTTTACAATCATGTCATAATTCGCAACTATGCTACTAGTAGCTTTTATTCATTTATCTGCCATAACAATTTCTCGCAAGCCGGCATTTCGGTTGGTGTCTGTTGCGGTGCCGCAGCGAATCAAAAAGGATGTCCATGCCAGCAGGGCGACAAGCAAGATATCCCGCGCAAAAAGCCGTGTAAGCTGTCAACTACATCCAACGAGATTTATGCATGCCCATTCAGTCTCTCTACGAGTTTATTCTTCAGCATGTTAACAACCTTCAACTTTTCTTCTTTGATTTAAGTGAGAGGTCCTCGTGTGTGCCTAGTCATTGAAACGCTCTTCATGGTGGAAATTGCGACACGTCTTCTTTACCTCTTCGCCGCATGCATGATCATGCCACCTACGGCACAAGTCTTTGGCAATGCATTCGTTTGTCACACGGAAAAAAAGCGTGGCAGAAAATGAGAAGCAGACTCCTTCCCAGATTTCTGTTTTGTGTTATTCTCATCCACACGATATTTATCGTTTCGGCGGAGCTAGGTGTCTGCAAAGACTAGGTTCCTACTTCTACAGTGCGAAATGATATGACCGCTTCTAGATAACACGACAAATCTTGCGCTTCATAGCAAGCGAAGTATGCCAGAGGTAAGTTCCGCGACGAGTACCATCAAGCCCCCTCCATGCCTTTGCTCTGTGCTGACGCCACCCAGGCCTTCATCGTTGTAGCCTCGTTACAATTGAATATGTAAGGCAAGTGCTGTCATCGTCGTGAAACTCAAACCTGATAAAATTACTTGCATGCCAAAGTTAAGTAGCTAGTTCGCCAAGAGAGCGTCGCATTGACTGCATTTAACGCCTCAGCCTTACCATGATGAGCAAGTAGAGGCTCACATCCAAATACTCAAATGTTTTTTCTGTTGCCTTTCCAAGCTGCACAGCTACTCTTTTAGAACGTTCTCTCTCTCTTGCCAAAAAGGACAGCAAGGTGAAAGGACATGAAGCAAGCAGTACTCGCTCTAGTACTTCTGCGTTTGATAGAAAGTGGCAGCGCGGCCAGACGGTACTTTTCGTGGCTGGTTCAGAGGGCGGCCATGATTCAAATCCGTATCCCAGCGCCAGGTCGAGGCGAGCAATCGTGAAAAAGTAAGAAAAAGCATCGCCCTTGATTCAAAGGCCAGTGTGTGTACACTCCAGCACAAGTGCGCACAGGAAAAATTCGAACTTCCGTGCCACTTGTTGCAGTTGTTTCCACTTGTATTTATTCTGCGCAGCGCACGACAAGGGTAGCTCACTGTACGAGAAAAGACGCATACAATACAACGACACACTTGTGTTTTGATAATGATATTTCTGAAATGGTGTAAAAAATTGAATCAAGCCTCTCTGATGAGGCCAAAAGTAAATCACGATCAGAGATTTCATCTTCGTCGCCCTGTCCTCCGGTGTGGTCAACAATACAAAATCTGCTTATCCTTCATTCAGGTTTGGAACAAAAAAGACAAACGGCAAATTCATTGATCTGACTGTATTGCGCAAGGTGGGTGATTATGCTGCCTGGGCTACTTTCAAGAACAAGCTCACCCTTTTTGTTTTTTTCTAATTCTAATGCAGGGAAACTGGAAAGGAACTACCATGACTTTCCTTTCACGATTGCGCATCTTGTTCTGAAGCCTGCATAAAATCGTCGGCCACGCCGGGGCACATAACTCGGCGATGCGGCTCTGGATAGAATGCTTAGTCGCAGCACTAGAGTCCATCGTACCATCATCGTGGTCCTCGTACTTGGTTCGCTTCCTTCGGCGGGCCTCAATTCCGGCTACCGATCCATTCGCGCCACCGCGAGCAGCTGCGCTCGTCCGTCTGGTTGAGCGACGAGATCTTATACACTGGTTTATTCTACTCGTCTGTACTTCTCCGGTTCGCTTCTCGGTCGCTACCTGCCGTTTGCTGCGGAGGTCAAAACTTCGGTGAGGAACTGGTGCGGCTGAAGCGCAGTACGCAGTCCTCCGGGTCGTTCGTTTGGTTCTTGTTGGTGAGGAAAGAGTATCAAATACAAGCATGCTGCCATCCTGGTCTGGAGCAGGTGCAAGGCCTTCATGCCACTCGTGCATCCATAAACCTAGAAATGAATCGGAAACCGTGCATGCCACAGCTATGTTCTTTCCAGGTCTATCTATGCATATTACATCCCTGTCAATTATCCCTATTCTGAATATGAAGTTGCTCTTTTCTCCTGCAAGCCAGTTACCACACGACAACAAGAGAATGGCCTGTCTCTGCGCGTCACACAAGTCCGAACATTTTAATAGTGTGACTGAGACTGACTGGGTGGAGACGCTGGCATCAAAAGTTTCATTCCTTTTCCTTCCACCAGACCGCGACATATGATTGCGGAATGCATAGGGAGCGGACGGGGAGGAACCTGATAAAGACGAAACCGACGACGGGGGCACGGTACTCTGGATCCCAGAAAGTAGCGGCGGCATCCCGGAAGAAGGCGCTGCGGCCGCAGCCACAACGAGCTTTACCCAACGGTGACGGTCATGGACGGTTTTTCATTTTTTCTTCCAAGATGAACGCGTAGGTGCCTACGAGTTAGTACTTACAACTCATCAATAGAAGCTCCCATGATATTCCTCGGCCAACTTCATCCAAAAGAACATACCATAAGCGGTACGCCATTGAGATGAACATCCTTCCACCTTTTCGAAGTTTTCGCATGATGCGAACGCTTTCAGAAACAACAGTTCAGTTCAAGGTAGGCAAAGCTACAAATTGAACCGACAAAAGAATCATATCAATCTCAGCACCAAATCGTCCAAAAAGTTCGCAAAATAGTTCTCTGACGCAACAAGGGTCGCCCTCGCCACCCTGTCGAGCGCAACTTTGTTTGTCCGGAAATAAATCTATTCAGATTGCTGTGTGTTTTCTTCTCGACGTGCTTCCGTCGGTCTTTCAATCTAAAAAAAGTAAAAAAGAAGTTCGCATAGCGTAATAGAAACATTGAAGTAGTTCTAAAATAAAGTTTTGTGGCATTGATGCTACCGAGTAGCGAAGATGGTGGGAATCGTACAAAACTTCGCAACTCTGCGAAAAGAGACTGCAGCAAAATAAAGTCACGGCAATGCAATAGCGAATAGCTCTGAGAAGTTCCTTGTTACACCTGGTCCTACATCACCTCAGAAAACACTTGAAATGAGTACTTCTCTCGCCGAAAAAGGCGTGGCACGGGCAGGAAACAAACAAAATCAAGAAAGTTCAACACAACAACATAAACAACTGCAACATCGCCATTGAGACTCGTCAGCGGTGTTTCATCTAGTCGAGAGCTGCCTCCCGAAAGCGGTACTTGATTCTGCAATAAACGTATTCATTTATAAGTAAAAACTGCATTTTGAAATTGATGAAAAACTGCAATCAGGTCTGATACCAAAAATTTTCAAAGATGCAAAGGCTCTACTAACTGCTACCATTTCATTCGACTGCGGACTGAGCAGATCATCGAGTCAAACGACTAAACATCAAATTCCTCCTCCTCGAAAAACCCGGTTTTCTACTTCGAGTACCCCAGAATGGTCTTGCTGTATCCCAGTGAAATCCTCTCGTTCCACCTCTCCACAAAGACAAAGATGTACAAAATTTGTATTTGCTTGGTTGTACTTACTATTTCTTTTTCTATCCTACACCTACGAGTGCAATGAAATGCAATAACATTGTTGACATCCTACCTTACTTTATCTTTTGGGAGTCTGGAACGCGAAATTTCAAGTTGATATCTTCTCCACACGCTTCATGGTCTGCGTGACATCTCGCACGCGGATGGTTGTCTTGTTGGAGTTATCGCAGAACAACACCATGATCTCGACGAACTTCCCCTATTCTGTGCAAAATCACCCTCATCAACGCTACCAATTTTGAAACTGTGCACCAGTGAAAAAACACACAAGCAAAACTATCTAAACTTAATCTTTATCTTAAAGGACCATGTCCATCTCTATGGCTATCGCTATGCATGCCCTCATTACAAATTGGTGTTGAAGATGATCTTGTTACACAGCATATCTCCATCCACTTCTGCACCAGGTCGCGCACCTCCGGAGTCTATGCACGTGAAACACGTCAGGGTCTAGAATGTTGTGAGAGTTGTCTTCTTCTGCCACGGCCGAAGATGTCACACTGACTTAGGTAGTTGGCAGAATCAAGAAGTGGGCACAAACCAGAAGCACCACTCGCTTTTCTTGTTCTTTTTCATGACGCAAGGGATCACTCAGCAGCACTCCAAGCAACTTAATATAGTTTCTGAAAAATTTATCATGCACGCTTGCATACTACTATCGAACTGCGCTTCGGATTCAATTTTGATAGCAAATTGGCCAGAAAAACCCGACTAATGTTTGCACTTGATAGGGCGACTTTTCTGGAGAGCCGGGACACGCCTCCCCTACGGGCCAACCGCTTGATCTGCACGCTTTTCAACTCGGTCATCAAATTATCAAGCCGAAAGTAGCCCCGAAATGCATGTGCGATTGCGAGAAACAGAAACATACACTTTGATTCCCAGAAAAAAATTCCATCTTCCTTCTACTTCTTTCTTCAGTGATGTGGTGCTACTTCTGCAAGATGGTACTCATCCTTATGCTTGTCTATTAAAGAAATCTAGATATGCCTGAAAGTTCGCATGAAGCAAATATATGCATTTCTTTCTTTTTTTTGTGCCGCTGCCGTTGGGGCGATTTTCATTTTGATACACGCCGTCCCATTGCTTCTGCGGAGGAAAAACCCGTGGTTTCTTTCGTATACAGAAAAAAAGCTGCGTTAGTGTGAGTCTGTAATGCAGAGCATGCAAGAGCATTGCATCTGCCATTCTGGGCGTAGGGCTTGTTCTTCTACAAGGTCGTGCTCGTCTTCAATTTCATGTAGATGCTATCATGGCAGACAAATTTCTAATGCTGCTTCATCCTCAACAACACTAAACATAATTTTTCTGTTGGATATTTCGCTGGCCGATCCCAATACCATGATCGTCGTCGCCGGACATATCTCCGGCGCTCGGCATCCCACGCATCGCGTCCTGAAGTATTGTAAAGCAAATATGCCTTCGTTCTACACGGTATAAAACGCCTTGTCCTTCCACATAGATCATGCAGAAACACGGTTGCGCGCACGAAAAGACTTTTTGGAAAAGTATGAAAAATATCCAATCCATGCATGACTCATGAAGAAACATATTCTGTGCTAATTTCAAGTACCATTTCTTTCAAAATGTCATTGCAGTTCTGCTGGTACACCTGGTGACTCGTCGTCTCGTGGTATGGAAGAGAAGAAAAACTCGTCATAAGTATTCAAGCTTTCTTTATCTTTGTCATTTCGACCAAATGCATAGATATGATCTGGTCTTGCGACACACAACGATCGTACGCTTTTTTCTTGCCCTTTGTCTGCCTGAGTTTGCAGTAGCGGCACTTTTTTCTGGCTGAAAAAAAACTACGTTTGCTCGTCCCACTGGGGAGGTGCTGGTGGTTTGAAAGTAAGACTAATATCTCTTCTTCTTCTTCACATACTCCATTCACCTTGTTCACAAGTCCTCCGTTCCGCCAGTGTGACCCGCTCAGCTGTGACAATGCCACGTGTGACAAATGAGAGGCAGAGCGTCAAAAAAAAATTGCTCAACATCATGCATGGGTTGTTGCAAGTCAAGTGCAACACCTTTCGCAGAGTTACAGATTTCTAGTGCGCAGGTATGAGCATGAGCATGAACATGAGCATGACAAGGTTCGGGCAGCACGACATTTTTACCGTTCTTGCTCGCATCTACTTTTAGCAAACTTTGCAAGAAAGAGCGCAGTGCTATAGTTGTTCTCGCTGCTCTTCATTGATTCTTTGTGAAAACTCAGATATGTTGACACGCAGCTAGCTAATATATGCATCATCTCACTGTCGACTTTGTCAAGCTTGAGTGGGTCGTATCTTCGAGCGCGCCATTTTGTTTCTTTTGAAAGGGAAAGTGAACTGAAACTCTTTGATTTTTTTGTGCAAATACTTAGTCTTTGCAGAAGACGATGCTGTACTCTCCTCGTCCTCGTATCTATGTATTACACCTATGTGTTTTCTTCAGCCCTTAACACGGTGGTTGGTGGTGTCTCGTGATGCGTGTCAACAGTTGCGGCCGGGGGGGGGGTAAAAATTGTAGTTGTACTTCTGTTTGGGTTCTTTATCGTTGATAACTTCGTATTGTTGTACATGCATGAAGGGCGATGTGACCACAATCAAGCATCCCGACTGCAATACAGTAGATAACAAAGAATGAAAAATACTAACAAGCGTGCACGGTCGCAACTTTTTTTAGAACCCTCGAATTTACTCGCCTTCCGTCGGCACGCGCGCTCGCATTATGGAAAGAAGCACAAAACGACAAAGATGGCCCCTATTTGATGTACTGTACAACAGCGGTTTTTCTGCATCTCTTGTCGGTGTCTCTCACGGCCTTTTTCTTCGCTCAGGTGCAGTTCTTCTGTCGCTCACATGCAGTTTTTTGTCTCTCTGTTGCGGCCTTTTGTTAAAAACTGGGTCTGAGTGTCATTGGGTACTTAAGGAACCCGAAGACCCACGCACCTATGAGTCTAAAACTCTGCGAAAAAAACAGAAGAAAGGCGAGGAAGCGAATCTACTAGTCAGAAAAAAAAATTGGATTGGATTGGATTGGAATTCTGCAAAAAATCGAAAAGTTCGAGAGTTTGCTGCTCCACCGCAGTGGGTTCACTCATACTTTTGCAACCAACGTGGTTCAGAGAATGATGGTAGTTTAAAGATAGATAGACTAGCAACTAGCTTTTGGCTTGACAACGTGAAAATAAGACCAAGACCTGGTGACTGAAACTTTCGAGACTATACAATGACCGAAGAAAGTTTTTTTGAGTAGTGAAAACATAGACACTGGGGTTTGCAGACACCTCCTCGTGAGTCGAGGAACGAGACCACATGAACACTGCGGCGACGCTGTATTTTCGAGTAGAAGCAGTTGTAGTATCGCAGCAAGCTGCTGCGCGTGACATCTCTAGCGGACACTTGCAAGTACTGCATCAGCATCGCCAGGTCTACCAAAACGAAACAATAAACAAATCCGAATCCATAAGAGGCTCACGCAACCGGTGCAAACTGGTAGTATTGCTAATTCTGGGTCGTGTCGCCATAAAGTTTTGTCCCATTGCAAATAAATAAGTCACTTTTTAAGGAGCGTAGTTCTCATGATCTTCACACTAGGCTAGAATACTCAATGACATTTTTCGCGTAAACAAAAGAAAGCTATTAGAAGACTGGACTCACCCCTTCTATCGCCGGTTTATCATACTCCCGGAATCTTCTTGATGTAGACAAAGGAGTCCTGGCCTCGTTTATTTCTTGCAAGCATTTCTTGAAAAACAGTGAAAGGGAGGAGAAGTAGTAATTTCAATTTGTTTCTTGTTGGTGCAGAACAAACCTGCACGGTTTACCTTCCGGAATCCGAATCATAGATATCAAATAAACGCGTAGTAAGTAGACCGTTGTCCTCGCGGACGTTGTCGTAGGTGCAGAGGTTGACATAGAAGTAGAAAGATTTACATATTGTATTCCCAAAATTGGCGCATGAGTGAAGTGCTGAGTTCTTCCCTGTAGGTCTTGGAGTTCAGCGTCAGCACAAAGGTTAGCTCAGTGTAAAGTCATCGACATCGATGCGGGTAGAAGTTCACTATATTAATCTGTCATGCGCATTTCTGCTTTCGTCCTGCGCTTGTGCTCAAACTTGTTTTGGGTCCTTCTGCTTTCTGTCCGTCGGACGCAGCACTTAATGCAATGTTGCTCTCTCTTGTAGCTGCAGCCTCCCATGCTGGACGACAAAGTAGTTTCTGCTAATACAGTTCTTGTTTTTGAACTTGTAAATTCTTATTCTTTCATTTGCAGTTTGAGACCTTCTTGTTTTTCACCTACTACCTCGACCAAAACAAGAACCTAGCTCGAAGAGCCTGCTCACGCTTCCTCTCCCTGCGTTTTCTGGAGGGTCAATTTCAAATTTTTGTCCCCAAACCCGTTGTCCACTCGGGAGCAGGCAGGCCAGATCTTACCCCGTTCCTTCAAGTACGGCAGTGGGAACGCGGCCGTCTCCCGCGAGTAGCAGTCCGGGCGTATCCAGTTTGAAAGAGCGACCGATCCCCGCAACTACATGCTCGAGCGCTCAGCAATGCCAGACGTGCAAATGCGTTTTTCTGTTCGAGTTTTCAATTTCATTTCGACAAGACTAGAAGTCGCAACGACTGTACTGTACACTACTAATGAACTACATGTTGTCCTCTCGATGACCATGGCCAGGGGCAGCGAATTGCATGTCAATGTCTGTGTCAAGTCTGTCAGTGCATACAAAAACTTTACTGTTGAGCTCACTTTCACATTTCACCGATCATTGATTCTGTCAGGCTGTGGTGCTCTTTTCAACTGCGTAAAGATCCAATCGTTCGCCAAACAGACTTGCTGCGAGTGCGGCGCGTTCTTGAGCGGGTTGTCGGTCTGTGTGTACTCACCCGTCTCGATTTTCCGGATCTCCTCGCGAATTGCGATCAGCGCATCGCAGAAGCGGTCCAACTCCGAGAGATCCTCAGACTCCGTCGGTTCGATCATCAGCGAGTGTGGGTTTTTCCAGCGGAAAACGAAAATCTTCGCTAGCACAGCACAGACACATACTTTTTAATTTACCATTGTTTGATTGGTGTAATAGCACATAGATTCTCCATCACATTGTTCCTGTTCTTGCTGATGTTTTTTACAGGAACTCACTGCAGAAGATGTACGGTAGACCAGCAGTTGTATTCAAATCAATTTTTCGAAGACAGTAAAAATCATGCAGTACACAGCACGTACGAAAAGAAGCAGCAAGCAACCAAGTGTCTGCCCTCCTGTGCGAGCTTGAAGATAATTTCTTTTCTGCGCGATAAGCTTGGGCCAAGACATGGTGGGAGCGTGGTAGCCGTAGTCCTGCAGCCGCTTTGCGATGTCCTCCTCGGTGACGCCCGTCGCTTTTTTGATGTCGGCCACCTCCAGGATGAACTCGTGGCTGCACCGCGGCTTCACGTCGGAAAACGCGATTTTGTAGTGCGACTGCAGTCTTTCCTTCAGGTAGTTCGCGTTCAGAATGGCCACCTCCGCGGACTTGCGCAGCCCCTCCGCACCCAGCATGGAAATGAACATCCACGGAATCGCCGCGATCCCCGCCTGCCCAAACGGCGCATTGCTCACGGCATTCTCGCTGTTCCGCGAAAACTGGAAGTGCCCCGGCAGAAACGGCGCCAGCTTGCTGTTGCAACAGATCGGACCCATACCTGTAGAGATTTTATTTTGCATCATCAAGATAGATCACATGAAACGAATGTTGGCGATGTGCCAGGCTCCGAAGCTTTTGCTCTTAATAATGGGTACTGTAGTTGCTGTGTCCTCTCATATTGGAAACAAAAAGCGACCACTCCGCGCTGCAGAAACAGAAGTCACGGATATATATCGCCATGGTACGACTATGCGCCACGCAAAACCAAAAATCGTAAAGCTCTATTTTTGATGGCCATGAAGATGAATCTTGCATGATTGATACGCATACTAGTAAGTTTGAGTCTATCAATTTCCGACAACCTTGAAAAAAATAGTACCCGGCCCGCCGCCCCCGTGCGGGATGGAGAAGGTTTTGTGCAGATTCAAGTGGCAGACGTCGGCGCCGATTTTCCCGGGCGCCGTGAGCCCCAGGTGGGCGTTCATGTTGGCTCCGTCCATGTAGACAAGCCCGCCGGCCTCGTGGATGGTGTCGCAGATTTCCACGATCTGCTCCTCGAAGATGCCTTGGGTGCTGGGGTAGGTGATCATCAACGCCGAGATTTTTCCCTTGTTCTCCGCGCAAATCTGCTTCAGCTCCTGCAGCGGCAGCTGCCCCTTGCTGTCATCGATCCACTTCACCTCCATGCCGATCATGGCCGCAGACGCGGGGTTGGTGCCGTGCGCCGACTTGGGGATGATGCACAGATTCTTCTCCTTCGACTTCGCCACCCCCAGCTGGCTCTCGTGGTACCGCCGGATGGCCAACAGCCCGGCGTACTCGCCCATGGCGCCGGATGCCGGCTGGAGAGAGCACGCATCGAACGCGGTGATCTTGCACAGGTACTGCTCCAGCTGGTGCAGCATCTTCCGGTACCCCGGCACCGAGTCCACCGGCGCGTAGGGGTGCACGTTGGCGATCTCGTCGTGCCAGGACAGCGGCAGCAGCGAGCTGACCGAGTTCAGCTTCATGGTGCAGGACCCCAGCGTGATCATGCTGTGCACCAGGGACAGGTCCTTGCTCTGCAGCCGGTGCAAATACCGCATCATCTCCGTCTCCGAGTGGATCGAATTGAAGATCTCCTGCTCCAGGAAGGGCTCGCCCGCCGGCCGCTGGAACTCGGGCGGGAGCTCCGTGCACGCAATCAGGTCTGCTTGGTTCGCCGTCGTGGTTTGTTCGCCGTCGGGCAGAGTGGCTTTGTTCGTCGTGGAGGTGCCGTCCAGGCCCAGAATGTGGGTCAGCTGCGCAGCTAACTGCTGGATGTCCTCCAAGGAATGCGACTCGTCGATGGAGACCGCGATCTGTGCGCTGTTCAGCACCCGGACGTTCGTTTCGTACAGGTCCGCCATCTTGGCCGCGACTTCTTCCGCCGCGAGCGGCAGCGTGTTGACCGGGATGGTGTCGAAGTGCGGCGTGGAGAGGTCGACTACCTTCGTGGAGGGCGACGTGCCCCCGCCCCTAGAGCCCAGCGTGTTCAGCGCCATCTCGTTGCGAAAGGCGTTTGCCAGCCCCACCACCCGCTGCGCGATCTTCTGCAGCCCGGCCTTCTGGTGGTACACGGCATACATGGCGCTGGCGTTGGCCAGCAGCGCCTGGCTCGTGCACACGTTCGAAGTGGCCTTGTCGTAGCGGATGTGCTGCTCGCGGGTCTGCAGCGTGAGCCGGTAGGCGGGGTTCTTCTCCTTGTCGAGCGACTCCCCGATGATCCGGCCCGGCATCTTGCGCAGGTACTTCAAATGGGTGGCGAAGAAGGCCGCGCTGGGGCCCCCGGCGAACATCGGGACGCCGAACCGCTGCATGTTGCCGACCACCACGTCCGCCCCCATGGCCGCGGGCGTCTTCGCCAACACCAAATTCAGCGGGTCCGCGGCCACGATCAGGTGCCCCTTGTTTTTGTGCAACTCGTCCGCGATCGAGGACATGTCCTTCAGCCGCCCGAAGGTGTCCGGGTACTGCAGGACCGCGCCGATCAGGTTTTCCTGCGAGAAGTCGAACTCCTCCGCGTTCCCGACCAGCAGGTTGATCTTCAGGTACTTGGCCCGGGTCTCCACCGTCTTGATGGTTTGCAGGTGCACCGTGTCGGACACAAACACCGTGTCCTTGTCCTTCAGGTTGGACACCCGCAGCAGCATGGCCACCGCCTCGGCGCACGCGCTGCCCTCGTCCAGCAGACTGGCATTCGCCACCTCCATGCCCGTCAGCTCGGTGACCAGCGTCTGGAAGTTGAACAGGCTCTCCAGCCGCCCCTGCGAGATCTCCGCCTGGTACGGCGTGTAGGCGGTGTACCACGCGGGGTTCTCGAACAGGTTCCGCAGGATGCAGTGCGGCACCAGGGTGCCGTAGTAGCCCTGGCCGAGGTAGTTCTTCCGCTTCCGGATGTCGGACACCATCTCCTTCAGCTGGGCCACCACCTCCGTCTCGGACCGCGTCCGCGGGGCGTTCAGCTCCTCCTCCGTCAGCTGCTTGCGGATGTGCTGGGGGATGGTTTGCTGCAGCAGCTCCTCCATCGTCGCAACGTTCAGGGTTTCCAGCATGAACTGAATCTCCCGCTCCGACGGACCCAGGTGCCTGTGGAAAAAATTCGTTTTTACCCATTTACAAAAGATGATCTTGTACGTTCCTCGGGCGGCTGATGCTGATCTACAGTTCATCGTCTTGAATTTTTACAGTGTCAGACAGAACTCTATCACATTCAGTCGACCATTTGTTTCCATTGCAGCAAAACATAACCGGCAGCGAAAAACCAACCTTTCGGGAAATGTATCGGTGAATTTGAGGGATTATCCTTGGGAAAATTTGCAGCCAACACATAGAAGATACATCAACTTTACATGCTTTATTGATGTTCTCTCTTAGTTCTCACTTTTCTGACGATTGATGTGCAACCCTGCTTCGTCCGCGTGGAGTCTTTGCATCTGACTGACACAATATGCCTGATGTTCAGTGGAAAACATGAATCAATAATCGCGATTATATCATGGAAGGTGCAAATGTGTATCTGATAGGGCTTCCTTGACACTCCGCGACGAGGATGAAGAGGAACTTGAGCTTGCTGCTATACAATGCAAACTTCGATCTTCTTGGCTTCCTTGGGACAAAAGTCTTGTGACATAAGTGTAAGTCACCCTCACCCTGCTGCACCTGTGACGCACGACTAAGTCGGAGTTAATGCAGCAGCAACATTCATAACGCACTGCGTGAGATAAGTACACGCCAGCACGCGCAAGAGCAAGACAGAGCATACTCAAAACAAGGGGAAAAAGATCGAATAGCGGTTCGTAACTGTAGTTGTCGTGACATTGCTCAATACTGGCGCAGCGAGTCCTGTTGGTGCGCCAACTTCGGCCGTGGTGGAAGGGCTGCTACTGCCGAGTTTTGCGGCGGTGCTGATGCGCATCTTCTGCTCCGAGGAAGAGGACGTCGTACTGGAAAAGTGCACCCGCTGCAGCTGAGTCTGGAGCCGCTTCGCAGCACAGTTCTTGGCGAGCACCGCCCGCGATTTACTCCTCGAAACGGAAAACATGGCGATTTCGTTTCGAAGAATCGGAAAAAAGTAAGAGTGCTTGCCACGGCGGCTGCGGGGGCGTCGAGCGTTTCACAGTCAAAGGCAATCCAAGTCCGCGGGCTGCCTAAAGGGTAAGTACCTTTGTCGTAGTTCTCCTCGATATTGTTTTTGATAGTTTATATATTTAAGTGAGATATTGATAAAAAAAAAGCCGTAAGTCCAGCTTGTTGATCTGGTTAGAGTTTTGCAGCGGTTCTCGCCAAAAAATCAATCGCGCACGTAAGTAAAACCCGAATCCCGTGGCTTCAATATCTTCTCAACGGGGTAGTTGAAAAGAGATTTCTCAATGCGGCTGTGACAGCAGACGAGTATTTTACCCAAATTCAAAAACAGTAGCTCCCAATCTTGTTCAGCACACGGCTTGCTAAGTTTGTTGTTGTTGGAGGAAAAAAAAAACGACTATACTTTTGAACTGTACCAGTTTTTTGCGATTTTTTCGAAAATAATCTCCACTCTGGGAAGATAAAACGTGCAGAGCTCTTTATTTTACGCTAGGCATGCAGGAGGTTATGGTTAGAACAAATGTCGATATATTGACGAACGACAAGTGCTAACTGATGTAGTAGTATGGAAATACTAAGACGAAGGTGGTCTCGTGTTTCTGCAGAAGTATCCGATGCAACAAGGCTTACACGGAAGCAGCTTCGTCGAAAATCAAAGTTATCGGTTTATTGAGGTGCCTACTTTATGAAACAATTTTTGCGATAAGAAAAAGAAAAAGTAAAAGAATTCAAATAAGCCGCTCACACGATATTATAACTCACGAGTTTGCGGCCCGTCTCTCTTGTTGCTCCACGAGCAGTGTTTCGATGAAGGCGTCCGCTTTGCTTGCAGTGACGTCTCCAAGGGGAAATGAGACGTCTCTGCTCTCGCTCGTGCTTTTTCTCTCTCGTGTTCGAGCAGCCGTCAAGGCGCGCCGAGAAATCTTCGGCGGTTTTAGAAATAGAGATGAAGTGCTTAGTAACAGGTACGATTTTTCTGTGATGTGCAGCTCTCTCGTTGTCTTGTGCCTACACCTTATTACTTAAACGCGCAAGTGATGAAACTGAGACGAAAACAAGGTCTGTCAAGTAAAATACTTAAAATGCTGTCGCGGAGTGAAAATCTTCCAGGTAGTGGTAGTCTCCTGCGTGCAGCCGGTGCGGTTCGAAAAATTGATTATAAAGCGCTAGTTTTCAAACTAAAAGGCGGGGCTTCTACACAGACACAGAAAAGTCCTGTCGGGCGGGTAAAATTTGTAACAAGTTCTTTGTACTAGCTGCAGTAGCGGGAAGCACCAGCGCTTGTAGTGAAGAACAATAGCAATACAAAGAGCAATGACCTCCACTTTCCTGCCTCTCTCATCGACTCGTGTCTCATGTGGAATCTCTCCGAAGACCTATGTTGACATGCTATGGTGCACCGAAGCGAATCTGCAAATATGAGCATGAAGCAGCTGTCGTGCTCAATCGAAAACACTTTCTGTTTTTGCATAATGCGGTATCAATTTCTCTACTCTTCAGCTTCGCTGGGCCGAATTTCGAATACTATTTTGTGCGTTCGCGCTCTTCTTTGCAATCTGCCTTCTTGTCAGGGGTGATACATGATTCCGAAGTTGAGGCTTTTTGAATACCACGATAAACCGATACATTCCGTATGCAAGGGAAGATTAGAACTGCTATAAGTACAAGAAGATGAATCAGAGTAACAATAAGCAGACGCGGCGCGCGTACATCGTATCGTCCTTCTTGCCCTCTGACTCTAATCGTAATCCTGATCGCTAACTATACTTGTTGAAACTACATACCTAATGCTAACTATTTGCGAACGTGTTGACTGACATTTTTTTTACATACTCCTGCAGGATTTCGATTTCTACGAAACAAAATAGAGTGCGATTACATACAGATACAAGTGCCACTGAAACGAGTGGTACAGCTCAAAAGAATTCATGACGCTACAGCGTGAGTGCACAGTAAGCCCGATTCATCTTCAAGCGATTTGCACTACTTCGTAGCACAGTGGGTGTGGACAAACGATCCGGCGCAAGGTACAACCAGCGGTAGATGAAGAATTCACTTTACCGTCCTGATTTCTACTTGTCCGGTCATTTTCTGTTCTCCACCACGGCAACAAGTTTTTCGGGACGCCGCGGATAACGAAATGCCGCTCTACACAGACGTTGCAGAAACTGTGCTTTTGCGCACAAGAAAACTTGAGCTTGACACCGCGACCCTGTTTACTCGAACTAAATCCGGGAGGCGAAGTGGATGATGGTGTTACTGCTCCTGAAGATGTTGTTTTACTGCCTTTGCCACGGTTTATTTCGGCAAGAAATTTTGCCTCTTTCCTACTGTAGCTGTGCTTCTCGCTGGTTCTTTCAGCATCTTCTTTGATGTTCTTGTCGTTTCCACCGGTTTTAGCACCGCGCGAAAGTCCTCCTCCTGCTGCCGTCGCGCTGCAGTCGCACCTCTTCCACTCCTTTTCCTCCGGTTCGTCGGAATCCAGTAGTGCGTTTTTCAGCGCTGGCACAGCAAAACCAAACGGAAAGACCGGATCCTGGAGAAGGAACGAACCGTAGTACCGCATGGGCAGGGTGAGGCTGCTGCTGGTCAGCCGGTTCTTCACGAATTCGGAGACGTGCCAGCAGGTCCAGGCGGGTAAGGAAAACCCCCGTTTTCCCAAAAGCATCCGCGCGTAGTTGCTAGACGTCTGGCCGCCGATGTGGCTCACATACAGCTGTTTCAGCCCGCTCGCACTGCTCGCGGCTTTATTTTCGGACGCGGCTGCACACGGTGTAACGGCCGTGGAGCTACTACTTGCGGCGCTTTTCGAAGCACCCAGCTGCCCGATCTCCTCTTTTTCACCTGCAGCCATATTTCCCTCCTGCTTGCCTCTTGCTCTTGATGTGTGATCGTTGTCCGCCTGCTTTTTCACGCCGAGAAACTCGTCAATCGAGATCGCCTGCAACGACACGAGGCCGGATTCCTGATACCACGACTCCGTGTCGTAGGTGAAGGTGGCGATTTTATCCGGTCCGATGCAGATCCCGTGCCGCTCGGGCAAACAGGGCAGCCAGGTTTTGTCGTACACAAAGTGCGACAGGGTGGAGAACTGGAACAGATTTGACAGACTGTCAACCTTCAGACGAGTCGTGTACACGTGGTCCCCGATGTTGGGCTGGTTCTTGCGGACCCGCACAAAATGGTTCTGCAGACAGGATTTCTTTACCGCACCAGTTTTATTCGATGAAGCTGCTGATGTTGCAGAAGTGCTGCTAGCACCTGGTTTGCTACCAAAAACACCGGCCGGCCCGCTGCCGGCTGCAAGAACTTTGTATCGCTTCTTGCACTCCTCGCAATAGTACTCAATTTTTCGAGTTTGCAGCTGGACCGACGCCGAGCCGTTGTTGGCAGGTTGCTGTTTCAACATATTTTGATAATCGGCGACTGGCGGAGGCGGAAGTAAGGGGGTCGCAAGACAACTTCTGGGGCTCCAAGCCGCCGCGATTTGATTGTTCGTGGGCACCATGTTGTGCTCGAACGCTCCTGGGGAACCTGCGTAAAGAGAAGAAGAGGACGAGGATGTGTCGCAAACAGGTAGGCATACGGGTCCCCGACTCGGGGGGGCAAATGGTGGTGCCTCGGCTTTCGTTTTGTTCTGGTTCCGCGCCGTCACCTTCAACATACCGGCCTCCGGACGATCTTCCGGACGAACATTCTGTTCCAGAAGGGGATGCTGACCTCTGCTTCCGGAGCGCGATGCCACATCGTGACCTTCTGCCTGCAACAGATCTTCCGAAGAAGGGCCTCGATTCGTTGAGCGATCAACAAACACGATCTTCCCTGACGATTGTCCCCCAGCAGAAACTCCAGACTGTTGACCTGCTATTGGAGATGACACCGAGCTCCGCTCGGGAAGATGATCGCCGTTGCACTGGTCCTCCGCGTCTTCACTCCATTCCGTCTTGTTATCGACCTCTGAAGTGCGAAAATTCTGCGAGGATTTGCTGGAGCTAGCCCTAGTACCTCCTTCACCAGGTTCGAAAGCCGCACAAGAGGTAGCAGACGGAGGCCTGCTATTTTTGTTCTGGTGAACTACATGCTGATCAACAGCACCACCAGCGTAGCCGGTGGAATAAATTCCTACAGTTCTTTCCATTTCCTTGGTTGGGAAATTCTGCTTTGCATCCTCTTTACCCGCCGCGGACTCCTTCGAACTGGAAGAGGAAGCAGCTCCTGAAGTAGTCCCAGATCGTCCCGCCGACGAACTCGAAGCGGTCAAAGTCGAAGCAAGCAAGCCCGGCTCGCACGTCTCGCCCAGGAAATCCAGTCCAATCTGCTGCTTCGAGGAGGCAGGTTTGCTTGTGCTGAAGAGAATGCGGTTAGTATTTTCAGGCTCAAACTTTTTGTTTTTGTCCTGTTCGTTCTGCACGATCGCATGAAGATCCAGGTTGTCGCCGTCGTCGTGGTCCCATTGTTGTTCCTCTAGGACTTTCTCCTCGATCGGCGCCAGAAACGTGTTGACGATTTCGGTACTACTCGCGGACGGCCGTTTATGAAGGATTCGCTGGTAGGAAGAGCGACCTCCTGGAAGCGAGTTTTTGGGCTGAACTGGAAGATGCTGCTGATCGTGCTCCTTTGCCGATATGCTCAACATCTTCGTACTACTGGGACTGGGATCGACATGTTGCTCCACCATAGGCCGCCGGTGCTCTGGTTGGACCAAAACGACCATTTTGATTTTGTCAACCCCTAGGGTCGTGACCCTGCGGGATGAGAATGAAAACGCAAATCGAAGCGACCGTTGTACGAAGATCCTACTGAAGCGTCTGTTTTTAATATTTCTCACAACAACCTATGAGTATGAACCAGCGCAAGTACTCAGCAGTAGCCAACCCATAGGCGTGGTAGACGACACTGATTTTCTTAAAAGCGCCCCGGTCATACTTCTAACAAGCACCAAACGACAGCAAAAGACCACGACGCCAGACGATTGTTAAAGCAGATGCTTGTGCTGTAGACCATTACGATTCGCAACTCTTCTCGATTCAAGATGTTCCTTGGACGACGAAATTGACGACGCGCGCCAAATCAAAAATTTTTGCGAATCGAGCGTCCGAATTCGAAAGGAAAACATTACTATTTTACGACAACGATAGCGATACCAGTGACATCTGCATCAGCATCTGCACTGCTTCATCATGACGCTTAAATAAGTAAGTACATGGGCTGCAATAATATACACGTCTGCAAGAACAGTAGCCGGTTGTACTGGCTTTGTTCCCATCGAAAGTGCTGGCGAGGCCGGCTCCAGCACGTGAATCGTATGCAATCCAAAATCAGAATGTAAATGATTTTTCAGATGAAAATAATTTGTGTTTCGCAAAAACGTTTTTGTTCTCAAAGACGTAGAGAAAAAGCTATTTTAAGTTTTGCAAACAGAAACTACATTGATTTTTTTCCAAAAGAATCTATCTATGTCCAGACCACCACCAAAAAAGTGGCGTGGACCAAGGCAAAATTCGAAAATGTCCAAAAGTGTTGCACTTCCACTACTCTCCGCAGGTTTACCAGGAAAATCATCGGAACTCTGAGCAAACCGAAGCCGAAGGAGCGACGAATTCATTAGAGTATCCCTTGAGACGAGTTGCAAGGTCTTCTTCTTCAATACTATATGCATATGGCATGATCATACAAAGTGAGTAACATGCACTGACTCACATCGACACTCCTACCACCCTCCGCATCCCTGGATCCAATTGTAGGAATTCTGTTTCCCCGTCGGGTCGTAGATCAGTGTAATACGCATGTTCTCCCCAAAATCCTTCGCGACGTAGTCCCCCAGCGCCCGACGGTCGTCCATACGTTTTCCCACGTAGATCAGCGTGAGCTGCGACTGGCCCGGGCGTACCAACGCCTGCGTCCGCGGGTCCTGTTCCGGCAGACCGAGCATGAAGGCGGCGACTCTCGTTTTCATTTCCAGCACGGTGGTTGCTTTACCAACATTTTCCATGGTGAAGTAGTTTTTTGGAGCCTGCTCGCCCGGCACGCGAAATTGCAGGTTTTTGCTGCACGAATGAATGATGACGCGGGAGAAGGTGGAGGGCGCAGGACTCAAAGAGGGAAAACTGTCGAAAAGTTGCGCGAGACTATTTTTGCTACTGGGGATGATGCCGGCACTTGCCGCACCGCCCGCCACCTGCAGCTCCATCTTCTGCTTCAGCCGCGCATAATATTCTGGATTCAGTTCTTGGAATATCAGCTGTAAAAATGTCTGGGTCTGGAAGGTCACAACTTGTGATGCTGTCTCTGGATTCTGAAAGAAATTTGTATTGCATGACCTTCTTTACCCCTCAACCACTGACCAGCAAGAGGACTCCAGTTTGTGCTACGCGGAGAGGGCATTTCTCGTGCGGTAGAGGTATCACAGAGCCCTTTAAAAATCTGTGATGCTGCGGCATGTATTACAGACATCATGGCTCATGAAAAATATGCATGACAAATCTAGAAATTTTCCAGACCCAGACATTTTTACAGTTGATATGGAATCCAAATCGCACGACGTCCGGCTCCGCGATCGCAGGAGGCAACGGGTTGTGCTGCTGGTGCATACCGCCTACTGTACCGCTTTCCGGTGTTGAACGCATGGTGACTCCCGGCGGAGTTCCGGCTGGAAAAGAACCGCTAAGTTTGTCGGCTCCAAGGGAGTCCGATTTCATAATCGCCTCCTGCCATGGCATTTGCCTGCTCCGGGGGAGTAGCGTGCGCTGCAGAGCCGCGTTGTGAGGATGAAACCTAGTCATGCCAACATCTTCAGGAGAGCGCACGACCTCCATCACGGTCGCAGGCCCATCGCCCGCCTGACCAAAATTGCACGGTGGTCCTGCGCTGTTCTGCATACACAGCCCCAGCATCCTTAATAGCTTCATCTTGTTTTTCCTCCTTCGTGGTGTGTTGAGTTCCTTTCCCCTACGACTTTTTTCTGTTGGTGCGAGAATCTTCCAATCAAGTTGTACTATCGGAGACGTCATCGCGTTTCCTCTCGTGGTTTTTGATATGCGTGTTTCTTTTCTGTGGATCCAAAGAAGAACCACTGCCCTCTGCTTATCGCATTGTCAAAATTATAGACCCCACGAACAAAAAAGCGCTTTGCCATCCCTCGGCATCTACAACCATGCGGGCCGGTGGCCTTGTTGTGTTTCTGTGTGAAGTTTCGTGCTAAAGCCGACGAAAGCGAGACGGTATCAAGCATGAAAAATTGCATGCAGCTCCAATTTGATTTCATCGTCGACTTCGGCCAGCAAAAATGAGGGATATTCTCGAGAGTCAAACTGTTCGCAAACTGAAGAAAACGAATAACTACAAAGATAAAACCTTCAACGAAGTCTTTTTTACAAAACTAGTTCCTCTTTTGGCGTCAAAGACAGAAGACCACAAGGACTCGAAAAAAAATATGGTAGAGCATAGCGAAAGCGATTCATCACACACTTCTGCCACCTCCCAGTAACAAACTTTCTTCGTGAGGTACCACCAGGAAGTAAAACAACAACATGTCGTGACGTTGTTTGGAGCTTGATAAAATGCAATAGAAGTGGAAATCATAAAATTGGAAATTTGTTTATATGTAGAAAGAAAGAAGTGTGATTATCAGTACTGTATTCTTGAAAGTGCTCGAACAAACCCTGAATTCTCGAAGCATGTGCTGCAGAGCTCAGGTGATCTTTGTCTCCGTACAACTTCGCGAAGACTCTATTCAACAAATTCAAATTTCATCACTATTTAAGTGAATCACAATCAAGAAGAGTCAATAGCTACCTCTGCTCTTTCTGTTGACTACACACGAAATTCTCTGCCATACGCAGCCGGATGCACGAGCACTACCGGCTCCATATCCTCAGCGGCTTGCGAGGTCAAGTGTATGTGGTTCACCCAGAGCGGGTGCTCGACGTCGAACCCCAACCCCGAACCGTCTGGATTTAGCGTCGCCCTCTCGAAGTCCAGCCGTCCCTCGCAAAACTGGTCCGGGGAACAGCCGTGGTCGGGCGGCACCAGCTCGCACCGCGAGAGCATTTTCCGGACCTTGTCCCCCACGCTGTGCTTCTCCAGCACTTTCACGTCCGCGGTGAAAAGCGCCTCGGTGGAGTCCTCCAAAAACTCGCCGGGTGGGATGAAGCCCGTAGTTGCTCCTGATACAGTGGGAGGTGGTCCACCTGCTCCCTTCGGGGGTTTCCCTGCTTTTTTCGCCGTCGCAGCCCGCTCCTTCGAGCTGGCGCCCGTACTCACCGTGTCGTGGGGGTGTACTAGGACTGGCTGCTGTTCTTGCTGGAACATCGGGGCGCTCGTCGCGGGGGCCAGAAAACCTTTATTGTTCTTCTTGTCGTGTTGCTCTAGCTCCTGTGGCGTCGCAGTGTGAGTCTGGTCGGGAAAATCCTTACTCATCCCGCCTCCACCGACTTCGCAGCTGTAAAGTTGACCTGCAGGACCAGAAGATGAAACACAACCGCGACAGAGGCTCGCATCTTGTTCAACATGGGTGCGCCGCGTGTTGGCTGCACAACTAGGAACTCCAGTGATGTCTTCGTCCGCTACTTGCTTTCCGGTGAAAGCGCACCTTTCCAGTTGGTCAGCAACATGATCCTGCTCTTCCTCAGCCTCACTCTGCTGGTGGCAAGCGAGAACCATTTCCTTCTGTCTTTCGTACCAGGCTGGCCAGTCGAATGTTCCAGCAGCTCCTCCAGGGCGCGCAGCTGCACTCGTCGTCCTCGTCGTCCCAGATAATTTAGTACTTGCTACCGCATTTCTGCGCAAAAGCTGTTCCATGTCGGTTTCGGTCAGGAGCGGAGAGCAAGGTTGTCGCAAGAACCGCGCGGCATTTGCAGTCGAGCAAGAATTGTGATTTTGCTTTCCTCGACCATCATGATGGGCCAATTTGTTCCGCAGGCCACCGAGCGCGCAACTTCTTCCTCCATGACCTAGAGGACCGTTGCGTTGTTCTCCCTCCTCCGCGGAAGTAGTTGCGTCACCAGTCGTGTTCTGCCGTGCAAAAGATTGCAGTTGTGGATCCGCCTCGGAGCTGCAAAGGAAGCTGCTGCCCGGCGTGGTGCAGCCCACGGTGGAAGACAGAAACGCGAGCTCCTTCACAAAGTCTTCCCGACATCGCAAGTACTCCATGTACTCACTCGCCACCCACCCGACTTGCCGGTCTTGCTCATGGACAATAGCCTGCTTCGCCACGAAATGCCACTTCTGCATAGACCTCTTCAAACTGTACCAAAACAGCTTCACCGGATTTATCTTTTCCACCCTGTGAGAATTATGGTACAGCTGCCCGCTTGTCGTCCTCAACGAAACAGGTGCTGCCGACGCAGGTACGGATCCTGTGTGGACCTGTTGCAAAAGCGACCCGGTGGTAGAGGAGGCGAGAGCAGCAGAAGGACTTCCTGGTTCCCGAAGCCCGGTCGCTCCGCTTGTAGTTGCGCTCGTCAGACTTGTGGTGCTAGTAGGAGCTTTGCTATCACTACTGGGCGGCGCTCCACTGTTCAAAAATTGACAAAACACCCTTTTTCGGTTTGCAATTTGCTTGAAAATCGGCAGCGAAAGCGACTGCAAAAAACGGTGGTCCGCGAAATCGCCGAGAGAAAAGACATTGTCAGAACTAATCATATCCGGCGCAGACTCGTCTTTTTTGCGACTGCATCTGCCTTCGCCTAGGATACTGTTGGCGCTGCTACAAAGATCATGATCCCCTTCGTCGTGTAACATGCTGGTTCTCAAAGACGTGGTCGAGGATACGACGGCAGTGCTGACGGTCGCGAGGCTCTCAGACGAAGCCTCACAGCCGCTGCTCGTCGCGTGGTGTGAGTCGTCGTTTTTCAGTGCGACTTCTTTGGGATAATTCTCAGCAGTGCTGCTCGGACTTGATGACGACCCGGTACCGAAAAGACCGAACGTCGGAATGAACCAAAGCAGGGACGAACCAGGCTCCTTCGTGTTTGATGTGGGAGAAGGTGTCTTCATCCCCTCCGCCGCGTTCTTGCAAGCGGCTTTTAGCGTTCTTGTAGAGGCACGCGCACAGCCGGCAGCCCGTCGGTGTTCCGAGACCGATTCGTAGCGGTTCGTCGTCGAGTAGAGAAGAATCGATGCGATAAAGTCCAGTGTTTTCGGGCCCAGGGTTTTCCCCTTTGTGCCAAGGTCGAGAGCAGATGTTGGAGCGCTCGTCGTGCGCTGCTGCGCTAGTGGTCCTCTTTCCACGTGGTGGTCACCTCCTTCCTCTGCTTGTTTCACACAAGAACCAGGACCGCCTTCCAAGCACTGCATCATTTCAAACAGCTTTTTTTCGAGCTGCTTCTGCGGAAAAAGAAGTATCCCGTGATCAACATGCTCTTCTCGTTCTTTTCCTTGCGCTTCTTCTTGTTCCATGGTGGTTCTGGCCGCACCAAATCGCTGTCCGGTGAGCAGGTGAAACACCAGAAGCGCGAAACCCACATTCACGTCTCTGGTTCGTCTATCTGACGCAAGGACAGAATCAGACTCGACTGCCACATCGTCGACGCTGTTGACACTATCGCTTCGCAGCACTTTCACGCGCTTTGTTTGCGTGCAAATCAACACGTTCTCAACCGTGGGAATCGGAATTTCGGTGTCGTGTCTCGTTCCTGACGAGTATTCTGTTCCTGCATCACGACGAGGCTGAAGAAAATTTCCGCGATCCACAGCAAACTGTACACTGGCGCTTGGTACGGCATCGCCATCTTGCTCGCTCTGGCGAGTCCCTCCTGGATGTACTGTAACAGCGGCTGGTACAACACGGTCCGCTCCAGCGCCACCACGGGCTCGTCGGGCGCCTTGGAGAAGGACAGCTGGTTGTTAATTTTCGGCTTCTTCGTTTGCAATTGCAGCGGTTCAGGAGGCGGTTTCCTGTTTCTCTTCTCCACTTCTGCCTCCTGTTCCTTCACCCAATGGGCGGCCCGGAGAAACATGTCTTGCAACTCCAGTGCGGTCTTCTTCTCCCATTCCCGGACTTTTGCAGGGCAGGTAAAATGAGACAAACCTTCGAGGATTTGCTTTTTATTCTCACTCTGATGATGCTGCAAAACGTCTAGCGTGTTGTCGCAGTAGACCGGAATGCTGTCGAACTCGCTCGTGATCGTCTTGCTTGGTCCCGTGCAGCTGGTGCTGGTGGTGGGGCTTCTATAATTTGCTCCGTCCACCGTGCTCGAAGCTCCTGCACCACGACCCGCGCTTTCATTTCTTTCAACTGTGTAAATGGTCGTTTCCCGCACTCCTGTGCCGTAGACAAACAATCCGGTCGCTTTCGGTTCCAAACTGACCTCCTCGAGCATCAAGAGGTCCTGTTTCACCAGATGCTCCTGCGCTTGTCCCTCTCCTTCCTCGGACAAGGCAACATCTTCTGAGGTGTACATCTCGAGATCACCATCCTCGTTCAGATTCTCTTTTGCCCCCGGTAGTTGCAATGCCGAAGACTCGGTCTCAGGAGAGGCGCCCGACGCGGAGGTAGATGCAGCTGAGACAGTCTTCGACATTTCCGGCACCGAGTACGTAAAGTCCCAGCTGGTGTGCAATTCTGAGAGCCGCAGCATGTCCACCGTGGGTGGGGTGATCAGCACGCGCGCGGAGTGCCAGTGGGCGAATTGCTTCTCCAAGGCGGCGATTTTGTCCCGTCTGCTCCGAGGACTTTTCATATTCTCATCCCCAGCTTGGTCGACGTGCTCAGGATTTTGTTCAGCCGCTTCCTCTTCGGGCCGTGATCGCTCTCGCTGCGGATCACTATTACCATGATCGAAAGCGGCTCCCATCCCATGGGCACAGTGTGGCAGTCGTTCCATAACCCGGAAAGGCAAATTTGGAAGAACCGACCCCAACAAGAGATGCGCTTTGATGGTCTTCGCGTCGTGGTGTGCCTTGCTCGGACTCGTCGCTGTCGAACCGTGGTCTTCATGGGACAGCATAAATTTATCGCTGTGCACACTCCAGTCGAAATTTTGAAACACGTCGTTGATGTCCTGCTCTTCCCTTCTGAAGATCGCAGAAATATTCCTAGACGGTCGCTCTCGCTGTCGGGTTGCAGTACTACTGGTAGTGCTAGTGCCACTTCCACCGTGCCTTGATGCAAGCATAATCTGTACCCGGCACCAGTTCCCTGCTTGTCCTGTGCACATCCAACACGCCGAGCCAGGGTTTCAATTCTCTTTCCAGCCTTTGCTGGAAGTCCGCCGCCGTGTCCGTGACGTGTAGTGGCACGTAGACCATTTGGAGGTTGGCCGAGTTGCTCAGGCTAATTTTCTCCCTGCCGCGCGTGCGCGACATGTGCAGCTTGTGCTTCTTGTGAAGCAACAGAGCGTCCTTCAGGCGGGACAGGTCGCGGTCGGCGTGTTCGACTTCGACCTGTTTGGCTTCAAAAAACTCGGAATCCTCACCCTCCTCACCGTGGTGGTACTCACGAAGGAGCCTGGGAAGGTGGAAACGTTGCCGATTGTCTGGTACTTTTTGGAAGGGGGAGGCAGAAGTAGTAGAAGCCTGATCCACGGACTCGAAACGAGCACTATCACCATGAAGATCAGGCGAGTCGTGGTCTCGCGTATCATCTCGTCGTTCAGTCTTTACCAACACACGAGGCAGCCTCCACTTTGCGGGCGGAAATTTGTTGGCCACCAAACCGGGCATGTAGGTCTCAAAATCCAGAAGAACCGGCACCTCGAAGAGCACAGGGCGAGGAGCCGGTGGGGGGGAACCTTCATGCCTTAACGTCGGACCAAACGCGCAACCTCCTTGCTGCGCAACACCATCATCTGCATGTGGTCTCTGTCGTGAGTGGTCAGGCAAAACTTTGTCGTCACTTTCTCGTCTCGAAAAATCCACTGGTATACCTGTTGATGGCGCAGATAACTTGGGAACGACGTTGGCGCGCTCCGCGTGCTCCGTCTCATTCCGCGCTTGCTCATCAAAGTCTTCTTGAAAATTCCCGGCGCCGTTTTTCTCTTCCTGATGCTGCAGTAGGCCTTCGAAGCCCCCGAGCCGCTGTTTTTTCCGCGCACTTGCGTAGTCTACTTGGGTATTCGCAAAAGTTTTGGACCTTGGTTCTTTGGTAACGCCGCGCTGCTCTTGCAGCTGGTGAAGATCTGCCTGATGGTGCTCCACCAAATTCATTGAGAGTGGCAGTGACTCTCCAGCTGCTACAACCGCAGGATCTTCTACAACTTCGTGCAGCAGTTGTGGAACCAGCAACTTCGACCGCTCCGAAGTCGATACGTAGGGTGGGGAGAGACGATGCGCATGCGGATTCGTCTCTACTTGCGAGCCCAGATAAGTGGGATCTATCATCCGCAGGTGGTCAACACCACGACGCTCATTCTCATCTGCTGGCCCTGGGACTGCGAGGTTCGTGATACTGCCTGGAGTCAGTGCAGTCGCCCCGTTTGCGAGAACGTAATGCGGAATCGCATTTTCGGGTTGGGCACCACCGCGCGCCGCGGCGCTGTACCCAATGCAGATCCCGAGCAAGTCGCCTATCATCGTGAAAAGCAGACCGGCACGTTGAGAAAAGTTAAAGTAGGAGAAGCGAAGTGAGAATGTAAAAGATAAGACTGTTACTTTCGTGTTTGTTCGGCAGTGTTTCTTTCGCAGCTTGGCAGGGTTAATGTTAAAAAATTGAGTTGCAAAGGAGCGAGTTGCATCAGGAGCTCTATTTGTACTGAAAAAGCCAGATGGAGAAGTGCATTCTGTGATTCTCCCTGTCCTGAATGTGCTATCTGTGGGTGTTTCTGTTTCGCAGAAAGAAGTAAGTTTGGCAAAAGGCTCTATTTTATCTGTCGCAAACGATGAAGAGGATGTATAGACGCTGGATGCTGATGTGCTGCTGCACTGGGCCATAGTAGTACTCATGTCAACTTCCAATAGATACCCGTAGATAGTAGCAGTGGACAAAAAAAATTCTTAGAGTGCGACCAGGAACATCTACAGCGCTAGAGATCAGACAGCATACTAAAGCTAAACAAGACCCTAGTACAATGATGAGACTTTTCATGTTCTGGAGGTGCAAAAAAACCTGCATGTCTCTAGTACCGCATTTGACTTCCACGGGTGTACTTACAACCACACCATACAGCAAACACGAACAAAGAAAACGGTGGACGGAAACACGTGTGCGATCAAAAAGACGAAAAAGCGTAGGACGCATCTCCTTGAATGCCGAAACGAGACACGCACCCCACTGGAGAATGAACAAGAAATAAAGTCGTCAGCCACAGTTCGTCACGACGCAGCTGCTTCGTTGCTCCTTCATCTTCTGAAGAAGTATATTATATTTTCCGTTTCCCCAAAAAAAGATAGAAGAAGTCTTTGAAAAAGCCGGACGACTTCGATTTTCCAGTGCGGTCTCTACTCCAACCAGCGCCAAGATTTTGCAGTAGAAAAACATTACATGTCAGTCAGTCCACACAAGGAACTTCGTCTCTAGTACACGAGTATGTATTTCCTTAAAAACCTGAAACATAGGTCGAAGGTTGTTCGGTGGCTGTCGTCAGAGGCTTCTTGATGAAAACATGTTTGAGGTGCTTTTTACATCAGGATCAGACACACAATGTTCCAAAACATTAGTGAAGATCTGAAGCTCCACCTTTGCTTTCAGAAATTCGGTACGAAACGATCGTAAAAAAGATCTATTCGCACATAATTGATTGACCTTCGTTGCATACCGCGAGAAACAAAAAGCGCAGGTCCGATGGATATAATGTTTTTTGGATCAACAAGAGGTGTCTGTAGTTAGTCGAATTTGATAAAGAATTTGGCTTCCCAGTAATGTTGATGTGTAGGTCGATTTCAAAATATCAGTTACCATCGTGTTGTGATGCATATGCTGCAACACACACGGGCGCAATCTATCGATCGGCGAAATTTGCCGATTACGGCCTCACTAGAGCTGTTCCTGCGCGGATGCTGGCAACTGAGATGATTACACAAGAGCTGAATGTATGATCTTGTCCCGATTCCGATTCGCAACCCGAATCTTAGCTCGGAAATAAGAATAACTATCTAGCCGAAAAGGAAAAAAATGTACTTTTCTACCAAACCACTCTAGGGGATCTTTAACTCTTCACCACTCATTCATGGTGTGCTTAAAGGGGGAAACTTTTGGATTTTCAAGTGCCATAAAATTATCCGTCAACGCAAAATCCATTTTATCATTCATGCTTTTCTTCAAAAATCTAGTTCGCTTTAGCTCGTTGCATTTCCTTCTTCCGTCGTTATGTCCGATTCCTGTGAGAAAGCCGTCGATGTGTTTCGGGGGGTGGAAAATGTCTACAAAATCACACCAGTCCTGGCTGTTCACGGATTTATTTCTTGTGCAGAAGGAAACCGTTGAGAAGTTTTATGGGCTGCTTCATTCAGACTTTTTCGTTTTCAGATTCAGAATTTGGATTTGCTAGTTGATCGTACAAAAATCGGCTTCTCACATTCCGCCACCGCGGAGGCGCAACACCAAGTGTAGCGTGGACTCCTTCTGGATGTTGTAGTCCGACAAAGTGCGCCCATCCTCCAGCTGCTTACCTGAAAATACGAGAGTCATCTACATTTGTGACGAATGTGCTTTCGGTATCAGAGGACAGGGCGAACAACAAGCAAGAATGCTACTGTTTGTGTCCACCTGTTGCAGTAATACGTGATGATATTTTTACAGCTGCGCGGCTAGAAAGCATATTTATACCAGCGAAGATCAAACGCTGCTGATCCGGCGGAATTCCCTCCTTGTCCTGAATCTTAGCCTTCACCGCATCGATTGTATCAGACGCTTCGACATCAAGTGTGATGGTCTTCCCGGTCAGGGTCTTGACGAAGATCTGCATACCACCACGGAGACGCAGGACCAAGTGCAGAGTCGATTCCTTCTGAATGTTGTAGTCAGACAAGGTGCGTCCGTCTTCCAATTGCTTACCGGCGAAGATCAAACGCTGCTGATCCGGCGGGATTCCCTCCTTGTCCTGAATCTTAGCCTTCACCGCATCGATTGTATCAGACGCTTCGACATCCAGTGTAATGGTCTTTCCGGTCAGGGTCTTAACGAAGATCTGCATACCCCCACGCAGGCGCAGGACCAGGTGCAGCGTCGATTCCTTCTGGATGTTGTAATCAGACAGGGTGCGGCCGTCTTCGAGCTGCTTGCCAGCGAAGATCAAACGCTGCTGATCCGGCGGGATTCCCTCCTTGTCCTGGATCTTAGCCTTCACTGCATCAATCGTGTCAGATGCTTCGACATCGAGGGTGATGGTCTTTCCGGTCAGGGTCTTGACGAAGATCTGCATACCACCACGGAGTCGCAGCACCAAGTGCAAGGTTGATTCCTTCTGGATGTTGTAATCAGACAGCGTGCGGCCGTCTTCGAGCTGCTTGCCGGCGAAGATCAAACGCTGCTGATCCGGCGGGATTCCCTCCTTGTCCTGGATCTTAGCCTTCACTGCATCAATCGTGTCAGATGCCTCGACATCGAGGGTGATGGTCTTTCCGGTCAGGGTCTTGACGAAGATCTGCATACCACCACGGAGTCGCAGCACCAAGTGCAAGGTTGATTCCTTCTGGATGTTGTAATCAGACAGCGTGCGGCCGTCTTCGAGCTGCTTGCCGGCGAAGATCAAACGCTGCTGATCCGGCGGGATTCCCTCCTTGTCCTGGATCTTAGCCTTCACTGCATCAATCGTGTCAGATGCCTCGACATCCAGGGTGATGGTCTTTCCGGTCAGGGTCTTGACGAAGATCTGCATACCACCACGGAGTCGCAGCACCAAGTGCAAGGTTGATTCCTTCTGGATGTTGTAGTCCGAAAGTGTGCGGCCGTCCTCCAATTGCTTACCTGTGGAATTGACAATGTTCAATCGCAAATAAATGAGGCTCCGGTATATCTGTATGTAAGGTGAATGAAGTACGGACACCCACAAGACAGCACCTCACAAAAAACGAATGAATGTTACCTGCGAAAATCAGGCGCTGCTGGTCTGGCGGGATTCCCTCCTTGTCTTGGATCTTTGCCTTCACCGCGTCGATAGTGTCGGACGCCTCGACGTCCAGGGTGATGGTCTTTCCGGTCAAAGTCTTCACAAAGATCTGCATCTTGATTCGTTTGTCTGTGTCTTTGAAATCAAACTCTCTCCTTTGTTCAAAAGTTGGAAGAAGATGTCGCTACTTTGGTTACAGGTTTCAAAACGGTTTGAGTTGTCAGTTGAAGTTTTACACCGAGTTGTAGTATTCTCAGGTCACACCTAACCTTATCTTTTCAAGCTTTCAGAGGGTTAGTAATCTTTGTTGGGTTCGCGAAAGTCGTCTCTGTGTTGTGACAATTTGAATCTGGTTGCTTGGAAATTTGACAACTTGTGTTTTGAACGATAAGGATAAGAGCCCTATGGTGGAGAATTTCCATTTACTACTTACCGCTTTTACCTCTCGCACAGACATGCACGCCTTGGCCTTGTCGAGAATGAATATAAACTACCGCCTCAACAATCTAGTAGGTACTATCCCTGGTCCTTGAATCCTTGCCTTTCTCAGTGCTATTGAAGAAGCAAAAATTTCACTGGTGTCTGAAGATGAAGTTATCCTGAATCAGGCATGGATCTCGATGTCCTTCACGAATAGCTTTAATTGCCTATCATGCGAAGTTGGAGCAAATTTGCTGCGGGAAAAAAACGAAAACGGAGGAAAGTGCTAGATTCTTATCAAGTAAAAAAACACTTCTTTTGCACTACAACATGCCTTGACGCAATCATTGTTGTTCTGCTGCGATTGCACTACTTTTGCTTTTTTAGAAAAACTGCACTCTCACGGCTGATATTCAGGCAGGAAAAAACGTCGCAACTACAAATGACCGAAAAACTATCGTGTTCATCATAGACCTAAGATCTCGAACACAGAGTTCCACAAAGAAAAAAAAAACTCAACACGGCTGTTTTTGCTTCACGGCGAAATTCTCTTACAAATGCGAGGTACATCAAAATGAGTGTGCCTGTTAATTAGAAGCGTCGAATTTAAGAACATTAACTATGCGAGAAGTCGTGTTCACATCAATCGGCTTGGCGCCGTGGACCCTGAGGTCAAGAAGTTTGGCGTGGCGGCCATACGTGCGAGCATCTGGTAGTGCCGCTTGTCCATAAGTCGGTCCGGCAGCAGATCAAGCAGCAGTTGCCAAACCCACCGCTCTATGCATTGCAAATCTGTCTGGGTCTGGATGAGTGGAAGATTTGTCATGCACATTTTGCGTGACTCATAAATCTGTGATGCATGATGCCGTAGCATGACACTGACAGGTCGTTTTGTGAGGGCTTCCTAATGCCTATACCGCATGAGAAATATCCCCTACTCGTAGCAGCTAATAAAATCCTGTTTCTGCCCATGCAATACAGATTTTTTTAGAATCGAAAGGCAGCATTACAAGTTCGCATCCTTCCAGAGTCAGACCCAGACAGTTTTGCATTTGATACGCTCTACCCCATGACGACCGAGCAGGAGATGCTGGCGGCAGCGACGGTGTTGCAGCAGAACGCGATGAATCGGCAGCGGGAGGAGGAGTTTCTGCTGTATCGGAAGGAGCAGGAGACGCAGCGGCAGGTGTTCAAATCCACCCGTTTTGAGGACGAGGAAGACGAGGTGGAGCCGATCTATTACAACTAGGAAGGACGTCGAGCAGCTGGTGCTTTTATCCTGTGCAAAAGTATCGTACGCGTAGTAATCGCAGTCATGCATTACAAATCTCCATCCCAAGGCAAAACAGCGTGACAACTTCCATTTGTCATGCTTAACAGACTGCGCTACTGAGCCCGGGGGGGTGCGGGGTCCGAGGGGTGCACAAAGCACAGCTTCCATTTGTCATGCTGAGCTAATTTGTATTGCGATTACTACTGGTACGATACTTTTGCATTGATAGCTTTCTTCACACGCCCACTTCAACCTGACAAGAGAAATTTGATTTCCAAGAATTATGGCACAGATAATCTGTCAGATTGAACAGATTTTTGCTTCTATATGACCACTTCAGCTTGATCACAAACACAATAATCACTTGGCAGTTTGTAACCAAGAACGCTCAACAGAAGAATGTGAATGGGGTTATGGGTTAGTTTAACTACGAGAGGAATCACGATGGTATAAACTTGCGAGTTTTTCTGAGAACTTGCTTCCTAGTGAACCTTCCATGTTATCGACTCCGCCAGCCGAGGTCAAAAAATGCCACGTTTTTTGAGCATTTTTGCTGGGCGTCGATAACATGACCCCGTATTTTGGGCTTTCCGCACGGGAATCTGGACTTTTGCGTAATTTTTGCGGAATCGATAACATGACCCCGTTATTTGGGCTCTTCGCGCGGGAATCTGGACTTTTGTGGAATTCGCAGAAATTCGCGAAAAATGGCGAATTCTTGAAAAATCCAGATTTCCGTGCGACGAGCCTAAATAACAGGGCTATGTTATCGATTCCGCAAATAATCCGGAAAAGTCCAGATTCCCGTGCGGAAAGCCTTAAATACGGGGTCATGTTATCGACGCCCGGCAAAAATGGTCCAAAAACGTAGCATTTTTTGACCAGTTTTCGGAGTCTTCTGTGAGATGAGGCCAAGGCCTCTACTAGACAAATGGGCGTTGCCCATTCGGGCAAGCCGGATAATGGTAAAGAACCAGAAACAGTACCCCCTCTAGGTATGGGAAGCGCATTGCTTGAGCGCCTCCAGGAGGCTCAGCCCAGCTGCGACCTCAGCCAAGGGTGCGAGTACTGAAGGAAGGCCTCCGGGATGGTAGATCTGGTCCGCGGCTTCCCGGTCCGGTGCAGAAAATCGACGACGGCCTCAACCTAGCTAGCTCAAAGCAGTGTGAAAAACAAAAAGCTATACATAGCTAGTTGTCCCGGAGGTCAAGAAGTTTGGCGTGGCGGCCATACGTGCGAGCATCTGGTAGTGCCGCTTGGCCATCGTCCGCTGCTGCTCCTATCAAAAGGAAAAATCCCCCCTCCCCATATCGAAGTGGAAATCTGTGATGCGGGATTTGCGTACACAAATGCGCGCTGTCTTGCAATACGGCATCGCAGCCAGATCCTCAGCCTATGGCGGGGCGTTTGGGTCTAGTTGTTTAGCATTGCAAACGGCTGTCCCCTAGGCCCAACAGCATGCCAAATCGGTTCCATAATGGCATGGAAGCCTGTGCACTTGTGTTCTTGCAAGACAGCCGTGATTTGTGGTCTCAAATCAGCAACACAAATTTTCGGAAACATGCCTTGCCGATATGGGGAGGGGGGATTTTTCCTCAGAATAGCTCCGTGCTGTGCACCACCGGACTGTTGACCGAAGTAATTCCCTTGTACTTTTTGTGCACTCTGGACTGGTTTTCGAACCTTTTCAGCAGCTCCTCGCGGTCCTCCCGGATTATTGGCACGGGGTCCGGCATCGCGCAACCGGACACTTTTGAGATACGCACGCACTCGCCGTGCATGGTGTACCTTTTATTAAAATGTGTGTGTTGATGTAATTTTGTTTGTAAAACAAAGAAGCAGGGAAATAATTATCGTGCCTCATAGGTAAAATTTTTTCTCAACAAGAACTTCAACCACCTCTTCACCTCCGCTTCACCCTAGTTGGCTTCTTGAGAATGGGATCCACCGGCGCCACATTCGTTATGTGAATCGGTAGCTCCGTGGTACACAGGGTCTCCCCAACCGCCGTGTTCACCCGGAAGGTCTTTTTCATGTTCATCCCGTGGACCAGAACGCAGTTTTCCTTGCGCATCACCTTGCGGACCACCCCCTGCCGCCCGCTGTCTCGGCCGTAGAGCACTTGCACCAGGTCGCCCTGCTTCACGTTCATGTGGTAGGCGAGGTCCACCTTCTGTGGTATTCTGTTGTCGCGCAGAAAGTGCGGCACCGAGGGGGCGCGCGAAAATTCCAGAAACTCCTCCTTCATCAGGGGGTTCTTCCTTTTCGCCTTGATGTAGTGCTCGTTGTTCGCCCGGTTCCACCACCGCCGCCACTTCACGCCCTGCATGCGCCGCTGCATCCGCAAAAACTCTCCGCTGTTGCGGGAGTAGTGCAGGGGGCGGGACAGGGCGTACATGGTTTTTTACCGCTGCTAGTGGATCGCTGGATAGTTCCTTGTTGTGGACGAAATAGTCCGTTTTTCCGTCGAGCTGAGAGATCGAGCTGAGCTTTTTTCTGTGTAAGGATCTTCGAAAACGAGGACTTCGATCTTCGGTGCTCGCTTATTGATCTAGTAGACCTGGAAACTTAAAAGCCTTTGCCTTTTGCCAGGCTTATGGAATTCAAGCCCGACAAATTTTCAGCGCACAACACTACGAATAAAGAAGCAGAACTGGCGAACAAACAGAACTGTCGACTGTAATCAACCGGAATAAAGAGCTGAGGGGGGATTCTGGTGCATCACCAGTTTAAAAACCTTTTCCTACCCAAAATGTCAAGGTAAACGCAGTACCCGACAAAACCGATTGCGAGGATGATCATGATATCGATTTATCCATCTTACTCTTTATACAAAATTCTAACAAAATCTGAGTGGTGTAGACTCATTGCGGAAAATTTGAATTTTCGTCAAGAACATTCAGATGTTCAAATTGGAAAGAATTATTTGTAATGGCGAATATTCGGTGGCAAGGGTGGCAGTGTCATCACGGCTTGTCATTCTTATCTTCTTCGAAACTAAGTGTTAGTACCCGCGACAACTACCTGTGGGTGGATAAACAAAATCCTGCAGCCGCGAAGAGCAGCGCACAGAGGAAAAATAGAGGGCACCATCAGAAGTGTAGCTTTCTTCTACTGCACATACAATCTTTTTCCAGTGTCGATTCTCTTGTTTTCAATGTTGCGTCTCGCAGGTTTCCAGAAATTTCAAGTATGCGGCTTCGTCCATCAACTTTCCTTGCACGAAATCTTCCGCAAACTTGCCCTGCGTAAGTCGTTGCAAATCTACTAGCACTGCATGCTACTTGTCCTTGTTCTCGTTTGCTGTCATATTTCACTAACAAATTGCCCAGCAGCAGCCTACACAAATGGACAAAACATCAAAATACCTTAACAATCCAGCCCTTCCCGTAGCAATCCTCGTTTATGATAGACGGCTCGTCGACCAATTCGCTGTTGACGGCTTCTACCTCGCACTCCTGCGGGGTGTACACCTCTCCCACGGCTTTGCCGTCCCCACACTCGATAGCCGCCACGGACTCGTTGGCCGGCACAAAGTGCGGCGGATCGGGCATGTCCACGTAAACAATCTTCCCTAGCTCCTTCTGTGCGAAGTCCGACACACCGATGGTCACTGGAGTTTTGGATTTCATAGAAATAGAATCAAACCGATATTATGCAAAAGCAGAAACCAAAATGGCCCGCGGCTACCCGAGAAAGCAATTTCCGTCGCGACATGATAAGTAGACGCGGCCATATTTCCTTCTTCTTTTATCAAGATCACATACCAGTTCTCTTGTCGTCCTCGACTTTGAGCCACTCGTGTGTCTCTGCGAAATACGTCGCCGCTTGGTACAGCGGTCGGCTTGTGGTGTGGAGAAACCTCCGGGAGGATTGGCTCCGTGTGCTGGTAGCGGCACCGAAGGTTGTTATTCCTGTTTGCCCCGCCAATCGACCGAGTACGGAAGCCAGCCCTTTTGTAGTCCGACTCTGGTGACTCCGGAAAATCTCGGCCTTTTGTCCGCTCGAGAAGTTGACTCTGTGAAGTTCGCGAAACGCAGGCCGCATCATGGTTTCCGATTGTTCTAGCGAAAAACTTTTTCAGGTGAAAAAAACCACGACTCTTAAGAAGCAAAAATTTCTGTCATGCGTTTATATAATTTGACTGTGACTTTTTAATAGCGCTAGACGACCGGATGGAATGAAGAAGAAGAACCGCTCTTGCTTTTGTAATGATCCGCTCCCTCCCAGCTTTGCAGGGAATTTCCTGTCCGCTCAAGCAGATGTGCGTCGTCTGGCTGTATTTATTTTGCCCTCGTGAATATGTTTTTGGTTTGCAAAAGTGGCTCAAGGACGCGTCTTGGCTAAACAGCGGCTCTACATAAGGAAAGAAGGAAAACGAAAGCCCGGGCACACGCACACCCGGAGCGCAAGCCGTGAAACAAAACAGCTAACCCCAAGCCCCAAAACGCACGGAGCCGGCACCGCAGCCTGTGCGGACGACGCCGACGGCACACGCTGAGGCTTTGTTTAGCAACTTTGACTATTTCTGAAAACATTTGTGTTGTCGCAGAAACTTGTGGTAAGTCAAAGACCACTACGCATGCAACGTCCTGTTTCGCAAGTAAGAAGTAGGAATTTCACTTTCAGTACGTACCAATATGCTAAAACGGAGTGAAAATATTTCAAACTCCGAATACTCATTCAAACAAATAGAAAAGTAAAAAACCTGAGTGAAGCTTCTATCGAACACCAGTGAAAAGATTGTTCCTTTCGTGGTTGTATTCATTTCATTTACAAACGCAAGCTCTACAATTCAGAGGCATCGGGGAAGTAACAGCAGATGAAGTTCTATATTCTACTAGAATGTAATCCACAACACAATCACAACCATACGGTTTCGGGTTCTTTCGTCTTTCCAGCTATTTATCTATCATACTTCTCAGAAGTCATTTCAAACCACTGCCTCCAATACGGATGATCTTGATAACAATAAGCTCGCGTTTTCATTGAGGCAGTAACATTGTCTCCTCGCACATGAGTCCTTCGTGCAATAAATAAACAAGGTGTACGTAGTAGATACGTGTCGACATTACGCCTGCTCTTTCCGAGTACTTGAGTGAGCAATCAGTTGTCATTCCGTGGGAGCCCACGGCTGGACCAGTTCTTGTCTGCCAACGATGGTCGTGGAAAACGAGAGCGACATACTACTCCCCGCCTCCGTTGTATCCAAGAAAAAAAGTGTGTAAGTGTAACTTTCTTTGAGAAACAGCATCACAAATTTGCTCTACATGACAGAGAAAACCTGTCATGCGTGGCTTGTAAGGGAAAACACACATGAAAAGAGGACTTCATGGCTGTCTGGCATGACAAGCGCAACTCTGTTGCATGTTCTTCAACACAAACTTACACTTACACAGTTTTTTTCTTGCGTACGTTGCGGACCACTCGTCGTCGGCATCGGAGCCGTCTTGGTTCCTCGACAGAAGCCCGGAGGACGAGGGAGACGCGGTCGCAATGCTCGACAACTGCAACGGCGGAATAGCGATGGAGGTATCCGTCTTCGAGTTGTAGAAAATTCTAGGCACGGCAGCATGGTCCGCTGCCGTTTCAACATCCACTTCTCTGTTATTCATCCTGTTGCCCTCTTGATCATGCGGATGTCCATCCTCGTCGTCCAAGAGTTGTTCCTGCACCAGGCCGGCCACTCTTGCCGTCTTGTTTCGCTCTGCTGGATCAAGAACCTCGTCCTCTTGTTGAATTCTCGTCCCCGCGGCGGCGCTGTCCGACGAGGGGGGCAGATTGTGCGGAAGCAGAGATGTTGAACCGGTGTTGAAATCTTTCGAGCCCCTGGCAGGAGCTCCGCGCTGTTGATGCAGTCGAAGGTGAGATTGTGTCTGCGGATAATGTTGACGCAGGGCCATAAGCTTACTCGCAGTTGTACTCGCATGCCTCTGCCTTGCCGGAACCCAACTTTCCCGCTTGCGCGTGTGCTGGTGGTCTACGAGAGGACTTAGATCTGCCGCACCGGTGGCGCGAACAGAATCGCCGCTTCCCTCCGCAACAAGTCCCAGAGCCGTATGAAGAAGCTCTCCATCGCCTCTGCCGCGGTGTAGGAACTGGTCGCGATCTCCAGCTGCGAGAAAGGCCTCCTGCAGCTCGGACGTTGCGCTGCTTACACCGGGCAGCGAGGGCTGCAGGGTAGTCCCTTTTTGCAATATTTCCGGCGGCAGGAGTACCAAATTGCCCTTGCTGTCTGTGCCGTTTTTCGAAGTGCTGCCCGTTGGCGTTGATTTTGCGGATGGGGGGGCGGATGTTCCGGATAAAACAACCGCGCCGCTCTTCAGCCGATTAGAATTTGTCCAACTCCAGGATTTCCTCATTTTGGCAGGGTGGTGCGGCAAAACAAAGCCTGCTTTGTGATTCGCCCCGGAGGATGTCACGGAAAACGCCGGAGCACTTGTGTACGGCCCACGCGGCGCAACGAGTGGGCTCAGGTCATCTTGCTCGTGTAAAAGTTCCGCGGACAACACTGGAGGCTGGGGTTGTGGTGCCTTTCCTGATGTGCCCGATCCGTGACGCTGTTGCATCAGAGCCGACGTGGTCGCAGTCATGCAGGCCGAGTGAATATTTTCCTGCATCATCAAGTGTCCCCGCTGCTCGGAACTACACAAAGCTGCTTGGAGTTGTTGGGTATGTTGCTGCAGACCGGCAAGAATCCCCGCACCTCCAGCTGAAGCAGGAGTACCATGACGCCGCACTAGTAGATCCTGCCTGGTAGCGCTAAAAGCGTCCCCTTCGCACAGCGACGACTCCCCTGGGTCCTGCGCACAGTGCGTCGACTGGCAACTGGTACTACATTGATTCGACGTTGTCACACTCGAGGAGGTATCCTGTACAAAGAAAAACGACAGATCTGGGTCCACGCGGGAAAAAACGCACAGTGTGGCTATGAATTTCCTACGCGGGGAAAAAACACCAGCACGAGTACGAAGTGGATGAAACTAATACTAATCTCAGAACCTTTGCAGAAACTACTTGATATTTTTCCTCGTGGTGACGACCCCGACCTGCTTTATATTCTTCCCCTCGCGTAAGACGACTGACTGAAGGGGCTTGACTCTGCGGTGGTTGTGGCGCCAGAGAAATCCTGATCATCGAGCATATCTCCGTGTTTGCAGGACAGGTCTGGCGCCGTGGTCGCGGTCCCTGCATCATTGTCAAACTCATCATCGTCATTATTTGCTTGGTCCTGCTGACTCTCAGCCGATAGAAGATGAAGTTCCGGTTCTTTACAAGACACCACGTTGACGACCTGGTCCCCGGCGATATCATTCTCTACTACATTCTCCAGCTCCATCTCCATAGTGTCATCCACTTTCATTTCCACGTCATCTTTGTCGCTTGATGTTCTTTTTTTCTTTTTTTCCGGAAAGTTGTGGGACGATTGTGACAGCATGCCTGCTTTCTGTTCGACCGGCTGTAGAACTACTACTTCACGTTGCTTTTGATCTTTTCCTTCCACATCATTCTTGCAGCTACTATTCACGATCTTTATGACCGCATCGCCCTCAAGAAAAACAGATTGTTCCCGTGGGGGCGCAGTCGCTTGCGGACCGCGATTCGGAACGAAAGCTGAGGGTGCCGAACCTACTGTGGCAGAAGCTGTTGTGCTTCTCTGTTCTCCGTCATTCCGTTTCGCAACGACCCGACTCGGAATTTTTGTACTCTCCTCGTCCTCACTGTCGTCCCGAGGTGAAACGTAGTCTACCTCGCTCTGGTACTTTTGTTGCAGCGCCAGCCAGGAGTCGGTCAGTCTTCGCCGCAGCCGGCTCATCTCCTCTTCGTTCGTGGACTTTGTTGTAGGCTGCGATAACGCGGGACTTACCTTTCGTGTAAACGGCAAATCGCCCGACGGCAGAACCGAACTACTCGATTTTGGAGCTTGTTGCGTTTGATGCTCCCTAGACGAGGATGAGGATGATGCTCTAGCTCCTCCTGGTGCCACCATAATTTGTGTTGCTGCCTCGTCTACTGCCGTCGGGCCGCTTGTCGCTGTCACGGTGGTAGGCGAAGCAGAAAGCAAAGAAGGAAAATTCTCTGCGAAGAAGCTTGAGGTCGCTTGAAAGAAGCTCGGCGTGGGAGCGCTCGCCGACGTGCTCGAAGGTGACGGCGCGGCCGCGGGGGCAGACGTTGCTGCAGTAGTTGCGCCTCCGCCGGTGTAAGGCACGAACGAACCACCGGCTGCGGGTGTAGTCTGCTGTTCTTGCTTGAATAGACCGCCTCCTCCGCGGTCTGCAGACCCAGAGCACGATTCTGGAACCACAAAATGCTCCACACTGGTTCTGCAGTCTGCCGCATTGGGAAGATCAAACCTCTCCATATCCGCGTACACCCGAGTCAAAAAAGCGGCTCGCTGCTCGTCGCTCAGCAGAGGGTAGAGAACTCCCTGCTTCAAAATCACAGTCGGCTTCTTCTGCGTCCGAGATGCCGACGAAGAGGATCCCGTGCAACTGCCTGAGGAGCTAGTACTCACAGACGCTGTAGGTCGTCCACCAAACCCCGCACTAGAGCCACTTGCTCCGCCCTGGAAGATGGAATCACCGCCAGCAATGGTCCTCGCTCCGGTGGTCGTGCTATGCCTCGCTAAGACCACCTTCTTCACTACGTAGGGCTCCAAACTCTTCAAGAGAAACTCGTTGGAAATCCGGATTAGGGACTCGTTCTCTTTTTCCCCAACCGAACTGATCACCGAGCTGGCGCAGCTGAGCTTTTTCTCGTTCGTCACAGCCGTGGAGGGGGAGAAAAAGGGATAATTGAGATTCGAGGCGGCGGAAGAACATGAGGCAGCAGAAGTAGAAGGAAAACCACCCTGACTTTTATGACCACCACTTCCCTCGTCCTCTTTCGAACCACGAGTTGTAGGATCACCAGCCGTGCGGTCTTCGGGTTCATCGGCGTTCAAACGGTACAATCGGTTCAAATCGCCTCTGTTCCTCGATTCGTTGAACCTCGCGAGACTAGCGTTGTGCAGGTCGTTGCCGAAGAGGTAATCCAGGTCCTGCATCAGCGCGTCGGCTTGCTCGTGGTCCCTTCTGCTGTTCGCCGAGCACGGGATGGAAAGACTGGTCAACGACTCGCGCAGCGCGGTGAAGTTGAACAGGTAGTCGAGAAAGGAGGTAGAAGTCGGAGACTCTACCTCAACCGAGGCGGAATTCCTGTTTGTAGATCGAAGAGATGAATTTGCAGACGCGCCGGCGGTAGACGTAGTCGCAGTAGTTTTCAGCGTCCTACAGCTGCTGCTCCGAGCTGGCTCAAGCTTATCACTCATCTCACAGCTGCCGCCCTGATCATGATGTTCACCCATCTTCATCGTGATTGAAGATCTACTACATGATCCTACGGCGGTCGGACCGGTGGGAGTAGATGTTGGCCGATTCTGTTTTTGATCTCTGATCTCCACCCCATCCGATTTTCGATTAGCCGTTGTCATGCAGAGCGACTCGGTGAGGTTTAGCCCCAGAAAGGAAAACAGGCCTGAGGAAGACTTAGTAGTGGTGGAATTCTTCTTTTTGTTATCTACTGGTGCAAGAACTGCGGAATCTTCTTCACTGGTAGTTTTTTTCCCGCCAACGGTGTTTGTATTTATCCCGCTATGGTCCTTCAAAGCGAGAACATCAGGCTGCTTCGTGAGCGCCTTCTCCGGGTCGTCCGGTCTGCTAAAAACTCGGAAGAACGCATCACTGGACTCGTCCATCCTTCCGTATCCAGAAAAAGTTGTACTGTGCAATTTTGTATTTCCAGGGTGGCCGTGCGTTTTTGACAAAAAAATGCCGGAAGCTCTACTAGCTGTATTTTTACCGGTCTGCATCAGCAAGACTGGGGATTGACTTTCCGGCACTGGGTCCACGGCCGAATCTTCTTCCTCCACACGAAACGGATGCGCACCTTGTACTTGGTCACGACCACAACTCTGTTTCTGCAGCCTTCCGGAGGACAGGGGGCTGGTGGGCTGCTGCAGGTGTGCTGGTCCTAATAATCCCCCTCCGGACGACCCGCGCGCGGAGGCACAAGGCGACAGCAGAGAAGTGCTGTTCTTGTCACTACTATTCGGGTCGACAAAAACCACATACTTCTGCACCCAGACGGCGCCAAAGTGGAGAAAGTAGGCGACGATCAAGGTGATGGCTTCTTCCCGGTTCGGAATGTTCAGGTCGTTTTGCAGCAAGTCGTCATCGATGTGAAAATCATGCTGGGAAGAGGTGGCGGTTTCTTGTTCTTGGTTTAGCACCGAAGGAGGAGCTCCAGAACTGCCGGTGCTGCTACGAGCAGCTTCTCCGGAGGTTGTCAAACCGTTACAGCCGAAATTTTCATCTACGTCCCCTTCATTGATATGGATTCCCGACTCGGTATGTATTCCCTCCTCAAAGGCCTCCACAATGGTCTCCAGATCGGCGATCTGCAAAGGATCCACGATCTCCTTGCACTTCTTGTAAATCATGCGGATCTCCTCGCAGGCTGAAGAATTTTCGCAGATTTCCTCCTGCAGCCACTGCTTGCGCTCTTCGAGTAACCGCTGAAAGTCAACCAGAGGTGGACGAGGTGGCTCTTCTGCATAATTATGGTAATCTTCACTGCTAGGAGAGGACAGGTTGTACACTACCTTGCTCTGTGCCGCACACCCGGAGATGGTGCTGTCAGAGGTACTAGTGCAACCCGTCTGCCGGTGGAGCTGCTCCTGCTGGGAACCACCTTTGGTAACTGCTTGTACTTGCGGAGGTGCAGCAGATAATAGCACTGTGGGTGCTGCCTTCACTCGCTGGGTTGTAGCGGCCAAATTTGTGGAGTGACGCTCTCCTGGCAAAACAACACTCTTCGACGGCGCAGCGGTGAATTTATTTTGTTTATTGGTTGCACCCCCGGAGGGCAGCGAGATGGTGGGAACGACAGGCCGGTGTTGCGACGTTTGCGAGGAAGAGGATGCTGAGGATGATGACGCAAGAACACCAGTTGACAAACGTGTAAATGACGTCTGTCCTGGCTTTCCGACCGTTGTAGAGGAAAGAACTGTCGTGTGAGAAGCCTGACGTGGCGGATGTTGATGATGTCCCAGCGATGATCTTGCGGTACTTGTACCAACTGCACTTGTGAAACTTGCAAGCTCCTCCGCATTTCTCCCGCTCGCCTGCAGCCAAGAGAGGCTGTGCGATTTGGTGGCCCACACTCCTGGTGGACATAGAGAGCCGCTGATTGATGTTCCAACCGAAAACAAAACTGCTAAGAAACACCGGAACAAAAAGGAGATCTTGATCTCCAGTGTGCAGGTCGTGCGCTTTTCCTTTTTTAGTTTTGCGACCTCCTCTAGACCGGGAAAAATAAACTGGCAGGGCCGCTTTCCGGACGCAATCCGTGATGACGTCCGGCATCTTCGGCCACCTTTTCCGTGGAGGGCCTTCCCCATTTCTTGTGCTATTTCATCGTCTCCCGGATCATAGATGAGAAAATAGACCGCTCTTCTCCGGTGCGAGCGCGTCGGCGAAGATTGCCACATCAAAAAGATGGACGAAGAACATCACATATTTATCCTGGTAAAGCTACAACAGAAAAAAACTCGGGCGTAATCAAACTTCTGAACTTAAATAATCCGATCAAAATCAAAATGTCAAACAGGTTACAAAGTCGATCTCAAAGATACTGATACGCGAAAGAAAAATACAGATCGTTCTCCTTCTTGAAATAGTACACGCAACGTCACCGTCGAAAACTTTATTATGTCAAGCAAATACTGTAAAAGTGATCTGCTTTCGGAAGCGAAATCTTTTAAAATGAAGTTAAAGAGAAAAAAAAACTTTCAAAATCTACGAAACGAGTGAAATCGGACTGAGACTAATCAGAATCAGAATCAGAAAATTTTGGCTTGGCTTGGCTGCGGGGCGGCGTTCCAGAACTTTAAGAGTGCAGCTGGAGCTATTCATGAGCTATAACTTGACCACGCGTACTAATTTCTAGTAGAGGCGGCTAACAACGAACTTGTCCTCCCCCCGCGTTAATACAAACCCCCGGCCTGAAACTCATGCTTACTGGGTGGGGCAGGGAAAATTTAGGCCATGAACCCGGCAAGAACGCTGAAAGTCTTGTACTTGGCCAACGACATAACTTCACGCGCCTGACGGGAGCACCACGTCTTTAACCCTTTTCGGTTACAGCGCGTGTCCACGGTCGAAACCGACCGACTTTTTTTTTTGCGGCCGACGCCAATGCTACACTTCTGGTGGTGTACGTGAGGCGTGGTATGACAAAGAGCCAGCTAATCCGACTTCTCATCGGAATTCGCATATACCCTGCATGGAGAGGTTGCTGTCTCCGGGTACTTCACCGACCGACTGGTCGCGAAATCAGCATTGGCAATGGTGAAAACCGCAATGGCAATGGAAGAGGAAAACCGCAATGGCAATGGTGAAAACCGCAATGCAAACAAAAGTTTACCATGCTCACGCACGTGGTAAAACGCATTGCTGCAGCTGCGTCGAAAGATCCGGAGAACAGGATTTCTGTAGTGGTGCTTTATGCTATTCATGTGCACCAGAACCCGTTTCAGCGGTCGATCATTTTTAACTTGAGTGCGAATAAGAAATCGGGTTCGTTGCAGCGTCCTTGCAAGTCCAAAAAGTCAGATAGCGCAGTAGGTCATTACGGGAAGAAGGTAAATACTTCCGGTTCAGCAGTTCTGGGAACATTCATTTCTGGGGTGTTTCATTGTTGCGTTTTCTCCCCGAGGTACTTACTGCAAGAAACATTCTCGCTTCTGAGGCCAGCGCCAGACAAAAAGTCCTGCCTGAGCGACAGCGAAACTACTAGGACCGGGTTGTCCGCAAAATCCATAGGGGAAGATATCTACCGGAACTGAAAGAAACAATATTTTTGCCGTGTACCAAAAGTACTTAAGTTCGAAACTCTAACTCAATGTCAATACGGAGGTCCCTGCGTTTTGCACTTATTTTTGTTCGACATTGCTTGCATTGCAAATGGCACTGAAAGAGTGGAAAATGGGAAAAATTTTGAATTTTGAATGTATCATACAAGGAAGTTCTTCGTTAATCCTGCGCCGCCATCGTCCTCTCTGGGTACATTCTGTGGGATTTGAAAATAGCAAAAAACCAAAACATGGACTAGCATTGCTGTCCGCAGAGAGAAATGGATCCCGTCTCCTGAACGGGAGTCATAGTTCCGGTCACCAAAAGTTCATCAGTCACGTGTGGTTTCGATTTCCCCGAAGTGCGGCCAGACGTCATGAAGGCCAAAGAGCAACTCGATCCACAGCCGCAAATCTGCTAGTAAGACCCACAGAGGATGTTGCCAATGATCCGTGAGCGATGGCTTGATTTCGAACAGGATGACGCTACCCAGGACGGAAAGGTTTCTGGAGTAGGGAGTATGTAGATGCTCATGCAGATGCTTGTGCTTCGCAGTTTTGTCGTGCAAAAAATAAAAATGCGGTTACCGAGCTCGTATCAAAAAATAGTCCTGGTACTTCTCAAACTCAATTCTAACTGTACCTGATTCCCACCGCTAAGAGAAGGCTCTTCCACGTTTGCGTTATGTTTCCGCCGTAAACGCCCCATATCAGCACCCACGCGGCGAGACTGTTCCCGAAAAAATGCGATAGCTTCGTCCACTTCTGTTTCCGCTTGCTCAGGTACAGAGTGTGGTAGAAATCGCGGAAGGAATAGGTCAGCGGTTTGCTGGCAGCAGTTGCACCCACTGTGTGCTCCTCGTCCTTATCCGGGAGAAACGCGCGGGTGACTTGATGACGACGAAGGTGGTACTCCGTAAACTCCCACATGTGTTGTAGTCTTTCTCTTCTCCGATTTTTACCGGACAACCTGGTTTCGATCGACGTTCTCGCAGATCAGACTGTAAGTACTCCTTTCGGTTTCTTCTTGTTCTGATTACCTCGTTCCTGCGAATACGGAAAACCGCAGCTAGGCGACTGCTCGACGTACAACTCTTGTTACAGAAGCGCGGAGCCAGGTTCTGGTGGCAGCGCTTGCCTGCTGGCGCTTTTTCTGGTGCTAGACGGGGAAGCAGTAGGTGAACGCAATGATGTGTCGTGATAACGATTTGCGCATAACGGAGCCGAAATACAAGCTCTGGTGAAAATCCTAGGCGACTTTGATAGCACAGAGTATTGGTCAACGCGACGTCTTTCTGACACAGCAAAATGCAAATAGCATTCCATATTTTTCATTTGGTGGCAAAAAAAAACTAGAGAAAAATGACGGTCGGTGAGTCGGACAGCCGTATAAAAGATGAAATTGAGGCGGATAAGATATTTATGATATTCTCAAACACGACGAGCACAAATACTACACAAGTTAGTTTGCTGGTTCGACTCTCTCTGTCTAGGACCTGGCAGTCGTCATACAGCTTGCACTGATGAGGCACCACTAGTTTTTGTACTTACTACTCTCGAGGTCGATCGCTCGCAGCTCTCGCACTACAAAGTTCCGAGGTTGCTGAAAACTAAAGCAATGCGGGTCGATACTACTCTCTCGAGAAGTTTGCCGTGAACGCACTTATCGCAAATAATGAATCGAAGGAATGCGAATGCCACCGATGAGGAACAGACTGCGTCGGAACCGATATTGACCCCGATGCAAAAGTATCTGACCGAAGAATGTCATTGCTTTAGGAATGGCTCCGAGCTATCGGGCTTCGCCTGAGTATTCGTAATATGAGTCACTATTTGTTTGCTAAATGCTATCATAATGGTCTACCGCCCAAGGACTACCATCAGGAAAATCATCGGCATACATGGGTGCAGTACGGAGTAGGCCTACTGCTGCACCCTTGACCTTTTTACTTTGAGCACCTATTAAACGGAATGCTCTGCCGATGTCAGATTTGTTTACACGAGCGATAGCGAAGATCACGCCACATCTTTGGTTTTACATCTTCCGAGTAGTATTACGGTATTCGGGCAAGAACCGGTTGGAATCGATGGAGGTGAAACTACGTACAGCAACGACGGCTTGTAGATTGCTTCTAGGCGAGAAGTGGCAGAACCGCTATCTTGTTGCTGGTGACAAATCACTAGATATGTTTTCGCCCTTGATGCCACCCATACGGTAGGTTTGATATCTTCTTGCTTTCCCTTACACTAGACGCAGAAGATCTTCTGGCCGACTCTACAACGGCACGACTACTTCGACAAACCCATTGGGATTCTTTCTTACTGTATACTTCAAATCTTAAAAATTCCATGGTGTTGAGACATTTCGTCGATGAAATGACTCATACCACCGACGCAACTCTTTGTGTGAGACTTTTCAAGAACCTTCAATCTGTCATTAACTGCGGGTGAGAGCACGACTAGAATTAGATAGTACCTGCAGAATTATTTGTACTAGTGGACTTATATATTCCTTATTTGACACTGCTTTTTTTCCTAAATTTGTTGTACAAGCACCGACCGCAGAACCATCCAGTGAAACTTCCAGCGACCCCACCTTCGAGGTGGCTGGTCCCGCGGTGGCAAAGACTCCTTTACGCCGCGTAGACCTCCTTGACCTGAGATGGTGAACAAAACGAAATTTGAATCGCATGAAGAACAGCCCAAAGCCGAGAAAAAAAGCACCCGCTCAGGCTCGCTTTTTCTTTCAACCACTAGAAAAAAGTATTTTCTTATCGTGCTCAAAAGTGGAAGTGCTGGCATTGCCTTCAGTCTTGGTGCCATTGCCTACAGTATTCAGGATCGGATTCATCGAGTCCACTCTCGTCGCGACCACCAGTGGTAAAGCATTGAGAGAAAAAAAAGCTCACGATGCTGCGACCCGACAATGTGCTTAGATCATTTTGTGCTATTGAAAAATCCGCAGAAATCATTCCAAAAAGCTGAGTGATGATGTACATTCGAAAATAGTCAAATACGACTTCTCGTCTACCAATTCTGCAAAACCTCACAGCGTGGCGAAAGAACGTGCGCGACTGCAGCACCACCGTCAAAATATTTCCACAAGGAAAGTGAATCGCTATGCAGCAAAAATTTCCTTCACCTTGGTGGCCAGGCCTTCGCAGGTGCCCTTTGCGTCTCCCAAGAGCATTTCCGTGTTGTCCTTGAAGAACACGGGGTTCTCCAAGTCCGCATAGCCGCCGCCCATGGTGCGCTTCATGAACACCGTCTTTTTCGACTTCCACACCTCGATAACCGGCATGCCCCAGATGCTGCAGCCCTCGATCTCCTGCGCGGCGGAATTTGTGATGTCGTATCAAATGCAAAAATGTCTGGGTCTGGAACAAAGCAACTTGTCATGCTAAATCTCAATCATGTAAAAATCTGTGTTGCATGATTACCAAAAGCTGTTCACTTTTGACCTAATCGCGAGGCAGTTTCTCATGCAGGATAGGCATGATAGAACGCTCACAGAATCTGTCATGCTATGTCCTACATACCAGACCTCATGGGTCATGAAAAACCTGCATGACAAGTCTGGCATTCTTCCAGACCCAAACATATTTGCATTTGATATGTCGTTGGCGCCGACAACGAGGGTAACGTCCACGTCGGTGATGTCCGGGTTGACTTCGTCCATCTCCAGCACGTGGTCGTAGCTCACGCCCGCCTCCGCGAGCAGGACGTTCATCTGCCCCGGCATGCGGCCGGCCACCGGGTGGATGCCGAATTCCACGTGCACGCCATTGTCGATCAACGCGTTTGCCAAGTCCGCGCACGCGTTCTGTGCCCGGCTGACCGCCATCCCGTAGCCTGGAACGATCAGAACTTTCTGCGCGGTTGCCAGAGCGTTCGCCGTCGCTTCAATGTTGGTTTCCACGTGCTCCTTTGGCGTGTCGTCGCCCGCGGCCGCGGGCGCGGCGACGTTCATGCCACCGAAGAGGACGTTCATGATGTCGCGGTTCATCGCGTCGCACATAATCTTCGTCAAAATACCACCGGAGAAACCAATCAGGGACCCAACCACGGTGAGAATCGGGGAATTCAGCAGAAATCCCTCGGCGACCAGCGCCCACCCGGAATAACTGTGTGTGGGCGAGGAAGAGATATAAATTTGTGGGATTTTTTCGAAAGGTATTTTGCTTGGATACACGCATGAAGAACGTTTAGATTTCTCAGTATCGCAAGCCAAGGAAAATCTGCACAAAATGAAAACAAAAAAGATGCAACTCATTGTCAGTTCTTTTAAGTACGAGTTCAGAACGGTGATGCACACTGGCATATCCGCTCCGCCGACGCTACCGACCAAGTGGTATCCCATTACGTTCGACAAAACCGCAGTCAGCCACAGGTCCATCACTCCTCCGCCCGAGCTCAAGAAGTGCGCGCCGATCAGCCCCTGCAGCCCGAGCCCGCCCAGGTTCAACAGATTCTTGTTGGGCAGGTTCAGGGGTTTGGAATCCAGTCTGCCGTCCAGCTTCGCGAAGGCGACGATGGACCCGGTGAGCGTGACGCCCCCGATGAAATCCCCGAGCAGGGCACTGGTGTTGTGCATGGTCGCGCCCGCGACAGGATGGGCCGCGAAGGACCCAATGGACGCAAACATTGCCGCCGCACCGACCAAACTGTGGAACGCAGCCACGGTCTGCGGGAGCTGGATCGGGGAGACCATATTGGCCACGTGGTACCCACCGGCGCCCCCGGCACCGAGGAGGGCGAGGGCCGGGACCGTGTACCCCGGCTCGACGCCTGATAGGTTGGTTATCGTTATGGATCTTCTTCAATTCACGACATCACTATACTGCATGCAATCATTGACATTACGTCGACATCAAGTTCGGCAAAAAAAAAATGTGAAAACGATGAAATAAGTGTAGTGAGTACTCATCAGCGTGGTTGTGACCGCTCCGGCGATTCCGCACATGCCCAGCTTGCAGCCCATTTATCCAGTGGAAAAACGTCCCCACCCCATAGTCAACATGGGGACTCGGCTAGACAAATCCACAAGCTTTGGCTCTTTTGCATGACAAATTTGGACTCGTAGTGTAGTGCTATTTGAGCTAGCCCAGCAGCATCACAGACATAGTGTATCAAGCTGATTGGAGCATGACACATTTCAAAACACGACTGAAGCATGCTTCTCATGGGGCTCCGCATGAGAAGCTTTTTCTGCATGCAGATTTGCATGACAACTCTGGGGTGGGGACGTTTTTACACAGGATACCATGTCCGCAGTGGTCATCTTCGACAACCCGCCAATGGCGCCGATGCACATGAGCCCGCACACCGTGTTCGTCGGCTCGATCAGGTCCGCTCCGCCTACCAGCGGCGCGGCCACGACCATCCCGCCCGGTATTGCGAGCAAATTCGAGTGGTCCACGTCGCCGGGGCGCTTGAACAGATCCAGCATCTTCTTCGTGACCAGAAACCCACCGACAATGTTGACCGCGGAGATGCTCGTCGCGGTTGCGGCGAGCAGGTCCACCCCAACCCCGCCCTTCCCCAGCAGCATCATGCCGCCCAGCGCGGTGGCACCGGAGATCGCGTTGGTGACGGACATCAACGGGGTGTGTAACGCGTGCGCGACGCCCATGACGACCTGGTACCCCGCGGCGCCCGCGAGCGTGAAGGAGTTCAACAGACTGGGCGGAACGCCGGTCCCGATCGCCATCACAGTGGCGCCACCGGCCGCAATCATCTGGCTCGTTTGCATCATCTCTTTTTTCGGGTCAACTTTCTCGACTTCCTTCGCCTCTACCGTCTTCGGCTTGGAGACCGGCGTCGGCTGTGGGGGCGGCGGCATCTCCAGCTCCTTACCTGCAGATATGGAATTTTGGTTTTGCATAGCTCACTTTTTTTTTTCCATTACAGATTTGCAGCTCCATAAACTACTGAAAACTGTTTCTCATGTGGGCCTAGCACCTGACACGTAAGAGGATGCAACCTCGCAGCACATTTGGTTAAAACTACCGTCTCTGCAGGTGACCATGCTTCGCACGATGATATCTCCGTCGTCTCCGGCCTTCAGCGCCGCGTCTACCGCTGGCACGAAGCCCTCGGCCTTCTCCTTGCCGTGCACGTGCGAGATAAAATTGTACATGTTCTGTGCGTACATCGAACTGGCGATGTGCCCCATACGGGCTGGGAGATCGTCGTAGCCAATGATGGTAACACCGTTGTCCGTGACGACAGTGGTGCCCGGTTTGGTCATAGTACAGTTCCCCCCCCCGGCGGCCGCCAAATCAACGATTACCGACCCCGGCTTCATGGCTTGCACCATGTTGTCTGGATTTTCGTTTGTTTGGGAGCAATAGGTCGTTGATGTGTCAAACTGAAGCTTCATCGTTTAGCCTGATGCTGATCATGTTTCATCTGCATTTGTAAAATTTTCAACACGTTCTGTCTTTAGTGCTAGGACAGAGCGGGTGTTGTACAGGTATTCCAAATACCTTCGATCAACTTTGGACTGGGCCGTCCGGGAATCGCGGCCGTTGTGATCACAATGTCGCATTCCTTGCAGTGCTTCGCAAAGGTTTCCTTCTGCGCCTTCAAAAACTCCGGACTGGACTCCTTCGCATATCCGCCCGCGCCCGCGCCATCTTCCTTAAAGTCCACGGTGACCCACTTTGCGCCCATACTCTGCACCTGGTCGCTGACGTCCCGCACGTCCCACGCCCGCACCTGGGAACCTAAAGCCTTCGAGGTTCCCATGGCCGCGAGCCCGGCGACGCCGACACCCAGCACGAAGGTGTTACTCGGCGGGTACTTCCCCGCGGCGGTCACCTCGGGACTGTGGAACTTTTCAAACGCGTACGCCCCCTCGATCACCGCCCGGTGCCCGGCAACCTTGGCCTGCGAGGAGAGGACATCCAGCTTCTGTGCGATGGTGATCCGCGGCGCCGCCGTGGTGTCCACGAGGGTGCAGCCGGCCTTCGCGGCCGCGGCAACTTTCGCTTTACCGGCAGGCAGCATGCGGCCAACCTAGGAGCATTTGAGGTGCGAGGTACGACACTTTAATATTTCATGCGAAGATTCTTACAACAAGCATGAACAAGAATTGCAGATACAACAGCAGCCGCGTCGCGGTCGCCTTCTGGAAATTATAGATAAGTACCCAGTTGACGAGCATTTTGTCCTTGAACTTCGTCAGTTCCTTGTCCTCCGGTGGGTGCAGGCCAAAAATCAACTTGGAGGAGGCAATCATCTTGTCCCGCGCTAGGACCTCGCACCCCGCGTCCTTAAACGCTTGGTCAGAAAAACCCGATTTCGCCCCCGCGTTGGTTTCCACCGTGACCTTGTATCCGTCCTTGATGAATTTCTGCGCCACGGCGGGTACCATGGTCACGCGGCGTTCCTTCCCGGCTTCCTTCAGCACACCTATGTTGAGGTTGCGTCGCTGCTGCCTCTGGTTGTTGCAAACCCTGGAGGTGGAGGAAGACGTGCCGCCCCGGGCAGCAGCAAAGCTGCCGCTCGACTTCGCCGCGAAAACGCGCATCTTGAGGGGACGCGGCTGGGAAACCTCTTACATGAAATTTTGTGTTTTCGTCTCTCGGTAAAAGTAAATTGCCTATTGGTCAGCAAAAAGAACAACGGTCATTTTTCTGCCCGTGAAAAGAAGAAACGTCGGTCATTTATCCTTCTCATCGTCTGCAGGCATCAAGAGTAAAAGCCGATAGCGCGCCCGTTCGGAACTAGATTGTGGCGTTGAACAACTTGGGTCCAAAAAAAAAAATTTGCAGTTCTGGCACCAGAGTGGCAGACAAGAGAGCTACAACTTCTCGATAACAAAGCCACGACAGAAGAAACCAGTTTCCGGGGTCCTCTTCTATCTGTTCCATTCGACCAAGGGATTCGTGGACCTTGGCTGCCCGGTCCGCGAACACCAGAAGAAGCAACAGCAAGAAGCCGATGCCGGTGCTGCTATAACATCAACAGCATTGCTCTTGTTTACTGCTGTACTATGCAGATTCCATACTTACGCGTGAGACAAAGCGATCTCGGCGAAGGGAGAAGAAGATAAATTCTGTCTCCTACATGTTTTCAATCATGAACGACATGTGTGGATCGTGGATGTCTTTCGTGATACTGCGCCTCCGCAGCGTTTCCCCCACGCCGCCCTCCAGATCGTCTTCGCCACTGGACCAGACACCGGAACTGAGCGAAGAGGAACTGCTTTCCTTGATCGCGCTCTGTAGCACATTTTTCCTTCGCTCGTATTCCTGAGCCGAAATTGCGTGCTTTTCCGCGATGGAGATCCTAGACAGGTCGTCCGGGGAGGAACTACTCAGCCCGCGGTCCGCTCCCGACAGGAGGCTAGTTGCAGTAGACTCTGCGGGAACATTAGGCGCACCTGCGGCCGTAGTGCCCCCGCCCCCGAGTTTGGTTGTTGTGGTCCCGGAGACCAGGGCGCGCGCCGCGTCGTGCAAGGGGAAGGCTTTGAAGAACCAAACCAGCGCGGCAACCAGCGGGAACCAGTCGGCGTGCGACCCCAGGTTGTCCCTCCAAGTGTCCTTTTTGCGCATGCGACTGTCCTTGTACAGGTACTGCATGGATTCGTAGAGGGAATTGGTCAGGGGGTACTTCATGTGGTACTGGTACAGCACCGTGCCCCAACAGACGGCCGCCCAGAGGCGGCGGATGACGGTGCGCTGGAAGGACGTGGTTTTGAAGAGCAGCACATTCTTGCTGTTGCTGCTTCCCGCGCACCGCTTCACGAAGGCGACCAGGACGCGGGACATGATGTACATGTTCATCAGGTCGTGGAACCCAGATTTGTATCAAATGTAAAAATGTCTGGGTCTGGAAACTTGTGATGCTAAAATGTGCATGATGAAGACACTTCCGAATGCAGTCCGGCATGACAACTTCCCAAAACTCTTTCTCATAGGCAATCCGCATGAGAAACTGCGTTTTTGCATGACGATGGAGGCTGCGACTTTTGTTGGTTATGCAATACAGATTTTCTAGGTATGGAAAGCTAGCATTACAAGTTCCAACCTTCCAGACCCAGACATTTTTACAATCCATAATTTGCTGCCCCAAACGATACCGCCCGACAAAAAGCCCGACACGAACCAGTGCCACGGGCGCTCGAAATTCCCCGGCGTTATCCTGTCAGTCGGTTTGGATTTCGTTCTGCTCTGAACAAGTCACAAAGAGTGAGGAATTTGCACCGGTAAAAAGTAAGTATCTAGAAGCTGTTTATTGAGTTCATCACATTTTGATTTTTAGGTTTAACAGGTACAACAAATACGCCGCCAAATACTACAAACACCCTCCGTCCTTACCTTCTCAACAGAAAGAGCCAGGTCTTCGCGAGCGCGACGTTTAGGCCGAGCGAGCTTCCGTGGTCGAAGGCTGCGTTGGTGATGGTGTTAATGAAAAACGCCGGCGTGAGTACCTTGTTTTCACTGGCGAACAGCCACGTCTTCACTAACGCGTCCACCACGCGTATCCTGGTTCCGTAGAGGATCCCGTGGAAAAACCCGTTGCGGATAGTTCGCGTGTTGTCGTGGGGAAAGTAGTACTGGGCATACCGCGACGGGGTCACCTGCCGCAACAGCGAGGCGCTCGGGTTGTCGTCGTCCATCATAGGGACGTTCATTGTGGGCAGCTGCACGAACAACAAGTTGTTAGTACTTACACCGCCTCTGGTATTTTGCTCGCGAGGAACAAAAATCTGTCCCCGCCGAAGAGCACTTTACGCGGTCACCCGCAAATTCCGAATTTTATCCACGACACATAGCGAATTGAAAAATTTGTTCTTCCATCATGTTCCGAGCACCAAAAGGCAGCTCCCGCTTGTCCTCTGTGCAGCAAAAAATTGCGACATCCGTCGCGGTGGATCGCGGTGGCCCCGCCTCGATCCGTCTACCTAACGCGACTGCCCGATAAGGCAGTAAAACTCATTGCAGAGAGGCAAAATGCATGTCATGGCTCCAGATCATCAAGTGCGACTCCTTGATCTGCTGAGAGGGTTGATCATCCTGATGAACATTCTGGCACAAGAGGACCACAAGGACCCGGGCGCTGTCTGGCGTCTCTTCGAAAATGCAAAAAACTTTGGCAATACTTATCCGATCCAACTCCGTGTTGAAGTGAACAACGGCACGAATTGCCTGTCAATGTCCAGAAAAATCCAGCAGCACTCTTTAAGTCCTCGGTGCGAATTTGCGATGTGCTTTTACATTTTTCTTCCTGTCACGGCGCTACTGGAAGCAGTGATCTTTGTGCATTTGCACAGAATATGCAGCCGGAATTTGTCTTCCTTCGAGGAAATCATTCCACCACTAATATTGCGTCGCAAATTTTCACTTCTGTGCTCGATCCATTCGTAGCCCCCCTATGACATAGACACTTTTTCTCGTGCAGCAGCAAACTTTGACAACCACAAGCGTACTGTTGAAAGTCCATAAGGTCTGAAGTAAAAAAGATGCGGATTAAGCCACTTTCAAAAAAAAACCAATTTGTCATACGTCTACACACGAGTAGAATACTTACTGCGAACAATTACGCTACAATTTGCATACTCACTTTTTTGTGGCTTGGCAGAGCAGCAGCAGTAGCACAAAAAATTTTACATGTGTAAAAAGGGGTGAGTGGACGTGTTTACTTTTCGTCTTTGTAGACTTTCCACCCAGAACCAACTAAATCATACACGTATCTGTAGGTAAAAAACTAAAAAAATCTAAACGAAGAACCCTAGGACCAGTAACTAAGTATACTTCTCTCCGGCTGACAGCATTTTAATTTGTAGTGCCTTATGTTCTTAATAAGTACTTACTACTATCTTGTCAACACGCATGAAGAGTGGACAAATGTTCCATAGATCAACGATGCGAGGAAGATCACTCAGAAAACAAAAGTATCTTGTCTTTTGGTCTTTTTTGTCTACTCCTGTAGGCCTCACGCATTCACGCTATTAATTTCTATACTTTTACGACTTACATGCTGAGTGCGCGCACAGATAGCAAGGCGCCCTGTTTCTGGGATACCTGGGAGCCTTATCCTCCCTTGCTGGGTACAAGCGATTTCGCCCGTATGTGGTCCGCCTCGGTGGACTGAAAAAAGCGATCGATGAACGGATACATTGGAAAAATTCGCACTGTCCAAAAGATTAATAGATTGTAGCTGATGCATTGCCACCCGGGGGGAGGCGAAAGTTTCAAAAGCGGCACTATTCATACCTGATAAAGCACCAGGGGTGATAGCAAGTAGTGTTGCGTGGATCTTCGAATGTTTTGGCGTCCGCGCACTTGTCGGCTGCGATGGCACATTCCGCTTTGGTGCCGGATTTTCATTATCGACTGCAAATAAACCAATTAGGGAAAGCGCCAGTGAAGGAGTCCGCGCGACGACGCAGGCTCAGCCCCTTTTCCATTACTCTAGAGGGACAAACAAGATGATGAGCATCAACATGTTGTACCGAGTCCAAGACACTATAAAGTCAATACAGACAATATGTAGTACCGGCTGTCGCAGTTCCGGCTGACGCAGCTATTACTCGGTAACTTCGCCTCTGCCGTGTTGCCGCCAACAAACCCGGAGGGTTCCATAGATCAACGATGCGAGGAAGATCACTCAGAAAGCGCGCTTAGATCAACGATGCGAGGAACTTGCTTGCGTGGCCGCCCGTGTCGCAGCGCCTCCTAAAGTAACCCGACTGGCTAAACCCGGGACACCAGACACGACCACAGGTATGATCAAATAAAATAACCTAAGCTAAAAATAATGATTCATATTTGATAAAGAGCCTAAGTTGTAATTAAAAATGAATGAATAAAACTCTGACGATTTTTTAGTTTTAGATTTTCCCAGTCGGTGCTGGGGTTGGACAGATATTTTATTATAAACATAGGAATGCGCAGATACTGGTGCCAATGCACTTTGCGCAACAAGAACTACTCGCGCTTCGTCTCCAACTCCATCTTCTTTGGTATATTAAAACAAAAGGACGACGATGACCTGGTCGGTCTCAGGCTGTTTCTTTTCAGATGAAACCTCCTTTCGACTTACGATACCAATACGTCCTGCTCCACAACCAGCCAGCAACAGCATCTTCCGTCAGACAACTACGATAAGGCGCAACGATATTAAGGAGCGCTGGGAGATGATGTCCGTCGGATGTTGACGAGGAAATGACGGGCCGTTTCGTTCATCATGGACACAACTTCAAATCGTCGTGACGAACTGATTATGAAATGCAAACATGTAGTCTCGGTCTGGAACTTGTGATGCGCGGAAGGGAATACCTAGCGCGCACACTGCATATGCGATGCAAAGCATGACAAGTTTTCCCGCGGTTCTGAGTTGTGTACTTACTCCGGATGAGAAACTGCGTTTTTGCATGACAGGCCAGGGGGGCTCTTTGCGGCCACGCAATACAGAGTTCGGAGCCATGCCAGACTAGCGCGACAAGTGAGTCTCGCAATGTCCCAGACCCAGACATAATTGCATTTGATACTACCTATGATGACTACAGCTGTTGGAGACACAACTAAATACTACGCGCGACTCTCCTTCGAGACTCACACATCCGTCGTTTTCGGCCTCTGAGGGCGCCACCCTTCGCGACGTTCCTCCTGCGTGTTCCTGCTCAGCAGTTGCAAAAGTGTAGGTCGTCAAGAGATGGCGCAGGTACTCTGCCCTACGCTTGTTACGGCATCTGCATCCGGTGCAGGCGTAGGTGCAGGTGAAGGCGGCTCACCTTCCACGTGTTCCAGAACCGCTTGAAAGGTAGAGGAGGGCAGCACCAGTTGCAATTCATCTTTCAGGCTTTTCAGCATCTCCGCAACAAGATCGGGGAAACGCCGGGAGGGAAGGAGTATTGCGCTCTATCCAACAAAACAACTGTGGCTCGCCAGAAAATTTCAAAATTTACAAATCAATGTGCGAAGAACTCAAAAAAATGCAAGGCAAGGCACCGCAATCCGCCAAAATGAGCGATCGTCGTGCTGGTCGTACCGTCGCAGCTTGTTCAGAATTAATCTCACATATCATCAGGGCAAGTACTTTAAGTACTTGCCCTTATGAGCACAGTTATGAGCTTGTTCAGAACAGTTAGTTTTCTAATAGCAAACTAACTGTTCTCGCAAATTCCGAAAACTTGGTGGATACACTTGCATGTAAGGCCGCTGGCATGTGCTGCTGCTCACTTAAAAGAAATCTTGCATCAGCGGCCTTTTTTGTTTTCTTGGATAATAAGCCCGCGCGGTCAACTTCAGCCATTTTCAAAAGGGTTCCAAATTATGCATTGCAAATGCAATAGTATCTGGCTCTGGAGAAGTGGAGCTCCTTAGGTGTGGTAGGCGCGCGCCTGTTTTGCGTTGCTGGAAAATCTGTAGTGCGTGACCCGAAAATAAATGGGTGGGTGAATGCGTGGCGCCGCGTGACATACCTCATCAGTAATAGATCCGATCGGCCTGCTTGCTTCGACGCCATTTGGCCAGCACGAGCGCCCACCAAGCATGCAGATTTGAGAGAGAGAGAGAGAGAGTTAGTGATGCAAAACCATGATTATCCGGCGCCGGCCCCGGCCCGGGGCCCGGCCTCCTGCAGGGGTGATTCAGTTGCTTCGGTTACCCATACCTTCGAAAGCGCACACTCTCTAGCTATTCGTCATGCAGTATTACCGCTTGCAATAATGAGAATTCCGTACTAGAAAGCGTTCGAAACGCTTGCCGGCGTGCTTGGGTACGAATAAATGTATATGTGTCAGCAGTCCCACATCCAGAATGTCCAGACGACAAGAAAGATACTACATTTGCAATGCATATCACTTCCTCTGCAATTTTGTTCTTGCTCGCTTCGCCCTGAAATTGTTCTGCCTCCGCCGCCCTGAAATACAGGGCATAAAGTTTCAGGACAACGCGGTAGGTGCTCGGAGTCGGCTCCAAATTTTCTGAACGGATTTCCTCCAGCATGTCCTCGGCGTCTTTGATCCGCCTTGCTACGTCGCTAAAAGATGAAGCGTCGCTTGCTTTTTCGAGATATCGGCTGATCAACGCGTAGTACGTGAGAGCATCGTGATCCACGTTGTATTTTAGCATCGAATCCAGAACCCACTTAACCCCCTCTTCTGTTTTCGAAGCGGGCATCCGGGGCGTTCTTCTGCTTCGGGTCCTGTCTTGCTCTTGATTCTGATAGTTGGTGCCGCAGTACGCAAACAAGAACTTGTTATACGTTTCTACCTTGGGGGGTCCTACGTGTGTTGTACCGCCAGGCTGCTGCTCCTGCGCCATCTGCTCATGCATCATTTCGAGAACCCTCCGTGCGCTATCGGTATCGTCCGCGTTTAGGTAACGCACAACCAGTTCTTCCGCAATCCCAAATGTGAACTTGTCTGGCGTCCCCACTGCCCGCAACATCTGTCCCAGGATCCGTCTTTGCTCTTCTTTCGGGACACTTTTGGGCGGGTTGCGATGCTCGCGTCTAGTTCTAGGCCTGCTATAGAGGCGTAGGAGGTTGTAGAGATGCTCCCTACTGTCTCTGGTGGTGGCGTCCATTGCTTCCAGATGCGCAACGAGCAGACCGAGCCGCGCGTTATCCCTACAAAACCACGGACCAGTCCCTGCCTGCTGCGTAAGTAGGAGGTTGTCGTAAAAGGCCAGGTCGACCGGTGCGCCGCTACTCATCGAACTTCCCTTATTGTTCCCCTTGCCGCCATCGCTGCTGCTTCTGGGCCACCAACCAGACCGCAACTGCACTGTCCCCAGCTTTGCTGCCACCTCAATATCGCATGCAAATGTGTCTGGGTCGGGAAAACTCTGATACGCATTTTTTTTAAGATCGCGGCCACGGAAAGATCTGTCATGCTTGGGCAGTAAAAGTTGCTCTTCTTGTTGTTACCAAGAGAAGTTAGTTATTTGTCACGCAGTGGCCTAGGCATTTAAGAAACAGTCTCAAGAAGAACAGCTGTGGGCGTGGTTCCAGGGCTTTGCGTGGCAGATCATCTTCTGGGCCACGGAGACACTGCATCACAGGCTTCAGCAATCTTCCAGACCCAGACACATTTGGATTTGATACTCCATTTCGCGGAGCAGCTCCCTGGCCTGCTCTGTCCTGCCCGTCCTAGCATACTGTTGCAAAATAATACGGAAGGTAGCAACGCTAGGCATCACATTTGCGTCCTGTTCCATCAAGTCCAGCACGCGGCTAATGCCGTCGCGGATAATGTCGCCACGCTTTTCGTTGTCGCCTTCCGCGTCAGCCGCATGACCGTGCGCATCCAACAGCGCGTGGTAGGTGGCGACATTCGGCGCAATGCCTTCCACTATCATCATTTGAAACTCATCATATGCGCCCCGAACGTTGCCGCTCGTAGCGCAGGCACCAACTAGCGCGTTGTAGGTGGCGACATTCGGCGCCACGTCTGCGCTCTTCATCATTTGAAATACACAGCGCGCACCCAGTTCGTCGCGATTGCGGGCGTAGGCCTGTATAAGAACGTTGTAGGTGGCTACATCCGGCGCCACGCCTTCCGCTGCCATCATTTTAAACGCACGGCATGCACCCGGAACGTCGCCCTTCTTAGCGTAGGCATCCACTAGCGCGTTGTAGGTGAAGACATTCGGCGCCACGCCTTCCGCTCTCATCTTTGGAAGCACATCGCATGCGCCCGGAACGTTGCCACTCTTGGCGCAGGCACCAACTAGCGTGTTGTAGGTGACCACATCCGGCGCCACGTCTGCGCTTCTCATCATTTGAAATACACGGCGCGCACCCAGTTCGTCGCGATTGCGGGCGTAGGCCTGTATCAGAACGTTGTAGGTGCCGACATTCGGCGCTACGCCTTCGGCTATCATCCTTTTAAACACATCCCATGCGCCCGGAACGTCGCCACTCTTAGCGAAGGCATCCACTAGCGCGGTGTAGGTTAAGGCGTTCGGCGTCAGACCTGCGGCTCTCATCATTGGAAGCACACTGTATGCGCCCGGGGCGTCGCCATTCCGAGCGTGAGCTCCTATGAGCATGGTGTAGGTGGCGACATCCGGCTCCAGGCCTGCGTCTTTCATCTTTTGAAACACACGGAATGCGCCCAGAACGTCGCCCCTCTTGGCGTAGGCATCCAGCACCGCACCGTAGGTGGCGACATCCGGCGGCGCGTTGTCCTTCGTCATCCTTGTCAGGATAGCCTCGGCGCCCTCCAGATCGCTAATATTCAGATATCCTCTCCGCAGCGTGTTGTAGGTGACGACATTCCGCGGCACGTGGTCGCGCTTCATCCTCTGCAGGACATCTTCTGCGCCCTCGAGATTGCCAACCTTCACATAGCCGCTCAACAACGTGTTGTAGGTGACGACATTCCGCGGCACGTGGTCGCGCTTCATCCTCCGCAGGACATCTTCTGCGCCCTCGAGATTGCCAGCCTTCCCATAGCCGCTCAACAACGTGCTGTAGGTGACGACATTCGGCGCAACTTTGTTCTCGTCGGCCTTCATCCTCGTCAGGATAGCTTCTGCGCCCTCCAGATCGCCAGCCTCCACATAGCCGCTCAGCAGCGTGTTATAGGTGACGACATTCGGCGCCTCTTTGATCTCTACCATCATCCTCGACAGGATAGCTTCTGCGCGCTTTAGATTGGACCTGCCAGCCTTCACATAGACGCTCAGCAACGTGTTGCACGTGACGACATCCGGCACCACGTTGTCCCCCTTCATACGCGACAGGATAGCCTCTGCGCCCGCCTCATCCCCAGCCTTCACATAGCCGCGCAGCAACGTGGTGTAGGTGACGACATCCCGCGCCACGTTGTCCTCCTTCATCCTCGACAGGACAGCTTCTGCGCCCTCCAGATTGCTAGCCTTCTCCTCTACATGGCCGCCCGGCAAAATGTTGCAGGAGGAGGTGTTCTATACAATGCAAAGATGATGTCTGGGTCTGGAAGACTCCAGGCGTTCTGGTCATGTCGCTCTTCCACGCACCAGCCACAAGAGGCCAGCACCGTTGGGAAGAGCATGTCGGGCTGCCTGTAGTTGTTCCGGAAGGTCTTTCTCTTTGTCTTTCTCTTTTCATCAGTCCCTGAATTGCATGAGAAACATCATCCCCCAGCTTGACTAAAAGTGGGCAGCGCGACGGACTCTTCTGCTGGGAGCCATGCAAGACAGATTTAGTCTGTATCTGTGACCTACCGAGGGTGGAACAAGTCTGCATCCCTCCAGACCCGGACATTGTAGCTGCGGTTGATATATCTTCATCCACGTAGCGCTGAATTTCCTTGTTGAAGAACATGGACACAGATTTATGATATCCACCTTTCCCGCCCCCCACGCGCGACGGGGATCCATGACGAGACGCCGGCCCTTTGCCACTGCCTTTGCCGCCGCTGCCTCGTCCTCTTCCCTTCATCGAACCAGTTCCCTTATTCCCCTTGCCGCCATGGCTGCTGGTTCCGAGCTGCAAACCAGATTGAAACTTCACAGCCACCACTGTTTGGAAAAAGTAGGTAGTGCTCGGAGTAGTCTGAAAACGTTCCCCACTCAGCAACGCTCCCAAGAAATCTCCTTGCATGTTGAAAAACAGGCCACCGGCGTAGGTCGTTGCAAGGACGCGACGAACAGAGGGGAGCATTTTCATTTTTATCGAGACCGTCTGTAACTGAAGCACTCTAATGAAGTAGAAAGATAAAGATAAACCAATATTTTAAATTACTCGGATAAAGTCAGAAGCAACCTTTCTGTTCAAAGCGAAAATCAAGAGGAGAAGAGAATTTTTAAGAGACAAATGAAAGAGTAAGAGACCGCGTCTTGCAGCCAAATAATAAATATCCTAGGCCTTGACGATTCTAGCAGAAGACAGTAGGGGTTGTGGTTTTATTTGGAAAATCAGGGTATATCAGCGCTCACTATGTATAGTTAAATGTAGATGTTTTCAGTACCGGAGAATCAAACCCAGAAACAATGAAAGCTCCTGCGCCGAAAGCTTGTTTCTTGGTTTTTTCCAAAATGTCAAATTGTATTTCCGCTGCCCATTAGCATCAACAGGAGGGAAGTGATGTCATGATCTCAAATTTTTCAGCTGCGCCAGCACGCGTACTTAGTCAACAATCTTCGCGATTCGTGACATCTGGCCGCACAACCGACAGTTCTCTACTACTCCCCTCGAAAATGAGTGATCCATTTCTTTTGTAGTGATCCATTTCCAATTCACTAATTAGTCTCACCACGGTACCGAGTGAAATTTTCCTTGCCTTCAGGTGGTAGGTTGCAGTAGAGAAGAGCAGTTTGTTTCTTCAGAAGACTTTTCGACTTTGATTTTGCTTTCGAACATTTTTAGCTTTGAACTCGCATTTGATCCGATGTCGTCAAAGATCCGATCGGATTTGTTTCGGCAAACATTTCACCGACTGGATGAAGCAAACTTACTGGAGAAAGCTGATTTTTGGCCCAGTAATCAACTTCGAACTCTGGATCCAAAAAGCTTCAAACAAAAGCAAAACATTATCTATACTAAGAGGAGATCAGAATGTACTTAAGTACCTCTCCATCGATCCAGATTGCATACTTACACCTCCCTCTCGATCTTCAAATAACGCCGAAAATCTTCTTCGGAGACGGCGCGACTACACCGAAATGCATGATCTCTACTCTACCTCGGTGTACATTCACGGACTGAACGCCAAGGAACTTCATGCTGAGTCTTCACCTTTCAGGCTGTCAAGTACTAAGGTACTCGCTGAACAAAGTCGGCAACTGCGGTTGCGACTACGTACTGCATTTTTGTGCTGTTTAGAGCCAAATTCTTGTTTTAGTGTTCCTCGTCGTTGATCGCTACAAGAACGCCAACAAAGCAAACCCGGAACCGAGTTTCATCGGCACTAGCTCTGGTGTTCAACTGGAGATCAGACGAAAAAATCCCGTTTACTGAATCAAGTACGACGAGCTTCAGGTCAGAATCTGAAGCCTTCCGGCTGGGGTGAACTGCAGATGCTGCGCTTGTAGGTAGTCGCACTGATTCGCCAGCTTCCCACCCGAGAAGGTGTCTGCCAAGCCGCCCCTGCACAGGGCCAGGATTTGCGCCACAAGATCGACACACGCCTGGTCCGAGGGAACGGGCTCCCGGAGCGGCGTCAGGTACCACCATTGGGTTGCGCGGCGACTACCGAGCAGGAGCCCGGGCGCTTCGTAGTCCAGACGTACGTACCCCTCGACGTCGGCCAGGCCCCAACTCGCGTGCGCGCATTGGTTTTCGCACTCGTGCAACTGGAAGGGCGTTGAGAGACATCGCACCAGAACCTCTGCTACCTGAAGCCGTCCTCCCTCCTGGGACTTCAGCGACGTCCCCGCAACTTCCGAGGACGTAGATGTTCCAGAACTATTTCCTTCGTCAACGCTAGTTGCTGTTGTAGCATTCAATCGCTCCGTCGTAGAAGTCACGGGAGCTGGTGCGGACGCTGTCTTTTCTTCTTCTGCAGTAGAGGTCCCCGCTTCATCGGTCCACAGTGCGAGCTGTCCCAATACAGGGCGTTGCAGAACGGCGAAGAGATCGGAGATGCCCCGGTGCACCGATTGCAGATCTGGCTCCCATTGGAGCAACAGTCCGGACCCGTAGTGCATGCATCCGTAGGCCCGGGCTACGAAGAGACTTTCGGACAGACAGCAAAAGTGATCGTTTCTGGCGCCCTGTACTCGGAAGAGCTGGTCATGGTAGTTCAACCGGTACCGCACGTCACAATCATCAGGAACGTAGACGCGCCCACAACAGTGGTACAGTAAATCACGGAAGCGAAATCCCTCGTCGGTTTGCAACTCCAAGACCGCATCGTGCTGCGCCTTGGCCGCGACGCTGGAAGTCCAGAGAACCTGATCTGGATACGGATACCGCGCACGGGTGCATAACGGGGAGCTGGACGGAAAAGCAACCGTATTGCCTTCCTTTGCCGACGAGTCCTCGGCGTCGGACCCCGTGGTCCACCAGGCAGCCAGACAAGGCGACCGCTGCGACCAATCGAGCCAGGAAGTTTGCGACGTGCAGCCGTACCTGGCCGCCACGAGGGTCCAACTCGACAGCAAGGCCGCGCCCTCCCTCGACGTGGCCACCTCGCAGCAGTGGTGCTGCGTATTGGCTCGCGCGAGGTGCTTGTCGTGCACCCGGAACAGGTAGCGCACGTCGCAGTCGAGCGGCACCGCGCCCACCGCCTGACAGCACCGCTCCGCGCTGCCGGCTTCGCCGTAGGCGTGCAGCCCGGGGCAGGTTGCCGCAGTCAACTCCGCTCCGCTCTTGAACCACTGCAAGTGACAATTTACCGACTGATCAGGAACAGCGGAGCAAGTCAAGACCTGGGCAAGAACAGCGAGGAGGAGGGTCAGAGAGGACATGGCTTCGAGTTTCGGCCCGAAGATCCAGCTCGGCTCTCTCATGTTTTCGAAAATCGTGAACGCAAAGGGACGAACTAAACGAAGACGACAACGACCTCGAGGCGGGATACACTCACTCATAACTCGTCCATCTTAACACATGCAAAGGCAAACACGTCATTGCTTGAGCAAAGAAAACCGTAATCTTATCTTGGAAAAGTGCAGGCCTTCCTGCCGCCATGACTGCGCCCCAGGTTGCAGGTTCTCTTTCGGATCTTTCTACAGATGGATCCGTTCTCAATCAGGAAAACAGTACGGATACGTACGAACACGTGGAAAAGACGTGCGAAAAGGCTTAGGACCGTTGTCTTTGTCCTTTTGATTTCTGAATTTGCGCTATCGTGCTTGTGTCGCTCGTTTGTCGTAGTTGCGTTACTGAGACTTTCTAGCTCCGGAGCCAAACAAATCTGAACAGGAGTACAACTTATACGGACTCGAACGACGCAACAAGTTGAGCATACAGGCTCTACTACTTTAGTCATCTACAAAAACCCCCGCGTTCGCACCGGTTAAGTCCGCGATGTTTACTACTCTCTCCTCAATCTGTTGTTGCGTCGTATGAAGAACCGCTTCCTGCGTAGTACCTTGGGCAGCTGCTTGCCCAGATACGGTCAGGTTCAAATCCTCCCCCTCGTCCCCGACAAACATCTCAATTTCTTCGTCTAAATTCTGGTACTTTTGCAACACGTGCTGCAGCAGCTTTCGTTCCGCCTCGGCGCCCTTGTAGATGAACGCGTTGTCGGGTTGTTCCACGACCGCGTCCTCGTACAGGGTATCCACGATTTTGTACGCGTAGCCCTGCTCCACCAGGTACTGCTGTCTCTTCGACGCGTAGTACATCTCTTGCGTGTCCTTCGACACCAGCGAATAGAAGTACGCGTTCACGTCGCTCGCGCTCTTGGTCGCGCTGGTGATCTTCTTCGGCCGCAGAATCCGGCCCAGCCGCTGCGCCTCCTGCCGTCGCGAGGCGAAGTGCGCGTTGATCTGGATCACCACATTCGCGGACGGCAGGTCGATCGCGTTGTCGCCGACTTTGGACAGAAACAACGTCCCCACCGCCGGATCCTCCTTGAACTTCCGCAGAATCACTTCCCGCTCCCGGTTCGGCACCTCCCCGTAGATGTAGTACCGCTTCATCGCCTCGGCGAAGGTTTTCAAAATCTCCGTGTTGTCGGAGAAAACGAGGATTTTGTCGCCCCGCTTCTCGTGGAACCGAATGAGAAACTCCGCGAGGCACAGTTTGATCGGGTTGCACGTGAACAACAGCCGCGCGGTCGCGTGCTTGCCGCGTTCGTTGATCTTTTTCAGGTACTCCTCGTAAAACCTCTCCGACATCTGGCACCACACCTCCACACACTGCACCTTCGCGAGGTAGCCGAGGTCTTGCAGCTGGTGCCAGTTCGCCTCGTACAGCTTCGGCCCGATCAGCCACTGCAAATCCGTGATCAGGTCGTCCTCCCTGACTAATGTCGCGGTGAGCCCGAGCTTGCACCGGGACCGCACCGTCAACGCGACTTGGCGAAACGTCTTCGCCGGCATCACCTGCACCTCGTCGCAAATCAACAGCCCCCACTCCACCGCGCGGATCTGGTTCATGATGTAGCGCGTGTCTTGGCCGCGGCGGCCGGAAAACCCGATCATGGAGTAGGTGGAGATCACGACGCAGGCCTCGAACACGTCCTTGATCGCGGTCTTGTGGTCCGCCGTGAACTGGAAAATGTCGTCCTTCTTGATCGTCGAGAACTGCAGGAACTGCTGTTGCCACTGGGACACCGCCATCGCGGTCGAGGTCAGAACTAACGTTCGCTTCTTGATCGTCGAGCACGCGGTGATCCCCACGCAGGTCTTCCCCGCGCCGCAGGGGAGGACAATGATCCCGGACCGCGCGCGCGTGCTCGTGGTGAACATTTTGGACAACGCGATCTCCTGGTACTCGCGGATGTGGGTCGAGGGCTTCATGGAGATGTCCAAATCCGGCGCTTTCTTGTCCAGCTTGTACTCGTACTCCTCGAGGAGGGGAAAGTTGTTCACGAAAGCCAGCTTTTTCACCTCTTCCGCGCGATTGCCATCGACGCGAATGTAGTACAGCTCCGTGGGAAAGTCGTCGTCAAAGTCGGACGTGGACAACTCCTCCTCATACTCTTCCATCAGCAGGTCACTCAGCGCGTTTGAAGAGGACGAGGATCTGTTCATTTGCCACCTCCTGCGCTTGTTCGAGGGGTGGTCATTTGCCGAGTTGTTTGTTCTAACTGGCAGCGACTCGGTGACGAGGTTCTGTTCCTGCAGAATTTCCTGCAACTGCTCCAACGCATCGTAATCGGTTGATTCCAAGTAGTGATGCACCGACTCGCCGACGTCCTGGAAAGCGCGAGAAAAAACTGAAGCGCCACCCGCTGATCCAGCTCCTGTAGTTGCAGCTGCACCTGGGCCTAGTTGTGCGGGATGAAGCAGTGGCTGAAACTGGGATGATGAACCAGATGCAGTTGCTGTGCCTGCAGTACTTCTACCTCCCTGCTGGTCAACAAAATTATTTGTTCCTAGTGCAGCTCCTGTGTTATTTCTTGCGAAGTTTGCTGCTGAGTTCAACGCCAACTGGCTTTTGTTCCACAGGTACTTCACCTTTCCCAAATTTTGCGCGTACTGCCGAATCCACTTGAGCAAAACGTCGTCCACCTTGTTCTTCGAGAGTTTGTGCAGACTCTCTTCGATGTCCGATATCGTTAGGCCCGAAGAAACGGCGGAATACAGGGAAAATGTGGTGATTTGGTACTCCTGCAGCCCCTCCGGGCGGGCCACCGGCTCGGCGACCGTGATGCAGAAGTCCTCGGCGTGGGCGAAGAACTTGTGGAAGGTTTCGAGCAGGATGAGTCCGTCCTTGAAAACGGTGAGCGGGCGGGATTCGTAGCCCTTTACCAACTGCATCGGCCCGTCGTCGAAGGTGCAATGGATGTTCGGGCGCCCGGGCATGGCCTCCAGCGTCGCCTCCAGCCCCGATTCGCCCGTGTCGTTGACATTGTAGTCCTGGTCGCTGAAGGCGTCTTCGGCGACCAGGAGTTGGCGGCCCCGCGAGGAAGTGGCCATGCTATAAGAGGTGCCTCGCTGGCTCGATAGTGTTATACTAGAAGGAGATTTTGCAGGATGTACAAGTAGAGTACCTCCTCGAGGGTTCCTCCACCATCATCGTGGTGATGTCCAGGGGAGGACGGGGGGCTTTGCTTCTGTAGTGATCTTGACTCGCACTTACAAGAAGCGTGAACAGGGGTAATGGGGGAGTAAGAGTCGACTGAGAAAGTAAGAGGTGTTCTTCGGTGAAGTGAAGGAAAGTAAGGAAAAAAATCTCTGTCTAAACAAGCCTGCAATGAATCGTAGGGCATGACGGTCGCAACTAGCTTCCAATAAGACAAGATTGTTCTACTTCTAGGACAAGCAAATGAAGGCGTGTTGCTCATCGTAATAAGCTGCATCTGAGATCTTCAGTCACATCGTTGTTCAACAACGAGCTTCTGAGCTGAGTCGTGATCTGTGATTCGATAGCGCCACCGTCAGACGTCCAGATCATTTTCTGACCTCTGTGCATCGTTGTTGGTCGTGAACCAGAATCTTCAGAAAGCGTCATCAGCAACAGCATTATAACAAGTACGGTGAGTTTCTCTTCTAATGGCGACCGACTCTTTTTGCAGGCACGAAAAGTACACCTCTTGCACCGCGAAAACATGGCGAGAGCTTGCTATCGGTCTTTGGACCACAATTGGCACGAAGCTTGGTGACTCCTCGTCGTGCTTGCCGTCAAATACTTTTTTTAGTGGCGCCTCTGCGCGCGCGGCTTAATACCACTCCACAGTTGATGCGTCATCCCCACTGGCCTCGTCGTTTATTCTTGACAAAAAACTTAACTCACCAATGCCCACAAATTCGCTCTCGAACTCTTCGAACAGCAATAACAGCTTCCGGGACAGCAGGTCCCAGAAAAAGTACAGCAAGAATAACGTGCAGATGAGCGTGAGCACCATCAGACAGGTGTAGACCTTCGTCTGTTTCCGCAGATAGCGCTCCGTCTGTTGTATCTCGGTGAAGGCGTTGCTCGTATGGTCCACGGTGGAGGAGATGGTCTCTTCCATCTGGATGATGGACTGCCCCTGCTCCTCCACGTGCGTAGAGAGCTCCTTGTAGAGGCTTTGAATCGTCGCCATGTCACGGTGGATGCCGCTGATCTCCTGGTTGCGCTCCGCAATCAGCTCGTGCTCGAATTCCTGCTTGGAGTCCCCCTGGATCATCCGCTGCTCCGCGCGGATCTGGGAATTCGCTTCCTTCGACGCGGACTCGAGCTCTTGCAGAAGTAGCTCGTTGGAGGAAGTGGCATTCAGACCGTTGTATAATTGTCGCCCGTCTACAGTTGTCGTGTCCGTCGGGCTTCTTTTGTTGCCACTAGTACTGGACGAGGCACTACTTGTTCCTTTCGCAGTACCTCCACCCTTGGTCGACGTGCTCATCAGTGTCGTGGAAGACGCGGCCGCTCTCGGCGAAAGCACCGCTCCCTTCGAGGAAGACGACGGAGCGGTCGAAGACCCGACTGGAAGATTCACAGCGATCGTGTCGTCGGAATCTAGTCTCGGGTAGAGGTTCTCCTCGCGCTCCAGTTTCGCGACCTTCTCCATCCCGATGGAAGTCAAGCGTTCGTTCTCCTTGGAAAGTTGCGCCAGCGATGCGGAGAGCTTGCGCTGTTGGCCCTGCATATGTTTGTTCGGTGTAGTTTCTTTGCACTCAGTTGACTACATAAGCGACAAGAAAACGAAAGCATCAAGGTGCTCACGCTCAAAAATTCTTGTTTCGCACAAAAGTAAGTTTCCTTTGATTTTATTATTCCTCCCAAGCTACAATTTCAGCCTGTTTATACGTTATACCTTGAACAATTCCTTTTCCGACAGAGACATGGCTGCCGGGTCCCCGGCCTGCTGAAACTGAGCGAACAGCGCGCTCGCTTCGGCGACCAGCACTTTTGCCGATTCAATTTCCTCCAGAAGTTCCTTCTTTTTGGCCGCGTTGTTGTCATTCTCTTTCAAGTCCACCACTCTGGTCAGTCGATCGATCTTGCTATTCTGCTTGGACAGGAGTTTGAAAAACCCGGCCAGTTTCGCGGGGATCTGGTTCTGCGTGGGCTTACTCGAGGAGCTCGTGGTGTTGGAGATACTGTCTTGGGACTCACTGTGCAGCGTGCCGCTCGTCGCGACGGAAGTGGGGCTGGAATCCGAGTTGTAGGTGTCCATACGGCCGCGATTGCCCGCACTGCCTTGTTTCTGGCGAAAAGACATTCTTTCTGTCTACTTATACAAATGGATTTCCACTTAATACTGTTCTTCACGACTGCACTTCTGGTCCTTCTGGCACGCGGCCTGCTTCCGCGTAAAGAAAAACAGCGATGCTGTTTTGAAAACGAGCGCGGGGCCACGGACGCGCAATCCAAGTGACGAGGGTTGCAATGCAAAAATGCAGACGAAGATGAAACCAAAATGATAGCCAGACTCTTCAGCTCAGCAGGCAGTCGAAAGCGAGAATATCGAAAATAACAGGCTGCTTGATTGTCCATCTTTTGAAGAACACTCAGGCTATTCTTGGAGCGGCTGCTTCCAAAGCAGCAGCGTCGTTGAAGCAACCAGAGCATTGCTACAGAAAGTACGCCATTGATGCCATTGCGTCTAGAAACCTAATCTGTTGCATTTGCTTTGCTTTGCTGTGGAAGCAATGAGCTTTGCGGCTCCGAACTTGGTTATCATACATCGAAAACATGAGACTTTTACGAATAATGTGACCATACGCTTCGCTGGGAAGAAAAACATCTTACATCATGCATGCTCCAAAACGTTGCTCATGTGGTCTCTCTTCAAAAAAGAAGCATTTTTATTTTTCATTTAAAGCCGAGACTTGTTCCAACATCTTCATCTATCTAATACTTGAACTTCTCATCCCATGCGGTTGGACTGACTGCCACTGCGTACCCTGCTCGTCTCCTCGGACTCACCCACATTACCGGCGGCTCGTGCTTCAAAATGGGGTCCGAGTGCTGCAACAGTGTCGGTGTATGCGGCAAAACAGGTAATTGAAATTCTTCTTCTGGAGCGTGGCCGCGACACAGGACCACGCTTTTCTTGTGACTGTCGCCCTCCCCGGGAGATGTTGCAGTTGTTCCGAGAGTTTTTCCATAGCGAATTTGCAGCGGCGAAAAAGGCTGTCGTGATTTCACTAGACTGTTGCTGGAACAAAGCGGAGACGAAGACTCAGCGATTTGCATGGAGGGTTGACGGTCGAAACTCTGGCCGTGGTCTCTTGGAGAAAAACCGTGGTCGACTGTGGAAGAAAACTGCTGTGCTCGCCCCGCCGGCGGAGCTCGTCCCATGGGCAGGGTTCTTGTTTTTTCCCCTGTAGTGCGACAAGGTGTCGGTACCTTTCGGAGATGGTTATTTTCAGACTGGTTTATTTCAAGTGTCCTTGTTGCGACGGAAAATCTCTTCGTTTCCTGCTCCTCTGTTCTAAAATCCATCTTCCTTGAAGCTGTTGTGGCATTAGCGCCTGGAGGTCCTCGCCGGCCTGCTGTTCTACAACTTTTGTCATCACCGTCCAACTCCGAACTTTTCTTCGCCTGCTCCTTTTGCGCCTTCCTCCATTTCTGGTAGCCTTCGTAGCTCATGTTCCTCGGTCGCTGCAACGGCTTCATCGTCCGTTGCTGCCTGCTCGCATCTTCTTCCAACTGCGGTGATGGACTAAAGGTCGTGTTACAACTACACACGTCTTGCACCACCAGCACGTCAGATGGCGCCGACAAGCTGCTGCACTTCCCCGAATTATACTGGAAGTTATTTCTTCTTGAGTTCGTTGCGCTCACGAATGGCTTCTGCGGCGTGACGACTGGACCTATCGGCGATACCCCTTCGGAGTCAAACAACTTGAACGACCGCGCCCCCTGCTGCTGTTGCTGGTGTCCCCGCGCTGCTGTCAAAAACTCGCTGCTCGGACTGTCAATTTCTAAACTGAAGAAATCGCTACCTCCCATTACTCCCGTCGTGGCCGCGCTGCCCGGTTTGTTGTTGAAACCACCGCTATCAAGCGGGTCACTTTTTGAGCTGCTTTTCTTTATCCCTGTAGCCCCTCTAACACCTTTCCCGCAATAAAAGCTCCGGACTAACAGCAGCACGAACGCCAAGAGCAGCGAGCCAATAACAACGACGCCAATCACGAAACTTTTTTTCGTCAAGATTTTCGTGGCGTCATCGTCTTCCCCACTTCCATTGCCCTTCCATTGACCAGAACCCGGAAACACCTGCTCCCCGTTTGCAGCGTAGCACTCGGTGACCATTTGGTAATACTTCAGCACCTGCTTCCGTCCGAGCTCATCCACGGCGTTGGAGGTCACTTGGAAACACTCGCCCAGGGGCAGCGAACCCAAAGTAGGCGCGCCGACGCAGTCCGGCCGGCGGTACAGGTCCGCGACCAGACGGGGAGGGCCGAAGGTGTGCGGTGTGACCACACCTGCATCGGTATTCTCTACAACTGGAGTCGCAGCGTCTGCTGCGCCGGCATTCATCCCACTAGTTAAGACCCTCCGCTCCGTTGCAGACGAAGAAGAACTCGGAACCTCCAGCGCCCGACACGCACGCATTCTGGCGTAGATTTTCGCATCCGGCCAGAGACTGGTATAGCCGTAGGAGGACGCCGAGCCCTTCCACTCGATGCACATCCCCGCGTCAGAGAGCACTAGGTTGCCGCCACCAATCACGTGGTTACCTGTGGCAACCGGGGAGAGCGGTTGTGTGCACCCTGCGTCGGCAAAATTCAGAATTTTCGCCACACCAAAATCATTTTCGTCCTTCGCACAAAACGTTTGCACCTGTGCACCGGAAGACTCTTTCGCAGTGGTCAAGGAGCGCTGTTGTTCACTTTCTGGCGGTTGGTAGTTCGTCACTGATCTAGTATCCGTTGTTGTCGCCCTAGTTGTCCGCAACAATTTGTCACTCTCAGTGCGGAAGATAAACCTGCGGTCCTTCGCACGAAGAAACTCCTCACCCCCACCTCGCAGCAAAGTCCTCCGTGGCTCCGGGTCCCGGCTGCCTAGGAACCAGGGCGGTAGCGTTGCTTCCGCGTAGCACCCGAAGCAGCCGCTGCCGTCGAGGTAGTGCTTGCAGAACTCCGCCGCAGTGGTGCATTGTCCGGGCGGGTTCGGTACGGCCACAAACCCACTCTTGCACCGCTGCTCCTCGCCCCAGGTCTCGGACGCGCAGCAGTCGTTGTGACGATCGTCGCACATGCCGGGGTCGTGATCGCTCAAAAAGTAGGTCTGCAGCAACTTCAAGCTTTCGGGGTAGCACCCGAAGCAACCGATCCCGTTTTCGATGTACTGGCACTCGTCCCAGGAACTCATGCAGAACCCGTTCTCCGGCATCTTCACAATCATGTAGCCGGGTTCACACGATTGGTACAGATTCCAGCTTTCGTGCGCGCAACAGTCGCCGCCCGTGTTCGCGCACTTCGAACCGTCGTGACCTGACAAACCGATCAAATCCATCAGAAAGTGTAACACTCACTTGCACTAGAAAAACCATAAGTAGCCAGCACGGCACATGCACAAAAAGGCAAAAAACAAAAACTGAGACTAGAAAACTCTGTATGAACACGAGCTCTGTTCGGAAATAATATTAATAACTTGATCCACTACATTAAAGTCATCGCTACTTGTTGGTCCTGGGGGGTAGCAGCCGTAGCACCCCACGCCGCCGTGCAGCGCGCTGCACTCCTCGGCGTTCTTGCTGCTGCACACGCCCTCCATGTTCGGGATGGGGATGTAGCCGTCCGCGCACTTCTGCGGCTCGCCCCACACCTCCGAGGCGCAGCAATCTTCCCCCTCGTCCGCACACTTGTCTGTATCGTGCAAAAAAACGTGTCTCGGGCGATCCGCAAAGGGCTTGAAAATCATCTGCGGCGGGCTCGTGGTCTCGGGCTTGCTTCCGTAGGGCGTAGCCGCAGCCCATGCGGACGCATTGTACGGCGGTGGTGTGGTGGTTGTGAACAAAGATGTGTAAAATCCAGACCGGTAGTGCACGGGCTGCGGGAGGAGGTCCAGGGACGCGCCGGACGGCGAGGCAGCAGTTGATGTAGACCCGCTATTTACGACCCCCGTGGAGGTGCTTGCTGGAACTACTAAATTGGCTATTGCCGTCGCACTAATAGAAGTACCCCCGGTTGCTTTATTGTCTCTTGCGCTGTTGTCCCGTCCAACGCATTGGATAACCGGTCGGCGCCAGGAATCGACGGCGGGCAGGTGCGCTTCCGGCACGTGGGCAGCTTGGGGGTGACATATTTCTTGCTCACGGTCCTCGTACTCGGAAATGCAGTAGCCGGAATGCCCGTAGCCTGCGAACTCGGCGGTGCAGTACCCCCTGCGTGGCGCCGCGTGCTCCGCACTGGGACTTGTAGTGGCAGTCTCGGTCGTTGAAGCCGGCGGATCTGCGGTGCTGGCTTCTGATGATGCGGTAATCGTCGCTGTGGATGGACGAGCAATGTACTCCGTGCAGTTTCCTTGGCAGTCGGCGTGGGTCCGGCAGCGTCGCGCGGCGACAGGTACTAGAAATGTTCCCAAGAATCTTCCACATCCGCCACCGCCAGCTAGAACGAGGAAGGAGAGAAACAACGATGTGTCCCGGAGGCAGTACAAATGACGAACGAGGAGACCAACTACAGCACTGGCTGTGCAATCATGGTCCCGCGGTGGAATCTCCCCAGCAGTAGAATCTCGCCGTCTCTGACACGCAACCCGCATGGTGATCCGCAGCGAGACTAGTACAGCCTGGTACTTGACAGCTCTTTCCAGTTGACCATGGTGGGCCGGTACCTTTCAGCATCAGGGTAAGTACATGATGATCTCCCAGATGTCAGTCAAGTAGTCGCTGGGCATCTCCATCGCTCTACAACTCAGAAGCAACAAATTTATCTTCATACCATACTCCTCACTCGGGCGGCAGCGAAACGGCGCTCGTCGTTTCGGAACACGAGTGTTTTACATCGACCTACACGGCCCTCATTCAGCAGAAGCAGAACAGCTGCTTCATAGCTGCATCGCATAGAAAATTTAAATTCCCGAAAGGGCACTGGGAATAAAAAGCGTGTAGTCCTGTGTCTCATTCCATCGCACCACGTCTCGGTGACACAAATTTGGAACAGATCAGTGCCGAGGGGGTGAGTAGTACGGGGTAGAACCAAAGGTACAAAAATCGGAATCAGATTACAAATACAAGGTTCTTGTGGGTATCAACTACGGAAGAAAAAAAGCGCACGGGTTACGTTAGAGGTTCAGGAAGAGCAGAGCTCTTGTCTTTGAAATTCCCAAAATGCCACATGCCTGTACGTAGCGTCTTGATAAATTCCCAGTCTCATCAAAAATCCCGGTAAGAAATTACGACTTTTGGTATCTTGCCGCCGCGTAAAGAAAAATGATATGATGAAGTACGATATCTTTTTGCTTTTGGTATTTATATTTCACCTCGAGGTACAGAAAGTTATGCGCGTGGGTATCCCGGTAGAAATGAAGATCTTCTGAAACATGCGACAAACTAACAGGCTCTAAGAGCAGTCAGACCGTTGACGATTGATGTTTAGCAGTTGGACCATCGTCTGACTGTCAAGGGGGCCTTTACGGCTACTCAGCCTACCGATTCCAGGCAAGTTCCCCGACAGAAAAACGGATGGCTTTCTGCTGAATAAAAGAACTGCTGAAGATAGTGATTGCACAAACTGCCTTTATCAACTACCTTTGACTTTGTTTTTGACGTAGATCATTCATCAAAAATCGGAAGTGAAAAAAATCTGAAAAATAGTTCACAGTCGCTTTACAAGAGTTTCAAATAAAGCATTTTTCTTTGGCCACCGCTTTCTGACACCAGAACGCGTTACTTGTCCGCATGACGTTCAACACGCTACTGGTGCTTATGTTCAGGAAAATGATCCAGCAGCCAAATAAAGTCGCCCAGCACTTCAGGGGCTCGTCATTTCTGTGCCCTTTTCCGCGTCCTTCCCAGCTGCGGGGCTGACCTTTTTGTTGTCGCCTCCGTAGAACTTGGCCATCGATTCCTTGCAGAAGTAGCACATGGCCGCGAAGGCCACGCCCGCACAGAAGCACAGGCCGAACAACACTCCGATCAGAATCCACAGCCACGTCAAGGAATCTCCCTCGTCGTCCTTCTTCTCTTCGGCCGCAGTGCCCCCCGTGGCCGCTCCACTGCTTTGCGGCGATCCCTGCGTTCCGGCGTTGGCCACGGCGCTCGGAACGCTGTCCCAGCCGGAGCCCTGCACGGAGGGGTTTTGCCAGTTCGCGCCGCCCTCCGCCGCCGCACCGCCCGCGACGTTGGACAACGCCGGCTTGGAAGCCAACCCGTTCACGGCGAGCACCAGGCTTGCGGAGGACAGCGTGCTGTCCGCCTGCGATTCCTGCCCGAAGTAGTCGACCAAAAGATTCCCGAACCCCGGGTCCGCGACCTGCTCCATCAGTTCGTCGGGGGACTGCGGCGGGGCGGAGTCACTGGCACTACTGCCCATGCTACTCCCCGTCGGAGGAGTTACCGTCGCGTCCGCCTGGATCAGCTTCTGCGTACCGTTGGAACCGGCCTGCAACAGACGGAGCAACAGGCCCTGCTCGGAAGCCGCGGAGGAGGAAACCCAAGACGAAGACGCCGCTTTGTTGTTACGCTGTTCCATTTCGAACACCTGCAGCGCTTCCTCCAGATCCGGGTCCGCAAGCAGCATTCGGGCGGTCGACACGGCGGCCGTCCCGGCCGCGTCGGTGTAGTTCAGCTTGCTCGCATCGATGGTCACGGCGCTGCTGCTGAGACCGAGCGCGCGGGACACTGTCCGCGACAGCGCACTTACCAGTGCAGACTTGACCGTCGAGGACAGACTCGCCACGTCCGACTGGATGAGCAGCTCCAGCTTCATGTCGAACGACCCCGCGGGATCCGTGTCGAACTGCGCGAAGTGGCACCACAGGCGGTCGGCGCGGAAGACCGAGTACCGCGAGCTGTGCGTGTAGTTCATCTTCCCCACGGAAAACAGGCCGGGCTGCATGAAGCTGCAGAACCTCCGGGACAATTCACGCGCGTGCACCCCAGGCATCGCCACTCGCCGGTTCGTGTCGTCCAAGCTCGTCGGGTTGAAGGCGCCGACGAACTTCGACGCGCTCGTGTTGTTCGCGATCGCGGCGGTTGCCTGGTGCATCTTCGAGTTCCCCTTGTATTTCATGTCCAGCGTCGCGGCCGGAAACCAGGGCATGCCGGTGGGCACCGGCTTGCCGGAACCAAACACGGCGGACTTCGCGGACCGCGACCGGATGTTCGCCGGCAGCTCCGCGCACGTGCTGGCCGACACCTCGTTGCAGAAGCCCACCGTACTGCCGTACTGCACGTTGGACGACGCGACCGCGTCGCGGTTGCACCGCGTCTTGCTGTCGCACAGGTTGTACTCGAGCCGGTTTTCGCTCCCGGGAAGTTTCAACGCGGACCCGCGACTCGCGATCTTGTCGAACGCATTGTACTTGGTGGCCGTGAACCCGTTGTGGTTGCGGATGGCGCCCCAGGACTTGACCAGGTTGAACTCGTCGGATCCCATGTTGTTCACGATCGTGTGGTATGCAGTGCAAAAGTATCGCACTCGTAGTAGTTGCAGTCATGCATGACAAATCTGGTTCCTTAGCTCATTCAGCAATACAAATCCCATTTCTCCTTCTGGACAAATTTGCAATGCTATTTCTACTAGTACGATACTTTTGCAATGCATATGTGATTGTCCCCCTTGACGGTGAACGGGTCGTTTCCGAACAGAACGTTGCGCACCACGGTGGTGAACCGCCCCGGGTTCGTGGCGGTGCTGCTGGTGTCCAGCCGGATGGACTTGATCTTGGTCGGGCCGAAGATGAAGTTCCCGGAAATCAGGGTCCAGTACTGGCCGTCGATCTGGATGTGGAAGCTGGCCGTGTCCTTCCAGCTGCCCATGTACCCCGTCCCCACGATCAGGTTGTTCTTGCACTGGTACCCCCGCGCCCAGTGCTTGAAGCCCCCGCCGTGCCCGTTGTACAAAAGCGTGTTCTATCAAATGTAAAAATGTCTGGGTCTGGAAGATTGGCAGGTTTGTCATGCACATTTTGCATGACTCCTGATGTCTGTGATGCATGCCCTAGCATCACAGATTTTGTGAGGGCTTCCTGATGCCTATACCGTATGACAAATGCTCTTTCCGTGTAGCAAAACTTGGACTCTCTTTGCTGCTCATGCAATACAGATTTTTTTAGAATCCAAAATCAGCATAACAAGTTGGATTCTTCCAGACCCAGACATTTTTACATTTCATATGTTCTGCTGGAGGGTGTCCTTGAACCCGTCCCCCTGTATCCCACAGAAAAAAGCTGGCAGGTGCAGGTCATATTTGTAATGCAAAAATAAATAGACAAAAAAATTTGTATTGCATATCCTAAATAGCATGCTATGAGGCCGCCCATGGCAGATTTTTCTGTGTATTTATTTTTGCATTACAAATATGCCCCGCCAGCTTTTTTCTGTGGGATACCCTGGAAGCAGTACTCGTAGCCGTCCGTGTTCTTCCGGTGCGCGTACCCGTTGAAGGCCACGTAGTTCCGGCTCACGAACGCGTTGCTCGCCTTGTAGCGGACCGCCCGCTTGGTGGCGCCGGCGACGATCGCGTTGTCCGCGATGAAGAGCCGCTTCCCGCTGCCCCGCCCGTTCTGCTTGGTAGTGAAGATCTGCACCGTGGCCCAGCTGCTGTGCGGGGGGGAGTACAGAAAGTGGTTGTACAGGAGGTAAATGTTCAGGTTGAACTTGTTCCCCACCAGGGGCTGGCTTTTGGAGCAGCAGTTGGTCCCGAAAAAGTGCAGCCCCTCGATCCAGATGTAGGTGTTGCGCTGCTTCAAGTTGATCGGCCACGCCTTCGACTGGTCCTTGACCCGGACGTGCGGCGGCCAGCCGTCGCGGTTCACGTAGTTGTGCTGCACCGACAGCGCGTGCGGGGCCCCGGACGCGGCGTAGAACAGCTTCTTGCTCGCGGTGTCGTACCACCACCAGGTGGAAGTCGAGGTGTCCAGCGTGGCCTCGGCGTTGCTGGCCAGCGTCGAGAAGTACTTGGTCGGCAGGTTTTTCCCGAAAGTTCGCCCGTACCCGAGCGGCGAGTAATGGTTCACGGTTTGGACGGTCTGTGTTTGTCGTTGATTTGATGACACTTCCATCTTTCAAGATATATTTGAGGACTCGTCTCATGGCTAGATTCATTCAATGTGGTACGTTGGTACGTTATACTCCTGGTTGTGGAAGTTTAAGCAAATTATGTCGACTTTTATTCAGCACCAGACGCTACCCATATTTATTACATTGCTCTAATGTCATCGTAGGTAATGCGCGAAGACCTATATTCTACTTACCCCGTTCGCGTCCACTTTCGGCCCGGTGATCCGCTGCGTGTCCTGGTGCCCCACGTGCATGGGGTCATAGACTACACAGGGCACGCTCGAGTGCGCCAGGCCGTGGCCGCCGCTGGAGTCGCCGGTCGCGCACTGCATGGACTCGGCCATGAAGACAAAGGAGGCGATGTTGTTGGTCACGTTGGTGCCGTCGACGAGCGCGGACACGTCGGCCTCGTAGTACGCCTTGTTGTTTCCCGCCGCGGACGTGGTGTTCACCAGACTCCAGACCAGCTCCTGCGTGACGTTTCGCGTGCCGTCCAGGATGGCGATGGTGGAGTCCGACTGGATGGCCAGGTTTTGCCGGTCCTCGACCACGGCCCCGTGCAGCGCCTGGTCGTAGAACCCGGCTGCCAGCTTGCAGTTCGTGAACTGCAGGTTCCGGCTGCTCGACGTGGACGTGCCGTACACGTCCGCCTGGTCCACGCATTTTTGGATGGTTTGAAAGGCGTCGCCGAGGCTCTGCCCGCTGTTCAGGTCCGACCCGAGCTCGGGGCTCACGTAGTAGCAGTTCATGGTGCAAGATTCCTGTGTACTCGGCTTCGACGGCTCGTGCGCGCTGCACAGGTCGTTGGGCACCACCTCCCACTTGTTATCGTCGAACCAGACGCCAATCGTGTCGGCCGGGGCGGAGGACATCCCGATGTTGCCCATGCACTTCACCGTGTAGTACCGAATCCCCTGCGTGCCGCACTCCGCCCACTTCCGCGGCTCACCCAACTTCGCGCATCCGACGGTGTAGGAGTCCACCATCTTTTCGTACTTACCGCGGATCTGCGCTCGGGCGGGTAGGAAAATTCCGAAGTGAACATGCTGCACAACTGCCAGGAAGTGGGCAAGCAGTGCGCCGCTTCTTGTGGAGGGCATCCGACTGCGTGCGGAAAATGAAAACTTCAGTTGTCCCATGGTTTCGATACACTTATCACTGGAAGCCGAAGCACACACAGTGAAAAATTGTGGAAATATTTACTGCACAAATAATACAGGAAAGTCAGGAAGCCATACAAAGAAAAAACACTGCCTTTACACAAGTGGAGGTCCCTATCTACTCTAGGTGTGAGAGTACTTTACAGCTTGCGGTGGTCTGGTCCGTTTTCTTGCAATTACATAGAGTTTCCTCCTTGGGAAAGAGATCAATGAACCTGGTAAGTAGTTTTTTTCTTCAAAGAACTACCCAAAAGATACCTCCAGAAGAGTTGTCCAGCGTGATAAAAACGATTGCAAAATTGACAGTGTACGTGGACGTGAACGTGAACGTTTCTTTTGCCGCGATGCACGAGAAAAGTAGAGTCACGATGATCAAACCGACCCCAAGCGCAGTACATCTTGCTTCCTTTTCTTTTCTTCTGTACGATGGAAGCAGCGGTTAGCCGAGGAATAGACTTGTCACATACCGATGTTGGTATGGGAGGACGGAGGAGAAAGCAGCTTGCTACAAGCAAAGCTTGTTCCTGATCAATATCAGTGCCGATCGGAATCGGGTGTAGTTCCTACGATCCACAGTATTTTTCTTTACTCATTGCACCTGCGTACACAACAAAAAATCTGATTATTCGTAGTTTCAGTGTGCTGTAATCAATAGGTCATCTTGTTGAGCAGCTGGATATGCTGCACTGTACAAGTACAAGTTCATTCGCGGGACCTCAACACTAGCTGTGCTAGCTTTCTAGTATGTGCAAGGCATTTTCAGTTCAAAGTCAAAACAATTGCATATGGTACAAGACATTTTGTTTCTGTAAGCGAAATAATAACCTAAAACCTGTATCCCGACCGGAGAGTTTTTGTCACAACTCTCGTCTCAATTCTCGGATACTCTGTCTGACGATTGATTCAACAACGATTTCACTACCTGATGTCACAACCTTAAACCTTTTGTCTGTATATCAACCTGTGTCTGATGAAGATCATGATCTTTCCTCGATTACTTTGGAGCAACTTCCAGGAAGCTTGTTCTACTTGTGTGAAGATGCTCCTGGCCCATACAAGCACACCGTTAACGTTCAACCGGAGTTGGCGACTCCAGGAAAACGAGCGGTCCTTGACAAGGCAAGATACTACTGCAGTCCAGACAATGGAACCGCTCTGTGTACAAGCTACCAGCGCTGCTGTGCCTATATCAATGGCCAGCACTGTGCTATTGCTATATTTTTCTGAGTCTGATTCGATAAAAGTTTCAGATTTACAAAAAGTGTGCAAGCAGGATCGCGAGCACTATAACTGTGAACTCATAAAGTAAGAACCTTCCGTGAGCGTGAGCAGTTCCTTCCATTCTTACCTTTTCCGCCTATGGAGGAGTCAGCTGAGACAATCTCAACTACTACAATGACGACCTTTTATGACGTAGGTCAGGCACCTCATCATTGTGGTCGTGTACTTATGTCTCAAACCATGCTGCTAACCAACGTCGATGCAAAACCGGTCATGCACAATCACGAACTGCAAGCTGCAGGTTAGTTTCGCCTCAACAATATTGCCGCAGAAGATGCAAGATAGATTCTTGCGACTGACTCTACTACGTTGTCATTACAGTTGAGATTGTCCTCGCAGCTGAGCAGGCCATACGTCCGAAGTTTCGCGTTTTTCCTTGCTTGGTAGAATGTGTAGGCCTCGTCGTCGCCCTGAAACCGCTGCGCTTCCAGCATGTCGTACTGCTCTTTGGAGTCCCGCGTTTGCGCCATCTGCATGGAGGCGGCCAGCGGCGAGCGCGAGGTCACGTTCGTGTTCGAAAACTTCTCGTACTTCGCAGCATACCACTGCTCGAAGGCCTGCACCAACTCCCGCTTGCACACCTGCATCTCCTGCTCCCCGACGACGATGGCCTGGTCCAGTTGTCGCTTCTCCTCGAGCATTTTTCGGTGCTCGGTGCGCTCCTTCTGCTTCGTCGACAGGAGTGCAAATTCCTCCTCGTCAATCAGATCGGACTGCGCGCCGCCGGCGCCGCTGGCAGACGCCCCTGTCGTCGTGGAGATGATCAATGCTAGTAAACTCTTTTTAACTGGCTGTCGGTTAATATAATTTTCTCAGAAGTTGTCACTGGCTGGCGCCAGTTCTAAAATTTCCTGTCATCATGTTGACCGCACTAGTGTGCAGCTCTTCTCATGGAATCGGAAATCTGTCTTGAGCGACATGACAACATCTCCAGCTCCCGCAACAAGAAAATAAGCAGTAGTTCATTATCATTTACAAATCTCACAGTACTTTGCGTTATTCTCTGGTCCAGCGCTTCCACGGTTTGCTTTTTCTGGTTCAGTTTCTGGATCAGCAGCTTGCACTCCTGTTTGCGCTGCATCACACTCGATTTCAAATTCTGGAACTGCCTCTCGAAAGCGCCGCCCTCTTTCCTCTTCCAAGACAAGAAAACTGCTGCCTTGTCCTCGGGTGCACGGGAGGCCTTCGCAGATCCGGGACGCTGTGGCCTCCGCGGCGTCAGCACCTCGCCTTCCTCGCCTGCAAAATAAAAGTGTTTTTAGTGGGATCATGGATCATGCTCACTTAGTCACTCAGTTAATTACATGGCGCAACTACTCGCTCATTTCGACATGTCCAAGCTCAGTGACAATTTCCACTGGCACTGCACCAGCTGCCGAATACGATACTTTACGTTTCCTGCCTCAACAGATTGATATTTATCCGGTCTAGTAGATGAAACACTCGATAGACACTACGCTGCAGACATGACCTCCACGCTGCACACTGAAATAATAGAACGCGATAATATCATCCCGAAGCAACTATACCGTCCCCCGCCGCATCGGTGGGCTCCTCCATGGGTCTTGATGTGGCTACGCCGATGCCAAAGCCCTGCTGCTGGTCATCATCGATACCGACCTGGTCCTCCGGTGGCGCCAAGCCCTGCGGCTCGCCCCCATCGTCGATCGTCGCCGTGAAATATGAGAGTGCACAAGAACTCCCCCGCCCCCCTCTCGTTTGTTGTCATGCAAAATAGTACCCAACTTATCATCCACGTCTTGCCTTTACGAACAACTGTCTGCGGCGCGACAAATTTAGATGCAAACTCAATCAGTACTACAGTCCGTATGCAGATTTGTCGTGCGGCCGTAACTACATTTCTGCCGTTGCTACTTGCGTTGCTGCTCATGCCCTTGCACGAGAGGAAACTACAATCGTGCGCTCTCATATGCGCTCTGACGCCGCCTGCGGTTGCAGCGTTGGTCGCTCGCGGAGCTCCTTCTGCAGATCTGATTAATTTTGTGGAAAAATTGTCGACAAACTTGCATGTGTAAATTGCAGCCAGCAGCGCACCATGTACAGCCCAAGACTAATTCACAATCGCCCGCTTCCAAATCCAAACGCCCCACGACGGACTGAAGGGGATCATGCAGAAGATCACAACAACGTCAGTACTACGAGAGTAGGTACTTTGGATCATTTTCCGGAAGATCGCGAAGGACTCGTGCACGCTTTTGATCGACACTATCTCCAGCTGCTCCACGTCGCCCTCCGTGTACTGTTTTATCTTCGCCTCAAGCGCCCGGATCTCGTCCGGAGAATAATCGGCGTACTGTACCCTCCCTCTACCAGCCAAAGTGTCGTGCATCGCCAGTTCCTGCTTCAAATCCTTGATGTCGCGCTCATACCTTACAGTCGACAGTGTGGTGCTTTCATGTAGGTACTGCTACTGCTGCTGCTGCTACTGCTTTAGCATGATCTTCCTCTACTTCGTCTTTATTTTCATCATCAATTTAGAAATATAAACGCACGAAAGTACGTACTTTTTCAGTAGCAGCCCCTGGTCCATGTGCACGTTCACGTTGGGCTTGTTCACCACCTTCATCATGCTGGTGGCGAATCTCAGTGTGGTATCAAAGTGAAAAAAGCCCCCTCCCCATATCGAAAAGGTACGCCGCAGAAAATTTGCAATGCTGATTTGCGACCGCAAATCATCTCTGTCTTGCAAGAAGGCAACTCCACAGGCTCCGCCACATCCTGCAGGCGGTTTGTGATGCTGCTGGGCCTACAGCGCAGACGTTTCGCATGCTAAGCGCCCAGGCCGAAACCTCTCTACTCAGGCTTGACATGGCCCTGCAGTCCTGTCCAGCAAGACAAATCTGATTTGTGTACGCAAATCCAGCATCACAAGCGTCGTTTTGACATGGGGAGGGGGGATTTTTCTTTTTGATATGTGGACCCGGACTCCTCCATAAATCTCGCTTCGGGGTAGATGTTGGCAATCATGGTAGTCTTGCAGTTGCCACCGAGACTGTCCTATGGATTGCAAAAATGTCTGCGTCTGGAAACCTGTGATGCAAGAAGGGAATAGCGAGCACACTATGATGCGCTCCCCAGCATGACAAGTTTTTCGGTGCTTCTCCGTTGCGTACTCCGCATGAGAAGCCGCGTTTTTGCATGACAGAGAAGAGGACCTCTTCGCGGGCACGCAATACAGAGTTTAGAGTCATGCCAGAATAGCATGACAAGTCTCAGAATCTTCCAGACCCAGACATTTTTGCATTTGATATGTCCTTCAAAAAGTGTGTCAGCTTCGACTGTCGGTACGGCACGTGGTCGCGGGCCTTGTCTGCCAAGGCGCGGACAACCTAAAGATGGGCGTTCGCGTTCAGTTGTTTCCAAAAGTACAACGTGGAAGATATTTCGCAGAAGTGGACCCTCGCGCACACCAGGGCCCGGCCTGAGGCTGTTGCTCTTTGACTTCGTTTAGAGCTGCAGGTCACTACTTGATGTTGATCAACGTGAAGATCGAAGTAAGAACGGCATGCATTCAATTCAATAGATACCTGCTCGAGGAACGTTAAACTTTTGTTGATAAATCCGGCCTCCCGCAGGGTGCCGCCTTCACTATTTGTCTTTTTCAGGCGTTCACTACCCGCCAAATCGACTAAGTGAAATTTCGAGCTGGTAATCTTCTCCGACGACCTGATTATTTTTATATTCAAAACCTCATGATTCTCTTTCATCTTCATTTTGAATGGATGCAAGGGCTGATATCACGATAGAATACACACCGCATCAGAGCAGCATGGGCAGCATCTTCACTAGTGAAGGAATTATACTCCACTCGGCTCCTGCTGTCGACGTATATGGTCAAAATGGTGTGCGACCGTGATGAGGCTTCGTTGAGGGCGTGTTCTGCCAACGCTTTCTGCGCGTCCCCTTCGAAAAAGATGTTTAGCGCCGCCTCCTCACTAGGGGCGGACTTCACCATCAACTGTCGGCAAACCTGATTTGGATTCAGTAGAGAGAACGGAAAATCCACCTTGAAGAATGCAATGTTTATTCATCCATGACAGTGATACGACTAGTCGTGCTCGTGGCTCTTCTTGGATGTTGTCCCCGAAAATCTGCAATGCCACGGATAGGAAAAGCATCAGACACGATGTCGAGATGAATTCATTGCACGGCATCTAATCCGCCGAATCAAATCACGACGTAAGTAAAAAGTACTATTGCCCCCTTTGTGTCTTCCTGCACGATCATATCGCCCTTTTGGTCCTTCACAGGCGTTCTTGAAAGCAAATCGAACATCAACTCATTGTAGATTTCGATGTACCTGGTAAGTTGTTGTAAAAAAATGTGATATTATATAGAAGAATACGAATACAGCCTGCTGTTGTCTCACCCGGAGAACATTGACAGCGCAATAGCAACTGCAAGTACGGCAACACGGACGCTTTGTTTCGCATGCTTACCCTTCAATTTCTGAAAACCACCTCACAGAAAGGATGCCACTACTTGCACTAAGCAACAGTTGTATTTTCATCGTAAGTACGAGAGTCGCACGGAGATGATGTTCTCTGGTCTGGCCTGGATCTCCGCGAACGTCCTACTGATCGCTCTTGGCACCACGCCGCGCTGTGCGAAGCCCTGCCCTCCGGAGATGGTGAACGTCTTCCCGGCCCCGGTTTGCCCGTAGGCCAGCACGGTACCGTTGTAGCCCTCCATGACCCCCCGCACGATCTCATCGCACGCCGCACCGAAAACGGTCTCTTGGGTCGCATTCACGATCAGTTTGTCGACCTGAGAGCAAATAAAAGCGTGTCGGTATCAAAAATGGAGTGTATGTTATCGTGGTAGGCTCTATCACTTTGTTCTCCACGACGATGAAAGGGAAAACCGTTGCCGTTGGCTTTGTGATAGGTAAGTGCAGAAGCAGAACGACGACGGGGACGGAGAATGCAAACAAAAATGGATCTATGTGGTCCATCGAGCAATCAGTGACCTACTTTGAAGTGATAATTTTCCGGCCCGTTGTTGACCGCTCCCTGGCTTGGGTCTGCGGCGTGAATGATGTCCACGCTGTCTGTGTCCTCGTGGAATTTGTACACGTTGGTGGCAAAGTTTGACGTCGGCCGCACCCGCACGATTACCTTCACCCGGCCGCCCGTCATGATCGATCAATCGAGATCTTACCTACAGATACAGTCGTGTGTGGTGGTGCTCCGTCAAAAAAAATATCACACCCCCTCGGCGGGCATGCTTCCTGCAGCCCTAAGAACTGCACTTACAGTCCATTGCACGACGCAAATAATTGTCACTCCTGGATGGTGGCAAGGGCTCGACTAGTATAACCGTCCAGGAGCGGAGGCTTCACCCAAAACGAGAGTTCCGTACGATGGAAATTTTTTGAACGACACGACACGCCTGACCTTCCGCTCCTAGAAGTGCCGGCAAAAAGTATATGCCCACGCGATGATTCCCGTCGCGGCAACTCTCTCTCTCTCTCTCTGTCCCCTCGCAGTAACGCTCCACTCACTTGATAGACAGGCGAACGATCTTTTGCCCTTCCGACCAGCAATTTGCGGCTGGAACTAGGAAGTGCTGCGACACGATGCGTCCACTTCTTTACGAAAAAAAAAAAGGTATGCGACGAACAGCGGCCAATATTGTCCTTACGATTGAACAGCTTGGCCCCATCATGTCCGGTTTTTCTCCGACCACTTCTTCTTCTTTGGCTTTGCATCCCTATTGGATCACGTAATTACCCGACCTGCAGATCACTATCAATGTCAATCACTTGTAGTTTCGCGTCAAACAATTCTGTCGCAAGATGTTATTCGCTATCAAGTTGAAGTTGCACGACCATGTTGCAGATTTAGTCTGAATAAAAAAACACGTTTTTGAGCGACCGCGACGACGTCGGTAGACGTAAAACAGTACTGCGTTAAAAAGCAGACTTGTTCCCAGTACTTATTCTAGCACTCATATCATTATCAGCTATCATCTCTGCAAGGACGGTAGGTACGTTGCTTGCGTAATGAAAATACTGCAATCAAAATTGCTGCGAGTACGTCCAGACCCCCACCATTTGAAAATGAAAATGAAAGCTACTACTACATCAACCCAGTCAGACTAAAACCCTCCTGTGTCCGCCTTTCCGTGATAGGAGCCTCGCGTGCGCCGCGAGGATATCGATATCCTTGCGGAGAGCGCTGACTGCTCATCTGAAGAACGCCGGTGGAGTGAGACGTAGTCGTCCTTGGGATATTGCACGCACGATCTGTCGCGGCTGCCTCCGATGTCACCGAGAACCGAAAGCACCCGTTTTGTTTGGCGTGCACCACGACCCTCTGCGTCTTGCACAGCACCACGGATTTCTTTCGGCCGCGATCCCGATACCTAGCCAAACATCGCGGTCCATTCATTTCTGTTGTCTCGTCATCGTGTGTGGGCGGCGGTACGTAGTAGGTCATTTCCTCATCCAACCTGTTCGAATGGAGGACCTAGCAGACTCTAGCAGGACCACGGTTCTTACCGCCAGGTGTGGACGAACCGCTTCGGCTTCACCAAGAAGAGACCAAGACCCCGCTACAGACCAAACCCATGTTCAAGACCCCACTACAGATTGGCACTTCGTCTCATTCGGTAGCAGCATCGGTTCGTGGACGTACCTGGAGCTCCTGTCCTGCTGTGAGGTAGCTTTCACTTGAAGCTGCTACGACAGTCATGTCCCTTAAATAGCCTATCTTTCGTCCTTCTCCAGCACCATTCCCCACTTTTTTTCCACTTTCGTCGCCTGGCCCCCATTTTCATTTCTCTGTCTTCCCTACCGTGGCTCCACTAGTGCCGCGTCTTTACTACAGGCCAAAGCAGTTCATGTTGCCATGGTACCACGCCCGCGTCGCACTTCGATCCCTGCCAAATAAATGCACTGAACTCTCGACCCCAGAACTTACCTCTTAGCGGGTCTGCGTGGGACGCGATTATTTCGAGGACGTGGTGGATCCCGATTGCCAAGCAGATAAACTCAGTCCAGAGCCAGAGCCAGACACGTCCGAGTCCGTCTTTTCCTCGCATGATAAACGCTAGCCAGTCGCCGGCGTGGATGTTGATAGACCCAAACGACGAAAAGCAAGAGTACTTATGTTGTTGCAGTCACCACTTGCTCGAAATTTCCAACTCTTCACGTCGCGTCCCATACCATCATCGACTACCTCCTCGCAAGCGCAGGTGCCGAGCCCGAGGACATGGTAGCGTTTGTCGGTGTCGGCGTCGCAGACGCGGCTTTGGCTTCCGCCTGCAGAATGATGGTGATCCCGTTGAAAGCCACCTCGCTCACGGTATGCAAATGAAAAGAGCGCGACTTCAGTGCTTAGGTCTCCAGACAGTAAGCGATTTGTGAGCAAGCCAGTGACGAGCATGTTGATCTTACAACATCGCGATTTGCGACGACGAGAAATGCAGAGCTACAAGGAGACCCAATTTCTGCCCTGTCAGAATGAAGAACGTGCAAGGGCGAGAACCTGGCTGTAGGTGACCGCACCACGGTAGCGGTAGTCAAACTACTACACTAGGTACTTGATATCAAAAAACCGGTCAGGCAGCGTCGTCAAGAAGCGCTCGCATGGATGTGTCTTCGGATAAAGCGCGCCGAAACCGTATAGCGTCTTGGTTTGCTGCAACAGCGAATCCCGGGCCTCCTGTCGGGTACGCAGCAGATCCGGGTCCACGGGCTCGGGGCCGTTGTTCTCTATCGCTCTCTCCGGCTCCGGGGCCTTTTGTGGTTTATAGATTGTGCGGCATCGAATGAAATTGATAAGAAATTCTGCTGTTTTTTGTTTTGTTCCGCCCCAAACGGCGCGACAAAAAGCAGTGCACAGGCAGCAGTCCAAAGGCAGCAAAGTGCTCTTCGTGAGAACTGGAAGAGCGAGAGCCACGCAGTTATTCCGCTGCCTGTGCCTTGCCTCTAACGAAGTACAGAAGCGAAAGATCAGGACACTCGTACTGCTTCGAAGAGAACCAAAGGCAGCTCATCATGGTTTTTTCTCTGGCTCTGCGAGCGAAGCGCGTGCAAAAATTTTACATGGTCGTGCCCAAAGAAACTACAACTCCAGACCTTTATTGGCAAGCTCAGCGAGGCGGAGGGGATGGAGCTAGTTGAGGAGGAAGTCGTCTGCGAAGTTTTGCTGTCGGTCCGCAGGTTCGGGGCCGCAGCCGCCCTGTCCGCCAGCACCGTCTGTATTCCACGACGGTTCTCAGTGCGCTTGTTCGACCGCGAGCGCGACCTCCTCCGCCGGTCTCGACTTCGCGTTCGGCGCGACGCCTCTCGCTCACGACCTTCCCGTCCTGACCCGTGATTCCCTCCACGTTCTTCCTTCTCGCCCCGCTTTATTCTTGCTGTCCTCTCATGGTCCTCTTTCTCAACACCTTTGTTGCTGCGACCTCCGTGGTGGTCAACATCTTCACCTCGTCTACCTTTGTCTTTATGTTCATCTCTGCCACCGCGCCCGCCCGATTTTTCTTTGTCCGCCAGCGCTCGATCGCGCCGCTCGCGCTCGGCCTTCCTCGCGTCCCGGTCTTGCTTCCGCGCCGCAATTATGGATTGTAAAAATGTCTGGGTCTGGAAACTTGTGATGCTGGGTGGCGTATCATGAAGAGGCCACAAGTGCTGGCTCAGCATGACAAGCTTTCGAGCTTGTAGGTGTTGCCTATTCTGCATGACAAACGCTTAGAATGACTAACCCAATGAAAGCGGTAGCGAGTAACTAATTGCACAAGTAGGCAGCCTAACTGAGAATAGAAGAAATAAGACAGAATGGCAAAAATGGAGGGCATGAAGATAGCGGAGGAGGAGACGCTACTGCCACGAGAAGAAGAGGAGTCGAGTGGGACAAGAAATGAAGAAAGAAGAGGGTGGCAGGAAAACAGTAACAAAAGAGACAAAAAAGAAGAAAAAGAAGGAGACGGACTGGGAGGAGATAGAGAAGAAAAAAGCGAAGACGAGAGAGAAATAACAGAAGAGGAGGGAGCAGACGCGCAGGAAGGAGACGAACTAGATGAGAAAAAAGAAAGAGAAGACGGAAGCGAAGAAATGAGGCGGGAGCGCCACCTTTTCTGGAACATAAATGGAGTAAAGCGGCGAAATGCGCTACGCCTGCTAAAAGCAAACACAAAGATAACGCCAAGGCTCACAGGAGCCAGCTGCGCAGAGCTCAAAGTAGCAGCGCTAACAGACGAGCAAGCAGCTTTCCAACACGTTGAAGAGGAACGGAAGGCGTTGGGGATTCCAGACACGAGACCGGCAATGTACTTTGCGGCGGCGACAAATATGAAAAAAGTGGCCGCGGAACTCAATGCGGGGGCAGTGGGGGTGATATACATAGAAGAGCCAAAGAGGCTGCCTGGCAGTATATATAGTGCGGAGATACTTCGGAAAGATATGGGAGGGACATTCCTGCGGAAAGACATAACCAATAAAGAGGACGCTTTGCTATGGATGGTAGCAGCGCAAGACGAAAGAGGAATGCTGGTCGTGGTCTTCTACCGCAGGCCAGCGAAGGACGCACCCATAAAAGACAGCGAAGAGGCGATGTTTATTCGCAAGCAAATGGCAGAAATGACCGCAAAGCTCGAAAAAATGATAGAAGAATGCGGAATGGCAATAATGACGGGAGACCTGAACTGTCAGTACGCAATAGAAGAAAGAGGAAAGATAAAATTTGAAAGAGAAAAAACAGGGGTGCAGAAGATATATTTCGAGGAGGTGATAAAGCCATTAGAAAACATGCTGAACAAGCATGCGGAGACACTGCCAACAGGAGGGCCAACATGCTACCGCAGCCAAGAAAACCCAACTGCGATTGACTTCATGGCAATAGCAGGGAAAAAGGGCAGGGTGGTGGCGAAAGTTTGCGAGAGGGTGCAGATACCGCAAGAGGTAAAGCAGGACGAGGATCAGAATCAGGAACAAGATGAAAATCAGGAGGAGGAGTCGGACCACGTAGCTCTACTTGCAGACGTGGTATGGATACCGCCCCCGAAGTGCATAGGGGAAGTGCAAAAAGAAAAGCAAGCGAAAGAACAGAAGCGATGGGCCTTCAACGCACGGCACTCACTCATGGCGCCGACGGTGGAAAGCGCAAAAGGGAGAATAGAGATAATCAGGGGGAAGAGAAAATTCCAAAAAGCCAACCCGGTGAGACAGGTGGCGAAGTGGCCGCGGAAATCGATAACACTAGAAAGGCTTCAGGAGACGATGGAAAAAGCAGGGACAATACCAACAGAGCAGAGAACAATGCTGGGAGTACAGAAATGGCTCATGGACAAACTGAACGAGGCGGGAGTCCTCAAGGTGCAAAAAGTAGAAAAGGGAGGGAAGTTTAAGGCTCAATGGCAGAAGCAAAATAGAGAGAAGCGGAAAGAAGAGAAAAACATAAAGCAAGAAGAAGGAGAGCAAGGCGAAGAGGAAAAAGAAAAGGCGGAGGCAGCCGAAAAGGAGTGGGCGCAGTCATTTCTGCAAATGCCAAAAAAGGGGCAAAAGACGGAAAAGGAAATATACGAAACAGCAAGAAAAGTAAAAGAAGCAATATGTGGAGTAGGAAGGGGAATGCCAATGGGAGAGGCAAAAGAAGTGACAGTAGGCGGAATACTAGTGAAAGGGGTAGAGGCAGCGACGGAGAGGATCGCTAGCAGCCACCTGCTAAAGTGTGAACTCACGAGGAAGGAGAACGGAAAGAAGCACACCTATGACGCAAAGGAGCTAGCGAAAGCACTGGGACAGCTAACGCAAGCATGCAGGGAGGTTAAAAGCTTACGCTTTACCGGCCCACAGTTAAAGGAACACGTAAAAAGACTCAATCCTGAGGCCGCCGGTATGGACGGCCTCAGGATGGGAATTTATAAAGCACTCACGCCGGAGCAATATGAGATCCTGGCGGAGGTGTTTAATAGATTCTTAAAAGAGGTAGAGGAATTTGAAATGAAGCAAAACGCAAAGAAAAACCAGCCGGCGTTGCTGGAAGAGCACCTGAACGCGGTGCAGGTAGAGCTGTTGAAAAAGCAGACAGCAGCAACGACGGCAATAGAAAAAATTCGGACGGTGATACAGGGGACAGCGATCACGCGAGTGCTGCTCAGTGTGGTAGTCTTCGAAATGGTGCGCGTAGCCGACAAAAATGATGCGTTTACAAGGTGTGGATCGGCGTCAAAGCCAGGGGCTAGCTGCCAAGCGACAGCGCTACAGGTATTACAGACATGCCACGAAGGAGGTGGGGTAGAGAAACAGAAGGAAGCACAAGAAAAAAAGGGAGAGGAAAGAAGTAAGCAGGAAACAATTGTGTTCGGGCTAGATGCATCCAATTACTTCAACAACATTGGAATACCGAGAGCAGTAGAAGCATACAGAACAGCAAAGCTGCACCCGTGCTTTATAAAGCTGATAATAGTAACAGCGTGGACAAAAGACCTATGGATA